TGTTTGCGTATATCCTGAAACGCGATGTGTATGGTTTCCTCCTCCCTCAGTGTTACTCCAGTAACAATTTATAGCAAACTTAACGTTGTCTTTAACATCATATCCTTTACCTTTTGTCATTGCTGACCAATCCCAAATCTATGCTTATGCCAACCTGCTTGAGATGTACTTAAATCTATGTAGTGACTGTGCGCAGGTAAATTTTCACCTGAAATCGTTTTACTTCCACCTGTTTCCTTTGAAGAGTTTGCACAATACAAAAACCTGTCGACTATTTGAGTCCAAGTTCCAAAACCAAGTACTACTTCTGGTCTGGTAGAGTTCATTGACGTATAAATAGAGCCTATAGGATATAATGTTTGAAGTATTTCTGTCTTTAATGTTTGAAGCTCTGTTTTGTCTGCTTTCTTGTCATATAAATCTTGAGCAGTGAATTTAATATTATGTTCATCCTTCATGACATAAACATCTTTACATCTAATGTTTCTCATCGTCGTTATGTCGTCATCCGATGTTAAACCTTGTGGAAAGTTAGGAGGTTTACAATATATTGCATCCCCACCAGTTTCTTCAACCGTTCCTTCAATACTTTCTATAGCAACAGTTGTAAAACTTGTATGTGTATGGTTCTTGTCTGCTTTCTTCTCTAACTCATCGTTAACATAAGTTTTATCTGCTTTAAGGTCTAAACATCCTGAAACCCATCCTGTATCGGCTTTAGTTTTTAAAATCTTTGATGTCCGTTCATGGTACCAGTCAACCCTTTCTATAATTTCTTTATCTTTTTCATCCACATATTCCTTATCCGCCTTCTTCACTAACACACTAGCCATAAGTCCTTATCTACCTTATTTTCAAGGCTAACGTTTAAGTCTGTTATTTCAGATATAGAATGTATATGAGTCTTTTTAGAATATTCGTTTTCAGCTCTTGTCACTTCACTTGACATTTTATTGTCAACATATGTTTTGTCTGCTAGTTCAGGATGAGTATGTTCTTTTGTTGCATAAGCATTGTTAGCTCTTTCTTCTTCTTTTGCTATTGCATCGTCTACATATTCTTTGTCAGCTTTGTTGTCAACATCTGCTTTCAAAAGAAGTTCATTTATAGGTTTCTCGTTTAAAGTTCCTTTTGTTGGATTTATACAGACAGTATGGTTCTTATTGTCTTGAAACAGAAACTCATCTGTCATTGGGTTTAATGTCAGTTTTAAGTTTCCTTCTTTCAATGACTCAGATATCTTAGAATAGTTTGAAAAGTTTGTTGTGTTCTTATTTAGAGCTTGCATAATGAGTTGTCGGTTGTGTTGTATTTCTCTCATAGACGCTGTTTCATTTGACATTTTTATTCTAGATAAAATATGCTTCCAATAGAAAAAGAAAATTCAAGAGTTGCTACAACTAAACCATTAGATGAACTTTTTACTAATGTCGGTCAAAAGTTTGAGACAGAGACCGTAAAGCATGAAGGCTATCGTTTTGACTACCCATTAAGATGGCTAAGAGACCCATCTGTCACAAAAGCTATTGGCTTTCGTAGAATGAAGTTTGTGTCTGTAGAAGATAAAAGTTTTCCATTTATTGTAAGGTTTCATATAGATTATATATCTGAAGGGAAACGAAAAATGTGGGAAGAAATTGAGCTAATACAAGTTGACCTTTCATCTTCTCTACAGACTGCGTTAAAAAATATAGAAGATAAAATAAATTCATGTTATGCAAAATATGCTGATGAATATGCAAATACCGAGAGCACACTTTATGTGAGAATTGTATATGACAAACAAAATTCACAAGTGTCATTTCAAATCTACGAAGACAATCCAAAGAAAGACGAACAAATATATACAGAATTCACTGCAATGTCATGGTATTATTTGCAAAGAATGTTAAATCAGAAAGTCGAACTTCCTTTAGCAAATATTTACAGTCGATATGCAAGAGATGAACCATATTTATTTAAAGATGTTTTCGACCCAGCTGCTATTATTGTTCATGCTTCATTTTCTGGCGCCCAAAACTCTTTCTTATGCTTGGCAAATGACTTTTACGAAAAACCTACAAAGTTATACGAACCACCAAGTGGAAGTATTTCAGACTTTCAAGTATGGTTTACTACAGATGGAAGAAAAAGAATAATTCCATTATACCATGCGTTTTACTTAGAACTTAGTTTCATATACAACTACTATCGAACGGTAAAAATATAATTTTTTAATACGGCTGAGGTGTTGGATTTGGTTGCCAACTAGACTGTGGTGCAGGTCAGGTTCAGGTTGTTGTATAACAGGAGCTTGTTCTTCTGGTTCAGGGTCTTTAGGTATAATACCAACGAACTGACCTACTCTTTTACCAATATTTTTGACTCCGTTCCAAATTCCTCTTCCTACGGTTTTTATTCCATTCCATATACCTCTTCCAACTCTTCTGAAGAAGTTTCCAATACTACTGAAGAAACCCATTTTACTATATGTAAAAATCTAATGTCCGCCTAGTCTCTTACGTTTCCTGTTGAGTTCCATAGCATTCTTTAACTGGAGCTCATACATTCTGTTTCTCCTCTGGTAGAAAACATATTCTGGGTCAACTCCTGTGTTCGCGTCATCTGCATAAAGTTGTTTATATCCCACTTCAGGGTTTGTATAAAACTCTTTCCATCTCATATTTGCATACCATGGTGGCAAACCTAACGCAGCGTCATTTGACATGGCAGTTTGCATTTGTACATCTGTTGGCACTTGACCATAGTTTGCCATTGCAGTTTGTATTCTAACTTCATTTGGAATATTCTCTGGGTTTGGTTGTCCAGGTTGCTGTGCATTCGCTAAGTTCTGTGCGTCCATTTAATATTAGATAAAAATATCTCTTACGAGTACATATGCTGAACATTTGCAGGCATTGGTTCATCTTCATATTCTCTGTACTTTTCTGCCACGTCAAATAAATAAATGACACAATGGAAAAAACCTAAAACAAGTAGTCCTATTTCAAACCACATTTACTTACTAATAAAATTTCTTTATTGTGACACTTTCTCCAGTTTATAGGACCTCTCTCATATTCTATCTTGTCATATATAAACTCATAGTCATGTATGTCCTCTAGCCATCTCATAACGGTTTCCAAACCACTTTTATCGGATGTAAAGTAAAAGCATGGATGGTTATGTAAAACGTCTAAAGTTTCTAAAGAGTCTCTCAAAGTCCAGTCTACTTGGTATTGAAAATCCCATGTGTTATAGAACGGTGGGTCCACTATAAAGAAAACATTTTCCTTGTCTTTATATTTTTCATACAACTCTGTCCAATGACATCTCACAAACTCTATACCCTCAATATATTTTTCTATGTCCTCTTTGAAAACATTTGTATAGTTAAGATATAAAACTTTTGACATAAGTGTTTCAATGTCATGAACTCTTATAGCACCACTATATAATAGTCTAGCAGATATACTATCCCAGTCTATATATTCTGCTTTTTTCAAAACCTCTCTCACAATATTTTTGTTATCTAATGGTATACGTTCCATCTTACCTATCTGAATCTTTTCTTTTAACTCTTTCAATATTTTGTTAGTGTCTGGAATATGTTTGAGACGGTCCATATAGTTGTCGAAGTCATTGCATATAATCTTTGAGTCTGGGAATATTGTATGGCACAAATGGGATATATAGAAACTTCCACCGAACAAATCTACAAATGTTAGACCATTCGGTAGTTTCTTAAGTTCTCTCAATATAATATCTTTACATTTACTCTTATTTCCAAAGAACGGTAACGGAGGTTTTGTAAAATTCATTTATATATAATAATAAAAATGTTTTTTCCCTGAAAAGTGACAGAAAAGTGACAAAACATGAAAACATATATAATTTGTGAAAAGCGACACATTATATAATGTTTTCGACCCAGAAGAAGGCTTCTTCCCAGAAGCAATGGAGGAAGAAGAAGAGTCCTCCGAATAAAAACTTCATTTATACTAAACATCAACATCAGGGCTAGAAGGCACGAAGTGCCTGGAAGCCCCACTACCTTTTTTTTTTTTTTTTTTTTTTTTTTCTTTTTTCTTTGAGCCTCCTTTACTGGAAATATCATATAACCAAAAATATGTATATTTCAAGAATCGTGATGAGGAAATAACTATAAATTGCAGAATAATTGATCCAAACAATTCCGCATATTTGATTTTGTCATACTCAATAGATGAAGTTATGTATCCCCAACAAAATATATCTTTAAATAGTCGGAAAACTTTTATTCACTACTCTTTTGTAATTCAATTGGATCAAAATATGGATGAAGGTACACATTTCATTAAGTTATGGGTCACTGGTAACTCAAAAAGGTCACATGAATATGTCATAGAGTTCAAATTTAATAAAAGAACCAGTACAGAAGCAATATATCATAATGGATATGATCATAGAATCTTATTAGCAGGCAAAAATATATAGAGATTAAGATAAACTCTAGTCTTTGATGTAATTCTTGTTTTCTAAATAAAAATTGTTAATAATTAAACTTTTATCAGAATTTTATGGCAAACGCAATGGTTGAAGAAGCCTACTTCACAATAAATTTAAAGGCATACACAATTTTAGATTTAAAGAATATAAGCCGAAATATCTTCAGAAGATAATTAAGTTATGAATCAAATTAGGATTTGGTTCATCAAAAGTGTATTTGTCATTAATATATTACATATTTACAAGATATTTTGATAGTTCAAAACGATGTTTGCTATTTTGGGAAAAAAATAGACAATGTTTTATTGTCGTATGGAAAAGTGACAATGCTATTTTTGTCGTATGGAAAAATGACAAAATTTTCATTGTCGTCTGGAAAATATTGCTGAAAGCAGGACATTCTATATGGATTCTCATTAAGTCTTTAATCTGGTAAACAAATTTCAGATAAAACAGCTTTTCTTTCAAATTTTTGTGGATTTATTGAAAATTTTGGTTGTTTGGTCACTTTTAATCAAAAATTATTTTGAAGAATGAGCACTCTTCTCTCTATCTTAAGAGCTGGAAATATGGATTTCAAATTATATAAGAATAATAACTCAATGATATCAATTATTCCCGATTCATTAAATTTTTCAGGAAAAGATATGAAATTTTTAAATTATTCAAATCATGCGAAGAATATATTTGGAGGTGTCACAAAGATTTCGAAAATCTTAAATCACACACAGAAGAATGATTCCATAACGAGGTACAATGCTTTAACTCTAAAAACGTTTTATAGTTATTATCAAGATAGAGTGCAAAATTCAGGTGAAACTTATGATAATACCTATCAGAGAATGTTTGTAAATAATACGCAATTTGATAATAATAATGAATTTAATTTTAATTTTACAAATTCGTCTGAATTTGACTCACTGAATCTAGCTTTAACATTATTGAACAATGTTGTTACATTTGGATCACTTAGTTTGATTGATGCATTACAAAATTCCACGAAATATACTAATTTATCAAATACATTATCAATTACAATGAAAAATATCGAAACTTTCAAACAACTTGCTCTAATGTTAAATGAATCAATTCACACAAAGACAGTCAATCAAACAGATTCAAATGAAAGTTATAAACTAAATAATGATAAAGAGAAAAGTGAATTTAATTCTAAAAAGGAAAATGTCAGTTTTAATAATAGAAAACAAAATACTCAATCTGAAACTAAAAAAGAAAACAACAAATTCAATGATGAAAAAGAAACAAAATCTAAAAAGACAGGAACTAAAAATCAGAATGACGAAAGAGTAAATGATTGGTTTAATATAGTGAAAGATTATGCAAGCAAGGCAGTTGATAAATCGAAGGAATTTGCAAAGAACAATTTCCCTGATGCTTATGAAACAACTAAAGATTATGCAAACAAAGCAGTTGATAGATCGAAAGAGTTTGCAAAGAATAACTTCCCTGATATTTATGAAACAACTAAAGATTATGCAAGCAAAGTTAAAAATGAAATTGAGAAACAACTAAATGATGCGCATAAGTTCGCCGAAGAAAAACTTCTGTATCATTCAGACAAAACAATGCAAGCATCAAAAGAATTTGAAAAAGCCAATAACAAAAGTAATTCTGAAAAAGCAAAAGATCAAACAAGAAAATGATTCTAAACCATAAACAAGATTGCAGGTGAATGAAAAGTTTTATTGGCATGCACATCATAAAGACACTGAATATTCTCAAAAGGTTTGCATTAATATGCAGTGGCTAACCATCAAATTATCTTCTTCTCAATGAATTATTATAGCTTAATATTTTACAGAAATATGGAATAAATTGATCAATCTATTTTATTTAACATGTATTCTATCACTATATGTTGAACCCCAGTTCATACGATAAAACATTAAGTTTGGATCTGTTATGAATTAATAATTAAAACTTTTTATTATTCTCACTATTTTTCAGAGATGTTGACTTCTTGTCAGGAAATAAGTCCCTTATTTATCATATCTTTCGCCATATGAAATTTCAATCCCAAAGTAAACTATTCTCACCTTATTAAGTATTTATCAAGAATTAATCACATGACATATATGTTTATAAGGTAATAACATGTTTGACTTATAACTCTTCATCAAATTAAATAGGTAAATTAGATCAAAGTTATAATCTATATAAACTTCTGTTCTTGCAATATCCATAATACTTCCATTGGTAAATTATGATTGGGGATATACTTAAAGTTGCTTTTGGCACAAGAAAATAAATTGATGGGGAATTTGTTTGGGCAAATTCTCTCGAAAATGAAATATTTTAGTACACTTATTTTAAATGTATCAGCCATAAAGCTTTTTTCATTTTCATTTCTGAAGAATTTTACAAACAAAAAAACGGTTTGGTTGGCCTTTCGATTATGGCTGAATCAACAAACCAAGTTATTGAAGCTGGTCTCCACCAAATCAACCTTTCTGGCACAGTTGCTAAGGGCATCAAGTGCACAATCAAGGCTATCCTTAAGGGCAAGGCTCAACTCGTCCTTCTTGCTTCTGATACGGAGAACAAGGACTACAAGAACCTCGTTGCTGGCCTTTGCAAGAAGCACAACGTCAAGCTTCAGGAAGTTGAGAAAAAGGAACTCCTCGGTAGAGCTCTTGGCCTTACACATCTTAAGGCTGACGGATCAGTCCGCCGCCAGATGAACTGCGGTGCTTGCGCTATCATCGGCTACGGCAAGGTCGAGACAGAAGAACTTAACGCTTTCCGCGCTGCTTTTGATCCAGCTCAGTAAACTTTTTTTTATTTAAACATACTCATTAAATTTGATATTACACTTAACAACATAATCAAATACAACTACATTCTACTACTATTGAATAATAATTCTTGATAAAATCGATATTGAATAATAATAGTTTAGATATTAGAGTTTATATCATTCTCAGTGATTTAAATGATCTATGCATCAAGATAATAGTCAAAATTTTGCATAATTTTTATATAGAAAGAAATATTGTGACATTTTTTGAGATTTGAAAGTAAATTCTATATGTGGGAACTATTAAACTTAGCATAAAGTCCATGTGACTTATTTTCAATACTATTTGGTTATTCATTCCGATTGATATCTTAAAATAATCAAATTTCCCGCAAAGATGCCCATGATTTATATGAGAAAATCGTTCTTTTCTAAGAGGTGGTCGTTAGAATTATATAAAGGTATTACACTAGCATTTTTTGGAAGTTTGCTAATTTTTTTGAATAAAGGTGTTTCCCCCCCTCAAGAAAAAAAATCGTTATTTTTCGATGCCTCCAAAAAAGGCGAAGAAACAGAAACCATTTGAAAAACTTCAAGATTTTGTCGAAGCATACAAAAAGAATTGCGAGCTCTTCGGTGTTGAGCCTCTAGATCCAGTCATGGATATCTACAACGATGCAATTATTAAAAAAGCAAAGAAGCAGCCAATCATGTTGCAATTTGCCGACGAAGAAGTTAACCCTGATCGCATTAGACCATTAATTGAAACATATCAAACAACAGACGTCAAAATTAAAATCTTATCATTCCTTAATACAAAATCAGGCGATGGAGGCCTTCATGCTCTTGCCCATGCATTGAAACAACCATTAGAACTTGTTGGTTTAGCATACCATGCCAATAATGTTGGTCCAAGTGGTTGTAGAGCGATTGCAAGAGGATTTGTTGAATCTAAATTCCTAACAATACTTGAGCTTGACTTTAATGCTGGAATTGGCGATGAAGGTGTTGCTGGTCTTTGCCATTATGGCCATTGTCCTTCATTGAACAGATTATCCCTTAGTTTTTGCAATATTGGCGATAAAGGCGCTGAAACTCTTGCCAAATGGCTTGCTAAACCAGAATGCCAGATCAAAGAACTAATTCTTAAAGGAAATCAAATTGGTCCGCTTGGAGCAACAGCTATTGGTGCAAATCTACCAGATAATAATTCATTAAATAGACTTGACCTTTCAGATAACGTATTCGGATATAATGCAGAATGTTTGAACGCTTTACATGATGGAATTAAAGGATGCGCTCCACTTAATGCCGTTTTACTACTTAATAACTTCGAATGTCCTGAAGGACTTGCAGAGAAGTTCTTAACTTTAGTCACTGAAAAGCCTTTAGGTGAATTCCAATTAACAGTCAAAATGGATGCGAATACATTCCAAAATACGAGAGCCATTTCACTTACAAATGCAAAGAAGATCGCCAAAGAGGCCAAAAGGAAGAAGAAACCAGAAGGAGAAACTGCAAGAACAGATGGCGCTTCTGCAGCTCCTGCTTCAACAAGCGCTGCACCAACAGGTAGAGCTTCTGAAGCTGCTGAACAAGCTCCAGCTGCTCCAGCACAACCTCCTGCAGAACAAGGAGAATGAAATTTATTTATATAAAACATCTTTTTTTTAATAAAATTATTCTTTGGTATATAAATAGTACTTCATTACGTAATAATTTACTAGATCAGTCGTTCGAAATAATTGAATAATTTAATTTGTAATTTAATCATATTAGATGATGGAAAATGGTGCAATAAATATTAATAACAATGCATGATCTAGTGTCTTTAATAGGAAACATTCCGTTACATTCAAAATGAGAAATTCATAATCTGATTCCCTTTCATGGAATTTTTTACCTTATTTATAAATCTCAAATGATCTTATAAAATTGTTTAGAATTGTTTTTAGCACATTTTATAAAAAGTGTTCCCATTCCCAATTAAGTCAAATTGATTTTGTAGTGATACCAATTCGGAAGATAATACAAGATTTGCACAAACCAAAATTGAAACTAACTTCCAAATCTGCATCACTGGAATTAGTAAATATTTAGTTGAACTAAAAAAATTGATTTTTTAGAAGAAAAAAAAATCAAGGATTTAGAAATGGTTTTTGATATTCAAGTGCTGTTAATCTTAAATCATATTCATAAACTGAGCTTGATCTTCTGTCGATTTTTCTTCTAATGCTTGGCGTTTCTTGATGATAAAGATCGCTGCAATGCAAACCGCTGCGATAATGAGAACGCCAATAATGATTCCTGCAATAGCACCAGAACTTAATTTTCCTGATTTGGACTTCTGATCATCTCCTTCGTCGTTATTATCATTATCATCGTCGTGTTTATTATCTTTGTCAGTCATTTGAGGTGTGACAATTTTCTCTTGAGAAGGTGTTTGTTCTGGAGTTCTTATTGGTGTTGGTGATGGTAAGATAGGTGTTAAAACATATTTAGAAAATTTAGAATAATTTCCAGAAAATGGTTTCACTTTCTCAGGTTCATCAAAAATAATCTTTGACAATTGGAAATAATCATCAGATGGATCAAAAATAAGAAGATTGACGCTCTTTAAAGCAATAGTTTGATTGGGGGTAAATATTAATTTTTCAATTTTTCCATCATTTGTGGCTGCGTGAACAGTGTAGTTGCGACCGAAACTTAAAGATGTGATATTTGTTGAGAATGAATAGAATGAATATATTCCTCGTGATTGTATGTTTCTTGATGGAATGATTTTATATCCCATTGGCTCTTCAGAAAGTTCATCAACTGAATAATAATACGGTGTGCGCCAATTTACTGTTATTTGCCTATTTTCATATTTTGGGGTCCTGAGTTTGATTTGATTGAATAGGAGCTATCTTTTTGTTCAATTACTAAATCACCTTCACTATAAAAATGGAATTTCTCATCTACTGGATAATGATTTGCATAAACTCGAGTTTCATTTTCATTAACAGTAATTGTCTTAATTTCAGCATCATCAATATAATACGTTGGAACATCAAATATTGATTTGAGACCTTTTATTTTATGTCTACCTTTTACAGCTCCTTCTGGTAACTCTGTTAAGTTCTTAAATGAATAAACTCCTACATCTTCTCTACCTAATTCAAAATAATTTCCTTTTTGATGGATATAATCATGAAATTTGCATATTTCCGAATTAACTGAAGATAAAACAATGATTATATTGGTTCTTTCATCAAGTTTGGAACGGAACATTATATCAAAATCATTATAGATTATGTCAACTGATGTTTTATCAGAGTAAAAATTTGTTTTGTATACAATATCCAGTTCTGAAGCTCCATTTCTTGGTCTAATTTTATTTACAACTATATCCCCTTTTGTGGATGAATATACGGGAATGAGAGGAGAGCCATCTTCTAACATAAACTCGTGGGCATTCTTGAAAATTATAAATGAATAATGTGTGTTCTGAGAGGAAAGAACAATAGTTCTTAATTCATTTTCTTTGAATGGAAGCTTTGTATTTACCCTATAAACACCAGAGTATTTAACATAAACTTCTATGTCATCTATTTGTTTTTCTTCTAATACTGAATCTTTGGTAAAATTATAAATTCCTCTATTGAAATTTGTCATATCTTCATTTAACATAGATTGGAAATTATATCCTCCAAATGTAAAAGTTCCATAAGAACGAAATTGGTAGCAAACATAAAAAACATATCTAAGTTCATATCCACTTTCATAGACATAATTTATACCTTGTCCGAAAACAGGAGTTGTCATATCAACTTTTGCAGTGTAGTTAAAGTATTCTGTGAATGTCATCGGATACCATGATGCGAATATTACTCTTTCAGAGCTGTTTGATGTTTCTCCAACATAAACTTTCTCATTTTCTGGATTTAACACAAAATCTACATGTTTTAGTGTTCCGCTCGGATTGAAATAAGATATTACCTGGATTTTAAGACTTTTTGTCCCAGATTTTGATTTAATTGTGATACTACCAGTATGCCCGATAGATTGTATTACAGGAAAATTCTTCCAGTTATCATTATCTTGATAAAGTATATCTTTACACTCATGGGCAATGATATAATGAGCGCTGTTGATAGATTGCTCAGAAATAGTTAAAGTTATTGGATTTTCATCTACTAAATACTCATACTTTCCTAATATTGCTCTTAACCCTGTTCCAAATGTATAACTTTCATTTAATCGAGTTACATTATCAGGATCAATTATGAATCCCTGAGCTTCAATGTTTTTATTAACTTTTTCTGCTTTAAAATAGATTCTGTTAAAATGTGCCGTTATCATTAAGAATTTTCGATTATGACAATCAATATTACCAGTTGCTTGAAGAGGATCATCAAATTCGCCTGACTGATATAAACCATAAGTAATATTTTCAATTTTATAATTGAATTCTGTTGTACTAAGAAATAGAACAATTTGCAATTTACCGAAAGGTATATCTAAATAGTTTATGCCATCTCCACCATTAAAAACAATTAGATATTGATGGCCCCATGCATTTTCGCTTTTGAATATACAAAATTTTAATTTAATCGGATAATTTTGTGCTTTGATTTTATGTTGAAAACTACTGCTTAATTGAACATACGATTTTGAAAGATAAATAAAATCTTCATTGTTAAGAAATACTGAATGAATATATGTATTGGTTGGAAAATTATATGGTTTCAAACTGAGATCTGTTTCTTCAGTAATCATTAGCTCTTGATATCCTAGTGGGACACTGATTGCTTGAACTGATATAGAAGAGAAAGTCAAGATGAAAAGCATCCTTTTAAGAAATGTTTTAAAAAATTGAATCAAATTTGATCCAGAAATTTTTTTGTTATTTGATTAACTTATGTCATATAGATAATTTTTATTTTTTTAAATTTCGCCGTTGGCCACTTTTTCATTTGCGTTTATTGAGAACCACTCAAAAATTGTGAACGAGCGTTTAGGTTAAACCATTACAAATTGTATTTAAATGTTCATAATGCATCCATGGTCCAGATTTGATCGTTTTTGTCATAAAAAGTGTCAAAAATCAATAGAATCAATATGAAATAAGATTTTTATTGTGATGAATGCCTTCTGATTTGTTGCGATATATTTCAATTAATAAGTATATCATCTGAGCTTATCAACGATCAAAATATGAAATATTAAAAATTTCGGATTGTATTGTTCGAATAGTTGACAGCTTTGTGATGATTCAAGGATATGGAAATGATATTAATATAAAAATAAAAATAAAAAAAATATATGAAATGTTCATCTATATTTTGTTACTGGACATAGTATATCAATTGATGTTAGAGTAAATGATTATAGAATCGAATACAGATTTAAAAATGATTTAAATATTTCAAATAATTGCATTATTTTATTTTAAATAGTATGAACGAATAGTATTAATTAATGGTTTGATTATACAGATATGAAATGTGTGTTAAAGGAGGTCCGATTTTTAAAAAACGAATAAATTGAAATCAATCAGCAGTAGCTACATGAATAACTTGATTTCCTCTAATAAAAATACTTTGGTATCTGCCAACTTCATTACCATTTGACATTTCAACTGCATCGCGAAGAACTAGATTGAATAACGCATCTATAGTGCAAAGTGTACCTACTAATTGGGAACCTGTTGAAAGGACTACATGAGTTGGCTTTTGGAGTGTTGCCTGAAGAAATCCAGTCATTGCATCATCAGCAGACATGAGTCTAACAAATTTCTTGAACGATTATTGTAATTTTTTTTTATTGTGAGTGTGAATTATAGTATGTAATACATTTGTAATGCAATAATATAAGAAACATTAATCACATTATGATTTTATTAAATCAATTGAAATTCTAACTCAATATAGTCCAAAACTATTTCATCTGCTACTTTATTGGCCATGTTGACCACTTTTTGAATAGTGTTATCTTGCAATTCCAAAATATTTGAATGATTTCATATCAAACTTTATAAAGCTGTCGAAACTCCAATCATTCATATTTCCACTAATTGCATGTCGCAGAACTACTAATATGTAGAAAGGCGCAAAGAGAATATTAAGTTCTGGTGAAGAATTGATGTGCGTTCTGTTTGTGAAGATTACAAAATATAGATTCAAAATTTGATTTTCTCCGAAAAATGTAATAAATATACATTTTCATTGACTCTCAAATATGCATAAATAATTGTGATTTTGGTTGATTATTCAATTCACATTTGAACTGCCAATGATTGGATTGCTTTTCCTCTTATCATCTGTTCGTTGCGATGAAGTGAATGACGACGACAGCTTCTGGAATGAATTATCTGATGACCAAATCGTTGTCGAAGATAAAGTTCCAGGAAAATTGTATGATAAAGCAAGATTTAACTTGCCTATTGCAAGAAGACTCGATAGCTTATTCCCAGAAACAGCTAAGGCAGTCAGAGATCTTCAAGATGTAGTAAATATCGAATTTGTCTACGAAGAAAAATTCCCAATTTTATACTTCCTCGATTCACAAGATGTAATCATTGAAAAGATAGAACTTGCTAAGAAATCAAGAGATGAAATTAAATCAATTCTCGTTTCAAGAAACTTTGATCTCAATCTCAAGAAACCTCCGGAGACATCAGCACCAAAACCAGTTGAAGAAACAAATTCAACAAACGAAACATCTACTCCAGAGCCACAAGCTGAAGAGGCCGGAAAAACTCAGGAAATCTAATGTAATTCTTTCATACATAACGAATAAACTGTTTTTTAAAAGCATTTCACGTCTAAGATTCTTCATTTTCATTTGACCGAAAATGTTTAAGTATTTTAAGGGTGCACACGAGAGGATCATGTAAACTTCAGAATTTAGAACCTTATTTTTAGGCATTATCTTGGCTACCTATTTAGGCTCGAAAAGCAAAAAATATCAAAAAATACAACTTGACTCCATTATGACCCTTTCATGGAGGTAGTTTTTATCCGCTAGTATTTTCCCTTTGAATCTCTTTACAATTCGAAATCAAATTCAAAACTCAGTAGAAGAAAGGAAGAATCGACTTACTACGGTTGTAATACGAATAAATACATATATTTAATTATTTTTATTTACATAATAATTGTTTGAAGCTCATATTCCATCAAATTTTTAAATAAAAACATTAAAATGTTGAAAATGTTCATATATTTTAATAGGGTTTTGGCACTTTATTGAGGAATTACTACATACATAGTCGAACTGAACTTGATATTTTGAAATTTAAATTATTTATCAAAATTAAAATTTAACTTGAAATTTATAATTATTTAGTCATATTTTGCATAATTCTAAGTAGATTTTGTAAAAAATCAAGAAAGAAAAATTTTAACGTGCTTTATTTTTTCTTTTTTATAATAATACATATTATTATATAATTAACATATTCATAATGTTTCACCCTTTCAAAAATATAATCCTCCTCCTCTCAAATAAACGTACATACGGGTGGCCTCTTTTTTCAAAAAATTAAAATTTGAAATTTTGGGCTCAAATATTAGAGATTTTTTCAACCTTCAACGATATATGTTGTCTATATCAGACCTCCTTTCTTTTTGATACTTAACATTGTTCCTAAATCTTAGCCGTTAAGGCTGTTCTGAAAATATTTTTTTTTCGAAAAAATTCGAAAAAAATTCTTAAAATTCAAAAATCCCTTAATTCCTGAGGATTTTGGGAAAAAGTTTTTACATGAACATGTGTATATTATATGAAGTATATTGATAAGGTAAAAATCAAATTTTATTGCATATTCATCGAGAAAATAAACTAACGAATCCCTCAAAATTGAGAGGGTAATCCTCCTCCTCTCAAATAAACGTACATACGGGTGCGCCCTTAAAGTAATTTTTTTGATGAATTTATTTCTTTTCTTGAGTAACTGAACATATTGATAAAGCTTATATTCGGGTTTTGAAGAGTTCTTCTAACCTTTGATGATTTGAATAATATTCCTATATCATCAAGAAATATTCTTTAATCTTCCACCAGGATGTATTGAATTCGAAATAGAATGATAAATATCACGATTATCCAGATGCTCTGTCTAGGATATTGTGATGAGCTCTGTTTATGGTATTATTAAAAAAAAATTGTTCAAAATCAAATTAACTTATTTCTAAAGGGTAAGACTTGAAATCATGGTTAGAGATCTTAATTTGGATATTTTTGACACAAACAAATTTACAAATGTCAGAAAATTTCGAAAAAAAAAATCTAATTGAGATGATTAACTATGGCGGAGATGAGGAGCCTCAAGAGCGTCCGCAAAATAATATGCGTCAGCCCGATCAGAATTATGATGGTCGACGCTTTAGAAAGGCTATTAGCCGTCGTTGGTGTGATCATCGCCAAGCATTTGAATTATATACCCAAGCAAGGCCATACAATGAGTACGATGTCTTCCCACAAAACGTAAGCATCGGTTACAGAAACCTTTTACCCCCATTTTGCTATGATACATCTGGTATTAGCATTTGTGCTAAATTCATTGCCCACAAGAACAACAAATTCCGCGCTTCAACAAAAGCACTTGCATGGCAGCCGGACAGTTTGAGGGTTGTTGTTGGTGATCAACAAGGAAACATCACCATGTTCAATGGTTTAGCCTTCTTCTACGAGTTCCACATTCCAGCTTCCAACACAGGCATCCATGATTTGATCTGGACACATTCCGGCGATTATTTACTTACTGTTGATGCCATGAAACAACAACAGCAATCTCCAACCATTAAAATCTGGCAAGCTAACTACAACAACGTTGAGAAGCGTTCCATCAACTGCACGAAAGATATCCACCAGATTACAATCTCTCCTACCGACCGCAAATTTGCATTGTGTTCTTCAGACTACACAGTTAAAGTCTGGGACCTTGCAACGCTTACAGAAGAGATGGTCTTCACAGGCCACGGTGAAGCTGTCCGTACAGTTGACTGGCATCCCAGCCAGAGCTTAATTTGTTCTGGTGGCAAAGACAACTGCCTCAAATTCTTCGATCCACGCGAAGACAAGCCAATTAACACACTTACAGTCCACCGTAACGTTGTTACACGCGTACATTGGAATCCGAACGGAAATCTCCTTGCATCTTGCGGTCGTGACTCAATGGTTTATATTACAGATGTCCGCACCATGTCCCCTATTGCGGAATGCAAAGGACACGAAAACGACGTTTTCGCTGTTCGTTGGCATCCAATCAGAGAAGATCTTCTTGTTTCAGCCGGTTACAAAGGTGACATTTTATGGTGGACGACTGGATCCAATGAACCTATTTATTCCAGGATGAAAGGACACAACAAAGCCGTTTTCCAGCTGAAATTCAATCCGATGGGAACAATTTTGGCATCAACAGGAACAGAAGGCGTCGTAAAGTTCTGGGTAAGAAACATGTGTGGTACTGATTTACTCGGTTCGTATTCTGAAGCAAATAAAAAGAGAGATGTCGAGAAAAAGAGAGATGTTGAAAAAAGTGACATTCCTGGATTACAACGATACAATCCATTGCACGGATTACCTGATGACGTTGAAGAAGACGAGGAATCTGTTGTTCCAACGACATCAAGGAACTACGTGACACCAAGTCAGTTCCACCAAGTACAGAGTCAGCCGAATTACGATGATGACGAAGATGAAGATGACTACGCCCAAGGTGGTGTCGCTGATGATGACAACAATGACGATGACTGATTTTTATAATTTTCTTTATAGATTTTTTTGTTATTTTTCTTTTTTATATCATTTTATTAAAAAAAATATTAGATTTATTTTTTGAATTTATAATTTTTTTTAATATAATGATGAATAAAAACATCAAACTTGAAGAATCTATTTCAAGCTCAACAACCATGTAATGCAAATTGGCTGTGATTCCTACAGAAAATATAATTATTTGATACTCATTTTTAAATAAAAAGATAATCTTTTATTATTAATTATTACAAATCTTTATTCGGTTTTCATACTTATTTTAATTATAAACATATAATGTAACTTGCTCAATGCTCGTTTTTATGATTTAACTTCCTTCTTTATGAAAATGCATTTAATTGTGTTGTAAGGAGTTAATTTTCAGTTGCCAGAAATTTGAATATAAGTCAGATGGGCGTAAGTGTAGCTTAAGAAAAGATATTACAAACAATTTTTATTACATAAATAGAGATATGAAAGGATAGAGATATGAAAGGATATAGATATGAGGATGAAATTTCGGGATATTGGATATGTTTGCATGAAATCATTAAACCACAATCATCTTGGAATGCAATAGAAGGGATCTTACCTTGCTCAATGATGATCTTCTGAGCATTCGATGGAGTTGAGAAAGAACCGCATTTGCGAAGAAGAGTACAGCCATCAAAAGCTTGGTCGCCGATGGTTTTGATGCTGGATGATGAGAAGAAGACGAGATTGAGATTTTTGCAGTCTTTGAATGCTTGGTAGTCTATAGTCTGGATATTGTTGCCGTTGAAGAAAACTCTGATAAGCGATGGACTGCCCATGAAAGCACATTGACCAATAGTTCTCATCGTCATAGGAACAATGAAGTTCTTGACTCCACTGTAAGGGAGGAAGACAATGAGATTGGTTTGATCGTAGTTGGTGAGTGCGCCGTTCTCAAAACGATATCTTTGATCTGATGGAGGCAATATGATTTCTGTGAGACTGAAGCATTCGTAGAAGCAACCACCATCAACTCGAGATAGAGTGCATTCACCACTCATGTAGACAGTGGAAAGAGAAGTGCAAGTTTGGAATGCAAAACCTTTGATGCTTGTGAGTGTCTTAGGAATTGTGAATCCTTTGAGAGATGTGCAACCATCAAATGAATATGGACCGATCACTGAAACACCGATCTTCAGATTGAGAGTTTCAAGAAATACACAGTACTGACAGAGCTGATGTGGAATAGAAGTGCCAATTGTGAGTTCACTGATTGATGAGCCCATGAAGCACTTGATGTCAACTACACAGCCGCTGTTTGCAAGATTCGCTGAACTCAATCCACTGTTGTAGAATGCATACTCACCAATACTCTCGATGGATGATGGAAGTGCGATGTGTTCAAGATTAATATTATCCTTAAAACAGTAGTTTGGAATGTTTTTTATTTTGTTTCCTTTAAATGTAACATTCTTAAGAGATACACAACTATCGAATGCATTTATTCCAATAGAGATTAATCCAGGTGGAAAGATAATAGATCTAATAGTAGAAGATTGAAAGGCTTGATTTCCAATAGTTAAGTTGATTTCAGGATCTTCACTCTGGAATGTAACATCTCGAAGCTTTTTGTTATAGAATGTGAGATCACCAATGCTTTTACAATCGCTTATAATCGAAAGATCATTATTAGTATTTGAGTCTGTGTATAGAATCAATATTTCTTTATTGTTTTTGTATGTAAGGAAGTTTTCTGAATAAAAAGCTGGACTCAAAGAGGTGATGTTAATTTCACCAGTATCAGTGAAAGCTCCATCACCAAGTTCTGTCAATGTTTTAGGAAGTGTTATTGACTTAAGTAAACTGCATCCTGAGAAAGCTCCAGCACCTATTGATGCCAAATTTGAAGGAATGTTGATGCTTGCAAGCCTTTCGCAAGAAGAAAACATTCTATCAGGTATTTTTTTGATATTTTCATTCAATGTTACTGAAGCTAATTTTTTACAACCTCCAAATACCCAAGTTCCAATCGATTTAATTTGATCTGTAAATGTAAATTCTGTTATTTGAGTATTATCAAAGCACCAATTATCAAGAGTTGTCACATTTGATGTTAGAATTATTTTACTTATGTTACCATTTCTGAAAGCAGAATCGCCAATTGTTTTAATGAAGGTGGGAATTTGATACGTTCCAGTTAGCGCTGAACTTACATAAAATAAATTTGAGAAACCTGATCCAGAAAAAATAGAAGTTCCATCAGTTTTGTAATATGGATTTCTCTCATCAATAGTAATACTAATTATGGGACAACCTTCAAGGCATGATCCATCGTGCATTTTTAATTTCGAAGGAATCGTAAAATATTTCAATTTAGAATACGCAAATGTATCCACCCCAATGTATGTCAAATTAGAGTTTTTGCCAATTGAAATCTCTGAAATCCCTGAATAATGGAATTCGTTGTAATCTTTTCCATCCCAGCCAGGGATAGTTTCAAGAGAATCTGGAAAATCAATTCTTTTGAGTGATAAAGTTCGATGGAAGCAGCCTGTTCCAAGAGATGTAATACAAGGTGGCATTATTATCGATGTTAATTTTGTACAGTTATAAAATGCTCTATTGCTTATTTTCAATAATTTTGTACACTCGCCCATATCTACGGTAACTAATGATGATTCTTGAAAACATCCATAACAAAGTGATGTCAAAAGACTCCCTTTGCCAAATATAATAGATGTTATAGTATTTCTGCATAAGTAGAATGGACTTAATTCAACTCTTGCACCGCCTTGGATCGTAGTACACTCAGAGAGAATTGTATATTCTCCACTGAGTTCTTTTGGAGCAGATTTAAGAACTGTTTTATCATCTGAGTAAGCAACACCTCTTTTATCATTATATGCAAGTAAAAATAAGAGAAGATTACTCAGAAATTAAGATGTTCAACCACATAAAAATAACCTTAAAATATGATCCGAACAAAACATAAGATTTTTCTTAAATTATTGCATATTTTATTTATATTTTAGAATATTTATATGAGAAAATACCTGCACAATATGATTTCAAACTAAAAAAAGAATTCTCACCCGACAAGTAATAGAAATTTTTGTAGCATACGATTATTTTCCATTGAAAATTTGTCACTAAAAAATAAAAAAATAACATTTATTCTTAATTTCATGTATGAACGAGGTAAGAAATGTCTTTGAAATTGACATCCTATTCGTGGCTAAAGTTTTATGAACTTTGAAGCCTAAATTGATATGGAAATTTTTGGAAGATCAATGAATATGTGAATAAAAGGTGCATAACATTGGACATTAAGATGGCATGATATGAGAATGGAAATTGAATATATAGGGTGTCCAAAGGTGTGTTTAGCACAAACCTGAATACTGCGAATAGAAATAAACAAGTTACATATATATAAAGTTTATTTAAATATAATCACCATTGGATTCAATCACGCGTTCGCAGCGATCGATCCAGGCTTGAAAGACACGCTTTAAATCATCATGAGAAAATTGCTCAAATTGCTCTCTTACAAAATTTTCAAGATCATCTGGACTCGCGAATTCGCGTCCTTCAGCTCTCTTTTTTAGCGTGCCGAATAAATAAAAGTCAGAGGGTGCAATATCAGGTGAATAAATTGGGTTTGGAACAACTTTGACATTGTTTTCCACCAAGTAATTCATTACCTTATGACTTTTGTGAACTCTTGAATTATCAAAATGAATTGCAAACTTTTGTTTTTGTTGTTTGGATTTCTCAAACTCATCAGAATTGATAATTTGAGTAAGAACATTGTCAATTAGATACTGAGCATTCATCGTATTAGGTTTTTGAAGAATATCAATTGCGATGATGCCATTCACGCCCCAAAAAACCGACAACATCATCATTGGTGTGTCAATTTTTTTCTTCGGGAATGTTTGCGGATTTTCATCCTTCGGGATCCACATGATTTTGGCTTCTGTTGCATATTGAAACCAAGACTCGTCCCCTGTTGCTAAAAAGCGAAACTTCTTGGATTGATACGCACCCAATATAGAGAGGAGCTCTTTCGAAGATTGGACTCTAGATTTTTTTTGAACTGAATTAAGGTTGTGCGGAACCCAACGTGTATACGCTAGTTTGTAGTTCAAATAATTGTGCAGATAATAACTGACTGTTGTACGTGGTATCTTTGTCATCTCCTCTATCCTTCTGAGTGATGCTCTTGGGTCTTCATCTAGCGCTTGAAGAATTGCTTTGATTTTTCTTTGATCCGGCGATTTTTTGTCAATTTTTATGATGGGCGCCTTTTTGTTCATGAAGTGATACATCCTAACATGATACGTTACAGTGGAATAGCTAGGAGCATCCATACCGACGCATTTTACCAATGTCTCGTAGATTTTTTTACAGTCTTTGCATTTTTTTGCAAGAGCGAGGATGTTTTCTTTATGATTCATTAAAAAAATGAAAAAAATCCCGCCAAAATTTCCTGCGAAACCGCCGCTTGTCTCAAAATTCATTTTATATCCCGGCATGGCGCCAAAATACAACATACTCATCATATACATATATTCATATTTTTTATTATATATTTATAATCAGCATATATCTCCTTTAATAGTCTCATATAGAGCGCTGTGCTAAACGCACCTTTGGACACCCTATATTATTTATGAAGCAGTTGCCATTCATACATTGTGAATAAACTTTACTGTTATTATTAATACAATATTCAAATCTCGTTGAACTTTGAATATTATGGAAATATCATAATATAGAATAAATAGGAATTAAATATGACTTATTCATGTGTTTATTGAATATATTATTTATGAAGCTGTTGCCATAGTTACATTGAGGAAAAAGGAAGACATTGTAAAGATATTATTTATGAAATTTTATTCAATAGAACAACATTTGATGGATCCATCAAATTGATCTCATGGATTGGTTTCATTTACTATTGGTGTTGATGAGAATAGTGGATTATCATTTGTTGCAAATTCTTCAATGGTGAAATTGTTGTTGCGAGAGATACTAGTTTCAAACTCTTGAATATCGGAATCTTCACTTCCAGAATAATTGTTTTGAGTTGTTCAAGAATTGAAGAAACAACTAATAGAGCAACAAGAATAAGAGCTACTATAACAATAATAATTTTACCACCTTTATTTGATTTGTTTGAACTAATACTATCGTTATTTTCAATAATGTTTCAGTACTTTGTTAGAAAATTGAATTATAGTCGGATGAGCGTAAATGTACCATTAAGGGAAAAAATGATCTTATTTTATTTATATTGAAAAGATATTACAAACAATTTTTATTACATAAATAGAGATATGAAAGGATATAGATATGAGGATGAAATTTCGGGATATTGGATATGTTTGCATGAAATCATTAAACCACAATCATCTTGGAATGCAATAGAAGGGATCTTACCTTGCTCAATGATGATCTTCTGAGCATTCGATGGAGTTGAGAAAGAACCGCATTTGCGAAGAAGAGTACAGCCATCAAAAGCTTGGTCGCCGATGGTTTTGATGCTGGATGATGAGAAGAAGACGAGATTGAGATTTTTGCAGTCTTTGAATGCTTGGTAGTCTATAGTCTGGATATTGTTGCCGTTGAAGAAAACTCTGATAAGCGATGGACTGCCCATGAAAGCACATTGACCAATAGTTCTCATCGTCATAGGAACAATGAAGTTCTTGACTCCACTGTAAGGGAGGAAGACAATGAGATTGGTTTGATCGTAGTTGGTGAGTGCGCCGTTCTCAAAACGATATCTTTGATCTGATGGAGGCAATATGATTTCTGTGAGACTGAAGCATTCGTAGAAGCAACCACCATCAACTCGAGATAGAGTGCATTCACCACTCATGTAGACAGTGGAAAGAGAAGTGCAAGTTTGGAATGCAAAACCTTTGATGCTTGTGAGTGTCTTAGGAATTGTGAATCCTTTGAGAGATGTGCAACCATCAAATGCATATGGTCCGATCACTGAAACACCGATCTTCAGATTGAGAGTTTTAAGAGATACACAGTACTGACAGAGCTGTTGTGGAATAGAAGTGCCAATTGTGAGTTCACTGATTGATGAACCCATGAAGCACTTGATGTCAACTACACAGCCACTGTTTGCAAGATTCGCTGAACTCAATCCACTGTTGTAGAATGCATACTCACCAATACTCTCGATGGATGATGGAAGTGTGATGTGTTCAAGATTTTTGTTGTTATTAAAGCAGTAGTTTGGAATGGATTTTATTTTGTTTCCTTTGAATGTAGCATTCTTCAGAGACCCACAACCATCGAATGCATTTATTCCAATAGAGATTAATCCAGGTGGGAAAATAATTGATCTAATTGTAGAAGATTTAAAGGCTTGATTTCCAATAGTTAAGTTGATTTCAGGATCTTCACTCTGGAATGTAACATCTCGAAGCTTTTTGTTATAGAATGTGAGAGAACTAATGCTTTTGCAATCACTTATAATCGAAAGATCATTATTAGTATTTGAGCCTGTGTATAAAATCAGTGTTTCTTTATTGTTTTTGTATGTGAGGAAGTTTTCTGAATAAAAATATGGACTCAAAGAAGTAATATTAATTTCACCAGTATTACTGAATGCTCCATCACCAAGTTCTGTCAATGTTTTCGGAAGTGTTATTGATTTAAGTGAACTGCATCCATAGAAAGCTCCAGCATCTATTGATATCAAATTTGAAGGAATGTTGATGCTTGCAAGCCTTTCGCAAGAAGAAAACATTCTATCAGGTATTTTTTTGATATTTTCATTCAATGTTACTGAAGCTAATTTTTGACAACCTCCAAATACCCAAGTACCAATCGATTTAATTTGATCTGTAAATGTAAATTCTGTTATTTGAGTATTAGCAAAACACCAACTATCAAGAGTTGTCACATTTGATGTTAGAATTATTTTACCTATGTTACCATTTCTGAAAGCAGAAGCACCAATTGTTTTAATGAAGGTGGGAATTTGATATGTTCCAGTTAGCGCTGAACTTACATAAAATAAATTTGAGAAACCTGATCCAGAAAAAATAGAAGTTCCATCAGTTTTGTAATATGGATTTCTCTCATCAATGGTAATACTAATTATGGGACAACCTTCGAGGCATGATCCATCGTGCATTTTTAATTTCGAAGAGATCGTAAAATATTTCAATTTAGAATATGTAAATGCATCTTCCCCAATATATGTCAAATTAGAGTTTTCACCAATTGAAATTTCTGTAATTCCTGATAAGTGGAATTCGTTGTAATCTTTTCCATCCCAACCAGGGATAGTTTCAAGAGAATCTGGAAAATCAATTCTTTTGAGTGATAAAGTTCGATGGAAGCAGCCTGTTCCAAGAGTTGTGATACAAGGTGGCATTATTATCGATGTTAATTTTGTACAGTTATAAAATGCTCTATTGCTTATTTTTAATAATTTTGTACACTCGCCCATATCTACAGTAACTAATGATGATTCTTGAAAGCATCCATAACAAAGTGATGTCAAAAGACTCCCTTTGCCAAATATAATAGATGTTATAGTATTTCTGCATAAGTAGAATGGACTTAATTCAACTCTTGCACCGCCTTGGATCGTAGTACACTCAGAGAGAATTGTATATTCTCCACTGAGTTCTTTTGGAGCAGATTTAAGAACTGTTTTATCATCTGAGTAAGCAACACCTCTTTTATCATTATATGCAAGTAAAAATAAGAGGAGATTACTCAGAAATTAAGATTTTCTACATCATTGAAAAAAATTAACATTAAACCATGATCCGAATAAATGCACGATATTACACATTTTCGTATCAATCAAAATGAAAATTGGAATTTGAGACAAATAAACAGTAAAAGCAGTTTTTGTACTTACTATAGAAGAAAAAGTAAGACATTCCTAAGAAAACCTTAAATTAACATATTTTATCTGAGATTTTATTCATTAAAAGTCTTTTATAACAGCTTGTGATGTTTTAAGAGCAAAAATTGAAATTTTCTTCTGCAGAGATGAATCATTATATATTGAACTCGTAGATTTACCACATTCTTTTATTTTTTTTATGGTTCTTGTTCTTCAAATTCATCTGAGAATGGATCTGTTTCATTTCCTAATGGCGTTGATGAAAATAATGGATTATCATTTGTTGCAATTTCTTCAATAGTGAAATTGTTGTTGCGAGAGATATTTGTTTCAAACTCTTGAATATCCGAGCCTTCACTTCCAGAATTATTATTTTGTGTTGTTTGTTTTCTCTTAATGAGAAGAACTGAAGCAACAACTAATAGAGCAACAAGAATAAGAGCTGCAATAACAACGCCTGCAATCAATCCTGCATTCTTTTTACCACTCTTGCTTGATGTATTTGAATTAGCATTATTGTTGTTTTCAGTTGTATTTGTATTTTCTACTGTTTCATCTATCTTTTCAACAGTGAACTTAAGTGATGCTGTGGCAGATTCTGTGCCATCATTATCACTAGCAATAATTTCAATTGTGTGTTCTCCAACTTCTAAGTTAATTACAATACTGAATGTAAATTCTTGGACTGAACTATCTGATTGTAATTTATATGCATTTGTTTCTTCTCCTTTATCGAATCTATATAGTATTCTGATTTTGTTTCCAAGATCTTTATCTTGTACTGTTCCTTTGACAACTAATTTCTGGTCAACTTTAACAACATCTTTTTCTAAACTTACTGACAAAATCTTTGGTGGATTTTCGATTTCAAAATTAATAGTTGTGAATCCTGTTGTTTGTCCATTTCCATCTATTGCTTGTACATATAAAACATGTTTACCATATTTATATGCACTAGGAATTTCAAGATTTACACTGAAAATTCCTGAGTATTCTTGGATTGTTACTGGTGTTTCTTGTTCAAGAATTATACTATCAATTTGATAGTTCAAAACAACATTTGTATGTGCATTTACTGAACCACTCAATGTGATTTTATCTCCATCGTCATATACTGTTTTAGATAATGGTTTGATTTCTAAGGATGGTTTGAATGAAATCAATAAGTTTCCATTGATCTTCTTTGAATCAAATACTGCATTTGATGATTGTGGATTACTATTTGATGACATCCAAAATGTAACAGATTTAATTCCAATTATTTCATCCTTTGGAATTGTAATTCCGAATTGGAATTTCTGGTTATATTCACCAGATGATTGGATCTTATGAGATGCAGATTTAACTTCTCTATCACCAAGTTTTAAGAAGACGTAAAGATATTTGTTCTTCTCGAAATCATCGAAACTACCTTCAATTTCAATCAACTCATTTGGTAATGCAAAATTCCTTGTAAAACTGCAATTATGCAAAACAGAAGGACTTGTTACATAAATATCTGTTTCTTGATAAGTAGATTCAAACTTATATTTGTTGATTATATAAACAGAAACATGTTTCTGTCCATAACCAATATCATCTGTTATTTGAACTGATTTTCTTCCGGATTTCGTGTTGATTTCTTCTGAAAGAATTTCTTTTTGTCCAATAATTATTTTCATCGTGACTTTTTCTTCTTCATAATGAGTATATCTGATATCTAATGAAGAATTCATTGCAATGTAATAATCACTTGGTGTAAATGTTACATCTAATGAAGGAGTATACTTCAAAACAATCTTAGTTTCATAAACTTCTGAGTTATCAATATCACTTTCATGTGTTGGATCAAAACTATCTGAAACCCAAACTTTGAAGTTTTGTTCGCCACTCAAATAAGTATCGAAATATTGATTGATTTCAAACAATTGATTGTCTCCACCTGTTGAACTTTGTCCGTAACTTAAAAGATATGGATAATCATTTCCGATTTGTCCATGAATATATAATTCTTTGTTTTTGTCTGTATCATTAACATAAACATTGAATGTTAAATCACCATATGTATCATAATATTCTTTAATATTATCAACTCTTGCAATCACTGGCTTGTTCTTATAAACAAATTGAAGTTTTTCTGTATTTGTTGATTCAACTCCTTTGGAATCAACAGCTTTAACTTTCAAGATTCTTGTTCCAAATTTGATGTCATTAGGAAGAACTAGATTGTATTCATAATCAATCAATTCTTTTCCTTTAGTTAATATCTTGTAAGGCTTTTGTGGAACGTCATCAATTAACATAACAACATTTACTAATTGGTTACCAGATATTTGTCCTTTCAAGAGTATTTTCTGTCCTTTAGAGTATAATTGGTTGATCTTGTTTACAGTAATTGTTGGTCTATAAGTTACTTCAAGTGGATATGATCTTGATTCAGAATATGAATTTCTATTTGTTTCTAATGTTTGTGATTCAAGATTGGAGAGTTTCAAGTCAATTGTCTGTAATTTACTTTCTGTATCTAAAGGAATAAAAATTCTTAATTGAATGTGTTGATTTGCTTCTCCATTTGAGACTTTTGATTGTTCTACTTTTTTAGTTACATCATTCAAAGTGTAATAGAAATAAATTGGTTTGTTTTGATCATAATCTGTGAAATTAACATCTGCATAAATATAATCACCTTGTAAAGCATAATCAGGTGTGAAATTGGAGAAAGTAATAACTGGTTTATTGATAATTGTTATTTCTCTTTGTTCAGAAACTGACATTCCATATTCATCAGTTACAGTAATTTTAACATAATTTGTTAATCCATATTTGATTTCTCTATCAATATCAAAAGAGAAACCAACCTGTTTTTCTTTATTGTAACTATTATATTCACTATCAAAAACGGTTTTAGTTACTTGACTGTTTTTAAGCTCAACAACTACTCTTCCTTTAGAGTCATCATTAACAACAACATTTCCTTTGTATTTGTCATTGTATCCGAAGAAACTGTCATCATCGAAATTGAAATCTACTTCAGGTTTCCTTGTGACTGTAACAGCAATGGTCTCTTCATTTGATTTGGATAATTTAACAGGTGGATTTACATAATCAGGGGTATATTGTACCCAGCATAAAACATCAGATTGTCCTGAAGGGGAACTCAAATCAACTGAAACTTTGAGATTATAAACTAACATGTAATAAGGTGAATAAACGTAATCTGCCCTGAGGATTTTGTCATTGTATTTAGCAAACAAATAAATGTATGTTTCACGTGGTTCATCGAAGAAAAACTCTTCGGAAGATTCTGATCTTTCAATTTTGAAATCATAGTTAATTGTGAATGATGATCCTGGTTCAACAACTTTCCTATTAAGTGAAACTCTATTTAATATTGGTGCTTTCCTGCATGAAATATAGGGTGTCCAAAGGTGCGTTTAGCACAGCGCTCTATATGAGACTATTAAAGGAGATATATGCTGATTATAAATATATAATAAAAAATATGAATATATGTATATGATGAGTATGTTGTATTTTGGCGCCATGCCGGGATATAAAATGAATTTTGAGACAAGCGGCGGTTTCGCAGGAAATTTTGGCGGGATTTTTTTCATTTTTTTAATGAATCATAAAGAAAACATCCTCACTCTTGCAAAAAAATGCAAAGACTGTAAAAAAATCTACGAGACATTGGTAAAATGCGTCGGTATGGATGCTCCTAGCTATTCCACTGTAACGTATCATGTTAGGATGTATCACTTCATGAACAAAAAGGCGCCCATCATAAAAATTGACAAAAAATCGCCGGATCAAAGAAAAATCAAAGCAATTCTTCAAGCGCTAGATGAAGACCCAAGAGCATCACTCAGAAGGATAGAGGAGATGACAAAGATACCACGTACAACAGTCAGTTATTATCTGCACAATTATTTGAACTACAAACTAGCGTATACACGTTGGGTTCCGCACAACCTTAATTCAGTTCAAAAAAAATCTAGAGTCCAATCTTCGAAAGAGCTCCTCTCTATATTGGGTGCGTATCAATCCAAGAAGTTTCGCTTTTTAGTAACAGGGGACGAGTCTTGGTTTCAATATGCAACAGAAGCCAAAATCATGTGGATCCCGAAGGATGAAAATCCGCAAACATTCCCGAAGAAAAAAATTGACACACCAATGATGATGTTGTCGGTTTTTTGGGGCGTGAATGGCATCATCGCAATTGATATTCTTCAAAAACCTAATACGATGAATGCTCAGTATCTAATTGACAATGTTCTTACTCAAATTATCAATTCTGATGAGTTTGAGAAATCCAAACAACAAAAACAAAAGTTTGCAATTCATTTTGATAATTCAAGAGTTCACAAAAGTCATAAGGTAATGAATTACTTGGTGGAAAACAATGTCAAAGTTGTTCCAAACCCAATTTATTCACCTGATATTGCACCCTCTGACTTTTATTTATTCGGCACGCTAAAAAAGAGAGCTGAAGGACGCGAATTCGCGAGTCCAGATGATCTTGAAAATTTTGTAAGAGAGCAATTTGAGCAATTTTCTCATGATGATTTAAAGCGTGTCTTTCAAGCCTGGATCGATCGCTGCGAACGCGTGATTGAATCCAATGGTGATTATATTTAAATAAACTTTATATATATGTAACTTGTTTATTTCTATTCGCAGTATTCAGGTTTGTGCTAAACACACCTTTGGACACCCTATATCTTTAGTAAATCTCATTGAATTCGATAATTTAGGACCTTCAGCTTGTACAGCGATTTGGTAATCCTTTATTTCATTTATACATTTATAATGATGTGTGTAAACATCTGATTTTGTGTAAGTTATTGTTGCAATTTCTGTTGCTTCAATATTTCCCCACATTCCTGAAACAACTTCGTAAATCTTTATTTGACCTTGTAAATCAGCAGTTACATTTATGATAATATCGAATTCTTCACCTGGTGAATAGAATTGATCGGCAGGGAATTCAACAAATATATCAGGATTATTTACCATATCAATATACAATCGATAAGGATCTGATGTTGCATGCGAATCTAAATTGTAAATTGTCTTTTCATTATCACTTGCAATGATATCAATAGAAGTGTTTCCTGACTTCAAATAAACCATGTCTTCTAAATACATTCTGAAGTATTGAGATGAGCCGCCTTGTGATGTTAGATTTCCGATAACTTTTGGTTGTTGATTTCCGATTTTTTGATAAATGTAAATTGTCTTGTTGAAATCGTAATCAATCAAATAACCATAGACGTATATCTTATCATCATTGTCAGCTCTTGATTTGGATAACTTCAGATTAGAAAGTTTTGGTTTGTTCTTGAATAACAACTCGCATCTAATTTCATCATTAGATTTATAGCCAAATTCATCGATTGGATAATAAGAAATATTGAATTTTCCACGAGTTAAATTATTTGGTAAATTAACTGGAGCACTGAAATTCGAAATTCCATTTGTTGTATTATATAAATAATCTTGTCCTAGATCATCATCATTCAAGAAGAATTTGATTCTTCCGTTTGTATCATCAATAATCTTCATTTCTAAGTTAACGGTTTCATTGATTCCAAATGATTTCATCAATGGACAATCAGAAGAAATCTCAGGAATTCTTGTAATATTGATTTTTTCTGTATATCCTTCCGATATAGCATTCTTAGAATCTCTATTTGTTTCATCATAAAGATAGAAGATTAATGAAAGATCTTTTCCTGAAGTTTGAGTTATTTCAACATTCTGTTCTAATGTGAAATCTCCTATTTTAACAAAAGAATCAATAAGTTTTGTGAATTCTCCATTTTCACCAACTTTCCAATAGAAAGCTAAACCTCTATTTTCATCAGCATTATAACATTGTGCTGCTACTTTTGCAGTTAGTGGTGAACCACTGTAAATGAACTTTTTAGGTTCAATAATCAGATTTTTAATCAAAGGTTTATTGATTATATAAAACTCTTTTTGTGCTGGTTGTGATTCTTGATTGAAATCATCAATTAATTTAATCATCATCTGATGACTTCCAAATTTAAATGTATCTGGAATTGGTAACAAAATTTCTTGATTAATCGTTTTATTCGTGTATCTCTTTAATACATCATTATCATTTAGATATTGTTCTATATTATCAATGTAATAATGTATTGCTCCTGAGTTTTCATCAATTGCTGTTAATTCAATTCTGATATTCTCTTGAGATCCGAATTTCATTATTTCTGGCCAATTGATTTGTATTTGAGGAACTTTTGTGCTGATAATTGATTTAGTTATTGGATTTGATTCACTGTTTGTTGATATAGCCATAGATGAATCATATCTTGTTGACAAGAAGAATTTTATGTTATAATTTCCTGATTGAAGATTTATATTGCAATCAAATGATTGTCTATCACCACCATTTGATGTTGTTTCGTATAACTGTTCAGTAATTTCATCATTTATTTGTGCATAAAAGTATAATTTCTTTGTATTATCATGATCATCGAAATGAACAGTCATTTTTGTGTCAGTATTTGGTTCAATTCTGTCTGGAATTTCGATTGATTTGAGATTAGAAGGAGTTAAAACAGTGAATGGGAAATTAATAGAATTTGATTGCACTCCGAATTCATCTTGAGCATAAATAGTTAATAAATGATTTGTCTTTGAATAAACAATATTTCTTTGTTGAAAATTGATATTCAAATGATAAATGAAATTATTATTTGATGTTGAGTAACTTTCACTGAAAGTTTGGTTATCTATTGAGAAATAGATTGTTCCATTAGATTCATCATTGAGATTCAAGTCAAATATTATTGTTTCATTATACATGAACACCTTTCCTGGTGTTATTTGTGTATAAGTCAAATTTGGTTTATCAGTAATTCTCAATTGGAAAGTTTGAGTAAAGAAAGGAACATTATCATCATAAGTAGCATAAATATCAAAATTAAGCAGTCCCAATGTTGATGGTGCTTTGCATGTTACAGAAAAGTCGTCCATTTTTCCTGTTGGCGTATATTTTGTCGTATTCAAGTCAGCAACTGAATCTGACAATTTGACATGAAAAGTAATTGTTTGGTGTTCATCGGTTTCTTGGACTTGCCCTTTTGCTGTGATTATTTCACCTGGATAATAAACTGTTTTATCGAATGATGCCGATGCTATATATGTTTGATAATCCATCTTGAAATCTGTTGTTTTTTCATCGGATTTCAATCCATAATCATTCAAACAAATTATTTTTAATGTATATCTTCCTGATCTTAAGTTTTTAAGTGAATAGTGGAATGTTTTTGTCTCAGAAGTTTTTGTTGTATCTAACTCTACAGTTTCTTCTGTTTGTTTGATCTGATATGTGCCACTAAACAATGAAAATCTGACAGTTATTCTTGAATCACCGCCAATTGCCAAGGTTAATGGGATTGTTTCAGTATCTTTGTATGTTGTAGATATATCTGCACCTGACTCTAAACTCAATGTCGGTGGTGTTGATACAGTGAATGTAATTCTCTCAATATTTGAATCTTGGCCATTTGCATTAACTAATTTAATGTCATATTGGTATCTTCCTGTATTGGAAGTATCGAATTGCTTGTATCCCCATCTATCATTGGATTTTCCTGCTGAGAAATCCATGTTTTGATTAAGAATCCATTGATCAGATCCAACTAATTTTGACATTGGTTTGTATCTTATTCCTGGTGTCAGTCCTTTAAGATATGTCATGCATTCGGCAGCTGTTCCTGTTTTAACAGCGTATAAATTGGATTCTGGGATAATTTGGAATTCGGATTTCATAAGAAAAGTAATGTGAGTTCCAAGAATAACTTGTTGTTCTGGTTGTAATGTAATGTCCTTCCATGAATAAGAAGTTTGAGCTCCATCAGGGTTGGAAAAATCTGTCATATCACTGTCACTATTGAATTTCATGAAATATTTATCATCTCCTAGCTGAATATGTCCATACCAACTGTACGATGGTGGTGTATAGTCTCTTGTTACTGTATATCTCTCGTTCAATTGAGAATTATGATCAAATGAGAGTTTTCTCCAGGTTGGAGATTGTGATGTATAAAAGTAGAAACTTCTTCCGTTATTTATGAATTTCTTTGCGGAATTAACTGTATTAAGGAAATTTATATGTGTAAATGCACCAAGACTGAATGTTCTTGGTTCTGTTCCGGTATTACGAACAATAAAATTGACAAAAATGTCATTCTCTGTTAACTTATCGAGATCTGGAATAACAATTAAATCTTTATAGGTCCCTGTGTTCATTTTTGATGGATAAAAATTTTGTCCATCGACAATTAACTTTACTTCAGTACCATTATTATTCTTGGAGAAAGGAATTTCTTGCCCGTTATATGTATATTGAAGATCAAAAAAGCCAACAGGCCATTCATTCGAAGATTTGAATGATTCTTCAGGTCGAAACTGAATATGTGATTCTGAAAAGATTCGATGAATTAAGAATGAAAAAAAGAAAAGCATTTAGGATTAAAAATAAAAATGATCTCTCAAATATTGAGAGCTTTTGGCAGAACAAAACATGATTCTATCTTATATAATATATTATTTTAAAAATCCTTATGTTTTCATTTTTTGTGATCTTTTCAATAGTTTATGGGTTAATATCAGAAAGATGCGCTATTATCATATAAAAAAGAGAAATAAAATAAGAAGTTGATATCAAATTTTGATCTCTTTTGAAAGATTTCAATTGATTTGAAACAATTCAATTTTTGAGATAATTCAATTGATATTAAAGTTCGAGTTTTATGTTCCTATTAATTTTCTTTAACTCCAAAATAAAATAATCTTTACATTGAATGAGATAATTCTATTCAAATTATTGTGAAAACACTAATCTACCGTGGGTGATTCCATGGTTTACTTGTTACGTTTGAATATCGTAAAAACATGATTTTAGATATCTATGCCAGATTCAAAACTAGGATTATTGCAATTCTGGTAAGGTAAAATTAATATCATATAGTAATGCTACTTGATATTTCTTACCGAACTCGATTTGCTTTGTTTTTATTTTTAATAAAATCGAATTATAATTCTATTACAATTTTGGATAAGCCGAATATGCAACCATGCACTGTAAAGCCCAATTTACGTTTTTGGAGTATATTTACAACAAGGTGTGATATAAAATACACTTTTGGCAGTTTACAAAAAAACTGTGGCAAAAAAGGCACAAAAATTCAGGTCCATCGTTTATTTAGAAATGTTCAATGAATATGATATACAAATTAAGCTCTTAAGAGATTTTGTCAATAATCCAAACAGCTCCAAGAAGAAAGTAGGCAAATCCACGGCAAAACTTCTGGAATTGTATTGTGATGTAGCTGGAACTAGCCCATCAAAAAAAATAAAGCATATATTAGCTCATTACAGAGTTAGGAAAACCCGCGAAGGTGAAATCAAACGACGAGAAATATATCTCGGAGATTTTGATTACAAAACATCGCCTGGATACAAACTTATTGAAAGGTTATTCATTCCTGGTGTATTAGATAAGCGACCGAATGCAAATATGCTAAAATCTCTTATTTTACTCATATTAAATGAGGAACGAAAACATGGAAATGAAATAAAGCTGCAACGTGAAGCATTAAGATCAAAAGCAGGTCTATACAAATTTATTACCGATCACTACACTCTCGTCGAAGAATATTTAAATTGCGGAACCAAAATTACTGTAGATCAAAAGTTAGTCAATTGAATGTTTATCAGCTAGTAGATTATTTGTATTAATAGGTAGGTAATTCATAAAATTCAATACATTATGTAGAATATGTTATTGAATCAATGATCTCGCAATTTTCAACAATTATTTAAGTGAGTATCTTACTAGTTCAATGTGTGCAAACCTTAAATTGGATTTACACTTATACAAAGAAGAAATATACCTTATTTTTTGGATTTTTCTTCAGAATATAAGTTATATTCATCATACTTGTCTTTGAAAACTCATAAACCATTAGATTAGTCTTATTCTCCTTAATTTTGTTGAAAATTTTATAAAAATCAGATTTAATTTTAATCCTAGATTTTTAATGCCACCTTGTTGACTGATATCCATTTTGGGTTATTAATTCTAAAGGAACATGAAAATATATTTGATACCAATAAAAAACCCTCAAAATTTGTTAGTATACGCAAATAAATCAATCTACTGCTAAATTTCTGTTTAAGATATAGCTATTTGAAATGGCATTATTTACTAATATCTCTTGTTCAACAAATATCAAAATTATTAAGGTATTTTATATGCAAAATGTCAAAAATCATCATGAAAACATATAGAAAGAGAAGTATGGATATGTGTAAGAGGAAAAGGCTAAGATATTTAAATATCATAAGATTTTGAAGTTAAACATGTTAATTAAAGAGATTTTCATTTATAGAAGGAGTAGTCGGTATTGTTAAATGCTGTAACAATTTTTTTCGAATTTTGATTTCTCAGATTTTAGAAATTTTGTAGTAAAAACGAGAGGACAGTAAATTTATATGATATTTAAATTTTTATCTTAAGCGTGGTACCACCTCGATTTCCTGCGGCCACGAGCCATTTCGAACTTACGGCCGTGAGAAGCAACCTTTGGACGTGTCTTGGAGTTGTCATCACCTGGGGCAGCGCCGAAGTGCTTGTTAACAAGGCGGCGTGTGCGATCACCTTCAAGAAGGAGGCACTTGTCACCTGTTGGGCGGAGCTGAGCAAGCTGATCGAATGTGATGCATTCACCACCAGCAGCAAGGATGCGGGCGCGAGCTGTTTCTGTGAACTTAAGAGCGCAAACCTTCATCTTTGGAACTTCAAGGAGGCGTTCATCGTTGGTGATCTTAGCAACAAGAACGGCGATTGTCTCAGCTTCCTTGCCGTTAAGAGCTGTAGCAAGGCGGCTAAGAGAGTATGGGCGCCTGTTTGTGCGGGAAATGCAAAGACGGTGAGCAATCTTAGCATTGAAGTCGTTGCCTGTACGACGAGCGAGGAATGCATAAAGGTTGTGGAGCATCTTCATTTGGGCATCAGCTGTCTTTGGCTCTTGCCTCTGTTTACGGGGAACTCTGTGATCAAGGTCAACACCCATTTCAAAAGGGAGACCAAAACCGTTTCCTCAAAAAAATGTGACAGAGCCAGACTAAAAAAATACTCAATATTATAATATTTTAGACCTCCATTCAATGCCATACTTATGTCTAAAATCAAAACCCGAAAATTTATCAGAGCTTTCCAGAAAAATTTATTCGATCTTGACAAAATTTACTTGTCAAATTCTTGAAATTTCATCAAATAAAGATCCTGCTCAATTTACTTCATTAACAGAGATTTGGTATCAACTATGCATAAGCTAATTTGACAGTTTCCCTTTCTTTTCTATATCAAGCTCTTATTTTTTGTTTGATGATAAAGGTAGTAAAACTCTTAACCTAACACGTAAACTTTTTTTAAAACTTTTAGTATATGATCTTTCCCCACCCGGACTTAATTTAGCTAATTTCGCATTCCAGAGGAGGTTTACTAATATAAGTATACTCTATTGACAAAACCGAAACCAATCCTCTATTTCAAATTCGCATAAACTCTTCTACTCCGCTAATTATTTTTAAAATCGACATTTTTTTGAAATTTTTCGATAATCAATCTTAAAATTGAATGCGGTTTTCAAGATCTCAAAACACAGCAGACAGATTCAAAAAAAAATATCAGCCATTTGTTTTAGAATCCTCTAATGACCCTATAGCCAAAATTAGAAGCAAATCGGAATTGGGAACCCTAGTTTTACTACCTTTTTGATGATCTATTATAGATCATTTTTAGGGCAATTGCACTGAGTCCTGTATTTAGCTAATATGTTCTGCCAACAAGATCCTTGTAATATTTATTAAAGTATTTGAGAATTTATTCCAAATCAAATTTTTATGTTTTATTCAAACACTTCTCATTATCACTAGCTTACTACACATAATAAAGTTTATCCACCAGCATATCTGGCCCACCACCATTGTATCCACCATGTGGTCCGCCATGATTTGGCATGCTGCCGATATAAATAAATAATTCAATTTCTCTTTTTAAATTCAATTGACCTCTTGAGTATCCACCTCCAGTTATCCATGAAAAACTAGCAGCTGCTCCGAAGTGTCCTTGATTTCCAACACCATCAGAACCTGAAGCTCCCCAAACTTCCAGTAAGTATTTTCCTGGTTTTAGAGTTACAGAATATGGCTTGCATTCGATTATGTTGGCACATGGATATGGAAAATAGTATTTATTGCCAGATAGATTGGAATTAAAGTATGATATTTCTTTAAGGCTTCATTAAATAATGAGCAAAAATGACAGCATGATTAATCCTCCTTTTCTTCGAATAACTTATTATTTAAAACACCAATTTATTTAAAAACAAAAAATATTTATTCTAATCAACAAATATAGTAAAAATTTCATGGTATAAAGCAATTACTGCAACATAAATGATAGATTAATTCAAAATATATGGAATTCTCCAAAATCATTAAATATGCTCTCATCAAATTGCTGAAATATATCAGCTAGGCTCTCGTATGCCTTCTGACAGTTATTGTTGACAACACTTTGAATAACTTCACACTCTTCCGGTTGAGCATTTTCCTCTGTCCATTTTTCTTTCTTTGATCTCCTTTCTTGCCTTGGATTCTTATGTTGAATACCATGGAATTTTGTTAAAGCGTTATGCCATCTATTTTTGATATTATTTCCAGACCTTCCAGGTAGGAAATGAGAAATCTTGACCCAATGTGGACCATAAAGTTTATATTTCTCAACAATTATCATATCTTCTTCATCGGTCCATGGTTTTTTAACCACATCTTTGAATAAATATTGATTGTATCTATCTCGGCATTGTCTTGCAGTTCTTCCAGGTAAATACTCTGCAATATCCTTCCATGTTTTATTTCTCTTATCTTTTGCTAATTCCTTTAATAAATTATCTTCTTCTTTTGTGAATCTCTTTCCATATTTTCCACGAATGGAATATGAAGATGAGGAATAGCCAGATTCATCATCAGTAGATCCATATGAGTAATAATCACTACTATCGGACATCAAGATCAATAATGAATTATTTCTTATTCAAATTTTCAAAACTTGCGTAAAGTTATCAAAAAATCGAAATTGAGTACTCCGATAATTTGTTTCTAAGGTTTTATGGGAACTGGCCCGTATCCACTACGATAGATTCTTATTAAATAACTAATACGATTTTCTTATCTATAGCTCGAACGCAATTTTGTGAGTATTCACTAAATTGAATAAGTTTTAACCTCGATAATTTTATGTATAGTTTTGATAATCGCAAAGAAATATTGTTTGCAATTAGATATTTATCTGGGGATCATGTCAAAAGCACGTTTTTGACATTTGAAAAAATTCAAAATCAATGTACGTTATTTTGATTTTTTGTGAAGGATTTCTACAAAACTGTTCTAATCGAATGGTATAACTAATATTGTTTTATTTATGATAAATCACTAAATTCATTTTTTATTATCTCAAAAAATCCAGAAAAATATATTTCATAAATGATGGGTCAATTTGCTGAAGAGCATTTGCTGTTAAAACAAATTGAAAATTATGCAAACCCAACAGGTAATACGAAATGCAAGGCTATGATGCATATTTTAGACGATATCATGAAAATTTTTTAATTTCATGGAGAATATTTTTTTCAGAGTGCAAAATTCATTTTCATATGGTTTTTAATTATTTATGAATGATTACATAACTTTTCCATATATATTATTTTTTCGAAACAATAAATAAAAGAATTCAATCAAGAATGGTAATGTATAATTTTATTATATAATACATTTCAATTTATCAAAAATGACTCAAAATATGCTCAATCAGATCAATTTTTATCTTTCAAAAACTATTATTTTTTGAAAATACCATAACCTAATATATTAATATAAATAATTATGCGTTGTCATTACTACAATATCGAAATATAACCATTTTTAATTGCAAATATAACAATTGTCATTCATAAATGCTAAAATTGTTTGTGACGATACCTTTTCAAATAAAAATATCCTTACATTCCTCAAAATCGAAAAAGTTAATCTTCTAATAAAAATGATAAATCTGTTTATACAGCAATAGTTCTTGATTTCTCGGATATTTATAGATCTTTATGGCATAAGGTTGACCATGTGTTTGAATGCCTCTCTCAATCTCAGGCTTGGTTACATTAATTTTTATCATATAATGAATGGAGTATCTCGGTTAATATCCTTTGTATGCTACTGAATAAAGTAGCGTATCATAATGAAATCTCTCTGTTTCTTCAATAAAGTCACATATTATAGTTTGTTTGAATAGGTTTGATTAATAAGATTGTATTTCTTTATTTCTTTATTGTTTCTGGTTTTATTTACACAATCTTCTTAAGGGTGCACTTACGCCCATATGACTTTAATTCAAATTTTTTTACTGATTTGATGGCCGTGGCATAGGGGCGTAAAAGCACCCTTAAAAATTCTATTGGGAAAAAAATGTTTTAATTTTTATTCTTATTATATTTTTAATCCTTGACAATGAAAAATATGATTTTATTTTGCTTCAATTGACAGCAGATAATCTTTTACATCTCCTTTTGCTACATTTAGTGCAGTAATTCCAAATAATGCTTTTGCATCTTTGTTTGCTCCTGAAGAGATCAGATATTTAACAATTTCTAGGTGACCTTGAGATGATGCATTAATGAGTGGCGTGCCTTCTTGATTATCTTTCGCTTCTATATCAGCTCCTACAGAGATAAGATATTTAACAATTTCAAAATGGCCTTCTAGTGATGCCCTTGCTTCTTTATCAGCTCCAGCAGAGATTAGATATTTAACAACATCTAGATGGCAATTATATGTTGCGACAATGAGGGGAGTAACTCCAAATTTGTCTTCTTTTGCTTCTTTATTAGCTCCAACAGAAACAAGGTATTTAACAGCTCCAAGTTGACCATTTTGTGAAGCCATAATTAATGGAGTGATTCCACCATTGATTTTTGCTTCTTTGTCAGCCCCAGCAGATATGAGATATTTAATAATATCAAGGTGATCGCATTTTATTGCAGAAAAAAGTGGATTGGATCCATCTTTGTTCCTTGCTTTTTTATTAGCTCCAGCGGAGATAAGTTGTTTAACAACTTCAAGGAATCCTGCTCCTGATGCAAAAATGAGTGGAGTAGCCTGCAATTTATAGTCTTTTGCTTCAGTGTCAGCTCCAATAGAGATAAGATATTTAACAGCTTCAAATTCACGATGAGTTAATGCGCATAATAATGGAGTAAATCCAAAGATAGCATCTTTTGCTTCTTTATTAGCTCCAATGGAGATAAGATATTTCATGACATCTAGATGACCTTTAAATGATGCACCAATCAGAGGAGTCCATCCAATATTATTCTTTGCTTCTTTATCAGCTCCAACAGAAATCAAAAATTTCACGATATCAAGATAGCCTTTAGCTGATGCCCAAATAAGTGCATTACAACCTTCATTATCCTTCGCTTCTTTATCAACTCCAATGGAGATTAGATATTTAACAACTTCAAGATGACCTTCAAAAGTAGCAAAAATGAGTGGGGTTTTCCTTCATCATCCTTTCCTTCTTTATTAGCTCCAGCGGTGATTAGACATTTAACTACTTCAAGATGGCCTTCATGAGATGCTATAATGAGTGGAGTATATCCATTATTATCTTTTTCTTCTATATCACATCCATCGGAGATAAAAAATTGAACAGCCTCAAGCATACCTTTGAATGATGATTTATGTAATGGATAACCAATATTACGTTTGCCGCTAAATATATCAAAATCACCAAGAGCTCGTTTGAGTATAGATTCCAGTTCTTCTTCACTTGTCTGTTTTTGATTGACACTTAAATCATTTTGTTGTTTTTGATTTTTCTGTGTAGAACTATTTGTGTCTTTGTTAGAGTCTGGTTTTTCGCTAGTCTTATTAATATTTGATTGAGATGATTGTAATTTTTTGTCATTTTTCTGTATTTGATTGGTATTCAACTTATTTTGTTGTTTTTGGTTTTTTAATGGTGGATCACGTGTTTCATTTTCTATCTTCTTTAAAACATCAATTATTCGAAACATCATCATTGGTTTAATGCCCTTTGTGTCGGATTTCGCGACATTAGCATTTCTAAAGCACTTATATATATATATCATTTGCTGTAATTATCGCTGACGCTTGTTTGAGAAGAGTAACAAAATCATTTGTAGTCAAATTTGAATGTTTCAGTATATTTTGGATATCTTCTATTTCAAATGTTGTGAAGAAACTTTCTTTTTGAATATAATCGCTCATATGAGCAGCAATGTTTTCATAGTCAAGGGATAGACCTTGACTCATAAAAAATGAAATGTCGTAACTTTACATAAAAACATCTTTTTTAAAACATGATTTTGTTAACAATCCTAATAAATGCTGCAACTTATTCATGATAATTTACTTAACATATTCAAAAATTGAAGATTTTTTAAAAAAAGTCGTAACATTACAAAGATATAAAAATCTTCAATTTTTGAATCAAGTTGTGATCTTTACGAATCGTTATATGAAATACTCATAATATGACTCTCAAATGTGATTATAAAAATCAATCTTAAAAAATCCAATTTTTATTTCTTCTTTCTTTTGATGCCTCATGAAAATATATTTATCCTAACTTACAATGATATATCTTTTTTAGCATAATGTGCATATACATGCTTTATATGTAAATTGAACAAAAACAAAATATACCTTTGTTTTTCCCCACTCTTAAATAATTTGAAGGGAAAATGATTAAATCTTATTCATTTTTGATCTATATCATTGATAATTGCATAATATCCATACCTAGCCATTATACCTGGAATTTAGGGGTGAAAAACTGGTGAATTAAAAAAATTATAAATAATTTATTTAGTTAGAATATGGTTGGAGGAGAATTGTATGGTCTTCAGATCCAGAAATAACCTTTGTCTGATCCTTATTGACGCGAATCATGTTAACTCTCTCTGAGTGGCACTGCAACTCCTCTCCGATTTCGATCTTCTTTGTAGAAGAGTTGTAAGAACTCTTTCTGATTTTTCCATCCTTGAAACCAAGAACGAAATTGAAACCAGGTAAAACATCGAGTGCTGTAACAGCTCCACAATTCTCTGTAGCAGCGAGTTTTCCATCTCTCTCGTATACTGAGATGCCGTTCTCATGTCCAACAATGAAGTATCCAGAGGACTCGTCCCATCCAACTGCGTAGGCTGGAATTCCGAGTTCAACTCTTGTCAAAACATTTCCTGATTCTGCATCGAAAACTCTGATTACGCCGTTGATTGTTGATGCAACGACAGCGGTGTCATCAGGAGCTGCAGCAAGGCCTGTGATCTTCTCCTTTCCAACAGTGACATCGCCTGCAGGTGTACCGGAATTGAATCTTCTTTGTGTCTCGTCGCCGCGTGTTCTGACAACAACGCCACCTCTGTCGTCGCCGGACGCGATCCATGCTTTGCCGACGGCAATTCTGGTAAGCTCCCTGAAGTGCTTCCAGTACTGCTGGACTTCTGGCCAACGGGTGAGCCACATGGAAGTTCCAGGTGGAATTCCGTCGAATTCGAAGTCAGCGCCGTTGAGAGGTGCGAAATCGATAGCAACGGATTGGTATGTCTGTAAGATTTTGTTCGAAAGGTTTAATGGCTGGACCATTGAAGCGAATGGTAATTCCATCTTAGAAAGAGGTTCGCCAACGAGTTTTGCGAAGTTTGATGTAGGCTGAAGAACTCTGATTTGCTTTTCATCAGAGCAGAAACCGAATTTATCAACATCAATTTGGGCGCAGTCGTGAATTGTATGGCCATGGATTAATGGGCGAGCAAGCTCAACAAAGGCACCATCAATTTCGCCCCAAACACGAGCAACTTTGTCGAGACCTGTAGAAAGGAAGAATCCTTCATTCGACCAAGCAACCGACGATACGCTCTCAAAATGACCTGAGAAGCAGCGAACGGGCTTTCCGTCGACCCAATGGGAGAAAGTTCCGTTTCTTGAGTTGGAAATGATATCGCGCGGGCCAATAAGGCGGCAGGCGATCATACCAGACTGATCATCTGTAACTGCTGTGGAACCGAGACGTAAAGAGACATCGTAGTCCTCGGAATTGGCTGTCCAAAGAAGGACTTGGCCATCGAATGATACAGAGCAGAGTGTTTCGCCCTTGTATAAATCGACGCCATTAACCCAATCTGTATGGCCACTGAGGACACTTTGTAATGAGACGTTGAGGTCTTGGTTTTGGAAGTGGAGGATTGATTGTGTGTCAATGGAGATGCCGAGGTTTGTAAGTTGTGATGCATCGTAAGGAAGAATCTTCCAGACACGAATGGCACGGTCCTGGCAACCTGATGCGAAGAGAATCTGGTCTTGTGCGTTGATTGCGAACTTCAGGGACTGGCACCATGCATTTCCTTGCAAAATGACTTCAGACTTTGTATCTGGGACGAGGAGATGGATTGGACCGTCTGGGTGGGCAACGGCAAGGATGAATGAGTCGTAAACTTCGAGAATTGCGATACCAACTGAGTGAATATTTGGAGTTTCATATTTAGTTTCAACGAACTTGTTATCTTGGAGCTTCAATAAGTATGTGCCATCGAGTGCTGTGCTGATAAAGACATAATTCTGTGAAACAGCGAGACGATGAATTGATGATTTGAACTTCTTTTCATCAAACTTCTCGCCAGTTGTTGGATCAAACAACATAATATTGCCGTCTGATGTACCAACAACAATGTTGCCGTCTGTTGTGAACTTCACACATGTAATAACGCCATTATGTAATGGAATGTACTTAATTGTTAAGTAATTTGTTAAACTCTGAACAAGAACGCATGAGCCAGAGCCATAAGCAAGAACTGTGCTCTGGGCATCCCATGAGTCTGGATCAGAGTTGACACCACCGAAAGCCTGCATGAATTTTTTAAGTGAGCCACTGGTTTGATTTGATTAAAATCGTTGTTTTTTATTTATTTCAATGAAGGGAATATTTTTATCCTCGAATTAAGCCAAAATTTTCAATGAGGCAAAATCATCAAGGTCAAATTTGGCCATTTCCAATGTATTTAAATTTTAAATCCAGTAAAGATTTAAACTATCTGGAAAATTCGGCAAAATCCATTTTGGCGGAATTGTTGCTCTCAATTTTTCTCAAAATTTTTCCCCAATTTTGATGCGTAAAAAATTTTCATAACAAGGATGCCATTATCATGAAATTGATTAAAAATATGAATAAGGAAATCATATCTCATATGTAGTAGCATGTAAATTCTAGGATTACAGCATGTTAAGGGATGTTTAATGAATCTTCTCTAATATTAACTTCATTATGCTGATTATTGAAAATGTAAATAAGCAGAATAATAATATATAATTGATATGCATGAAATTTCACAGAGTATAGAAAAATAAACATATAAAATAGCAAAATCAAATAGATATGTATCAATTTTATTCTTTCTATCTTGCACTTAAACAACATTCTATGTTTTGAGCATTACTTTGAACCTTTGCAATGGTTTTAAAACGAAATATGAAGGAATATATATTCATCATTAATATAGTTCATTGTTGAAACTTAAATATGATAAACTTTAAGAAATAGAATGAATAGCGAACATATATAAATGGAAAACTTATTTTTAATTGACACCTAACAATAAATAAAATAAATAAACATCGATAAAATAAAACTAAAAGTAAAACTTATTTGCCTTGTGCTTCATTTGCCAGCTTATCAAGAATCTCAGATCCAGCTTCTCTCTGCTGCTTTGGAGCTGGCATTGTCATAGTCAAATCCGACAACTGCGAGAAAATCACACCAATTTGTTGTTCGATTTCCTGCATTCTTCCATCAAAGTCCATTCCCAATCTTCCAAATGCGTCTTGAACTTCTTTTCTTGATGCAAACTGTGGAACAGTTTCTTGTTCTTCAACAACATGCAGTCTTTCCTGCATTTGCTGCATTGTATCTTCTGATTCAGTTCTTATTTTCTGAAGAGAAGAAACAATTGTAGAACTTTGTCTTCCGAGTTGAGCGACATTTTCCATCAGTTGAGTATTTAACTGCGAAATCAAATTCTCTGTTTGGTTTGCTTTAGCAATAATTGCGTCAATTCCACTTGTTCTCTCTCTTATTGCTTGAACTTCGTTTCTAAGAGGAACAAGTTGTTCATTCGCTTGTTGAATGATCTGAGCTGTTGCTTGGTTGGTCATTTCTTCCATTTGGGATGTCTGTAATTGCATTTCGTTTACAATTAAAGACATGAAATTCTCATATTTGGCGGCAATCTGCTTTTCGTTCTTTCTTCTGATATCGCACTCTTGAGTAAGTGCTGCCTCTAACGCATCTCTCGATTTCGTCGCTTGGTCGTTGATGGCTGCCAATGCATCTAAAGCTTCGTTTTGGACACTATTGAAATTGCTGTCTGTATCTGCAACAATTTTGTCTAATCTGTCGGATAGTTCTTGGTACTTTTGATCGGAAGTGGCTCTTGTGTCTTCTAATGCATCTCGAACGGAATTAGACAAAGCAGTCAATGATTGCTTGAAGGATGAGCTTAAATCACTGATTACTCCTTGTACATTGGATACTGCTGAGCCTATTCTTTGGTTAACTTCTTCAGTTTGATTATGAATTACCATTGTTGCCTGATCTCTTGCATCTGACTCGTGTTTAATATCTTCTGCAATCTGTAGTGCGGCTGCTGATATCGAAGAGTTCATTTGGCTCTGGGAATTCGAAATTGAATCACTTGCACTTCTTTCAAAGTTGGAAAGAGCGGAAGAAACTGCTCGTAGACTCTCTTCTATTTGAGAGGATCGACTTTCGCAGCCTGCAATACGTTGAGCAAGGCTGTCATGGGCATCTCTGCCTCTGCTGATTTGAGATTTAAATTCTAGTAAAGTAGATTTGACTGAATCGGAGAAATCATTGAATTTCTGTGTAGTCTGAGTAAAAACTGTTGATGTTTCGTTTAATCTGTCGCGAAGTGATTGAGCTTGAGTGATATAATCATTTGCTGATGATGAAATACGTTCTTCAAGACGAGCATTCTCTTCTTCCAATGGTCTGATACGTCCAGGAAGATCTACTGAAGCTACACGATCTAAAGCTTGCCTTAATTGTTGAACACCATCGTTTAAAGAAGGTATTGCTGTTCTTTCAAGACGTGTTGCACAATCTGATGCAGCACGAAGTATTGATTGATGCTGATCAACAGAACTCTCTAACCAGGAAAGGCGATCAGCAAATCTGATGATATCTGGTGAAGGACCTGAAGGAGCAGGTGGTGCTAAGTCTGGTAATGGGTCTAAGCGTGGAGAATGAGAAACACCTGATACATGCCTTCCTACCGGAGCTAATGCTTTTCCTGGAGAACCGTATCCTCCTGCAGGACTGAGAGGTGCATTATCAACAGGTGAATCTCCTATGTTTGAAAGTGAAGAATTGGCGCCGCTTTGTTGATTTCCGTAACCTTGTCTACGAATTAAAGATTGCTGTTGATTTGGTTGATAGCTGACGTTGTCATATTGACCTTGTTGGTATTTTTGATATCTGTTTTTAAGCGATGGATAATTTGGTTGACCGTAATCCGCATTTGATGAATAAAAATCTGGTGTAGGTGGTTTATTTGCTTTTTCTTCCATCTGCTTTCTCAAGTCTTCGGCATAAAGACGAGCCTCCTCCCTTCTTTTCTGTCTTAAAAGCTCTCCTTCTTCGCCGAAATTCATTCGAAAATCTTATAACGTTCTTTTTTAAATTTTTTTCTCTTGAATCGCGAGAGTTTAGTAAAAAAAAAAAAAAAAAAAAAAAAAAAAAAAAAAGGGAGTGGGGCTTCCAGGCACTTCGTGCCTTCTAGCCCTGATGATGTTTAATATTAATGAAGTTTTTTATTCGGAAAATTGTTAGTCTTCTGGGTCGAAAACATTATATATAATGTGTCGCTTTTCACAAATTATATATGTTTTCATGTTTTGTCAAGACTTCTTCGTAAATGTTTTGTCAAGACTTCTTCGTAAATGTTTTGTCAAGACTTCTTCGTAAATGTTTTGTCAAGACTTCTTCGTAAATGTTTTGTCAAGACTTCTTCGTAAATGTTTTGTCAAGACTTCTTCGTAAATGTTTTGTCAAGACTTCTTCGTAAATGTTTTGTCAAGACTTCTTCGTAAATGTTTTGTCAAGACTTCTTCGTAAATGTTTTGTCAAGACTTCTTCGTACATGTTTTGTCAAGACTTCTTCGTAAATGTTTTGTCAAACATGAACGTAAATGTTTTGTCAAGACTTCATCGTAATGAGTGTAAATGACCAAAAATAATGTTTAGGGTAGAAGGTTAGATCTAACCTCTTTTCTAACCTCTTTTCTACCCTCTTGAATTTGTCAAGATTTCTTCGTAAATGTTTTGTCAAGACTTCTTCGTAAATGTTTTGTCAAGACTTCTTCGTAAAATCAGACAAAAATAAAGTTTAGGGTAGAAGGTTAGATCTAACCTGTTTTCTAACCTCTTTTCTACCCTCATGAATTTTCATGATTTCATCGTAAATGTTTTGTCAAGACTTCTTCGTAAATGTTTTGTCAAAACTTCTTCGTAAAATCAGACAAAAATATATTTTAGGTGAAGAGGTGAGATCTCACCTGTTTTCTCACCTGTTTTCTCACCTCTTGAATTTTCATGATTTCATCGTAAATGTTTTGTCAAGACTTCTTCGTAAAATGTTTTGTCAAGACTTCTTCGTACATGTTTTGTCACTTTTCTGTCACTTTTCAGGGAAAAACATTTTTATTATTATATATAAATGAATTTTACAAAACCACCGTTACCGTTCTTTGGAAATAAGAGTAGATGTAAAGATATTATATTGAGAGAACTTAAGAAACTACCGAATGGTCTAACATTTGTAGATTTGTTCGGTGGAAGTTTCTATATATCCCATTTGTGCCATATAATATTCCCAGACTCAAAGATTATATGCAATGACTTCGACAACTATATGGACCGTCTCAAACATATACCAGACACAAACAAAATATTGAGTGAGTTAAAAGAAAAGATACCTATAGGTAAGATGGAACGTATACCATTAGATAACAAAAATATTGTGAGAGAGGTTTTGAAAAAAGCAGAATATATAGACTGGGATAGTATATCTGCTAGACTATTATATAGTGGTTCTATAAGAGTTCATGACATTGAAACACTTATGTCAAAAGTTTTATATCTTAACTATACAAATGTTTTCAAAGAGGACATAGAAAAATATATTGAGGGTATAGAGTTTGTGAGATGTCATTGGACAGAGTTGTATGAAAAATATAAAGACAAGGAAAATGTTTTCTTTATAGTGGACCCGCCGTTCTATAACACATGGGATTTTCAATACCAAGTAGACTGGACTTTGAGAGACTCTTTAGAAACTTTAGACGTTTTACATAACCATCCATGCTTTTACTTTACATCGATAAAAGTGGTTTGGAAACCGTTATGAGATGGTTAGAGGACATACATGACTATGAGTTTATATATGACAAGATAGAATATGAGAGAGGTCCTATAAACTGGAGAAAGTGTCACAATAAAGAAATTTTATTAGTAAGTAAATGTGGTTTGAAATAGGACTACTTGTTTTAGGTTTTTTCCATTGTGTCATTTATTTATTTGACGTGGCAGAAAAGTACAGAGAATATGAAGATGAACCAATGCCTGCAAATGTTCAGTATATGTACTCGTAAGAGATATTTTTATCTAATATTAAATGGACGCACAGAACTTAGCGAATGCACAGCAACCTGGACAACCAAACCCAGAGAATATTCCAAATGAAGTTAGAATACAAACTGCAATGGCAAACTATGGTCAAGTGCCAACAGATGTACAAATGCAAACTGCCATGTCAAATGACGCTGCGTTAGGTTTGCCACCATGGTATGCAAATATGAGATGGAAAGAGTTTTATACAAACCTGAGGTGGGATATAAACAACTTTATGCAGATGACGCGAACACAGGAGTTGACCCAGAATATGTTTTCTACCAGAGGAGAAACAGAATGTATGAGCTCCAGTTAAAGAATGCTATGGAACTCAACAGGAAACGTAAGAGACTAGGCGGACATTAGATTTTTACATATAGTAAAATGGGTTTCTTCAGTAAGATAGGAAACTTCTTTCGAAATGTTGGAAGAGGTATATGGAATGGAATAAAAACCGTAGGAAGAGGAATTTGGAACGGAGTCAAAAATATTGGTAAAAGAGTAGGTCAGTTTGTTGGTATTATACCTAAAGACCCTGAACCAGAAGAGCAAGCTCCTGTTATACAACAGCCTGAACCTGCACCACAGTCTAGTTGGCAACCAAATCCAACACCTCAACCGTATTAAAAAATTATATTTTTACCGTTCGATAGTAGTTGTATATGAAACTAAGTTCTAAGTAAAACGCATGGTATAATGGAATTATTCTTTTTCTTCCATCTGTAGTAAACCATACTTGAAAGTCTGAAATACTTCCACTTGGTGGTTCGTATAACTTTGTAGGTTTTTCGTAAAAGTCATTTGCCAAGCATAAGAAAGAGTTTTGGGCGCCAGAAAATGAAGCATGAACAATAATAGCAGCTGGGTCGAAAACATCTTTAAATAAATATGGTTCATCTCTTGCATATCGACTGTAAATATTTGCTAAAGGAAGTTCGACTTTCTGATTTAACATTCTTTGCAAATAATACCATGACATTGCAGTGAATTCTGTATATATTTGTTCGTCTTTCTTTGGATTGTCTTCGTAGATTTGAAATGACACTTGTGAATTTTGTTTGTCATATACAATTCTCACATAAAGTGTGCTCTCGGTATTTGCATATTCATCAGCATATTTTGCATAACATGAATTTATTTTATCTTCTATATTTTTTAACGCAGTCTGTAGAGAAGATGAAAGGTCAACTTGTATTAGCTCAATTTCTTCCCACATTTTTCGTTTCCCTTCAGATATATAATCTATATGAAACCTTACAATAAATGGAAAACTTTTATCTTCTACAGACACAAACTTCATTCTACGAAAGCCAATAGCTTTTGTGACAGATGGGTCTCTTAGCCATCTTAATGGGTAGTCAAAACGATAGCCTTCATGCTTTACGGTCTCTGTCTCAAACTTTTGACCGACATTAGTAAAAAGTTCATCTAATGGTTTAGTTGTAGCAACTCTTGAATTTTCTTTTTCTATTGGAAGCATATTTTATCTAGAATAAAAATGTCGAAAGATATTGCTTCTATGAGAGAAATACAACACAACCGACAACTCATTATGCAAGCTCTAAATAAGAACACAACAAACTTTTCAAACTATTCTAAGATATCTGAGTCATTGAAAGAAGGAAACTTAAAACTGACATTAAACCCAATGACAGATGAGTTTCTGTTTCAAGACAATAAGAACCATACTGTCTGTATAAATCCAACAAAAGGAACTTTAAACGAGAAACCTATAAATGAACTTCTTTTGAAAGTAGATGTTGACAACAAAGCTGACAAAGAATATGTAGACGATGCAATAGCAAAAGAAGAAGAAAGAGCTAACAATGCTTATGCAACAAAAGAACATACTCATCCTGAACTAGCAGACAAAACATATGTTGACAATAAAATGTCAAGTGAAGTGACGAGAGCTGAAAACGAATATTCTAAAAAGACTCATACACATTCTATATCTGAAATAACAGACTTAAACGTTAGCCTTGAAAATAAGGTAGATAAGGGACTTATGGCTAGTGTGTTAGTGAAGAAGGCGGATAAGGAATATGTGGATGAAAAAGATAAAGAAATTATAGAAAGGGTTGACTGGTACCATGAATGGACATCGAAGACTTTTAAAGTTAAAGCCGATACAGGATGGGTTTCAGGATGTTTAGACCTTAAAGCAGATAAAACTTATGTTAACGATGAGTTAGAGAAGAAAGCAGACAAGAACCATACACATACAAGTTTTACAACTGTTGCTATAGAAAGTATTGAAGGAACGGTTGAAGAAACTGGTGGGGATGCAATATATTGTAAACCTCCTAACTTTCCACAAGGTTTAACATCGGATGACGACATAACGACGATGAGAAACATTAGATGTAAAGATGTTTATGTCATGAAGGATGAATATAATACTAAATTCACTGCTCAAGATTTATATGACAAGAAGGCTGACAAAACAGAGCTTCAAACATTAAAGACAGAAATGCTTCAAACATTATATCCTATAGGCTCTATTTATACGTCAATGAACTCAACAAATCCAGAAACAGTTCTGGGTTTTGGAACTTGGACTCAAATAGTCGACAGGTTTTTGTATTGTGCAAACTCTTCAAAGGAAACAGGTGGAAGTAAAACGATTTCAGGTGAAAATTTACCTGCACACAGTCACTACATAGATTTAAGTACATCTCAAGCAGGTTGGCATAAGCATAAATTTTGGGATTGGTCAGCAATGAAAAAAGGTAAAGGATATGATGTTAAAGACGACGTTCAGTTTGCTATAAATTGTTTCTGGGGTGACACTCAGGGAGATGGAAACCATACACATCGCGTTTCAGGGTATACGCAAACAACGGGACAAAGTAAAGAATACATGCCACCTTACATGACAGTTTACGCATGGTATAGAATTGCTTAGTCGTCATTTTCAACTTCTTTAGCATATTGGTCAGGAGTTGTCTTATATTTGTTAGGAACTGTCTTTGAAAGTATACCACCTTGAACTTTGACAAGTTTGAAACGAGGTCTGACAATAGTAGTTTTATCTTCTGCTTGCAGTGTGTACATTTTGCCATGTTTGCCTAAAACTTCATAATATTCTCTTGTATACTTTCTTCTATTTTTACGAACACGAATGTGAGTACCTGTCGGGTTCCCATTGTTGTCATAGTCAATAGTATTTTCATATGGGTCGCGTTTAGGTATTTCTATTTTTACTTTGTCACCTTTCTGAAGTTTGAAGCCCGGCATTCTTTCTTGTTTGTCTCTTTTGACTAAATTATTAAATATATAGTCTTTCTCTAAGTCGGGGTTGTTTTTCATTTCTTCGGGGGAGTGGTTTCCCAAACCTTTTGTTTACGGCTATTGTAAATATTTAAAACTTGTCTCATCTTTGCCATGGAGAAGTGTCTATATTTGTCGTCATATGACATTTCATTTGCTTCACCACCTTGTGGTTGGTTTAAGTCTCTTAACATTTTATACATCCGTCAATGACACCAAGAGCAGAATGGTTTTGGTCGACAATGAAATATTGGTTTACATTTTTTGAACGCAGATAGTTTTTTACATCATCTGATTTGAAAGAACTTTCACAGTCAGATGTCAGTTTTGTTGGATGGTATTTGTCAACGAATATTGTCAAAGCAGTTTTCACATCTAAAATATTTTTGGACCATAATGGTATGGCTTCACAGTATCTTGTGTTTTGACCGACAAATATTAGCCAGTATGGTGGTCATCTTCTCTATACCTCGGAATGTTTTCCAAGATATCCATAAACCAAGCATTTGGTGTTGAACTAAAGATTTTTATCATGAGTGCTTTTTTTGTTGCCTTAGAAACATAGGGGTCCTTGTTTGGATTCGTCATTTTTTAACCCATAAGAAATGGGTTTATTTGGCGCATTAGCAGGAGTTGCATCCAGATTTTTGCCCGCAGTGGGACAATAGCCAGAGGTGTATTTGGAGTTGGAAGGAAGATTTTGAGTACATTAGGTATACTTAAAGAGAAAGCACAACCTATTATACAAACTGTACAGAAAGGTTGGGATGTAGCACGAGATGCAGCAAATCTTATTCCAAATCCTGAAAACAAGAGGAAAAGTTCAAGGATGGATGGACAATGTAGGAAGACAAGCAGGAAACTATTATAACAAAGCAAATGACTCTATAACCAAGCAGGACACTATATGACCAAGGTGAAAGATTCTTTAACAGAGGATATAACCATGCACAACAATGGGTAAACAATAACCAACCTCAACCGCCTCAAACGTGGGGAATGTAAAGTTTTTTACTGAGATGAAATGAACAATACAGCATTGAGACAAATGGGTTCAAGATGGATTTGTCGGCTTCCAGCAGTTACACCACGTGTTTGTCAAGTTCTTCCTATACCTCAGGAAGTTTTAGACCGACTTAAAAAACCTAAACAACCAGTTGAAAACAAACCAAACTAAAATTTTTTACTGAGATGAAATGACCGAAGAAGTTGAAACGGTAGATTTGACACCACAAACAAAAAGTTCAGAACCATTGTCAAAACCTGTCAAAGAACTTACAGATGAAGAGAAAAATTCAATAATAGAAAGTGCCAGGTCTGGAAATACAAACCCTAACTATAAAGTCACTTTTCATAGAAATGGAACGGCTAGTATCTCAAAAAAGAAACAGACTCTCACAAATAAAATATTGAAGTCTGAAGGAGCTTTCGAGACAACAGATGGAAAAGTTTACTTCACCGACCAACAGTTCATTATAGAACATCTCATTGACTTAGAGTCGAAATATTCTAAACTTTACAACAAACACAAAAAGTTGAAAGGAAAACAAAAACAAATGGCATATGATATTTATGAAGATGTTGACAACACAACTGTTCCTGCAGGTGGGGAAAAGTCAGAGGAACCGAAAAGTGACGAAAAACCGATAGAAGAAGAGAAACCAAAAACTGAAGATAAACCAAAACCAAAGTTTAGTTTGGAAACTAAACCAAGTCAACCTTCATTAGCTGGTATGGGTTGGCGTCAAAGACTTATGGCAGCAGGCGGTTATGTTAAGTAAAGAAAAAAATATTTTTTTATTTTTATAAAAATGCCCCCATATAGAATGGATAGAAAATCTGCTAGAATAAAAGCAGAGTTGCAAAGATATGGTTGGAGAGTTTCGAAGAAGTTTAAATATAGGAAGGGAAGACCCATAAAAGTCTATGACAAACTGGCTGGTCTGACCTACGAAATGGATTTGGAAACAGCACGTGCCAATTATCCAAACAGACTAGAGAGGTTAGAAGAAGAACGTCTTATGGACATGCCTTTCGATGTTAGTGAACCTCAAGTTGAAGGACACGACGGCTTTGCCAGATTCTACTGGAAACATGACGAACAATTGCATCCTTTGAGAAGGAAAAAAGGAAAAGGTGAAGACACACATGCTCCCATGGAAAGAACAAGATATGCATATGAAAAGTATCGTGAAGTTAGAAGTCAAATTACATCTGGTCGAACCTTTACAGTAAACTTTGACGAAGGAAAGAACAAAGAAGGCTTCATGGGTGTACTTGCTGCAATTCAAGACGGAAATAAGAAAGGACACAATCTCAGATTGACCATAACGGATTTGGATAGTCACATTTACTATGCAAATGGCAATGTCACAACAGCTGCAAAACTTCTTGACGCTTTCAAGACTACAAAGAGAGAACAAATGTTTGACTCCGACTCAGACATTTTGAATGCAATTGAAGGAATTGCAAGTGTCAAGTTCGAATGGTACCAACCTAACCCTCAAGCAGTCAGACAACATGCTGGATACTTTCCGTTCATAAATAAGTCTGACATTGGTCTTACCCTCAGTTCGCAAAGGCAGTCCTTGACAACTACAACAAATTCTTCTCCGAAGTCAAATCCAAAGTGAAGGTTTACTATGAGAACATTGACGCACTCATGACGAACGAAGAAGGGTACAACAAACTCATTGAAATGGGTTTAGTCGGTGAGAAGATGGGCTGTTTTAAGCTAGATAAGGTATTTTCCGAAGTTCATGTCCTCTCCAAGCGTAAGTACTGGGGCATACTTGAAGACGGCACAGAAATAAAACATTGCATGAAGTAAAAAATTTTATTTGAAATGTACGCTGAGTTTGTTGGAGAAGACCGTTGGGAAACTTGTTTGTTAGATGAGAAATATGAAATGGCATACTATTTTAAAACAATATATTTTTACATATATTAAATGCTTCAGGTTGAAAAACAAAGAACAAAAGTAGTAGATACAAAACCGTTAGACTATATCTTTACAAATGCTGGTAGGACAATATCAGATGAAGAAATTTCATCCCGAATATACAGGTTTGACTATCCAATTCGTTGGCTTCAAAGTCCTTCAGATGCAAAGGCAATAGGATTTAGAAGAGTTTTGTTTTCAAAAAGAACTAACGCATTTATGTTCGCAGTATATTTTCATGGGCAGTATAAAGGTTCTGGTGGTCTAATAGACAAATTTGACGAAATGAGAATCTTTACAGTTCGTTCAGACGAAAGTCTTGAGAAAACTCTAAATGACTTTCAAACTCAAATGAACAAATATTATTGGGAATTTCAAGAAAAATACGACTCTTTACTAAATGGAACATACTATCTGAAACTAGAATATGACAAGATGAACTCCACCGTTTCATTTCAAAAGATTGAAATTAACCCTCCAAGAGATACACAGTTTTTATTTTGGGAAGTAGACAAACGTTCTTGGGCACAATTTCTTCGGTTACTAAACCAGAACGAACCATTACCACCAGATGGTCCATTTAAATTTATACTTCCACCAGCAAATTTGACAGTTTATAGAAACGTGTTTGACCCTCAAAATGTTATGTGTCATGCAAGTTTCAGTTCAAGCAACAATAGTTTTCTATGTATTGGTAAGGACTTTTATGACTTTGCTTCTAAATTCTACGAACCACCTAGTAACAGTTTCTCTGACTTTCAAGTTTGGTTCACAACAAATGGTGTGCAACATATTATTCCATTGTACTATGACTTTTATCTCGAATTGTCTTTCATATATAACTACGGAAAAGTGCTGAAAAAGTATTGAATGTGAAGATATTAGAAAATAACATTTTTTCTAACATCGTAGAAAACTCATGAAAACAATTTATTTTTGTGAATATGTAAGCGGCTCATAGCTCAGTGGTATGGGCTACCTCGTTAAAGGCGTCGAAGACCTCGGTTCAAATCCCGATTCGCGCAGGTTTTTTCCTTTTATGCAGTGAAATTTCATGTACATAGGTTACTTTGGTGTTAGACCCTAGTGAAGAAAATAGAACGATATAAGTTTACATTTGTAAGGTTACTTTGGTGTTAGACCCTAGTGAAGAAAATAGAACGATATAAGTTTACATTTGTAAGGTTACTTGTTTGTACTGTTTCAGAACAATACTTGTACTGTTTCAGAACAATATTTGTACTGTTTCAGAACAATATTTGTACTGTTTCAGAACAATATTTGTACTGTTTCAGAACAAATTTCCCGTAAAAGCTCTCAATTTGTGAGAAAAATTTTCTGTTTCAGAACAATATTTGTACTGTTTCAGAACAATATTTGTACTGTTTCAGAACAATATTTGTACTGTTTCAGAACAATATTTGTACTGTTTCAGAACAATATTTGTACTGTTTCAGAACAATATTTGTACTGTTTCAGAACAATATTTGTACTGTTTCAGAACAAATTTCCCGTAAAAGCTCTCAATTTGTGAGAAAAATTTTCTGTTTCAGAACAATATTTGTACTGTTTCAGAACAATATTTGTACTGTTTCAGAACAATATTTGTACTGTTTCAGAACAATATTTGTACTGTTTCAGAACAATATTTGTACTGTTTCAGAACAATATTTGTACTGTTTCAGAACAATGTCCGACGTACCACCACCCCAGCAATTCCAATCTCAATCCAAATCGAAGAGAGACCAAGAGTTCGAGGAAGGTCTGAACCGCTTACGCAAAGAGTATGCTACAGCTCCAATTGAGAGAAAGTTGTTCCCGGACCCAAAAATATAATTTAGGGTAGAAGGTTAGATCTAACCTCTTTTCTAACCTCTTTTCTACCCTCTTGAATTTTCATGATTTCATCGTAATGAGCGTAAATGTTTTGTCAAGAATATAGCAACCGTCGGAATACAGACGGTTGGTTTTTATACAAAATTCATGCAGGAAATTCTTGAGTTTTGGTTGAAAGAATACGGTGGAGCCAAAAGTGGCTCGACCTCAAAACAAGCATTTTATGAGCTTACAAAGGGTGTTATGAATGAATTCAAAGGTATTTACATACATCCTGACCTCGTTCATTTTGTTGTTGAATTCAGCAAAAATAATGTTTAGGGTAGATGGTTAGATCTAACCTCATTTCTAACCTCATTTCTACCCTCTTGAATTTTCATGATTTCATCGTAAATGTTTTGTCAAGACTTCTTCGTAAATGTTTTGTCAAGACTTCTTCGTAAATGTTTTGTCAAGACTTCTTCATCGTAATGAGCGTAAATGTTTTGTCAAGACTTCTTCGTAAATGTTTTGTCAAACATGAACGTACATGTTTTGTCATGACTTCTTCGTAATGAGTGTAAAGGACCCAAAAATATAATTTAGGGTAGAAGGTTAGATCTAACCTCTTTTCTAACCTCTTTTCTACCCTCTTGAATTTGTCATGAATTTCCTTAAGATAGAAAAAATAAAGTTAGTTTTATTTTTTTATTTTTTTTTATTTTGTATGTAAGGACAGATATGTCAGTCGAAGCAAAAACATTCACGAACAAATATAATGGCGAAACATTCACGAAAGGCACTTATAACGGTATTGAAGTCTTACGTAGAGACAAGGATGGTTACATTAATGCAACAAATATGTGTCAGCAGTTTAGGAAAGACTTTAGAAAGTTGTTGGAAAATAAGTCCTGGGAAGAGTATTATAAGGCATTTTGTGAAGAATATAGCAACCGCCGGAATTCAGACGGTTGCTTTTTATACAAAATTCATGCCGGAATTCCTGATGAAATCAAACAGGTTAGAGGAACGTATGTAGACCCAAGACTTATAAACTATATAGCAATGTGGGCTTCTCCAAAATATTGCATAGCAGTTGGAAAAATTATGGACTCCATAGACAAGAAAGTTCATGAGAAGTTAGATGAAGAAGAACTCGAAGATACAGTAGAGAATGCAAAACATTTGTTCGAACAAGAAGTTAGAAAAATGTGCGAAAAACAATTAGAACATGAACGTGAGATATGTTATGGTTATAGAGATTCTCCATACGAACTAGACCAATGGGAACAAGAAGATTTAAAGAGAGAATTTAGAGAATATGAACTCGCTAAGATAGCATTAGAAGCTGCAGAAAAGAAGTTAAAAGTTTGGGGTCGTTTTGTACACAAATATTGTGAGTAAATGAACCATTTATTTTTATTGAATTCAGCAAAAATAATGTTTAGGGTAGAAGGTTAGATCTAACCTCTTTTCTACCCTCTTTTCTACCCTCTTGAATTTTCCCGAAAATCATGAAATTTACACCAAAAAATAATGTTTAGGTGAAGTGGTGAGATCTCACCTCTTTTCTCACCTCTTTTCTCACCCGTTGAATTTTCATGAATTTCCTTAAGACAGATGAAATAAAGTTAGTTTTTTTAAAAAAATATTTTTTATTTTTATTGTAAGAACATGTTAGCAACAACTTCACCAAACTCTTTAGTCATGAATCCAACATCTATGTTAGTAGAAATGAAAAGCTTCATTCCTTCTTCATATACTTTTGAAACAGAAATCCAGAAGATAAAGCAAGAACTTTTAACATCTAATTTAAACTGTAGTGCGAAAGATGAAACAAATGAACAGTATCTTTATGAAATGCAGGACATTATTGACCATTTGCCTAAACTACCTGAAATCCAACAACAAAAGCTCACTATTCCTGAATTCGACGAAATTGAAGTCAAAGCAACTGACTCAGTAGAAATAAAGAAGTTCATTCGTAAGGTAAACTATGAGTTTCTTGGATTTCATTGCAACCATAAGGTTATGGACAAAGATTGCGACATGTTATATAAGAACATCTCTGACCTTTACAAAACCCGGGAGTTTAAGACCTACGACAACTTTGTTTCGTTAGTTGCTGAATGTGTTTGGCAGATAAGAGATAAAGATAGAAGAGGTAAGGTATGGAATGAACAGATAAAACCAACTGCTTCAGATTTAAAGAAAACCATTGACGCCTTAGTTGTTTTAGCAGGTAAGGTTTCAGAATATAACGCAAAAATGAACCCGCAATGTTCTAAATGTAAAGCAGCAATGAGGAAATATAACTACTCAGTCAAAGAGATAGAACGTATGAGAAACGACTATGCAGATTTAAAGAAAGAAGCAGAAAAGCCAGCAGAAGATAAAATGAACATGTTAGAATTTCTGAACAAAAACTATCCAACTGCTGACGATTTCCTTCTATCTGACGTCAAGAAGAAGTATAAAGAAACTTTCGGTATCGTTAAAACATTCGATGTACTGACAGAAGAAATAGAAGCTACAAAACTGTTTAAAGTCTCACGAATTCATAACGTTTACCATGTAAAACGCTTATAAAATAACTGGGGTAGAAAAGAGGGTAGAAAGGAGGTTAGATCTAACCTTCTACCCTAAAATATATTTTTGTCTGATTTACGCTCATTACGATGAAGAAGTCTTGACAAAACATATACGTTTAGTTTCGATGAAATCATGACAAAGAATGTACGATGAAGAAGTCTTGACAAAACATGTATGTTCATGTTTGACAAAACATTTACGTTTAGTTTCGATGAAATCATGAAAATTCATGAGGTGAGAAAAGAGGGTAGAAAGGAGGTTAGATCTAACCTTCTACCCTAAACATTATTTTTGCTGAAAAATGACCAAAAATCTGAGTAAAATGGCATATGCTTGCTTCCCTCGGAAAAACCGAGAGAAGAGATTCCGTACGAAAATCGTGAAATTTCTCTAGACCGGATTTTACCGGCCTTGCCTAAAACACATGAAAATCGTGAAGAACAGCGACCAGGGAAAAAAAACTTAGTCGCCTAAAACTCATGAAAATCGTGAAAATTTCTCTAGACCGGATTTTACCGGCCTTGCCTAAAACACATGAAAATCGTGAAGAACAGCGAGTAGGTAAGAAACCCCAGTCGCCAAAACACATGAAAATCATGAAGCACAGCGAGTAGGTAAGAAACCCCAGTCGCCAAAACACATGAAAATCATGAAGCACAGCGAGACCGTTTTTTTTTTCTGGGTCGCCAAAACTCTATGAAAATCATGAATTTCCTTAAGATAGAAAAAATAAAGTTAGTTTTTTATAAAATATTTTTTTATCTTGTATGTAAGAACATATATGACAAACATTGAGTTTGAAACAGTTAAAAAGATAGACAATAACACTAAATTGGTTAGAATAGGTGATTTAAACGTAAGATACTCAAAGAAATACAACAAATATTCTTTGTCAGACATTATATCTCCATCTGGAAAGAAACATGGCATTGGGTTGGAATTGCTTCAACTCAGAAAATTTTGACAAGAAATCCTGAGCTTATGATATCGGTAAGATTCTATGGAACTACAGCATATCTTATAGACAAAAGTCTTATACCAATAGTTTTGTTATGGATTGACCCAGTTGTTGGATATAACTTCATAACATATGGTTTATTCGACTCAGAACGTTGCAGTGAAGGCTTACTTTACATCGTTCAGAAACCGAAGGACTTCAATACAAAGAGATATAAGATAGGAAGAACATATAATATAACTCAAAGATATGACAGTACAGTCAATAGAGTCAAGGTTGTGTTCGTTAATGATATGAGAGCTGCAGAAACAGAACTACTTGAAAAGTTTGAGAAAATATATGGTGCTCCCATAAAAGGTAAAGAAACGTTTGAAGTAGATGAGATAGATAAAGCTATAAAATTATTTGACGAAGTTGCTGAAAAATACATGTAAAGCGTTTATTTTTGGTCTTTTGTGAAAGTCAGAAAATAACGCTAATTTTATTTTTATTTATTTTTTTATCCGGAATATAAAGACAGATATGTCAACAACAGAGAACACAACAACAGTTATAGTCCATGAAGCTATAAATGAAGAATATGAGTGGGTTCAGTTTAACAAACAACTCCGTCTCATTCGTTCGGTCAAAGACGATATGTACCAGATGCAAAGTATTTTGAACGCTCTTCGTTCTACAAAGCAAGCATATCATTGGTTTGAAAACCAACAGACAAAAGAACTTTTAGAAGAATTTCCTCATATGTTTGCTTCCCTCGAAAAAACCGAGGAATGAGATTCCGTATGAAAATCGTAAGAATTTGCCAATAAATTTGAAGGATATTATGTTCATAGACTTTTAGTAAATGCCGTAGCAATGTGGGCTTCACCTCGTTATGCTTGTTATATTTTCATGATGTTAGATGAAATTCATAGACAAGAACGTGAAGAGATGGAAAAGAAACTTCATGCAAAAGATGAAGTCATTGAAGCAAAGACAAAAGCATTCAGAAAAGAATACCACGTTCGGTACCAAAAGGAAAGGAAAAGAACTATAAGTATATGATTTATACTGAAGAGATGGAAAATGAAGAAGATAAAGATATGGTTATGTTGCATTTAGTCAGAAGAAACAACAAAAGCTTTTACGACCTTGCTAAGATTTACAAATCTGACAGAAATTGGTTCTATCGCGAAAACTTACCGATTTCAATGACCCCAAATGAAGATGTGAAACAAATAGTTCAAGATACGTTACCTCAAACACACTATGATATGAAAGGTTGTACAATACTTACCTTCAAAGAAGACTTACCGCTACTGAAAGAAAAAATAACAGAGTATTTTGACAACTTCAAACAAGTAGAGTAAATTGCACTCTTTATTTTTACGCTTGACTTTTTACAATTTGAACTTTGTTTGCGTAGATATGAATTCTGAAAGAAGTATGAGGGTCTTGTATGACTTTGTACTTCTCCCATAGTTCATGTCTGTCAAACTTACCTGCCATGGACTCTTTCATAAGTTCCATGAAATCGTCTTCGGACAATCCGGGGAAAAGTACAATGTCAGTCAGTATTCTCTTTACATCCTTACTTAAACTCTTTGCTGTCTGTACACATTACGACTGAGATGTTAAAGTGTCTGAGCTTCTTAAGAATTCGACACATGTCTTGTTCTCTGTTCTTTAACAAAGGATGAGAAGCAAAGTCATCTAAGATAAGAAGACATCTATGAGGGTATGTCTTCCAATCGTAAGATTGCAATTTCTTCGAAATGTATTCTATCTCTTTCTGTTTGTTTCTGAAGTGTTTCTTCTCTAATATTCTCTGCATTTCCTCATTTGGGTCTTTAAACTTAGAATTTATATACTCATTTATAGCATTATACTTCAAAACTCTTCTTTGGTACTTCTTTATCCAATCTAACAACTCAGTATCCTTTATACATACTAACTTAGACTTCTTTATAATATTTTTGAACGAATTGACGGTTTGGTCAAATTGACCAGAAGTACTACAAATAACAACTAACTCATAGAATGGGTTCTTCTCATCTAGTTCTTGTTGTTGTGCAGCCATTTTAAGATAAGTGAAAGTCTTACCCGACCCAGGTGGTGCAATTAGACCTGTTATACCATTCTGAGCAAATAAGAACTTGTCATGTATGGGTTTTATCTGAGCATTTTCTAACTTCCTCTTGTTCTTGTTTAAAACATTCTCAAATTTTTTGTCAATGTCAGCAAACTTTTTTTCTAACATATTTTTAGAAAAATTAAAATTTTATCTTTTAGAAAATGTCTAGCGATTTCGCTATCTATATTCGAGACAAGCTTTTTGACAGCAAAACATCTGTCGACCAAAATCTTACATAGTGTAAACAAGAAAGGTGAATTTGTTCTAAAGTTCTGTTTCTGGGAATATGACAAGAACCATAAAACATTACAAAGAGCAGTCTTAAAATTTGTCAATGACAGACTTGTTGACAGAGATGACGCCGATTGGAAAGATGAAGTCCAACAAAAGTTCTTAGAATGCAAAGAAGACACATGCGCTGTTCTTGAAGATGAAATAGAAAACAGAATAGATGAGCTATTAAAGGACAAAGAACTTTTACATAAATATGGTTCTGAGAAATTTGACATAACTCCACCAGAAAAGAAGAAGAGAGAAAAGAAAGAAAAGAAAGAGAAAAAAGTAGAAGAGAAGAAAGAACCTGAACCAGTTCCAGAGAAAAAGAAATTTGACATGTAAAAATAAAATTTTATTTTTAGAACATTTCTGGGTCAATGTCAATGTTCTCTTCCTCTTTAGGAGCAAACACTGGCTTAGACTCTAAAATCTTTTTACCCAATTTACCTTGAACTTCAACTATCTTAGACTCATAATATTCATAGTCGTCTGTCTTCTTTGGTTCATAAGGTATAACAAGTTTGTATGCTTTGCCTTCTTTAAGGTTTGAGAACCTTCTGTCAAAACTTTCTTTGACTGCTAACAAACCTTCTATGTCTAAGTCTTCAAATTTCGCACCATTTTTAGTCACAATAGCAAACTTAACTGGTTCGATGTTCCAAACTTTGCTGAATGAAGACTTTCAAAATGGTAGAAGTAAACATTCAAATATGTGAATGGGTCTAGTTCTTCTTTAAGTCCTGACATGTACTTATTTACTGAGATGAATTTTGCCATCTTTTCTATCGGATAAAAAAAATATTTTTTTTAAAATTTACTCATAAAAATTTTTCTTTGTATATACACCATTCTGAACATCTAAAAGACTTTTGACATTTGCCAAGAATGTACGTTTAGAAGCTGCCATATAACCATATTCTTGACAATATTGTTTATACGAATCGTACAATGACCTTTCATCTAAACACTCAAAGTCAGTTTCATCTATGAACAGTTCATATACACTCTTGTTTGCTTCTAACAATGTTTGTCTCTCTTCGGTATGTGGAATTTGTCTTGGATTGAACTTAGAAATATCTAATGTCATAAATATGAGAACAAGTGGTTGTAAAAGTCAGATGTCAAAGTTTCTGCTAAGTCGTCAAAATATTCTGTATCTTTGCATATGAGCTTCTGACGTTCTGACAACTACATATCTTCTGTCAGAACTTTCTAACTTCATCGGAACAGTATTGTTTGAAACCATAATGAAGTTTGCAACATTTTCACAAACTCTTTGGTCTTTATACTCTTCTTCAACAACTCCAACTTTGTCTGTTATAAGACTCTTCAAAGCATCTGAGTTTAAAACTTTTGTTGTATCTATACTTTGAAGTTCGTTACATACTATAAGTTTCATATTCTCTATTGAGGAGTTAAACTTGCCACAGATGTTTTCTAAGTTTGTCATATTCGGGTTCGAATAGCCCTCTAATAGTTTGCATAAGATATCTGTAAAGAATGTGTTCTTACCAGTTCCTTGTTTTCCAATTATAATGAGAGCAGTTTCATTTTTAGCACTTGGATGTTGTAAGATGTTTGCAAACCAACATAAGATATACTCATAAACCTTTTCGTTTCCATTGCATATAATTTCTTTGACATGGTCTAACCAAGCTTCTATAATATTTTCTTTCCATTCTACTTGTTCATATTTATATCCAGTGAAGATAGAATAGAAGTTTGGAGAAGGTGTATAGAACTTTATACCTCGAACTGAAAAATCTTCTAACTTTGACAATAAGATATCCCAAGCATCTAACATCTTCATGCCAACTTGTACGACTTTTATTTTCTTAAGTTTCTGTCTACTTACATTCTTGTTCAGACACTATTGTTGCTCTTGGTTTGTTAAAGACAACATCCCATTCTTTCATAACATAACATTCTGGGGCAGAGTCAACATAAATGACTAAACGTTTCAAATTCTCGACTGCTTTGTTATAGTCTCTAAATGGACACATATTTCTGAATGCTTGGAAGTCATAAAAATCTGAAACATCTATTCTGTACATTTTTATAAAAATAAAAAAAATATTTTTTTTATTCTTGACTTTGTTGTTCCATTTGTTGCATTTGTTGTTCTTGAGCTATTTGTTGTTGAAGTTGTTCTTGTAATACAATACTTTCACCAGTTGCATCTTCCAATTCGAAACTTTCTGCCGTCATTGACAAATACATAGGACATAAAAGTTTTACAGGAACAAAGTTTGCGTCAACTAATGTCAACGTTATACTTGCCAAAGTGTTTGAGTTCACTAAGGTTGAAAATTCTGCATTCGAATGAACAATAGGCAAACCAACCAGCAGGAGAAAGTATTGTTTATACGCATAAGTATTTTTTGGTCATAATAGTTTCTGTCGACATTCGAATAACACTTTGAACCTAAGTTTGAAACAATATATAAGATTGGTGTGCTTAATGTCAATGGAATAGACATTCCTTGTATGACACCTTTTTCCTGTATAGGAAACTTTGGTAGTAAAAACCAGAAATAAGTTTTGTATTATAGCTCATATCGTTTATAGTAAACTCAGTCGGACATCCAAACATAATGAAACCTGCTCTAGTTGCAGCACATGTTACACCCGTACTTAAAGTATTAAATAAGTCAACAAAACCTGTTGGTGGTATATCTGAGTAAGTATCTTCAAAGGAGTATTTTTTTACCATTCACAACAATAAAGTCTTCTGGTGTCAAAAGAGACAAAACAGGCTTTAGTCGTCATTGTGTTAAAGTTAGTTTACAATACCGTCCTTGAGGACTTTGTAAGTTTGTTATAGAATTATATGACTCAGGGTTTTTAGTCGTAATAGTATAAACCATTATGTCTTCTGCCATTTATATATATTTAAAAGTTTTTCTGAAAGTGGAGAAGAACTTCATCTAAACTTTCACATGGCGTTTCTTGAAGTTCTCTGTCTAAGAAGTTCAAATATTTTGTAAAGACATAGAACTTTCCTTTGTCTACACGAACAAACAAAACAGGGACTTTCATATCGTTCAAAAGTGTTGTAAAGTCCTTTACATGAAATAAAGTCTATATTATTTTTCTTCAAACATCTTTCAAGAAGTTTTGACATTTTTACTTAGCAAATAAATTTTAATGAAAATGTTGTGGTCGTCAAATATTTTTATGACGTCTGGGAAACTATACTTTAAGTTCAACGTTTCACCTCCTTTCATAACGTATATTTGTCAATGACATTATATGAAACACCACAGCAACTAATGTCGGGTTCTATTTCTTTGATGTTTATATCGTCTGCCTCTGTCAAAAGTTTCAATAGTTCTTTCAAGACTTCATGAGGTTGACAATGACATATGAGTTCACTTTTACAGGGTTGTGTTCGACCAAGTTTAACATTATACTTAAAGCTTGACAAATCTTCTCCTGAGTTTGAAGTTTGTCTTTCAGTTGTTGGTAGTCGTTTCGAATATCTGCAACAGAACTTAAGTCTCTGCTAACTTCAGGATATGTTGGTTCTTTTACAGGAACAATTGTTATACCATCTTCGTCTTCGTATGGTTTCCCCACTTCAACATCTCTGTCTTTGACATTGACAACAACACTTTGACTGTTTGTTTGAGTTGGTGAATTAACTTCACATCTGCCACCGCCATTAAACCTTTTGAAACACTTACGCTTCTATTTTTCGGAAATGACATTTTACTTAGAATAAAAAGATGTACGTATTCGAGTATCTCTTCGAATTGAAGCAGAACAAAGTTTACACACACAAACAATACAAATACATTGACAGAATAGTTTTTATACAAACAATGGTAAATGTTATAGAATAGCAGTCTTTGCTGAACCTAAATATTTTCATAAAGCAAAGAAAGTTGGTATAACTGAAATGGTGAAAGTTCTTGACGTTGACAAAAATATAACAACAAAACTTACAGATATTTCTAAAGGTAAGTTTATCTTACAATATTTGTCAAAACTGGCGTACTGTCAATATTTGACGGAGAGAAGTCAGTTCAAGAACAACTTACTGACCTGCTGCCAAAATCTGCTCGATGGAAGCTGTCGTTATGCCAATCTGAGGAGCCCCAGCAGGTTTCATCGAACGAATCTTCAAAAGAGCATCTTCCGTGAAAAGTGCTATTGGTTTTGTAAACTTCTTTGCTCTCAGTTCATCTGGACCGTCTCTGTCACCAGTATATTGTATTTGTACAGTACCAACAGTTGAAATACCACCCATAAAGTCTTCTGAGTCAGCAAATGGAATGCCAAGCCAAAAGTTTGAACGGTCTCCATTTGTATATTGAAGTTTTTTGACCTCCTGTATGAGTCCATACTTTCACATATGGCATAATAGAACTTTGCATTTCAGGGTTAATGGTTGTTGTGAAGTTGTTGTTAAAGTTCATAGCATCTAATGTCAAGTTGTATGACCTCATATCCTCAACTGTAGAATATTCTTCTCTTGGATAATATTGGCCATCTATGTTTATATGATATTTAATACCGGGGTTGTAGAAACAAGAATAGTCATTTATAGTTCGTCTGAACAGTACAAACCATAGTATCTGCATGTTTCATTTGCAGTTGTTAAAGCAATATCTGTTCTTGCACCTGGGTCAACTTTGGTTTCCAACTTCACCTGCAAAGTCTTTGACAGATATTTGGTGTATAGGGAACATAAGTGGAACTGCAATATATTTGGCAGCTAAAGCATTTGAAATATCTGGGTCCCATATAGACTGCAAGTCTGCTTTCTATTCCTCTTGCATTCAAACTTTTCGCATGTGAACTTAACTGGGTCCAAGCAGTTCCAGCAGCATTGAAATAATAGTTTACTTCATTGTTGAAGTTTGAGAAACCAAAGTCTAAGTCAACTTTGTCTTTGCAAAAGTCACAGAACTTGGCTCCACCAGTTCCAGCTACAGTAATGCTGAATGGGTCTTGTGTTGGTGCAATGACTAAGTTATTTTTGCTTGGAGTAAGTTCAATAGAAATTTTTCCTGCCCAGTTTGGCAAGTATCTTAAAAACCTGAAGATGAGGAAAGATGACAAAGGAATCTAAGTTTCAGTTTTACTTTAGTGGCAGCAGTTCCATCTGAACCAGAAAGGTTAACATAAACTCCTGGAACGTTAGGGTCAAGTCTTCTTATTTTCTCAATATTTTGCATACTGGTCTGTTTGTTCTCTAGCTTGTGGTTGTACTGAGTTTCTCAAGCGAACCATTCAAGTTTGCCCATGTTACTGGTTTGAACTAAGTCAGAGTTAGAATATCTTATATCCCATGAAAACTTCTGGAGCATATTGGTATCCGACATAGAAATTCCATTGCAACCTTTCTTGTCAGACAACTTGGCAGAAGGTTTTTATTTCAATGTCTTGTTCCACGTATAAGAATGAGTTTCAATAGAAATAATATGAAACCTGTCGCAAGCAATATCTACTGTTGTTGAAGAACCTTCTCCAAACTCACCTACGTTTCCATAAGAAACAGCAGTTGTATATTCGTAAGTTCCAGGAACTATTTCTGACCTTCTAATGGCATTGTCGCATTCGTTATACCATTCGGAAACATTTCGTTCATGGCATCCAAAACTGTTGGCGTTATATTCTGAGCGGCGTACATTTCATATGGGTAAAAATATAGAATAGTTGGATTTATATATCATAATAGAACCCACTCGACCAAGCTTTACTTTGTTCTACTCTTCTTCTTTGGTGTCGCTTTTGGTAACTTGCCCTCTGCTTCAAGTTGTTGCATCTTTGCCTCATGTTCACCTAGTATGTTGTAAATTTCCCATGTCCTTTTTGCCTTTGGGCTCTGGTCGCCCAACTCAGGTAACCTATATCCTAGAAAGATTTTGTCATAGTTTGTATTTGAGTCTTCGCGTATTGTTTGCATGACTCTTTCCTGAGTTTCCGGTTCAAGCTCTTCAAACAGAGCTTGTCCATATGGAATAAGCTCGTTTCCAAATATATGTTTTTGTAGCCATTCTGGTTTTCTTTCCATGTTACCAACAATATCTTTTGTGAATGGGAAAGCTTTTACCCAATGTTTCAGTCTTGCGTCATTTATTTCTGTAGTTGGTTTTATTTTGTCAAGGAACATGTTTTTCAATACTAACATTTCATTTGGTACTGTCCATTTGAGTTTTCTTAAATATTCATCCCTTCTCGGTTCATTGTCTGCAAAGTAAGTTTTTATGACATTTTGTAAACTTTCGTTTGCAAGGTCATGTACAATAGGTTCTCTTCCTTCTCTCTCCCTAACTTTCTTTCTAAACTCTTCACCAAATATACCATCTCTATGGTTCTGTGTAGTTCTTTGAGATAAATGTTCTAGAACGTCAGGTGTTATATTTCCATCAGCCATGTTCATTTCATACTGGTCCAAAATATCTGCATCTTTCATATCTTTCAATGGCATTAAAGCCGCGCTGAAAATACCAGCTACATCTGGTTCACCATTCACTTCCATTGCGTCTACAACTTCTTGGAATTGTGGTTGTAAGTTTATGAACCACCTATCCGGATTAGCTTTATGACCCCATCTCATTGTAGTTCCATCGTCTGCAGAAACAAAAGTAGGTTTGTTTCCATATTGGCTAGGTTCTGAATGAACTTTAAACAATGTTTCATTTCTATATGTTTTGTTGAAATTTAACCTTTTATTTTCACCGAGTTCATCCAAAGATTGAACGTTATATGCTCGTAAGTAAAAAGGATTGTTGTATTTGTGTACACTTTCTTTCAGTTCTTCCATTCTATGCTGGATATTTTCATCTGATGTTGGAGTCTTTTGTATGTCGGCGAACATTTTTCGATATTCTTCTACTATGTCAGCCGAATTTTTCTTAGACTCTTGGAAAGATTCCATATTCCCCGCATACTCTTGTTGAGGGTCAAGATTTTTCGGCTGTTCCAAATCTTCATCTAGTTCTGTGAAGTTAGTTTCCAAAGGAGGGACTTGTTCGTTTCCTTCTGGCTCTTCTAGCTGTTGTTGCTGAACTATTTCTTCCATGTCTGGTTGTATCTGAACTTCTTCCTGTGGAGTTTCTTGTACCTCATCTGCTGGCATTTCATATATTCCGAGACCGTTTTTAAAAAGTTCCCTATCTAAGTCATCCGGACTCATAAACCTTTCTTCTTTCGTTCCGTCTCTATTTTTTACGCGTTTCATGAAGAGAGTTGAATTATCGTTTAGCTCTGACACCAAATATCTTGGAGTAAATTCAGTCATGTCATTTGGATGATATGCTATTAAATCATATCCCTTAGCGAGCTTGTATTTTCCAGGTTTGAAATTATATCCCATTTGGTGCTGAACCATAAAGCTAAATAGGTTCGGGTCAGTATTTCCTTCCTTGAACTTTCTAATAGCTTCTTTATATCTGTCACTAAAGTCAAGAGTATCTGGGTAACCATAGTCTTCCTTAAGCATTTTTAAGAATTCTTGGTTTCCTTGTTCTCTACTTCTTTTATGTCCTTGCTCTGTTTGTGGTTGTTGTGGTGCAGTGTTTTGAACTGTTGGTTGTTGTGCTGGTTTTGGTTGTGGTGCAGTGTTTTGAACTGTTGGTTGTGGTGCTGGATTTTGAACTGTTGGTTGTGGTGCAGTGTTTTGAACTGTTGGTTTTGGTGCATGCCTGTGTCTGTGTCCATGTGACGATGTAAATGTTTTAGGTAGTCCTGGTGCAGGTGCTTCTCTTGGAGGGTTTGGTGGTATATAAGTTCCACCAGCTGGCACATATGTTCCATCTGCAGCATAATGTCCTACCTGACTTTTCGTTTTTAAGAAAGCATTTACTAGGTCTGTTTTGGTCTGTTGTAACTCTTTTTCTTGACTTTCCACAACAGTTGCTCTAACGGCGTCATAGGCACTTTGAACTGCCTGTCTCGTTGCTGCATCTGTTATTTTCGTCATATTTTGTGCTACTTCTCTTAACTCTTTGTCGAAACCTTCAGACTTCAGTTTCTTTCCAGATGAGAAGTCGTTCACTAGTTTCACCTTACTATGAAGAGCTTCGAAGGCGTTCTTAAAGTCAGCATTCATTAAAGCTTCATTTGAACTGTCTTCATCCGCTTGTATTTTTGTCCTTATTGACCCTATAAGTTGGGCTGCTTTGGCGTTGGCTTGGGCATCTAACCAGTCATTATTAGCTTTTATATATTCTGCGCTTTTCATTGCCTTTTGCATGGCCGCGTCGTTATTTTTACTTTCTTGTGCTAAGTTTTCATACTGTACGGTTTGGTTTTGCAACTGTAAAAGTTTTTCTGCCTTTACATTTGCTTCAACTTCTTTTTTATACTCATCGCTATCCATATATGTCTTCAGGGCTTTTTGTTTTATTTCTTCATCTTTCAGTACTTTATATTGAGTAGTATGGTTTTTCAAATTTATAACATCTTGTTCCATTTTTGCTACTTCTGCTGCTTTTTCTGACACTTTTTTCGCATATTCCTCTGTACTTAGTTCTTTCAGTTGTTCTTCTTTCTTCTTTTTCTCTACGTTTAACTCATTGAGTTTCTTTGTGTGTCTGTCATATTCTAGTTTCTTTTCGTTTTCACTTATTTGTTTCTGTATGTCTATGTTTGACTTTTTGACATCTGTTATTTGATTTTTGAGTGAACTCAAATTCATTTGACTTTGAGGGTTATAGGCTGTTCCGTCTGCAGCTCCACCATAGCCTGCCATTTTCGCTAAAAGTGCCGCTCTTAAACCTCCACTCTGTGCACCAATAACTCGGTTTAAAAGCATAGGGTTGCTTGACATTTGTTGCAACATAGTGGGGTCATTCATAATTTGTTGTTGCAACTGTTGTTGTGGTGTCAGTTTTACTATTGGATGTTTCAATGCTCCCTTCCTCTTACGTATATTCTTACGTAGCTTACGTGGCATTTTAAGTGAAGTTAAAAAGCGGTTTTTGACAGATGTTTATATGACACTTTTTGTTCAGCTCAAAAAACTACTCGGTCAAAGTGTTGTCAGTTTTGTAAAATAACCGTCCTCTCTCCGTGCCTATGACGAAGAAATCATGAAAATTCAAGAGGTGAGAAAAGAGGTGAGAAAACAGGTGAGATCTCACCTCTTCACCTAAACTTTATTTTTGGGTCCTTTACACTCATTACGATGAAGAAGTCTTGACAAAACATTTACGAAGAAGTCTTGACAAAACATTTACGAAGAAATCTTGACAAATTCAAGAGGGTAGAAAAGAGGTTAGAAAAGAGGTTAGATCTAACCTTCTACCCTAAACATTATTTTTGGTCATTTACACTCATTACGATGAAGTCTTGACAAAACATTTACGTTCATGTTTGACAAAACATTTACGAAGAAGTCTTGACAAAACATTTACGAAGAAGTCTTGACAAAACATTTACGAAGAAGTCTTGACAAAACATTTACGAAGAAGTCTTGACAAAACATTTACGAAGAAGTCTTGACAAAACATTTACGTTCATGTTTGACAAAACATTTACGAAGAAGTCTTGACAAAACATTTACGAAGAAGTCTTGACAAAACATTTACGAAGAAGTCTTGACAAAACATTTACGAAGAAGTCTTGACAAAACATTTACGAAGAAGTCTTGACAAAACATGAAAACATATATAATTTGTGAAAAGCGACACATTATATATAATGTTTTCGACCCAGAAGACTAACAATTTTCCGAATAAAAAACTTCATTTATATTAAACATCATCAGGGCTAGAAGGCACGAAGTGCCTGGAAGCCCCACTACCTTTTTTTTTTTTTTTTAGTAATAGAAGCGAAATTGATAACAAATCAAATCCTTCTTAATAAGTATCTATTTATTCACAAAATTAAGAGAAATTCCTAAACATTTTTATGCCCATTGATCTTTCTAACATTATTGAACTGGATACCCATTTATAGCCAATGGTGTCTTTTTGGTGGTTATAGATGGATATGATAAATTCAAGAATGACAATTTTCATATTCAAATTCTGGGAAAACATAGTTTAAATTACAAATGCATTGGTATATACATCTGCCAAATCACTATTAACATTGATTCATCACGTTATGCTGCTAAATTATTTGATGGAAACAATAAGATCATTAAATGATTGATATTTCCTCATGCAACAAAAAAGATTAATCGTATTAAATATATACTTTTATTGTTTCTTTTCTTTTTCTATGAATCTATCTTCACTTTCGTTGAAATAAACATTTGGATGGAAAACACCTGTTTCATCGAGTTCATGATCTGGATGGAGTGAGTTAAATAGAATAGCGCAAGCAGAGCCTGGATTTTCTCTTGCTTTGGCATTGATTTCTGCCATGTACTTTCCTGCAATTTCTGGATTGATTTCCTTGATCAAAGCTTCAAGTTGAGGCATTTGCATCATCTTGAATGGACATCCGTGTGTTTGTCCTGATGCTGGTGCAGGCTGTCTAAGGATACCTGCACATGAATAAGCGCTTAAGTTCTTTCCTGCGCCTTCTTTACCGTATGTGTGTCTAATGTTGTAAGCGTAATGTTTTTCGAAATCATCAAGAGAAATTGCTTTGGTAAACTCTGATCTCCAGAATTTGAGGGATTCATCCATTGTAAGACCGATTCCTTTCAAGTAAAGGCCAAATTGCAATCTTCCGGAATGGAATAATTTGTGATTCTTCTTTAGAGCATCATACATTGATCTCATGCATGGTGGGAATGAGCGAATAACAGCATCCATATCTTGGAGTGTAACACGAGAGAAGTTCTGACGACTTTTGGCAACAAAACTGCCTGCACGTTCATCAAATAAAGAAATAGCAATCTTTGTAAGATCTGAAGAATGTATTTTAGCTGCTCTGTAACGTGCAATCCTCTTTTCAAGATATATCTGATAAAGTTTTGTAAAGAACGAATCTAATTCTTTTGGACTAACTTCGACGAAACCATCTGAAAGTCTGCAGGTATAAACATTAATAAATTCAAAAACTAGCTCAAATGGAATTGTGTACATCTTTGTCTTTCTGTTATAGTGTTGGTCAAGATTTAATTTCGGATGAGGTATTTCAAGAAGCTCTTGAGGGAACTTAAATGGTTGTCCATCTTCTTCGTGAAGCTTTGCGTGTTGATCTAATGCATAGCGAATTCTTGCTTTAAAGATCTCTGATTCAACTTTAACAAATTTGTGCTGTGTTTCATCAGTACGAAGAGAAATGACCATGAAAGCGTAAAATGACATTTCATCAAGAAATTGTTTGGTAATTTGGCCACATTCGAAATTAGGTATAACTGAATTTGATGGATTGAAGACGCCATCGCGTGGTCTTTTTATCGGAATACCGTATTTAATCATAATTTTCTCAAATTGATCTCTTTTTTCAATTCCATTTTCGAGATCATTGATCTCTTGATGAACTTGGCTACGAAGATAAGCGAATTCGATCATATCTGAGATTGAAATATTGGCTGATGGTTCTACATTATACAATTGAACATAGTCATCCTCAGCCGAAAAGACTTTTTTAGTGCCAAGGAGCTGTTTCAAAGACATTTTAAACGTCAAGAAAAAACCGTCGAATAAGCAAATATGAAATTCATTGATAGAAAGATAGGATAAGACTTAGCAAATATTGAAATCATGAGTAGGAATAGCTGATCCTTTTACATTTGTGGAGAAATATTGTTAATTATAAAATTTTGATTCAAAATGTATAATACTACAATGTTCTTGTACTAAATTTAGAAATTTCATATAAAATAATACCATTTGTATCATTTGATTTCTTCATTGAATAAGAAAATCATGTCCAAAAATTGATTTCAATTCGAAAAAATTCCAAAAAAAATCTGAAAGTCAAATTTTCAATAATAATAATGGTAGTTTTATCTTCATTTTCAAGTTTTTGAAATTTTTTTGGAAAACTCACAGAGGCTAAGATCATACAAGATGATTGTTTTGAAGTTGCCTTTGTAGCTTCATGGGTCATTTCTCCTCTATAAAACTATTTTTACAAATCTCGCAAAACAAAAGCTTCTCAGTCGAAAAATATTACAAAATCCATCTAACATTACAAAATGTCTCTTCGAAACTGATCCAAATCATCTAGATGCAAATCTCAATTTGAATACATCTATGTACAATTGAAACACCTCAGTAACATCCAAATGGTATTGATTTGAATCAAAAGTTTCGTGCATTTTTAATCAATTCTAATCCATAGCTCCATTATTCGTAATATTTTTTACATAAAATACTAAATATGAAAAGTTCATAATAAATTCTACTTACTTATACACTACTATAAGAACCTACCAAATATTTTCATCAAAACATGCAAAATAAAATCAAACTTATTCACATTAAGTATGATTCTATTTTCATGGAGCGATAGTTATATATTCTTGAAGTTCATTTGCTTATGAGACTTATATGATAGTATTTTTGAATATATCATAAATCTGAAAAAAATATGTTTTGCTTGGTAGTTTGCAACTATGTAGTTCCTTGAAAAATATTTTAAATCATATATCAATCGTAAAATTCAAACAATTCTTTATCAAACAAAACAATATTATAATTTTTGTGAGAATGAGGACATAATCTATGACTGTTCATCACAAATTCTACAATATTATTTCCGTATTCATTCACAAGAATAGTAATGAAGAGATTTTGTAATTTTTCTTGAAGATTAGTTGAAAAACTTCAAGAAAACAACTTATCGGTTATAATTCGAATGAAAAATATTAAATTAACTGAAATATTGAGGCTCAAGCGGTATTCCCATGTAGGATATTGTAGATTTGCTTCCTTGTGCAACATTGGTTACATCTTTCGCCATCTGTTGGAAGAAATGAGGAAATGTTGGACCATAATATGCCCCATCAACGTCAACATCTAATTCGTAAATATCATGGCATTTTGGGCACCAGCCACATATTTTTGATAACCCAATATCATAGTCCATGCCTATTGGAAGTAAATGTTGACCGTCACAATTAAATCTAGGGCATATTCCAAACATTCCGCTTGTATATTTTCGTTTTATGATTGTAATAGCTTCAGGGGTAGTAACATACCTCTGATGAATTTGTGTGTATATATTGATTGCTTCTTTTTGTTCATCTTCCGTAAATTCTGCTAAATTTTGATTTGTAAACTTTTTCATGAGAATAATCTTCATTGCGTTATCGTAAAGATCTCTATTACATTGCACTCCATATGAATTAAAAGGATCTTCGGCAAATTCATACTCTACAGGCAAAATCCAAGGAGATTTTGCAGAAAACCAATCAATCCATGATAAATCATTAGAAGAAATCTGAGACTCATAGGCTCTTTTCCCTTTATCATGATTATCATTTAATTGAGTCACGATATTATAGTAATGAAACATGATAAAAAAATTGATCTTTATATAAACGATTATTTTTAATTCAATTTCACTCTTTGTTGGGGACGCAAAAATTCGGTAGCCAATGTCTTTGCATTTAGCTTTGTTGACATGTAAAATGGGAATTTCTCGCATATGTTCGTACATGAGCAAATACTATACCTTTTGCGAATAAAGAATTTTTTCATAAAAAAAATTTTTTAGGAATTAGCATATCGGCGTTTTGCGACATTGCCAAACGCCAGATTTTAACCCGACATATGAGCATAAGCTCGTATATTGGAATAAACTCGACTTATTCCATATTAAAGTTATTTTAATAATAAGGCACTTAATGTGCAAATCTAATTGAATTAGAAATGCACTAAGTGCCTATTTAATGGAATATGTAATACCACTATATATAAAATATGATTTGCGGAATACCACATATAGAATATGTAATCAAAATACAAAGATATTTTATATAACAATTAATTTTTTTTATTTTTTCAGCAAGTGTGGATAAAAAAGGATTACAAACAAATTGAATAGTTCCTATGTCCTTTTTTTGTTTCAAAAAAATCAATAAATTAATGATTTGTCTCAAACAAATAAATTAATGAATTGCAATTGATTTGAGTTGCTATAGACATTATAAAAGGTTCAAAAGTTTATATAAACCTAGTAAATTAAAATAAAATTTTCATGAATTGAACATATTAGTTGGGTTCCGCTTTGGCAAACTTTCCTGTGAAATTTTTTGGGAAAAATGTTGATGGATATTTGGGAATAGTTTAGTCGGTTTTTGCATTTTTAAAATGTTAGTCACCTTTCTCCTTCCAAAGTGAAAAAAATTGTTTAAAATATAAAAAGAATTTTTATTCGCATAGTGTTGTAAACAGAAATTCATCAAAAGTGACACCTCAGAAAAGCTAAACTATTGAATTTTTGGAACTTTTGATAGAGCACGTTTTTAAATATTAATTAAAGTAAATGTATATTTTGTAAAGATTCTTTTTAATAAAAAAGCAAAATTTTGAAGAAGAACACAAAATCTTCTGAAAAATAATATCACATAAACTCATATTATTTTCTAATATATAACTATTTGATATAAAAATCAAATTCAATGATCTTAAAAGCGAAGGATAAACCTCAAAATTTACGAATATAATGAGTGGGAATATAATGCTTATCTATCATAAAACCATATGAAATATCAATTTTTGCTTTACGCCTAATTTTTGACGACAATTAGCAAAAAATGTTAAATGTTAACACTCAGTCCATTTGAATATGAAAAATAAAATTGACTTTGATTAAATGTTTTTATTTATCATGCAATTCTTCTTGCGACCAAAGATTTGAATAAAATTTCAAAAAATAAGATAGCTTAAAAAATAATATACGGTAGTGTTTACTAATAGATGAATAGTATATAAATTCTATTAAAATGGATTTGATCCAAAAAAATATAAAACCAAAAATAATTGTTATAATTTAAATGAAGAAGTAATTTAAAACGATTTTATTTATAGCTCGCAAAGATTGGAAATGCAACATTGGTAGTTCTTGTAACTAATTTGGAATAGCATGACTGGGAAATATGTAGCAACGGACATAATGCTGAATAGGGCAAGTATGTGCAGTAATATGTGAGCGTGAGGAAGAGAGACTCGATTGTTGAAAATTTGACCTTCCTTCCTCTTCTGGCCCTTCCACAGTTGGATTCAATAATGTCAGCGAGGTATTCCAACTGTTCATATGTGAAGTTGCACAATGATCGGAGCTGGAGCTTTGGATGATTCAAATACTATTTTAATATTTCAATCAAAAATAATAATAAGTTCGAGAATCTAATTTTTACTTATGCACCAGTTAAACTTTTATTTTTTAAATAAACTATTTCTATTAAAAGATTTTAAACGTTTTTTTAATTCTTCACAGTTTCTTAATTTCGAGTTTAAAATGATATTGTAATAAACAGAAATTCATCAAAAGTGACAGCTCTCAATTTTTTGACATTTGTAAATTCTAAATTGAATGAGAAAAATGAAATAATACTAAGCATAATACAATATTCTATATTTAATTATAATTAGGAAAAAGTTAGTTTTGAGAGTACTTTTCATAGGCATATAGAATGAAATCTTCTGAAAAATAATATCACATAAACTCATATTATTTTCTAATATATAACTATTTGATATAAAAATCAAATTCAATGATCTGAAAAGCGAAGGATAAACCTCAAAATTTACGAATATAATGAGTGGGAATAGGCGTAAAGCAAAAATTGATATTTCATATGGTTTTATGATAGATAAGCATTATATTCCCACTCATTATATTCGTAAATTTTGAGGTTTATCCTTCGCTTTTAAGATCATTGAATTTGATTTTTATATCAAATAGTTATATATTAGAAAATAATATGAGTTTATGTGATATTATTTTTCAGAAGATTTTGTGTTCTTCTTCAAAATTTTGCTTTTTTATTAAAAAGAATCTTTACAAAATATACATTTACTTTAATTAATATTTAAAAACGTGCTCTATCAAAAGTTCCAAAAATTCAATAGTTTAGCTTTTCTGAGGTGTCACTTTTGATGAATTTCTGTTTACAACAATATATACTAGAATATATAGATATGATTAAATTGTATGAAAGATTTTAAACGTTTTTTAATTCTTCACAGTTTCTTAATTTCAAGTTTAAAATGATATATATTAGGATATCTAGATATGATTAAATTGATTGGGTTTCATTATTTATTAATTTTGAACTCTATTTCAAATTTGATAAGATTTTTATATCTTTTAATCACTTCATTTATCAACATGGATGAACCATGCGATGAAGATATCATCACCAAGATAAAAGAATCCAGAAGGGCGAACATTGTTGTTACTATTACACCTGAGAATTTCGACACAGATGAAGAGCCATTAAATGAAGAAGAGGCAAAAGAGATGACATTGACCAATCCAATGCCCAGGTTCTCGATTTCAATATTCATCAGGATGCATCCAAAGCTCCAGCTCCGATCATTGTGCAACTTCACATATGAACAGTTGGAATACCTCGCTGACATTATTGAATCCAACTGTGGAAGGGCCAGAAGAGGAAGGAAGGTCAAATTTTCAACAATCGAGTCTCTCTTCCTCACGCTCACATATTACTGCACATACTTGCCCTATTCAGCATTATGTCCGTTGCTACATATTTCCCAGTCATGCTATTCCAAATTAGTTACAAGAACTACCAATGTTGCATTTCCAATCTTTGCGAGCTATTTTCTTCCCAATCACTGTCCACCGTTAACTTCAATGAAGAACAAATTTACAAACTTCCCTGATGCTGTTGCAGCTGTAGACAGCACTACAATTCCTTTCAACATTCCTTCGGTAAAGGAAGAGAGGCTTTATAGTTGGGATGAAAAAAACCACTGCAACGGTATTAAGCTCCAAGTCCTCGTGTCACCAGATGGAAAAGCCATACATCAAAACGTTGAGTTTATGGCTGCAGTCCATGACAAGAAGATTTTCGATTTGTCAAAAGTCTCGGATTTTTTGACAGTAAAGCGAGGATTTGATGATTACCAATATCCTGTACTTGCCGACCGGGGCTATATTGGAATCCAGAAATATCACCTTACTGCCGTGGTGATGAAGAGAAGCCACGAAGAAGCAGACGTTGAACGCAACAACGCCATTGCCCAAGACAGGCAGATTGTCGAGCGTTTCTTTGCACGTTTCAAGTCATGCTGGTCCTGCATGAAAAATGGTTTTCGAGGTGAGCGCACATCACTTCCTCTGATCATATCAGGTTTAGTCGGTTTGACAAATTATAACATTGATGGATCACCCCTGAATGATAATGAAGAGTTACTCCTTTTCGAAGATTTTACACCAACAAAGGTTCTTCCTTCAAGCGATACCGTCGCTGCTGTTGTTGCACCCTCCATGAAACCATCAAAGCGGAACATCATTGCTGTCGCTCATCAAGCTGTCGATATCATACAGTCATCACAAGAGGCGAACTACCTTTACCCAATTAAAGGTGGTATTGTTGGTCTTCATAATATGGGAAATACGTGTCATTTGAACGTATGTTTACAGGTTCTGTTCTACATATCCGAAGTGAGAACAGAAGTTTTGAAGGTTGCCAATCAGTCCTCTCCCATCGTAACAGAGATGTCAAGTATCTTTACAAATTTGAATTCATTGAAGTCCAAAGGATTAGTCTTCGTTCCCCATGAACTTGCCACATTACTTGGTAACTCAACATATGAGGCACAAGATTGTGATGACACGATGACAAGATTGATCACAGATCTCGCAGAGCAAATACCAGGAATCGGTCAACTCTTCCGAATCACTTACCGTGATAGTGCCAACGAACAAACAAATTGCTACTCGATTCACACCAGAATTGGAGAACCAGATCTCGATCATGCCATTCAATATCATTTGTCAACTACAAGGAACACATCATGGCCACAATTCTTGACTTTCGACATTCAGAGAGAGTGGCAGAATGATTCGATTCATCAAGTCATCTTTGACTTCCCGAAAAAGTTGACACTCCCAACAGTCGAAAGGCAAAGATATCAATTGATTGCAATTGTTGCCTATTGCAATTTTCATTACGTGGTCTTTTTGCAAAAAAGTGCATATTGGATCATGATCAATGATGAAGTCGCATACTCTGTTCCATCAACAGATATCAATGCATTGAAGGGATGCTCAACTGCTGAGATGCCACCTTTATGGTACAAGACTCTCGAACACAAATGGCTCGCAAAGATGCTCATTTATCGAATGGTTCAATGAAGAAAATCCATAACATTCTCCTAAGATTTTTTTTAATTTATCTCAATTAAAAATTTTATTATTACCTAAATTAATTTTGTAAACTATTTTTGAATAGTTTACAATTTATCCTAATGGGACCCATATGCGGGTTCAATTTCTGGTTTATCATCTAGATATATTATGAAAGCCACTCAAAGGGTGATTGATTTTAGGATGTTCTTAGAAGATTTTTCGTTCATTTATATTAATTTTGTATTCCCGATTTACATTCACTAGCAAATCAATGCATTTCACACTTTAAATGACAATTAAATTCTAAGACATTGCTAGAACTGCAATTTCCATAAAAAGTTTTAGTGTAAATTGCTTAAATAAATAATTATTTTCATTATTTTTCTCCAACAAGCTTGAAAATCAAACGAAAACTTTACAAAATACTTATTTACTCATTTGTAAATATAAATTTCTAACAATTTTTATCCTGAATTTAACATAATACTGTATTTCTAAAATTTGCACTAGTTCATTCCTAATTGATGCTCGGATTTCGGTATTCCATATGTGGTATTACATATTCCAATAAAAGGCACTTAATGTGCATTTTCTAATTCAATTAGATTTGCACATTAAGTGCCTTATTATTAAAATAACTTTAATATGGAATAAGTCGAGTTTATTCCAATATACGAGCTTATGCTCATATGTCGGGTTAAAATCTGGCGTTTGGCAATGTCGCAAAACGCCGATATGCTAATTCCTAAAAAATTTTTTTTATGAAAAAATTCTTTATTCGCAAAAGGTATAGTATTTGCTCATGTACGAACATATGCGAGAAATTCCCAATAAAATTGAGAGATGTATTCTTAAAATCATATGAAATTTAGATATAAATCAAAATTAAATTTAGAAAATTTTGAAAAAAAATAAAATTCCAAAATAATGTGCAATATAATATGTATCAATTATGGAAGTGATATTTATCATATCCAAAGTCATTTTTTCTGATATCAGTTTTTCTCAGATCCGTGTTTTGGAACTTTTATCGCTTTGGGAGGGCGCTGAGCGCTCTTCCAAAGCAAAAGAATCCAAAATAACCCGATTTTAAATTTTGAGATCGAAATCTCTAATTTTCCCCATATAATAACATACTTTTTAATATAAAAATAGACATTACCAACTTTGCGGATCGAAGATCCGCAAAGTTGGTACCTAAAGCGTTATAGACTAATCCATGAATGGAAAAAAATAGTTGTGACACTTTTTACAGGCTTATAAATTAACACGAAAAACTATCAAGCAACTATTAGTATTAATATTAAACTATATATATTCACTTTTTAAATCATCCCTCCTCTCAAAAGGTGACTAATATGTTTTGAATATAATTTCAATAATAGATCTTTTTCAGATTCAACATATTGAGTTAATCAAACTTTTCCCCTGGCATTGAAGAAAATTCAATCTTTTAAGACTTGAACTAATCTATTTAGTTATTTTTGCAAAATTCAAATAAACTACTTGAAACACGCAGTAGTAATATGCTAAAGAAAGTTTATTTATATTAGAAAAATCTATATTGTTTATTCATAATATATAATAAAAGAATCTAATCTTGATTTGAAAGAAGAGGTGTTGAAGAAGGAATGTTTGGTTCGCTTTTGTTCTTGTTGCAAACAAAGATAAATATAACAGAGACAATACCAACAATAATGAATCCAGAAACAATGAGCATCACAATCAATGTCTTATCATATTCAACAATGAAATTAACATAAACATTGTTGTTTTCATATACAAATGATGCATGAACAATCTTAGATTTCTGTTGAATCTTCGATGGATAAATCGTAGTATTCGTGCAGTTTCCTTCGAATATATGAACTTTCTTCGTTTCATTTATATCATTGATTGTCCAATTTACATGAAATCTCTCAATATTCGACAAACTTCCATTGACAAATGGATATTCTGATGTTGTCATCTTCACATTGAAAAAGGCTGTGGAATTTCCAATAATGTCTACATTTGATTGTCCATAAATAGTCAAATTGTGAAGATGTAAACTATCAAAAGTGACATTTGAATTCTGAGATACCGTTGCATTCATAAGGAAAACTTTTCCATTTACCTCTTGTTTTGAAATCCTTGATGATCCGAAAACTGTCAGATTTGGCAAGAAAATTTCAGTTGCATTTCCTTGTGAAAAAGAAATTGAATTGTTTGTCAAATTTTGTTTGACGAAATAAACTTTTTGTAGAGTACTATCCACACTTATTTCTTTGTAACTAGAAACAGGAAGAGGAATGTAACTATCAACAGAAACAGCTCTTATATAATTCTTATCATTTCCTTGGAATAAATCAACAGGACCGAAATCTTTCCATCCTTTTACAAAGTCAACTCTGAAATCTCCAACAGTCTGTTCAATAGGAAGAGGAACAGTGTAATTAGTACAACCACAATCACACCTCTGTACATAAATAGGAAGTGTTGATGTGAAAGGAAGAGCGAAAACAAGATTTGGCTTGTTTTCACTTGGAATATGATACCTGTATCCATTGATTTGCCAACCATCTTCATGATATTCAACTGTTGGTCCTTCTGGCAAATTTACCTTGGCAGATTTGAATCCTGTCAAATATTCAATAGTTGTAAATGACAACTCTACATTGTCAGATTCTATTGAAGCTTTTCCTGAAAAATTGACGCAATTAAATGTCGATTTCAATGAATCTGCCTTGAAATTGCCTTCAACAACTGCTTGTGCATTGTCGAATGTTAATTGACCAAATTCAGTTGAATCTAAGTTAATTTTTGTCAAATTCTTTCCAATGAAAGTGACACTTGGCTTTTGGAGGCCTTTGAATGATATGAAATCATCCATATCTGATTCTGTATCTATTATTATCTCCTTTGCGGCTTTTGGAACAATTTTTGACATATCAGAATAATCTGTCAAAGAAAGATATGGTTTTATGCAATCTGTATCATTTGCTGCATAGCAGTATTGAGGGTAAACATCAAGAGGTCTCTGTTTCAAGTTAACTCCGATGCAATAATTTTCATCAATTTTATTGCAAACAAAATTAACGAGACTATCATCATTGTTAAATCCATGGACATAAGCATCAACAAGTTTAGATGATATGTTATCACATGTTATCTTTGGAGTACAAATTCCATAATAATTGTTATTAATGAGTTTGTTTGCTTCATCGTTTGTTGGCATTATATCTCTAGCATATTTGAAGTTTGCTGTGAACTTCTCAAGTCCATTTTTGATTAAAACAGATCCATGAATATCAGTATCAAAGAAAACATAAAGATTTTCATTGTCATTCATCTGTATTGTATCTATTGTGAACTCAGCATTGATGAATTTGACTGATCTAGGATTAGTTATTAACAAAATTATATTTTCACCAATTTGAGATGGAGAAACAGTTTTAACTACATTGAAAATACCATTTTGTTGGAGAACAGTTGTTCCATCTGTGATTATCTGTGCTTTATCTGTTATTTGGACTGTTAATGCTTGATATGGAACAACATTATCTTTCAAAAGAAGAATTCCATCATTGAAAACATTTAATGTTGAGCTCTGTGATGTTCCTTTAATGGCATGAAGCTCTGTAGTTCCATTAAAAACTGATAAATAGATCGCATTATCAAGTAAAGTAACAACAGAGTTTCCCGATGTATTTACCCATGGACCTTCATTGTATCTACTGTATCCAACTTCAATATTTGAGTTATCAATGACAAATGTATATTTATTTGCTCTGAAAAACTCTTTTGAAGTGGACGCTACTTTCAAAACAGAGTCTGTATTGTGGATAATCTGAATATCTGTCTCATAAACTGATTGAATGTAAAAAGTAAAAGAATTCATCGAAATATTCAAAAATTTTCTGGAAACACTGATGTTTGTATCCATAACTAGATTGTATATGGTTGACAAATTGACATCGTCTATATAAATGTTGGTGTTCCTTGTTGGAAAATATCCTTGTCCTACTAAATCTAAGTTTAGAATATCAGTTGAGATGTTATTGAAAAACTGGACCGAATATGCATCAGTAATGAGCTGTTCTGTAGTAATGAAGATCTTCTCAGCATTAATAAATGTGACATTTTCAAATTCTGTTACATAAATAAAAAGAGGATTCCATTCGGTATCATCGAATCTAACGGTAAGATTATGTATTCCAATGTGTGAATGGTATGTATCCATTGGTCTGTCAACTGCAATCATTGAAGTGTTTGAACCAATGAATGATACGGTTTTGTCATGAAACTTGGAAAAATCAATTGCGAATATGGAATTTGGTGTATTCAAGATTTCCAATGTGTTTCCATATTGAGTTGCAAATGAATCATAAAATTTTGTTATGTCTGTGATAATAATTTTACTTGAAGGACACTCTCCATCGTAATCAGGAGCTTTGATGCAAAAATCTAAGGAATAGGAAAGCGCAAAGAGAGATAAAAACATCCAAATACTTATTTTGAAATTTTGAGAAGGAGGATCTCTAACAATTATTTTGTCTTCTTATATTCATGTAATCAATATAACGAAATCGAAAACCAAATTCGAAATTGAGAATTTGATAACTACCTCAAATTTTCTGAAGTATGGGGATCATTATTTCAAATTGAACCATCAATAAAAAAAAGTTGGTTAAAATAAAATGATCTCGTAAATAAATTACTAATTCAATGGAAGACTATTTGAGCAAAGACAGATACTGTAACAAGATGAATAAAATTGAACCAATTAAATCAATAATTTTTCAAAAATTAAGAGTTTATTCTCATCATCACTCATACATATGTCTAAACAAGGAAGTAAATAGAATTTTATATCCCTCTCTTCTGGATAAGTGCAAACTCTCGATTAATTTTGATTTTTTATAAGTATCTTAATATTTAGTTTTGCTTGACACTAAAACACCTTTCTTGGTTGTAAGATATTTAACTATGACATGAAACTCGTCTAGTTTTATTGTTTAATTGAAGCGGTATGAGCTATGCGCAATAATTTCTAAAAATGATCAGCCAATAGATATGACATAAGAAAATATCTTTGATAGTTGATGTTCTGCATTGAATTTCTCTCCAATTATAAATCAATTTCGACATCAGAAATCAAAACACTTCAAATTCCGCTGCATACTTAATTTTCGAGTTCAATGATATATGGCTTGTGAACAATCTTGAAAAATTCGACTCGAAGAAAAAAAAGTATAGTTATGCTTGGAAAGCATCAAATTCAACAACTAGAAACTTGAGATTAGGACATCAAACTAACTGAAGTTAATAGAACATTTAGCTAGATGACATATATCTCGCAAAAATTAATTCTGCGAGGATCATCAATAATTTCAATAAATCTAATGTTAAGTGCATAGTACTCGAGCTCCTCGAATTGCTCATAATGAATGGGCAAATATTAAATAACGAATTTGGATTTTAGGAAAAGTAAGATTTTTATCCTCATAATGAATGTAAAACTACTTTCTCTCATCTTTCTATTTTAATATTGCTAGTTTTACGTTCAAAAATTGAAGATCAAGAATAAATCAATTTGTTTGGTTTTGTACAGCACATGATTAGGTATTTTTATTTGACTGATGTAAAAATCTAATTGTAGGTGGCTTATGCCACATTAGGTCGATTATCAAAGTTCAAAAAATGTTAAATATCTTCTCAATTTAACCATAATTATAATGTGCATTTAGTACATCATATACAAGGTCCTATTTTTAAATTAAATCCAAAAAAACGATATGTGTTCAAATGATTCAGAAAGTGACAAAATTTATTTTTGTGCGATTTCTTGATTTAAGGTATTGTTACATATTATATAATTTAATTTGTTTTCTTGATCGGCAAGACGATTAACATCATTGAAATTTTAAAGTGATAGGGACGATTAACTTTTTGTAAACCATTGAAAATTCGAAATTATCTGCATTCAAAATAAGTGATTTTATTTCTGTCAATAATCACAAATGTACAAATACACTGATGCTCTACAGATCACCATGGTTATATTCACCATACTTCTTGTTGGTGCAATCTTTGGCTTTATCAAGTTCTTCAGAGAGGATGAAATGAAAAGAGTTAGAAGATTATTATGGATGATCCCTATCGCAACAACAATGTTCTACGAAATCTCAAGAAGCCCATTCAATAAGGATACATGGATGGTTTTCCTTCATGGTATAATTATTGAAGCTATTTTACACATAATTGCTTATGCATATGCAGCTATTTATCATCCAAAGCAAACAATCATGGAAAAATTCATACCAACAGTTATTACACTTACTGAATCAGACTTCTTCTGGTATGGTTTCCCATTCGCACAAGTACTTTTCGATGATTCATACATTTGCTATTCTGTTATTGTTACATTCGTTCAAACATTATGCGTTCACTCAATCCATATGATTCTTGTCCTTAGATTCATCCCAGATGCCGTTGAGAAGTTTAAGGCCGCAAATGATCCAACACCAGAAGAGGAAGTTCCTCTTGGACCAAAGCAACATACAGATAAGGAAGATGATGGAAATGAAGATAACATGGAACTTCATGATATCAAACAGAATGAAGAAAACGAAAATCAAACTGACGAACAGTCGAATGTTTCAGAAAAGAAGTCAGAAGAACCATCCAAGAAAGAAGAAGCTGAAGCCAAGAAGGATGATGAAGAGAAATCTCAGAAAGAAGAAGAAAAATCCAAAGATGAAAATAAGAATTCTGAAGAAAGCCAAGGAGAAAACAAGGATGATAAGGAACAGAGTTCAAGCACTCCAGAAATCAATGTTGAACATGGAAAAGATGACCATCCAGCAGATGTTCCACAGGAAGAAGAAAAACCAGTCAATAAATGGTACTACAGACAATGGCTTATCGAAATGTACGCATTCGTTAACCAACATAACTTGTGTGCAATTGCTGGTCTTTTCTGGAGCCTTGGTGTAAGCTTTACACATGTTAAAATGCCAAGCTTCCTCATCATGTTCACTTATGATCTTGAAAAAGCAAGTGTTTGCGCAGGTTTGTTCTCAGCAGGTATTTTCATCGCATTCCATCCATTCAAGGGTGCTCCAGTTGTTGATGTTATTGCTGCTTGTGTAAATCACTTCATCATCAAGCCACTTCTTGCTATTGCTTTTGGCTATGCACTTGGACTTCCTCATTCTATTGCCAAATTCCTTGTATTTGTTTACATCGCTCCAGTAGGAAGCTATGGCTACATGCTTTCTGATCAGGCTGGATGGAAGACATCAATGGTCACATACTCAATGTATTGGACAATGATTTGTGTTCTTCCTGTTTATCTCATTTGGGCTGCAATCATTAATGCAACTCATATGTTCGAATAAACTTTGTTATTAAACTCTTTTTATAAAATAAAAACATGAAATTAAGGGTGCACCCGTATGTACGTTTATTTGAGAGGAGGAGGATTACCCTCTCAATTTTGAGGGATTCGTTAGTTTATTTTCTCGATGAATATGCAATAAAATTTGATTTTTACCTTATCAATATACTTCATATAATATACACATGTTCATGTAAAAACTTTTTTCCAAAATCCTCAGGAATTAAGGGATTTTTGAATTTTAAGAATTTTTTTCGAATTTTTTCGAAAAAAAAATATTTTCAGAACAGCCTTAACGGCTAAGATTTAGGAACAATTGTTTGATAGCAATAAGATTAATGATGAAATCATTGAATCTCTCATTTTCTCATTAGCAAACTTTGTTTTGCTTTCAAAGAGTGATTTGGAAGAAAGATCTGTATCAAATGATGTCTATAACACCATCAAAGGTTATTTCATTAGATTGATGAGTTCTGATGAATCGAAACAGCTTTTATCCGTGGCTTTCTCAAAACAAAGATCAAAATTATCGAAATTGCAAAAATTATTACAATAACTTTTATTTTTATAGAGAATTATAGAGAATAAAGAACTTATTTTTATTTATATGATCATGTACAAGATTAAGAAGAACACTAGGAGGCAGAATTAAATATTAAAAATTGCATTAAAATATTAAAATTATTTGTTTATTACTTACGAGGGCGGCATTTAAACGTTAACGCCGGAACCAGAATCTTCGTTCTTACCAGAAAATGTAACTTTTCCTTTTGCACCATTGCCTCTGCAAACGAAGCACCAAACAAGGATAACAATAATAACGATGACGGCAATAACAGCAATGACAATACCAGAAATAGCACCGCCTGAAAGACCACCACTACCCTCTTTTTGCTTTGACTCTTCTTTTGGTGCATTTGGATCAGCATCGAGGTCAATCGCCTCATTGTTAGCTGCCTGTTCTTCTGTCTGTGCACCTGTTCCCTTGCCAGTTAGATCGTATTCTTTATCTTCTTTGAAATAGCTCTCTTGGTCTTCTCCGTCTGCAGATGATTCTGCTGCTGGTTGAACTGTAACTGTTATAGTAGAATCAATCTCGACTGTCATCCTTTTTTGTGACTTTCTAGCATTGGATTTCATCTTTGTCTTCGTATAATTAATGATGCTAATTGGAGCACTGATGAAGAATACTGATTTAGCATTTACAGGTGAGGCTTGAGCTTCAACTGAGTCGGCGATAATTGGGAATGAATATTGTGCATCAGAAATAGTATATGTGACATTCTTTAAAGAATTTCCCATCATATAAAGTGCTTTCACATTACCATTACAAGTCATGCTTTTAGGAGGTTGATTGTCTCCTTGAAGTTCGGCGTCAAGTTTGAGTTTAGCAGGAAGTTCCATTGTGAAGGTATTCTTTGTAGAAAATACTGATGATGAAATGTAATTCATATTTGCAGGTATTTCCTCAATAGTATCAGGACCTTTAGCCTCCACATTTGGTATTATTGGAACTATTTGAATTTTGCATGTTTGGGTTTTGTCTTTGCACTCAACTTTAGTTAATGGATTAAGTGGATGTTGTGCCTGAAGTTGAGAAAAATTAACCTTAAGATTAATGATGAAAGGATTATCATAATTTATTACATCTCTATATGATTTTTGATCAGTTGAAAATTTTGCTGCGACAGTATAGTTAGAAAGACCGGCTATAAGATATGGACCTTCAAGGCAAACTTTACCATTAACAGGAATTTCATATTTCTTTGAGTTTGTTTGATTTCTTAAGTATTCAAATGTATCGCATCCATCAATAGTTGCGTTTGCAGTTGCAAAGCGAATGAATGGAAGAGAAAATAACATATTAATGAACTGAAAAAAAAGGTGAACGGTTAATTTTATTTATCGAGATTTGAATAAAAATAACGGTCGGCTTATTTTATTAAATAGTATTAAATATATTAACATTAATAAAATTATCCTTTGTGGGCTATTAGAGTAACCAAACAAAATTTGAATAGTTTTAAAGGTTGGATAAAATTGTTTTGAGAGAAACCGTTGAGTATTGAAGTATAGTATTTTATGAACTTTAAGACCATTCAAATTTTAATAATAAATGGATCAAAATAAGTGTTATAATAATCGATGGGTTTTTAGAAATAAAAAAGTTAAAATCTTGATTTGTCAAAATATTAATTAAAATATGGCTTAATAAGAATGGGAAAGACTAAGTTTCATAATGTAGATAATTCACTACTTTATAATTGATATCTTTCAATTGAAATACTAATATGAGAAAATTTAATGAAAGCATTATTTGAAAAAGCAACGTTGGATAAAACCCAATAATAAAGAATTTCAGCTGATAATAGCGGACTCTCAATTTTTTATGCACCCAATGTTTTTTGTTTGGAACTAGGATGAATGGTTAAAATGATTTCATGTTTTAATTCTTTCAATTAATTCCAAAATCGATAAAATCGATTATGAGCCTGTCCTTTTTTAAATAGTTTTAGAAATGATATTTGAACTTTTACTATATTTTCTATACTTTTTGAATGGTATTCATAATCAATTGATAGAAAAGCAAGATCTTCTCTTCTCAAAAATTTATTTCAGAAATATATTTAAAATTATTATAATGTTATTTCTACTCAAATTCATTCATTCAATTTTTTAAAAAAAAGTCTTTCATTGAAAAGCAACAAAATCCATCTGTCTCACAATTCTTTTTCAATTAATTTAGCTTTTAACCAATCCATTTGATAAATGCTATAAAAATTAAAAATTCTGAACTTTTTCAATTTAAACTCAAATCTTTAATTAGTTGTGATAAATAATACTAAATACTGAATTCTTAAGGGTGCACCCGTATGTACGTTTATTTGAGAGGAGGAGGATTACCCTCTCAATTTTGAGGGATTCGTTAGTTTATTTTCTCGATGAATATGCAATAAAATTTGATTTTTACCTTATCAATATACTTCATATAATATACACATGTTCATGTAAAAACTTTTTTCCAAAATCCTCAGGAATTAAGGATTTTTGAATTTTAAGAATTTTTTTCGAATTTTTCGAACGAAAAAAATATTTTCAGAACAGCCTTAACGGCTAAGATTTAGGAACAATGTTAAGTATCAAAAAGAAAGGAGGTCTGATATAGACAACATATATCGTTGAAGGTTGAAAAAATCTCTAATATTTGAGCCCAAAATTTCAAATTTTAATTTTTTGAAAAAAGAGGCCACCCGTATGTACGTTTATTTGAGAGGAGGAGTATTATATTTTTGAAAGGGTGAAACATTATGAATATGTTAATTATATAATAATATGTATTATTATAAAAAAGAAAAAATAAAGCACGTTAAAATTTTTCTTTCTTGATTTTTTACAAAATCTACTTAGAATTATGCAAAATATGACTAAATAATTATTAATTTCCAGTTAAATTTTAATTTTGATAAATAATTTAAATTTCAAAATATCAAGTTAAGTTCGACTAGGGTTGTTAGATTCCCGACGATAGGTGTCTTGGAAGATTTGCCTGGTGTCATCATAGTGTCTTTAAATCAAAAAATTTTTTTTGGAGTTAGTTTTATTGATTTTTCAATAAAAAACATTTCTAAAACAAGAAAATAAAACGATAAAATATTTATATTTTATATAAGGATCTTATATATTTAAAATAAATATCATTTATTTTTTTCATTGGTGTCTGTCAAACCATAATACACTATTCAAAAATTCAATGTGTCTTGCGGTTTCAAAAGACACATTCAAATTGAACGATAGCACAGACACTATTGAATTTTACCCATTGTATTTAGTTTTTACCCTTTTTATTTTTAACAATTAATGACTGAAACAGCCGTTTTGCTATGACCTCAATCACTTTTATTTATTATTTTAAATATTATTTAATTTTATTATTTGAATAGGCCAACTTATATTTGAGAAGCTCAATTTGAGACCACTTAATACATTGAAATATCATAAATATTGAAATATTAAAAAGTGTATTTCAAAATATTGAAATTATAAAAATTTATAATACTGAAATTGAGACAAATTAATAAATTCAATGTGTTTTTTTTGAAATAACTCTCAAATATTATTTTTTTGTTTATTTAATGATGAATAAATATGATTGCTTTAGTCAATCATAGAAACTAATTTAAGTTTAAAATAATGAAAGGATAATTTGATCCTTTTTTAAAATACAATTATTTTTGATGATTTGCAAGAATCTTTGAAAAGAATATAATATAGGTTCTATTTTTGTAAAATTTATCCAAATCATATATTACATAAATTACAATTAAAACGATGAAAGAACCAAAAAGTGTGTTTTGTGTTTTATTGTTGCGTGTTGGATGCGGGATCCTGTTATTTCCGAAATCGACAAAAAATTTGGAAATTTAATTTCCGAAATCGAAATTATATTAATGTTTTTAATATTCTTATATCAAAAGGATTAAAGTTCATTAAGAGAAAAACAATTCTTCTTCTTCAATCTATTGGCACATTTATTTCTACACGCCAATAAGGAAGGGAAAATTATAAAACACCATGGTGTCTTCAAAACGCTAATTTTTGATATTTTTAACAACCCTAAGTTCGACTATGTATGTAGTAATTCCTCAATAAAGTGCCAAAACCCTATTAAAATATATGAACATTTTCAACATTTTAATGTTTTTATTTAAAAATTTGATGGAATATGAGCTTCAAACAATTATTATGTAAATAAAAATAATTAAATATATGTATTTATTCGTATTACAACCGTAGTAAGTCGATTCTTCCTTTCTTCTACTGAGTTTTGAATTTGATTTCGAATTGTAAAGAGATTCAAAGGGAAAATACTAGCGGATAAAAACTACCTCCATGAAAGGGTCATAATGGACTCAAGTTGTATTTTTTGATATTTTTTGCTTTTCGAGCCTAAATAGGTAGCCAAGATAATGCCTAAAAATAAGGTTCTAAATTCTGAAGTTTACATGATCCTCTCGTGTGCACCCTTAAGGGTGCCCTATAGACGATAGCTCCCCTCAGAAAAAATAACCTTAAATAAAACCAATGCTTTTCGAGACCTATTTTGGTACCTCCAAAAACATTTTTCTCGGCAAAAAATCAAGTTGATGTATTTTGTTTTGTCATCGTAGATACTCTAATTTTCACCCAGTAATGTTATATAAAAGGAGCTTTTTTGTCGAAATGCAAAACAAAATTGGCCGTTAATGTGGTGAATTATCGATTTTTTGGTACAGCATACTTTCTTATCAATGAATAAATGCAGCTACTTGATAAAAGAGTCTTCAAAAGCAACTTTGAAAAAAAATATTCCTTATTTACATCAAGAGCCGAATACTTTTACGATGAATATTAATAAAATTTGTCGGTATTTATTCTTACAGATTATCAGATCACAAAAGCCAAAAATTGTTTATTATTTTTTCAGAATAAAAATTTCGAATGTATCAATTATATCAAATACATACATTTTATTCATACATTACAAATGAAAGATTTAATTTTTGAAAAACCTAAATTTTTTCGAAAATCAAATATTTCGGTATTATATGCGCCTTTGTTTAAATTATTCGCCAATTCCTCATCACGAATGTAAGATATTTTGGTATTACAAAAGAGAATCCATGAATTGATGTTTTCGTCCAAAATAATAATATTATATTGTCGACTGTGATAAGTTATTATGGCTACTAGTTTGGATTTTACAGCTGGATTGTATTCCATGTTAATCATCCAATGGAAACGTAAAACCAGCAACATCAATAAAAAGATAATCTGAAAAAGTAGGAGTAACTTGAAGTTCGTTATTATTAACAAGAGGAATGTCAATTTTATCTGTAAATCCCCAGCAAAATTTTTTGAAATAATCAATAAGATCTAGTTGCCTAGCTTCACATGCAAGCGATTCTTGTAATTGTTTGAAAGCATCAATTGGATCAGCTTGATGTATCTTTTGCCGTTTCGAGTACAGGTGATACAGATAAGTAACATCTGCATTTTCCGAAAAGTTCCGATTTGTGAGCGATAATATTTCTTTGTATATTAACTGTTGCTCATTGGGATTAGAGAATAATTCGTCAAATAGTTTGTGCATTAATGGTCGAAATGTAATAAGTTGAACAATAACGGCAAGAAAACTGAGATTTTTTCCAAGCTTGATACCAAGCTTTTGTTTTTTAGGCTTAAGTTAGTATCTCTAAGTTGTGTACTGAGGCACTGCGCGCCTCCGTACACCACTTAGCGGTTTTGACACTTTACGAAACCAGTAACGTATATTTTACAACACAACCATAACACCAACTTAACCTTAAATATTTACAAAACCATCTGACACATAAACGACTTCACTAACAACTTCACTAACGACTTCACTAACGAATTCCCTACCGTCCTCACTAAATAAAAATAACCTTATTTTTATTTTTTTAAATTTTTTATTTCATTACAAAGACATGTCCAACTACATTTACTATGACTCTTTCCCAGAACGTTTCCGTGAACTATTCAAAACTCAAGTAAAACTGAGAAACATGCATTTTAACAAAGACAGACCCATTGACGATGATGTTGTAAACAGAAATTCATCAAAAGTGACACCTCAGAAAAGCGAAAATATTGAATTTTTGGAACTTTTGATAGAGCACGTTTTTAAATATTAATTAAAGTAAATGTATATTTTGTAAAGATTCTTTTTAATAAAAAAATAAAATTTTGAAGAAAAACACAAAATCTTCTGAAAAATAATATCACATAAACTCATATTATTTTCTAATATATAACTATTTTATATAAAAATCAAATTCAATGATCTTAAAAGCGAAGGATAAACCTCAAAATTTACGAATATAATGAGTGGGAATATAATGCTTATCTATCATAAAACCATATGAAATATCAATTTTTGCTTTACGCCTAATTTTTGACGACAATTAGCAAAAAATGTTAAATGTTAACACTCAGTCCATTTGAATATGAAAAATAAAATTGACTTTGATTAAATGTTTTTATTTATCATGCAATTCTTCTTGCGACCAAAGATTTGAATAAAATTTCAAAAATAAGATAGCTTAAAAAATAATATACGGTAGTGTTTACTAATAGATGAATAGTATATAAATTCTATTAAAATGGATTTGATCCAAAAAAATATATAAAATTTGATCATAAATAAAATTGTTTAGTAGTCATTTAAAATGATGTAATTATTCAAATTTTGCTAAGACCCATTCGTCTTTGATATATAACTCCCATTTTTGCATTTCTGGCTCGTACCAAAATTTTGAAACTTCGAATAATTCGTTAGGAGTGTAATTACTATTCGTTTTTGGATTAATATCGAGAGATAAATGTGGTGTATTGTTGTATTTTTCAATGAACTGCTGAACTGAGTCCTTGATTTGTTGAATATCATCCAACTCGTCTGGCAAAAACTTTTCTAAGCTTGGCCACAGGCGCTCCACCTTGCCGTTCTGTCTTGGCATATACGGCAAGTTGTGCTTCCAAACTATTCCGTTTTCCTGCATAACCTGGCCGAATTCACCGCGGTTTTCACCGCCGTTATCGGTCCAGATGCAGTAAGGAATAAACTCCTCTAAAAGTTTCTTAAAACCTTCGCTGTTGAGTTGGAAGACTTGTTTTTCAATAATTTAGTTTTGAGAACTTTACGTGTCATATCATCCAATATGGCAAAAAATGGACAAGAAACATTACCGTGAAGGTAATGAATATCGCAGTGCCATATCAAATTCTTTGATATGGCACGATATTTGGTAGGTGGATCTGCTGGTTTGTAATCTCTTTTGAAGATAAACCTGATTCCATCATAAATTTTTCCACTTGATGATGCTTTATTTTTTGTAAATTGTCAAAAATTTGATCTTTTGTCAAATCTTCTATATTTTCAAATTCTTTTGCAATTTCTTCTTTTTCTTTCTCACAATCGGGATTTTGAGCAATATTTGAAACCTTTTAATCAATAAATAAGTTTTTGAAATTCCTCCTTTATATTGTGAAACACAAGAATTAATTAATTGTTTTTGCTCAAATGTTGGTGGATTTGGTTTTCTGCCGCGACTAACTTTTGGTAATTCGATTTCTTGAAGTTGAAATGCTCTTCTTATTGTATTTTCGGCAACATTCAATTTAATTTTACCATTTTCCAATTCAACTTCCTTTCCCACACTTTTGTAAGATTCACCTTCTTCTATTCTTCTTTTAGCTTCAAATAGCCATTCTCTGCTTATAGATTTGGCAGTAGTCATAAAAGTGGTCCTTCTTTTGTGATAAGATTCAAATTTGAATGTGGATGATAAATAAAAATCAAAAATAATTGTTATAATTTAAATGAAGAAGTAATTTAAAACGATTTTATTTATGATCAAATTTTATATATTTTTTGGATCAAATCCATTTTAATGGAATTTATATACTATTCATCTATTAGTAAACACTACCGTATATTATTTTTTAAGCTATCTTATTTTTTGAAATTTTATTCAAATCTTTGGTCGCAAGAAGAATTGCATGATAAATAAAAACATTTAATCAAAGTCAATTTTATTTTTCATATTCAAATGGACTGAGTGTTAACATTTAACATTTTTTGCTAATTGTCGTCAAAAATTAGGCGTAAAGCAAAAATTGATATTTCATATGGTTTTATGATAGATAAGCATTATATTCCCACTCATTATATTCGTAAATTTTGAGGTTTATCCTTCGCTTTTAAGATCATTGAATTTGATTTTTATATAAAATAGTTATATATTAGAAAATAATATGAGTTTATGTGATATTATTTTTCAGAAGATTTCATTCTATATGCCTATGAAAAGTACTCTCAAAACTAACTTTTTCCTAATTATAATTAAATCTAGAATATTGTATTATGCTTAGTATTATTTCATTTTTCTCATTCAATTTAGAATTTACAAATGTCAAAAAATTGAGAGCTGTCACTTTTGATGAATTTCTGTTTATTACAATGAAAGAAACCCTGAATATATTACAATCCCTTATGACGCAAAGTTCATTGCATACATTCCTTATGGTCGCAGAGGAACGAAAACTATTTCAACAAAGAACAAAAATTATTTCTGGAGCGATGAAGAAAATTGCCTTATCTACATAAATGCATACTTAAATAAAGCTACATATTGTACAAAAGAAGGTTGGACTGGATTTGAGCTCTACATATACGACGACGATGGAAACAGACGTTGTGTATACCCATACGATAATATGTACCATTGTTTTCATCAAGCATTAAACGAATACATAGTCAGTAAGGGTCTCATTCCTGCTGAGTAGAAATGTTATATTTTTGTTCCCAGATTTATTTAAAAATTAATGATATCACCACCCTCACACGTATGAAAACATAGCACAAAAATAAATTTAGGTGAAGTGGTGAAATCTCACCTCTTTTTTCACCTCTTTTCTCACCCTGTTGAATTCATTGCTTTATAACTCTCTTCCTTTCTCCAACTCTTCTAACTTCTTCTTAAGTTCAGCAATGTTGTCCTCATGAAGTTTAATCTTTCTCAAAATTCCTTCTTTATCTAATGGTTGCTTTATCTTTCTAAACTGAACTCTACCATCCTTCATAGTATGAATGTAAAAACCTTCTGGAATAGTTCCTGATTTAATGTATTCTACCAAAAACTTTTGTTTCATTGCTTCAGTGACTTTATTTGTCATTTCAATCAAATAAAAATTTTAATATTAAATAAAAATAACGTTATTTTTTCAGTAAGGAAACGCAGGAGTTTTACGATTTATTTGAGGAGTAGGTTCTGGTTTAAATGTTGGAGTCGGTTTAGGAGTTGACTTTTGAACAGGAGTTTGTACTTCCATAGGTTCAGGAGTCATTAAAGGTTTTGGCGAAGGTGTTGGAGTTTGTTTAACTTCAGCTACTTCAGTATTATTTACAACATTTGCTTTATTTCTTTTCAACATCATAACTGCTCCTGCTGTAGCTAGCAAACCTAGTGGGAGACCATTTTATATAAGGACTTGACCAAATGCTATTTTTGACAGGAGCTGGTGGAACACCTAACCTTGGTGAGACTGCTCTTTGCCATTGTGCAGCTCGTAAGAAATATTCAATAGGTGCTCCATAATCGTTTGGTAAAGTTTGTTTCATAGATGGTGAAGGTTCACGAGAGCTTGATGAAGAACTCATTTATAAGCTTTAAAAATAAACGTTCATCCTTTATTCCTCACTGTCGTCCGTAGCTAAGTTATAGTCATCTAATCTTATTATGGGGATGCCTGACTGTCTTACCTGAATGGCAAAGCAACAATCCCTCATAAATCCAATAAGTGGCTTTGGTACATTTTCAGTTGCTAGTTCAATAGGTCCTTTAACAGACAATTTGTATGTTATTGGAGCAGTAGATGTTTGACCTTGCTGGAAGCAAAAGTCCACTTCTGTTGGAAAACCACATAAGAAATGTGTGTTGTCATAGCTATCCCATTTATGTTCCACACTACCATCATCCACCAATGACCTCATAACATCTTCATTAAATCCTATCATATCATTGTTTGTATTGCAAGCGTTCGCAACCATTTCATAAAATACAGGTCCATATGATTTTTCAGGTTCTGCAGGCATATTTCCATAAGCTCCCATGGAAAGCTGAAGATATTTAAACTTAGGGTTCTCAAAATTAACATAATAGTTGTCTTTCTTTCTAAATAGTGCCCAAATACTTTTAACATTAATAGGCGTATAAGCTGCTGTAAATGTTGCACTTGAACTATCTGTATTCTTTGAGAATGAACCGTCCATAGGAATCCAATCCATAACTTTAACAGGAAAACATAAAGCCTCGTTTGTATAATGTTCTACAAGTTCTGTATAAATGTTAGGGTCTAAAGAGAATGACTTTGGATGAATGAAACATTCATTAAAATCCATCTTTGTTCGAAATAGTTGCTGGGTTACAGTTGTAATAGTAACTGTTCCACTAGCTTCTACTGCCTTCGTTATCATAGTGAATGGTTCATTCCATGGAACAAATTTATTTGTCGGCGGATTTGAATCTGAAGCAAATGCAACTTTAAGAGTTGGATTGAAAGCAATGATATCATTTACAGATATAGATGTGCATTGTAAGGCGTCGCTACTGAACTTTACTTTAAGCTGAATGTTTCCTGCAAAAGCTGGAATAAATCGAATAGCTTCTAATGGAAGGAATCTTCTAACAGGAATTCTTAAACGAAGCTTAAAATCAAATGATTTTCCTGCTGTAATTGGACCACTAACAATTTGTCCTGTTCTGCATGTTCCCGAATGACTCCATACATCTTCATGTCGAGTCTTTGAGAAAACATCTACTTTCTTTATTTGTTCGGTAGTTTGTGAGTTTGAAGTTATATATGCTTCTTCTCTTGCGTTGTCTTGAGAATATACGATACGACCATTTGCAAGGATTTGATATCCAGCAACTGCATAGAAAGCGTCATCGAAACCAATCCAAAATCCTGGTGGGTTTGTTTATTGGAACCTGAACCAATTTCTTTATCTACAATAAATTGACCTTCCATTTTATACGTAATGAATGTATTGTAAAGGTCCAACATATTTTCACCAGGAGGTGAGAGATTGAATGTTACCCATGTGTTATCTTTAGCAGTTCCAGGTTGTGATGGAATCTTTGCGTCAGAATATTTTCTATTAGTGTCACCAATTTGAACTGCATTGTCTATGATATCGAAATATGAGCGAATCTGATGAATATGCTCTGCTGGAGTAAATTCGTTTAACTGTTCGTTCTGCATGTATTTACTTCGGATAAAAATATCTATTTACTTCATTATTCTCACTCTTCTTCTTGGCATTCGTGGTGGAAGTTGTTTCTTGACATTTTCAATGAACTGTACATTCTCTTTTGTCTCAACTTCTTTCACTGGCGGTCAGGATTCTTTGACTCGGTTTGTTTTTCAATGAAATTCACGAACTTTGCAATAAGCTCTTGGTTCGTTATTGAAAGTACATCTGGCTTCTTTTCTTCTGGTTCTATTGACTTTTCAGTTTGAATAGAAGGCTTAACATGGGCTTCGTGGGCTTCGCCCTTGCCATGCACCTTAATACTGTCGCTTTCTGCATTCGCTAATGGAACCTTTCTTTTTCTTACGTATATTTTACCATCTTTACTCTGACTTACGTAATAGAAAGGATGTTGTATTCCTCTTGCGTCATTTAATATAATAGACTCTCGCTCTGATTTTGACAAGCTCATTTTACATCAGTTAAAGTTTTAATTTTGTTTTTTATCTGCAGTCAAATGACTCAGACAAGTCCTACGGACAAGACCCAAGGGGTCATAGATGTTGAAGCATTGAAGAAAGAAATTCGTGAGCAAATTTTATCCGAACTGAAGGAACAAAAACAAGAACAAAAGCCAGAGAGACCAAAGAGAAAACTTAGTGAAAAACAACTTGCTGCATTAGCTGCTGGAAGACAAAAGAACCCACGTTTGCTGGCGAAGAAAGCTAGAGAAGAAGCTGAAGCAAAAGCTAAAGAAGCTGAAGCAAAGAAAGAGTAAATGGTTTATTTTTATCCGAATTAAATGTATAGACAAATACCTTTATCTGTTGCGTTCAGTAGTGAAAACCCTGACGTCAAAATAAAGGGGAACAGAGTAACGTTTAAGTTTCCAACAGACTGGATTGTGAACATAAATGAAGAGAAGTACATTGGCATAACATCTATGTATATAACACGTGCTTTCAGAAAGGTTGACTTTATACTTCAAGTCGAGATAGAAAATGACGAACAGTCTTTTAGCGCCCAAAACATTCACATATACAAATACTTTAAAGACGATACAACATTGCAACAATGTATGATTTCATTTAATGAGATGTTCGAGAAAAAGTTCAACATTGAAGTACAAACTTTACAGCCTTTACGTGAGTTTCTTGCACAACTGAAAGAAGAAGGTAGTCAGCCACAACTTATAGACTTTCATTATGAATTTAATGAAAATGAAGATGGAACACATGACTGTCAGTTTGTTGTATTCTCACCATTCAATGAAGTCGCTAAAAAGAAAGAAAATCCATTACGTATAAGATTTCAAATCTCTGAACCAAGTGATGATTTCAAGAATGTTTTCAATTATGATGCAATGCTTCCGAAAAATGAATTTTCAAAGATTGTAACACCTGGCATTTGGGATAGAAAGCAAGCTATATTATATTCAAACTTAAGTAAGGGAGTTGAAAATGAGTTCATTGGTCATACAAGAACTTCACCACTTCCTAACCCTAAATACTATAAATTAACTGGCTTCAATCGTGAGTTTGGATAGACATGTTCTCCACTCATGACCATAACTGCCCAGTGTTCTTACCTCCAGACCATAAGGACTGTCTCTACATTGAAGCACAACTCTTAAACTCTACCATCGCAGTATTGTAAATGACCACATGGGCTTCGCCCTTGCCGCTAGTTTTATTTTTATCACGAATGACCTCATTGCTGACAAAAATAAATGACCTCAGAACTTCAACTTACGAATAAAGCTTGTTTTAGTCGTTATTGAGAAGTTAAACTTTTCAGCAAAGCAAGGTTGACATGACTTACATAAGTCAAATCCAATCTCTTGACCATCATGAAGTGCTTTGTAAAGTTTCATTAAACTGAACTCAGAGTCTTTGTCATATGTTCCAACAGGTATGTGAATGTTCTTATCTTCATTGTAATAGCATTGTATAGCTTCAGGAAACATTTCATTAGCGGTTAAAGCAAGGACGTCTTGTTTGACACCTTTGCAACGTGCATGGAATGCAACTTCATTTAAATCGTTAGTGAGTAAGTCTATGTAGGTCTTCTTTCCACAAAATATTGACTTGTATGCTAAACTTTGTTTTCCAGGTGTTATTTCTGCGAAGTCAGAATGAAATTGACCTAATGTTTTACCAATAAGTTCTCTACCGTATCTCTTCTGAAATTCCTGAGCTAACAGTGGGATATCTTCATTGAAAATATGCATGCTATCACAGTCCTGGTAAAATATTTGAAGTCCCATATCTTCAGCAGTACAGAATACTTCACACATTATTCTCTTCGACATAGACAGAATGTTAACACCAAGTGGACAGAAGTTAAAGTGTCTGCAAATGCTTTTCGTTAGCTTGAAAATAGTTTTATCTGAACCATCCAAACCTTCGAACTTCACTATATGGTTGTAGTTTCTGATGGCATATCTTATAGCATCTTTGTCATTTACTATGGTTATTTTTGACTCAATAGGAGATAGAATAGTTTTGCCATAAATACTGTTCAGAATGAGCTTTATATTTTCTTGCAAAGGATTTCCTTCTTTCTTATACTTTAACCTTAACTCAAACAACTTCTTTACTTCATCTCTTATTCTAATATCTCTGTTTCCATCGTAATAGTATCCTTGCAACACTTCACATTTAACACCTTGATATTTTATGAGGTCTTGTAATGTTATATGGCCAACATACATGAGACAGCAAGTGTTTGAACTTCTGGGAACGTTAAGTTCTGGATTTAATTCAGGGTCACAAACTATTAAAGGAAAGTGTCTATGTATTCCAATCTCTGTTATCTTAATGAGAACAAAGAAGCCAGACACAAACTTTTCACCAATGGGTTCCTTTTGGTCGTCATCGAATAAATGTCTCATGAGATACTCTGTGCTTAACATTTCTTCCTTCAATACTTTCGGTATACCTTCTAAAGTATAGAGTCTTGCAATTGCTGAAGGGTATAATGAAACAGCGTCGAAGTCAGCAATGAGTTTCTTTTCGCTCTTTTGTTTAATGTTATCTGACAACATACATCTTCCACCTTGAATGCATCTCGAAATAAACTCTCTTGGTTTATTTGAGAGGTCATATAAATTTCCATTCGGGAAGTACACTCTGTTCTCAAACAATTTGTTAGCAATAGAACAAATACTAACGTAATCATAAACGTTTAAATCAAATTCTTTCAATATGTCATTGCGGAACTTAACAAAACCTTCTCTTAAAATTCTTACATCTTGTTTGCAATAAAATGTGCTATACTTTTCTAAGTCGAAGTGGTTCTCATCTATTCTGCAACCTTTGATGGAATCCATGTTTTTCATGAACGTTTCAATATCTTTTACAAACTTACATGCTTCAGAAATGACACCAGTTCTGTTGTCATTTGCTAACAAAGTACTGCTGTAGTAGTTATATGGAAATACTTCTTTCGGTCCTGTTTGTAAGTTAAACATTTCAGGAAATAGTTTAAGCTTCTTATTTATAACACTGTAAGAGTCTTTTATAATAATTGCCCTTCCTTTATATAAGCCAGTTATTTGCATTGTTCGTGAACCTTTAATGATGGGAGTTCCTTTCACTTCTGTCATGTGTCTTAAGATGAAGTTTATGTCATAACTGAGGTTATGAAAATATATTAAACTCTTGTCAGGAAGTCGCTCCAAAAATTCTGTTGCACAGTTCTGACCCCAAATGCTTTCACTCACTGAACCATCTTCACTGTCATAACAGATGTTAAAAGCTTTATGAAAGCCATCAGTACTGCACTCAAAGTCAGCAAAGAAAACGTGCTCAGGAATGAACTTGCACTTATTTTTATTTACTTCTTTTGACTCTGCTTTCTTCTTCAGTTGTACACAATACTTTGGAGCATATGTCAAATCTTTAAATGGTGCAAGGTTCTGTTTATATAAGTCAGTCGTATATGTGAAAAGTTCTCCATAAGAAATAGGTTCGAAATATTTGCACTCCCACAATGTTTTCATAACATCCCATAACGGTGTTGTTCTATCATAACGAACTACATATTTGTTCTCTCTCTTTGTATAAATCTTCATCTGTTTCTCAATGTTCATTTCCACCACACTCCTTCAAGATTTCTATATAGTTGCGAATGAAATATGTTGTCATTGGTAATCTTTCATTTAGCATGTAGTGGTCTTCAACAAGAAGTAAGTCAATAGTTTTAACAGTTTCACATTCTTTTGGTATGTATCTCTTATTTCATTATGTCTTGAGTCATTGAAGTAACCAATGACAACATTAAATGCTATACCTGTTGCGTCAGAAATTTCTTGTACTTTACTTTAAGGAAAGTCTCTAAACACGAATGACTTCTCTCATGTGGTCAATAGTTTCTTCATCTACTCCAGCCTGAATGCAAGCATAAACGAAACAATTGTCCTCTGTCATAAGTGTTGCAGTTCTTTTGTTCAGTTCATTGAAGATTTGGTAGCGTTCAAGATTTATAGGTAATGTGCAAGATACTTCCAGAACTGACCGCTTCTCTTCTTATAAAACTTCTTTTCACCATTATCTTTCCAAAAGCTTTCTATAAGTGCTGGGTTTCCTGTTTGCTTAAGAGCCTCCAAAATGGCTTTCTGGTCATTTGTCAGTGTGCTTTCATCTCTATATGGTCTCTTTTTGGTTTGCCTTTCTTTACATCTGACATCGTTAAGCCTTCATATTCTGTTAAATCATACATCTTTATTTCGGTAAGATTCTTTATGTTTGTCAAGAAGAAGTCATAGTGCATTTCAACAATACCTGCAGCATTTGCTTCTATCTCTGATATAAGTTCTCCTTCAAGAGCTGATGTAGTAATGTTCCAATATTATTGAGGTTTAACGTAGAACATTCATACTTTCCACCAAGTTTATAACATACCATCCATCTTTGTTGGGAGTTTATTTTAATCTTCTCTAAGAGTCTCATGAAAACCTTACCGAAATGTTTGTGTAAGTAGTCTCTGTTTGGTTCATCTAAAGCTTCGATGTTAAAGTCAATGAGTCTATTGCCTGTCTTAACATTCCTCTTTCCTATTCTCTTCATCTTTCTTTAACCATCTCTCACCTTCTTTGGTTTGTCGTCAATGGAACGAATGACATCGTTAGCTTTGCGAACTTGTTCTATAGCACTTTTAAACATCTCTCTTCTCTGTTGTCAGTGTTCGTCTCTTCTTCTTTTTCACCAACGTTTGCATTTGTTATGTCAAACATTTCTCTTCTTACTTCATGAGGTACTGAACGTCTATGATATAAGTCAATAGCAATGTCATTTAAAGGAAATGCTCTTGCATGGACTTCGTTCTCGCCGCGTTGCGGCTTTATGAACTCATGAATTCTATCATAACTTATTGCACCATTATAGTCATTGAGGATGTCAGCGAGTGCTTTTTTGTTTGTTGCGTAATGCTTTGCAACATCTATATTAGCTTCTGTAAGAAGTTGTTTTATTTCCGAGTGTTCTAACTTAGACAACTTCCGATACATCTTTAGTAGGAAATAAAAAAATATAGGGTGTCCAAAGGTGCGTTTAGCACAGCGCTCTATATGAGACTATTAAAGGAGATATATGCTGATTATAAATATATAATAAAAAATATGAATATATGTATATGATGAGTATGTTGTATTTTGGCGCCATGCCGGGATATAAAATGAATTTTGAGACAAGAGGCGGTTTCGCGGGAAATTTTGGCGGGATTTTTTTCATTTTTTTAATGAATCATAAAGAAAACATCCTCGCTCTTGCAAAAAAATGCAAAGACTGTAAAAAAATCTACGAGATATTGGTAAAATGCTTCGGTATGGATGCTCCTAGCTATTCCACTGTAACGTATCATGTTAGGATGTATCACTTCATGAACAAAAAGGCGCCCATCATAAAAATTGACAAAAAATCGCCGGATCAAAGAAAATCAAAGCAATTCTTCAAGCGCTAGATGAAGACCCAAGAGCATCACTCAGAAGGATAGAGGAGATGACAAAGATACCACGTACAACAGTCAGTTATTATCTGCACAATTATTTGAACTACAAACTAGCGTATACACGTTGGGTTCCGCACAACCTTAATTCAGTTCAAAAAAATCTAGAGTCCAATCTTCGAAAGAGCTCCTCTCTATATTGGGTGCGTATCAATCCAAGAAGTTTCGCTTTTTAGTAACAGGGACGAGTCTTGGTTTCAATATGCAACAGAAGCCAAAATCATGTGGATTCCGAAGGATGAAAATCCGCAAACCATTCCCGAAGAAAAAAAATTGACACACCAATGATGATGTTGTCGGTTTTTTGGGGCGTGAATGGCATCATCGCAATTGATATTCTTCAAAAACCTAATACGATGAATGCTCAGTATCTAATTGACAATGTTCTTACTCAAATTATCAATTCTGATGAGTTTGAGAAATCCAAACAACAAAAACAAAAGTTTGCAATTCATTTTGATAATTCAAGAGTTCACAAAAGTCATAAGGTAATGAATTACTTGGTGAGAAAACAATGTCTGTTCCAAACCCAATTTATTCACCTAATATTGCACCCTCTGACTTTTATTTTATTCGGCACGCTAAAAAAGAGAGCTGAAGGACGCGAATTCGCGAGTCCAGATGATCTTGAAAATTTTGTAAGAGAGCAATTTGAGCAATTTTCTCATGATGATTTAAAGCGTGTCTTTCAAGCCTGGATCGATCGCTGCGAACGCGTGATTGAATCCAATGTGATTATATTTAAATAAACTTTATATATATGTAACTTGTTTATTTCTCGCAGTATTCAGGTTTGTGCTAAACACACCTTTGGACACCCTATATTTTTTTTGAAAAAAATTAGATTAGATTTTTAAATTATTTTTCAAAATAATTTAATATTTTTATTTAATGAAACACATGCAAGATTGCAAGTTCTTTCATACAATGCTCTCGCTACTGCCATCAAGAATGAGTTCAATGGTGCTGCAAACGTTAATGTTATCTTTAACAAGAAGTTTGTGAAAGAATCTAAGTTTGGTCAGTATGTCAGACCATTAGCTATCGTCATTGACCGCAAACGTATTACTTCACAAGAGTTAGCAGTAGTAGTTTTGAAACAAAAGAGTTTCTTCGTGAATGTCAAAGATACTCATTATACTGTCATAAAGAACTCTAACATTGACTTCTTCAGTATTGCTATTGAATCTTTCCGAACAGAAAGAATATAAGAAGGGTGAAACATCTGTGAAATATATATCCTTCATCTCTGAAGACAATAACGAACAAGATGTTATACAGAAATTCTTACCAAAGGTTGAAGAAGCTTCTATTGACATTGACGAAGGAAGTGAAATGGTTGAGAAGAAATAGACCCTGAAAGCTATTAAGCAAAAATATATTTTTGGTTAGTCTTCATATGGATATTTTACAACAATTCCCCAATGTATAAACTTTTCATACGCTTTTTCATAAGCTTTATATACCTTCAGAAATTTTGCATAATCTTTAGAAGCATTTAGATATTGTTTAAATGCTTTGTATGTCTTCAGAAATTTTGCATAATCTTTTACATGTTGTTCGTTCTCTTCTTCTGTCATGAGTTCCGAATATTCTAAATTCATGTTCTTTCATATGAGATAATATTTTATAAAAAAAATAAAATTAGCTTAGATTTTTTTATTCTTCCTCTTTGAAGTTGTCAAAATACTCTGTTATTTTTTCCTTTAACAATGTTAAGTCTTCTTTGAAGGTAAGTATTGTACAACCTTTGATGTCATAGTGTGTTTGAGGAAGAGTATTTTTGACAATTTCCTTTATTTGCTCATTCGGTGTCATTGAAATCGGTAAGTTTTCGCGATAGAACCAATTTCTGTCAGATTTATATATTTTAGCTAAGTCATAAAAGCTCTTGTTGTTTCTTCTGACTAAATGCAACATAACCATATCTTTATCTTCTTCATTTTCCATCTCTTCAGTATATATCATATACTTATAGTTCTTTTCCTTTCCTTTTGGTACCGAACGTGGTATTCTTTTCTGAATGCTTTTGTCTTTTGCTTCAATGACTTCATCTTTTGCTTGAGGTTTCTTTTCCAGCTCTTCACGTTCTTGTCTATGAATTTCGTCAAGAAGTTTACAAACATACCAAGCATAACGAGCTGAAGCCCATTGTGCCACATTATTTACAAGAAGTCTATGTACATAATATCCTCTCAAACCGTTTGGCAATTTTTCACGGTTTTCATAGAGTTTTGGCGACTGGGGTTTTTTACCTACTCGCTGTTCTTCACTGTTTTCAGAAAAAAGTATGTCTCGCTATGCTTCATTTAATAGCTCAATAGTGCTTTGGTTCCTAAACCAGTCTTTAGGAAGCTTAGTATCTGGAGCATAACATGCTGTCAAAATACTTTGCATTTGGTACATATCGTCTTTGACCGAACGAATGAGACGGAGTTGTTTGTTAAACTGTATGTACTCGTATTCTTCATTTATAGCTTCATGGACTATAACTGTTGTTGTGTTCTCTGTTGTTGACATTACTGTCTTTACATACAAAATAAAAAAATTTGTTAGAAAAAAATTAGCGTTATTTTCTGACTTTCACAAAAGACCAAAAATAAACGCTTTACATGTATTTTTCAGCAACTTCGTCAAATAATTTTATAGCTTTATCTATCTCATCTACTTCAAACGTTTCTTTACATTTCATGGGAGCACCATACATTTTCTCAAACTTTTCAAGTAGTTCTGTTTCAGCAGCTCTCATATCATTAACAAACACAACCTTGACTCTATTGACTGTACTGTCATATCTTTGAGTTATATTATATGTTCTTCCTATCTTATATCTTTTTGTATTGAAGTCCTTCGGTTTCTGAACGATATAAAGTAAGCCTTCACTGCAACGTTCCGTATCGAATGAACCATAAGTTATGAAGTTATATCCAACAACTGGGTCAATCCATAACAAAACTATTGGTATAAGACTTTTGTCGATGAGATATGCTGTAGTTCCATAGAATCTTACCGATATCATAAGCTCAGGATTTCTTGTCAAAATTTTCTGAGTTGAAGCATTTCTAACCCAGTGGTTTGTTTTCTTTTCAGATGGAGATATAATGTCTGACAAAGAATATTTGTTGTATTTCTTTGAGTATCTTACGTTTAAATCACCTATTCTAACCACTTTGGTGTCATTGTCTATCTTTCTAACTGTTTCAAACTCAATGTTTGACATATCTGTTCTTACATACAAAATAAAAAATAAATAAAAATAAAACTAACTTTATTTTTTTCTATCTTAAGGAAATTCATTATTTTTGTGCTGAATTCAGCAAAAATATATTTTAGGGTAGATGGTTAGATCTAACCTCATTTCTACCCTCATTTCTACCCCAGTTATTTTATAAACATTTTACATGATATACGTTATGAATTCGTGAGATTCTAAACAGTTTTGTAGCTTCTATTTCTTCTTTTAGTACATCGAATGTTTTAACAATGCCGAAGGTTTCTTTATACTTCTTCTTGACGTCAGATAATAGGAAATCGTCAGCAGTTGGATAGTTTTTGTTCAGAAATGCTAACATGTCCATTTTATTTTCTGCTGGTTTTTCTGCTTCTTTCTTTAAGTCTGCATAGTCGTTTTGCATACGTTCTATCTCTTTGACGGAGTAGTTATATTTCCTCATTGCTGCTTTACATTTAGAACATTGCGGATTCATTTTTGCGTTATACATTGAAATAAAACCAGCTAGAACAACCAAGGCGTCAATGGTTTTCTTTAAATCTGAAGCAGTTGGTTTTATTTGTCCATTCCATACCTTACCTCTTCTATCTTTATCTCTTATCTGCCATACACATTCTGCAACTAATGAAACAAAGTTGTCGTATGTCTTAAACTCCCCAGATTTATATATGTCAGAGATGTTCTTATATACCATGTCGCAATCTTTGTCCATAACTTTATGGTTGCAATGATATCCTAGCAACTCATAATTTACTTTACGTATGAACTTCTTTATTTCTACTGAGTCAGTTGGTTTCACTTCTATTTCATCGAATTCAGGAATAGTGAGCTTTTGTTGTTGGATTTCAGGCAATTTGGGTAAATGGTCAATAATGTCCTGCATGACATAAAGATATTCTTCATTTTCTTCATCCTGTGCGGTACAGTCTAAATTACTTGTTAAAAGTTCTTGCTTTATCTTCTGGATTTTTGTTTCAAAAGTATATGAAGAAGGAATAAAGCTTTTCATCTCTACTAACATAGATGTTGGATTCATGACTAACGAGTTTGGTGCTGTTGTTTGAATTGTTGTTGTGCCGATTGTTGAAATCATATCTTTTATACAAAATAAAAAAATAAATAAAAATAAAACTAACTTTATTTTTTCTATCTTAAGGAAATTCATGAAAATTCAAGACCCTTTGGGTCTCGCCGCTTAGCGGCTGAGGTTAGAAATGAGGTTAGAAATGAGGTTAGATCTAACCATCTACCCTAAAATATATTTCTGGTCGTTTATGACAAAAATAAATGGTTCATTTACTCACAATATTTTTGTACAAAACAACCCCAAACTTTTAACTTCTTTTCTGCAGTTTCTAATGCTATCTTAGCGAGTTCATATTCTCTAAATTCTCTCTTTAAATCTTCTTGTTCCCATTGGTCTAGTTCGTATGGAGAATCTCTATAACCATAAAATATCTCACGTTCATGTTCTAATTGTTTTTCGCACATTTTTCTAACTTCTTGTTCGAACAAATGTTTTGCATTCTCTACTGTATCTTCGAGTTCTTCTTCATCTAACTTCTCATGAACTTTCTTGTCTATGGAGTCCATAATTTTTCCAACTGCTATGCAATATTTTGGAGAAGCCCACATTGCTATATAGTTTATAAGTCTTGGGTCTACATACGTTCCTCTAACTTATTTGATTTCATCAGGAATTCCTACATGAATTTTGTATAAAAACCAACCGTCTGTATTCCGACGGTTGCTATATTCTTCACAAAACGCCTTATAATACTCTTCCCAGGACTTATTTTCCAACAACTTTCATGAGATAAATAAGAAATAACTTTCATTTTTCATTAGATAACTGTTATTTTTGACGAAGTGAAGATTCGCACTTCGTCAAAAAATCCCTGAAATCAAGAATTAATCCCGTCAAATACAAAAAAATGAGGGTAGAAATGAGGTTAGATCTAACCATCTACCCTAAACATTATTTTTGGTCATGGACTTCGTCCTCGCCGCTTTGCGTCTTTATGTTAAAATAAATGGTACCATTAATAATACATGACTGTTCTCATTCATGTCTGATTTACATCTAATGAAAAAGTTTAGAAGAATTTTCTTATTCTTTCTGGCTTATTTTTGTCTTTCCAGTACTCCCGCTCTAATGGTCCCAGATGTGTTGGCTTTGACTCTCTCAAGTTCTTAGATGGTATAACATCTTCAACGCCTCCTTCATATCTTACTTTATAAGTGTCATCGTTTATGTCGTAGTCAAGTATTTCAATAACCACTCCTCGCTTTGCTTCGTCAATGGTTTCAGCAAGTTTGCCATTACTACTTTCAACTAATTTATGACGAGGATAAAACGCAATAGAGTCGTCGGCAGCTTTTATAAGATATCCATTACCTTGCGTAGAGTCTACGATATAATAGTTTCTACTTAACCTTAAACGTTTCTTTGTCAACGGTTTGTTGTCAAGAACTACACGAACTTTTGTACCAGGAATGAGGGTAAATTGTGTTGAATTTCTGATATTTTGTGTTTGACTTCGTTTCTTTTGTATATACTTTTCTTCTTGTTGTTGTGTCATTGAATTTGGTGTATGTCCTGTTGTAGAATGTGTTGAGGAATTATATACTTCGAGAAAATGTTTCATTGTTTCTTCGGTAAAGTCTCGCTCTTGATTTAAATCTCTGAGAGTCCTTATGAAGCGGTTTATGATGCCGAGTATGTTATGGTTATGGTCTTCAGTAGTGTAGTGAGTTATGTTATGCTTAATGAGAAAATCTGTGATTTCATTGCTGAGGTATGCACTGTCTTGGTCTGATGTTAAAGTACTTGGGCTATGTTCTGCTACAAACTTTTGTAAAACTCTTAACACTTCACAAGTTCCTTTATTCCTCATTGGATATGCATATGCTTTGCGAGTGTTAACATTAATGAAGATGAGGAATGGTGGCTTTCTTCCTTTTCTGCTTTGAACGAGAGTGTCAAATTGGTATGCGTCAGGAGTGTTGGAGTAAATTGGTAAAAAGTAGTCGTAAGGGTTTATTTTTGTTTGATGTACAACATTTTTGTCAAAGAACCTTTTCACTTCAGCTCTGTTAGTAAATCCCCAACTCTTTGCAGCTTCATTGAATTTCTTAAATGACCTCCACGGTGATGATTCGAATACTTCTTTCAAGCTCATTTATGTAAAGTTAAAGATTTTATTCTAGGCTCAAGCGCGTTCATTGAACGCGGTACCATGCGAATACAGTCATAAATGGTGGCATATAATCTGCACCCGAGCCTGTTGGATTTGTTGTGAAAGTATGTGTATGATTTCCTCCTGGTTCAGTTTGTCGAAAAATCTTTTTTGCTGCATTGTTATAAGATGGAGATAAAACATCATTGCCAGCTTCATACTCTGAGTTGTATAATGGGTGGTCTCTTAATGAGTGGCTATGGTCGCCAGAAAAGTTTGTAGTTCCTGTATGAGTGTGCGGTGGAAGGTTTGCTTCTTTAATTTTCTTCGAACCACCGGCTTGTTTTGAATATCTAGCACAGTATAAGAATTTATCTACAATCTGCTTCCATGAACCAAAACCCAGAACTGTTGCTGGATTTGTTGAGTTCATTGATGTATAAATAGAGCCTATAGGATATAATGTTTGAAGTATTTCAGTCTTTAATGTTTGAAGCTCTGTTTTGTCTGCTTTCTTATCATATAAATCTTGAGCAGTGAATTTAATATTATTTTCATCCTTCATGACATAAACATTTTTACATCTAATGTTTTTCTTTGTTGTTATGTTTTCATTCGATGTTAAACCTTGTGGAAAGTTAGGAGGTTTACAATATAATGCATCCCCATCAGTTCCGTCAACCGTTCCTTCAATACTTTCTATAGCAACAGTTGAGAAGGAGTTATGTGTATGTTCTTTATCTGCTTTCTTATCTAACATTGCTGGTAGTTCATGTGTTTCAAAGTTTCTGACATGACCTTCAATGTTCATACATCTGTTATTTAAGGAGTTTAGTGTATCTTTTACGCTTGTACTTGGATTCTCTAAAGGTGCACTTGAACCAAGGGTATAGTTCAATATTATGTCGTCTGCTCTAACAGTAGTGAAGGATTCATGTGTATGGTTCTTTTCAGCTTTACTATTTAATGTAGCTTGAAGTTCATTTATATCGGAGATATTGTGTTTATGAGATTTCAAAACTTTGTTCATTGCGTCAAGTTCATCTTTGTCAGCTTTACTTTTAATAGCATCTTCAAACGTTATTTTTGCCTTAACCCTCAAAGTAAATCTTGGTTCAACTAATACACCGTTAACAAAGAAACTAGAGGCATAAATTTCATCGTTATAACCAAATGTTTCTTGTGCTTTACCTGTGTCATACTGTACAGTACAGTGTATGTCATAACCTTTAGCACGAATGTATTTATATCTTCTTTCATTAACATCTTACGTCTTCACTTTTTCATCCTGTGTTAAATATCCATGGTAGTCCGTTATAATCTGTTCGTCTGAACTTATATAATGAACATGGTTTTTATCTGCTTTTTCGGCTAATTTCTCTTCTATCTCATTTATTTCAAGTTCATGCCTACCACCACCTCCTTCAGAAGTATTTTTCTTCAGCTCTTGAAGAACATCCACTTCACCATCTTTGGTGTCAATAATGAGACTTTGAGTTAAAACCTTTCCTGTCTTAATGGATGTTTGTAAAACTTCTTCTTCACCGTGTTCGGGGTCATGGTCGTCATCATATCTTGTGAAATCAGAGATGTTGTCATACATTAAGCATATCTGTCTCAAAAGTTCTGCTATTTGAAACTGGAACGAAAGATATACAGAACTTTCATCATCTCCTAAAGTCAAGTCTGCTTTCTTAAGTATTTCTTGAATGTATGCAATGAGAACAGAGTACCTTGGAAAATATTCGAACAATATTTCATTAGCTGTTGGTTTTGGTGGTTCTTCTGGAGTTTCTGTTGTTTCAGTTCCTTCTGTAGGTTCTGTTGGAGTTTCTGCATCTCTTGACTTCAATGCTCTTGCTCTCAAAGACCTAAATGTTAGAGCACCAGGTTTTACAAAGGACTTTATAAATGCTTTAATAGTTCCTGGTAAGTTATTGTTAGCATTAAGTAAGTTCCTTATGCTTCCATCATGTACGTCCATAGCACTATGTAAAAAATCTATACTTTTCTTGTAGTCAACAATAGACTGACTGTGATTTTTAAAAGATTTGTCAATACCTTTAAGCCAATCTTCATGCATGTCTGATACTGAGCCAAGAATATCATTTGCTTCCTTTAGTGTATTTTGTGCTTCTCGTAAAGTATCCAATCCCGTACGTGCATTGTTTGCTATACGTCTTACAGTATCTATTTGACTCCTTGTTTCTTGCATCCAACCAGATAAAGTTTTAATAGTATCAGAACCATTTGAAATGAAGTTCAAAGCATTTTTAACGTCATCTAAAACTTCTTCACCAAGTACCGCCCATATCTTTCCGATTTGGTATTGAAGAACTCCATATGAAGCAGCTGTTAAACCAGTATTTATAAGGTTCCATATCCATGATTTAGCAGTTTTTCCATCCTTTCCATCTACACCATCCAAACCGTTTTCGCCTTGAGGACCTTGTATTCCTTGTATTCCTTGTGGTCCTTGAGGTCCGGTGTCACCCTTCTCTCCTTTCAGTTCATCTTTATGTTCGTTATAATATTCTAATGTCATAAGGTGTACATCATTACTGTTACCAGCAACGCCAAGAATTTGTTTCTCATTCATGACTAAATTCTTTAAGCATTTAATGTTGTCGTCAAATCGAAAGCTCTTTAACAATTCAATGAGAACATTTAATACTTTCACTAATGAGGCATCTACTGTAGAATTTATATATTGCACCGTTCCATCATTTATGATAGGAACTTTACTTATTGTAATGAATGGGTCATAAGTGTTAAAAGTATCGAAATCAATGACTTTTTTAGTTTTTCCATCGTCAATGACTAAATCATTGCCTTCAATGGTTAAAGTTGAGTTTTCGTTTACTAGTTCATGTGCTCTTCTTGCTTCATTTGTTTCATACGCATATGCAGCAATAGTCATATTTTAATGAGAATAAAATGTTGTTCTATTTGCAAAGTACAGACCCAAACGAATACGGGACAGTAAAGCTACAAACAAACTTAGGTCTTCAGAATGAAGCGCTTGCTTTCAGAGTTGTTGACTTCAATACTATCGCAACTTTTGTCATAACAGATGAAACAGATTTCATAGAGATTGAAATAGATGACAAAAGAAGTGTTATAACATTTCCTAACAGAGCTGGGTATAGAATAGATAAAATTGCTGGAGTCATAGATACTCTCATAAATGAAGAAACTATTGACAACATAGATGTCGAACTCTCTTCTGAGGGAACATTGAAGTTCAGTTATGTGAAGGAGTTTAAGATAACACGAATGAGTCATAGAGTTCAATTGCTTCTGGGAGCATACCATATGACATTTCCTTTGAAAAGTGTTGACAAAACGATTGAGATGAAATCTGTTCCATACGTATGTTATGGTAATTGTTTATACATTGAGTCTAAAATAGCTAATGTCACAGGCATTTCAGGAGTTAATAGTAAAGGTTCAGTAGAATATAAATCCTTCTGTTATGCAGTCAATTCAATGTTCATTCCAAACGTTCCTGTCATAGCAACTCATTTAGGTAAATGGGTTCGCATTAGTCCTCATAATTTGAAAGATATACAATTCAGACTTGTTGACTTTCAAGGAGAGCCTGCAGAACTGAAGGCACCAGTGCGAATGACTGTTGAAGTTGACTTTTTAGAAAATATTAAATGCAACAGCTTACAAGAGAACTCAGAGCTAAAAATATAAAGTATGAATGTTATGTATTAGGTCATGAACTTTGGTTGTTGCTGTTTGATGAAACAAATGAGTTAGTTATGTCAGTCAAGAGAACAGAAAAATATTGTGTTAGTGAAAACTGCACCAAGTCAATAAGATTAGGTTTGCATTATGAAGATGAGTTCGATACTGTTGAAGAAGTTTTGGATAGATATTACAAATTGCTAACTTGAAATTTTTTTGACTGACTGCTTTAATTTACTAAAACATATTTCAAACAAAGCTTATAGTCAGTAGATAGTTTTGTGTATTCATTCGAATATTTATACTTAAACTCAACTCCTGTAGTTCCTGGTGTTTCAATGATGCGGATGTTACCTATTTTCATGAATATTGGCGTTTGACCACAGCATTCGATTTCAGGGTCGAGATAGTCAATGACACATTGTTTCCCTGTTATTCGTGATATAACATTTTCAAGGTCCTCCTTTGTTAGAATTATTTGGTTCTTGCTTATAAGATTTGTCAAAAGCTTCTTATCGTCTTTGAGTAAGATAGTTTGATATAACTGAAGAAGGTAATGGTCTACGTTATCTGAAGGATTTGTTTGAACATTTGTGTAAGGGTTGTCGTTGGCTTCTCTTGAAAGAATTTGGTCCAGTGGTGGATACTCTAACTTAACATCTGATGTAGCGTTAGCGTTTGAAGCTGAGTTTAAATTCACCGACTTAAGTTCTGGTTCTTTTTCTTTAAACACTCTGAAACTATAGTTCTTTATGACAATATTGTTTGTCGTTCGTGAGTCAACATTTGATGTTGGTTCAATTGGAACATTAACGGCACCAGCTAAGATGGATTTGCTTCTCATTTCATATAGAATAAAAACCTTTTATATGTATGAAATGAACAATATACTCGACAAGGGTTTGAATGTAAAGCTAACGAATGAAAATATTGTTGAATTCACTGAGACAGGTGCTGTGTATAAAGATGTAGAACTACTGAACAAAAGAGCTAAGGGAAGAAGCAGGAACATGAACAAAGGGTGGAAGCCTATAAAAATTTATGTCAATGATGGCTCAGGAGGTTCAAACATAAAGTATGCAGAAAGTTATAGAGTTTATGCTCTCAAGGGAGAGAAGCCTTCATTTAAGAACAGCTATTCTAACGCATATCCTCAAAAGCTAACGGATGGAGAAGTGGATGATATGAATGACAGCAAAAATATTAACAGAAATGGCGACAGAGATGCATGGAATTTGTTTACCATCAGTCAATTGAAGGTTAAACTTTAAAACAATGTTGGTCGTTCCCATGAATATTTTTGACTTTAATGGTATTAGTCATGATATGAATCTCAAGGTATGAACGAGGAGAGATGAGAGACTTATATGCTTCCAAATTTCTTCAAAAGGTAATGTTATACCTGACTGTTTCCAAATGAGTTCAATATCATAGCGTGAGAAACCTTGAAAGATAACGAAGTCAGTTATGAGACGTTTTATGTTTAAAGCTAAAAACCTCCATGTTTGCATAAGTATTGCTACAGTTAAATGGTAATGTCTGACTTTAGTAATGATGTTAGCTAATGGTGAGTCAGGCTTTGAAACTAAACCTTTTCCGGCGAAAGTCGTCGCAAACGAGCAGAGTGTTTGAAGGATATTTTTTGAAGGGGTATTTTGAAAGTTTTGACAGAATGTAGTTTGTAAGTCGTTTCATATCGTAAACTCCTGAGTATTGACGTAAGTGGTGTTTGTCAATAATTCTTTCCATCTCCTCAGAAGTCTTTTGCATTCCTGACTGTATGAACTCTACGATGGCATAATATTTCCTCTTACGTCGAATGTAACGCTGAAGAAATTCAATGAGTTCACTGTCTGGAACTTTAACGACAGAGGCTTGAACTTTTGACATAAATGTTTTCGCTGTTGAGTCCATAGAGTCTGAAGTTGCTGATATAATGATTTGGTCATAGTAAGAGTCGTTTCCTAACGCTCTGTTTATGAGTATATGAGACGAATGAGGTTAAATGTCTTACCTGAACCCATCTTTCCACAATAGAAATACACACCATTTGAACAGAATTCATAATCTTTGCTGAAAGGAAGAATAAGAGAAGAGTTAAGTTTGTCTGTAGTTTCATTCATGTCTTCATCTACATCATGTATTAAATGCTTCATTTTATCTCCATTAAAAATGCAAGTCAGAAATATTCAGAACATAGCACCGAGTCTAACTGACAAGAGTATAAAGATATACTATGAACACGTTATGATGAAACCTACCAAAATTCAAGAAAGTCAGTATACTTATGAATATCCAAGACACTGGGTAGAGTATGTAGGAGGTGAGAAAGCTATTGAAATCAGACAGGTTCGAAGTATTCCAGCAGGAAGAACAATATTATTGAAGAACTTTAATGTTTTGAGGTATAATGATGAAACAAAGAAGCAAGATAGTTTTCCTGTTGCTGTGTATGTGAACTTAGATACAGGAGATGACATGAAAGTTTTTAATACAAAGCTTCAAACGGTAGTGAGAGAACAACTGACTGCGGAAGGGCATCCATTACCTTCAGAAGTTACCATAGCATATAATTTTGAAACAAACTCAATAGATTTTAAAGTCATCTCTGCAAAGAAGTCAGGTTTTACATTTAATGAAACAGATGTATATTCGAATGAAAACTTCAAAGCTATTGCATGGTTAGATAATGACGATTGCTTTAAGAAAATATTTAAATACAGTGACTCAACGATGTCAATAGATGACCTTCGTGGAATGTTACCATCGACGTTTACAGTTGAAGGTTCAGCAGGATTGCTTACAAGATTGTCAATTGGTGGTATTTGGTCTCGTGAGAACATTGTTATAAAATCCAGTATAAGTGAATTTGCTGAAGAATCTATATTATGTCTTTCAAACTACATGTATTCGCCGCCGAAGCATTATAGTATAACAAACTTTGTCAGTAAGTTTAACATAAGACTTGTCGAACCTTCTTCAATGAAAGATGTTGTGCTACCTAAAGATGGAAAGGATGGACTCATTATTGAGATGATTTTAATAGCATATTAAATGAGCTTGTTCTTGAAGGTCATTCATGATGAAATAACTGTTGTAGAAGATGTTAGCAATTGTTCAGACATTTTGAAGCGTATAGATGATATAAGAAAGAAGTTAGATAGACCGCAAAGCGGTGAGGGCGAAGCCCGTGAGAACGCTTATGTTTCATTGACTTTCTCCAGTAACGAGAACTTTTATGAGATAATATTGAAGAGAGATGATTTTAATATGGTGTAAATGGTAGCTTGGGCAGCTTTAGGCGCAATGGGAACAAAAGCATTAGCATTTGGAGCAAAAGCACTTGGAGCTTATGACGCAGTAAATAAAATGAGTGGAGGAAGGGTTTCGAAGACATTAGATGCAAATAAAGGGAAGATTGGAGGCTGGGTTGCAAAGAAGTTAAGATTAAATAAAATAGGGCTCATAAATAAAGCATCCAATTTGGTTGCGACTGAGTCAGAAAATGCTTTAGGAAAGGACGATGAGTTTGCAAAACACGCAAAAGACTTTAATGACCAGATGAAAGGTGAAACAATGCATTTAAATAGAGTCGATGGAACTAAAGAAAATGTTTCTTCTCCACTAGTAGTTCTTCCATACGGACCTTATGGAATGTATGGAAACCCTTACGAAAGACCATTTGACCCATTGACTGGTGGAAGTAATTGGTATCATTATGGACGAAGAAGAAAGATAGTCAAGTTGGAGACAGACGTGAAGAAAGCAACTAAAAAGAAACCAAGGAAGAGAGTTATAAAGCAATGAATTCAACAGGGTGAGAAAAGAGGTGAAAAAAGAGGTGAGATTTCACCACTTCACCTAAATTTATTTTTGTGCTATGTTTTCATACGTGTGAGGGTGGTGATATCATTAATTTTTAAATAAATCTGGGAAAAAAATATAACATTTCTACTCAGCAGGAATGAGACCCTTACTGACTATGTATTCGTTTAATGCTTGATGAAAACAATGGTACATATTATCGTATGGGTATACACAACGTCTGTTTCCATCGTCGTCGTATATGTAGAGCTCAAATCCAGTCCAACCTTCTTTTGTACAATATGTAGCTTTATTTAAGTATGCATTTATGTAGATAAGGCAATTTTCTTCATCGCTCCAGAAATAATTTTTGTTCTTTGTTGAAATAGTTTTCGTTCCTCTGCGACCATAAGGAATGTATGCAATGAACTTTGCGTCATATGGGATTGTAATATATTCAGGGTTTCTTTCATCGTCAATGGGTCTGTCTTTGTTAAAATGCATGTTTCTCAGTTTTACTTGAGTTTTGAATAGTTCACGGAAACCTCTGGAAAGAGTCATAGTAAATGTAGTCGGACATGTCTTTGTAATGAAATAAAAAAAATTAAAAAAAATAAAAATAAGGTTATTTTATTTAGTGAGGACGGTAGGGAATTCGTTAGTGAAGTCGTTAGTGAAGTTGTTAGTGAAGTCGTTTATGTGTCAGACGGTTTTGTAAATATTTAAGGTTAAGTTGGTGTTATGGTTGTGTTGTAAAATCTACGTTACTGGTTTCGTAAAGTGTCAAAACCGCTAAGTGGTGTACGGAGGCGCGCAGTGCCTCAGTACACAACTTAGAGATACTAACTGCTTATCATGAGTTTTTCTGAGTGTCTGTGGAAGTTGTATCAAATCAGGATGAAAATCTGCTATCATTTCAAGAGATGGTGGATTGTGGCTGAGGACGTTAAGATAATTGATTGCGTTTATCTTAATTTTCTCAAAGTTATGAAAATCAGTAAAAGCTGAATTCATAATTTCTTTTGCTTGCTGAGAATCGTAAACTGCAACAGCCGAGATGTTTTCTTCATTAATACGAATTAAAGACGAGTACGTATTATAAAGATCTTGTTTAAATTTGGATAATAAATTTTGGAATTCTTGAGGATCATCTGGAATTTCCTTCGCCTTGAAGAAAAATGAAAACCTTTTCCAATCTGGTGTACTTTTATATCGGAACCAAATATAGATTTTTTGTTGAATTTTGGATAATCTGTTGGAAGTGAAAGATTTTCAGATTCTGACGGTTCTTCATCCGCTGGCGGATCCTCATCGTCAGTGTATTCAATTTTTTCGGATCTGGATCCATCTTTTGACGGTTTATGAGGAACTAAGTCAGCGAATTCTGGGTCAATTTCATCTGGAATGTAATGAACGCATCTGTTATGATTTCTGTAGTTTTCCGAAGTTCTTCTGATATGGTCATAATCGGATTTATTTTCGAAATTTAATATAACTTGTAAAATATCTTCATCAAAATAAGAATCATCTATACCCATTAATCTTCTTAGTTTTGTCTTCCAATTGTCTTCATTATACGCAAATACAGAAACAAAAATTCTGGCTGGAAATCCAATAATCCAACGAAGATTTTTTGGGACTAAATGGGCTTTCAATGAATTGAAAGCTTCGTTGAAATTTGTATGATATTGTTTGCTGATTCTTAGAAACAATGGAGCAATATTTGTAATAATTTCTCTTTTTTCGATATGCTCTGGTGATTCTCCTGGATATCTATTAATTAATCCCATCCATCTCTGAACCTTTTGCTCTGGTTTTAATGTTGGGCATGCAAAAAGGATCCTAAATATTTTTTCAAATTTAGGATATTTAGTGACAATTTTTGAAAATGCTGATTTTATCACATGATTTGGATCTCTTACATGTGATAATTGTGCACCAGAATTCTCTATCATTGTTGAATCTTTAACATCACCATCTGAACAAAAAACTTTTATTTTTTTCCATAAATCAGATTTCAACATATCACGTAATGCATAGCTTTCCATTAATCCTGGTGAAATTTTTGGTTCAACCAAAATTTTGGGACTTTTGAATTTTATTAATTCTGGATGCCTTGAAACTATTCTAAAATCTAATATTTTGTTTGTATTTATATCTATAAGCGTAATGACGGCATGTAAAGCATCGCGCTTAGAACTCCATGCGCAATCTAATGAAACATTAAATTTGTATTCTGAATCATGTTTAAGAATTTCTTGTATATTAGCTTCACAACTTGCTGTTGCAACTTTCTCAAGATCTGGCAATATGCTCTTTAGATGCGCAAGTAATGTAGTTTCTGTTGGGCAATGAAAGTTTAGGAGTGATGCCAATTCGATGTGTTTTGAAAATCCTGCACCAGATATAAGAGAAATGTAAGTATGAAGATTCTTGACAACGTCACTATACGGAACTCCAGGCTTAAATTTGACGTTGAATATTGTTTCTTCCTTAACATTTGATTGTGAATGATCTTGTTTTGAATTAAGCTGGTTTAGATTAATGAAATGCGAAAAAGGTTTCTTATTTGAATAAACAGTTCGATGATAGACCCTTTTTTGGCAGTCATCAGCTTTATATGTTATTAATATCTCTTCAATTATGTATCCTTCCATGATTGGAATAGAATACTCCATAGGAAGAGCTAAAATCCCGCCAAATTTTACGGTTTTTTTAATACAAAAGCAATCAAAGTGAATAAAGCAAAGATATATATTGTATTTAATCAGTCAATTGATATTGGGTAGAATATATGCTCAATATTTCATTTTTCAAATTTATTATTTCAAAAAACCAATAATTGGCGACATTGTTTACTGTAATAATTGTTTTTAATGAAAACACTATATGCCTTCCTTATTTTCTTTCTTTCTTATTTTTTTGAAAAAATCAAAAAAAAACTCGAAAAAAAAATCAAAAAATCACAAAATCGATGAATTCTCAACGTAATTTAAATCCTCAAAATCGTAGAGATTGGTCATAATATAACTAAGCATTATGATATAGTAAAGTTCAAAAAATCTCTCTCTTGAACGAGATAAAAGCTTAACAGAAATAACCTTAAAACTGCTTTTCTGAGGGTGATCTATCGTCTATAGGGCACCCTTAAAAAATATGGGGAAAATGTTTGTTCGCCCTTTCTGATTGAGAAAAGAGGAACGAGGAAGCATCAGTAAAAAGCAAAAATACATTTTTTGAAGCTAACATTATTTTTATGTTAAAAGAAAGATTAATACAATTTCAGTAAATCCATTTTCATAAAGATAACATCCTGTAACGCATTCACCATGATAATAAAGACCATCCATGCAAGTTTCAATAATATTAAACTCTGCAATGAAATTATAAAGAATTGAATTCTGGAATATTGGAATTTGATATTCGTAATCTGTTTTGTCAGAATAACATTGATTCAATGTAATTGAACTTGAATGCTTATGACAATAAAATGTTTTCGTGCAAGAATTATTAATAATATTACAGCCTGTTAGAACTAAGGTACATTCGGAATGAATAAGATATCCATTTTGATTCCCGATATAATTTGAAGATACAACATTAAAGAGTTGATTTGGAATTCCATGATGAAAAGCAATATAATGCGTTTTTTGATAATTTTCATGGACATTAACAAAAGAAACCTTTGAGTCAGAAGAAAAACTATTGACCAAATACCCTGAATAGCCACCGAAAATATAATTATTAGTAATATTTGTGAATTCAAGGAGAATTTTCCCGTTATACTGATCATTCAATGCATTTGCTTGATTGATTTTTGAACCACATTGTGAAATTGATGTTTGTTTAACTGAATTTATATAATTTATAATATTGGATACAAATGATCGATATGCTGGACGGTCTTGAGCAAATGAGAATAAATAACAGTTTTTGTTTTGCGAAATTTGGCCTTTGTATCCAAAAGTCAAAGATCCTCCTTCATCGGTAGATAATGAGCAACTACAATTATAAAACTTACATGACTCAATGACTGCTTTAGTAAAGTCTGATGTTGATGTAATTCTGATGGCACCTTTAACTCGAAGTGATTCAAAATTACTTAATGAAACATAATATGCTGAATTATCGCTTTTTTCAATATTGTAACGCTGATTATAATATGTTTGAGGAGATTCATAATCTGGAAATTCCTTATTCTATGCATTTTTCAATTTTTTGCATAAAAATTAAAACCATTTGACATTTTATTTTATCATACAGTTTTCCATCATGGGTTCTAAAATCCTATTTACTTTTTTAACATGTTATTGAGTACTTCACAAATTTTGAGAGATCTCCATGAAAAAAAGTTCAAAGCACATCATTAATGAAATTCACCTTCACTATATAGAAATGATATAAATAAACAATTTATAAAAACTCATAGTGGAAATTTTTGAAGAGATAATTCTTTTATAGAAGTGTTTAGTTATCTATGCAAATAACGATTGGCTATCCAGATAGAATATTCTTAACCATTATACGCAAAAGCATAGTTTTTTTTTTTAATGTAAATTTCGATGAGGAGTCAATCCACAACTCGAAATATAATATATCACAAAACTCTCCTTTCTTTGTCACTTCACTCGCATAAAAAGAGTATATCAATTGAGAATTAATTCATGATATTCTATGTTATGGATGTCGTTGTTGCTTTGATTTAGAAATACTTAGAAAAGTCAGTTAAATCACTGTATCTCTTTTTTATCTCATCCATTGTATATCCTCTGTATTCCAGGAAAGGTCCCCATTTCTTAGTATCCACCTCTTTAAATATTTTAAAAGGAACTCCATCATGACTAATCACGTAATCATCCAAACTAAAGAAATCATTATCAGAGTGTATTAAATATATATACATCAATGATCCGAGTGTGTAATCATCTACATCCATCTTTTTAATCTTATCAAACAGTTCCCAAGCGAAATCTCTATATTCTTTCAATCCTTCAATTCTATAGAAAACAAACAGAGAAGAAAGAGTTGCAAAATATGGTTCTGTGTCTGATTTAATGTTCTCAAGATTTTTTATGATTTCGTTCAATGCCAATTTACTGTAATTCTTGTCTTACTCTATTTTATGGTTCTTCTTAACCATGGCCATCATCATCGTTCCTGGCAAATAATAATTTCTATATTCATCTGTAACTTTATTAATTGGACGCTTCTCTCTTACATCATTGATATATTTAAGGAACAGTTCAATGAAATTAAGGCCAGCATCGCCAATTAAATGGTAAGATTTCACTAACATGTCCAAATAATAGTATTTCTGGTTTAATCCTGTTTCGTATTGATGGTCCCTTAAAATAGTCTTAAATCTCCTCATTGTATGCTGCATGTACTTTGGATCATCTGATAAAATTGATAATGTAATGAATTCTAATGGATAAATGGTATATTTCTCTGCACATTCTGAGTTTTCATATGAACTAGTTTTAGGAATTCTGTTTTCATAAGAAATTCTGACTGTATGAGAAAAAGTAAAATATGGTAAGGCCAAATCAGCAAATTCTTTGGTTTTGTATAAAAATGACATATCGTCTGTGAATTGGTATGCAGAAATGAAGTTTCCTACAACTTGTGGAATGAAATCTTCGATATAAAATGTTCCTTCAAGTGTAAAATTGGAAAAAATGATGTTTGTGCATTGGTGAAACTCTTCTTTGAGGTCAAGTATGCATAACGCGGATAACATCTTGATGATCGAAAGAGAATTTTTCTCTCTTTCAGATTTTGTTAGATTCTGATAATATTTATCTAAAATTTTATGGGACAAATCTTTATAAAAGTCTTTAATTTGTTGTAATTTGTCGGGATAGCTTCTTATTTTTGTAAAATTTTCAATAAATTTTGTTGGATATGTTCGTTTCACGTAAAATCGATTTGTACCCGATTCTATAAGCTTTGTTGTCCATGGGTATCCTTGAAATTCTGAGATATCCGGGTTGATTGGAGTAATAATTCTTGATTTCAATGGTAATAGAGCAAAAAAGATAAATAGATAGATATTATATACCATCAAGAGGTCTTGAATAAAAAAATATCTATAAGAAAATCTCTGAAGAAAATGTTTGTAAGCTTTGGAAAACTTCAATCTTGATTTTGTATAGCCATCAAAGAAATTAAGCTTGCTAATACTCATGAAGTTGTTTAATATGAATCAATTTTCATAGAAATACTATGGATAATTAAGGAATATTATTGATAAAAATTTGTTTATCTATTTATGTGTTTTAAATATATTGACAATACTACATTTTGATTTTCGAGCACAATACAGCTAATAGATGAATCGAATTCACGAGATAATTATACGCAAAATATTATTTCGACTTGAGAGATCAAAATATCAAAGAATGGAGTCATTAGTTTGGTTGTAATAGTCTTATTCTTTTTAGTTTCATTAATTGATGTTGCTGTCATCCTTTAATAGCTTATTATAGCTTTAATAACAATGAAATCTTTTATGAAATGCTAGAAATGTATAATAAATTTAAAACAAATAATATTTATTCATCACTAAGATATTTTGCTGTATGTTCAATAAACAATGCTACTTCTGGCTTCTCAATCAAAGAAGAATCAGAAATATCTTCTACAATTTCATGAACAATCTCTAAAAGTTCATTATTTAATGATCCTTTATTCTCATTTAATACTATTATTCTTTCAATCAATTCTATGAAGTATAAGAAGTAATCAACACTTTCTATACAGTTTTTGACAATTTCACATATGAAAATATCATTTTGAATATCAATTCCTACAGATAAGTAATGAGTTAATGAATAAACAATATGAACTGAGCAATCGAATGGAATTTCTTCTAAATTTTGCAAAATCTGAATTATTTCTGACTCATTTGATTTGTCTTTCCAATACTCATAATTACTAACAAGCAATGATGCTGCTGCTTGTGCTGCTTTGTCAAATTCACAAAATTGAATGAAATTTAAAGTTGTTTCAAAAATTTCAAGTGGGGGATGAATAGTGAAGCTATTTGGAATGCATATTGTGCTAACTTTTGATTGAAAGGCTGAATATATGACGGAATTTGTTGAATTAACTTTTCATTCAATTCAATGTCAGGCTTTAGTTCAATAATCTTTATTATTGTTTTCATTATTTTATATTTCGCGAGTTCATCATAAACTTCTAAATGATTGATTAAAATTTTGTATAAAATATCGATATCAAACATATCACAGTGGTCAAGCATCTTGTATATGACTTTAATTGCTGGGATTTTTGGAACTAACTTATCAAGGAACTGATATATTGATTCAATTGAAATTATTTGAAAGAATAGTTCGCAGTACATTAATTTTGATACAATATGGAGAACATCTAGGGAGTTATCTTCGTTTTCATTGCATTTATCAATTAAAAGTTGAAGATTTTTGATAAAAATTTCATTTTCGATTAAAAAATTGATAGATTTGAAGTAACTAAAGCAAGAAAAGATATTCAATATTAAAGGAATAGATGGTTCAAAGGATAGAATTGATATAAGCAAGTCTACTGGAAATTCGAAATCTTGGAAATTATATTGAACGCAAAATGCAAAAAATTCTTTCAATTTGTTAATGTTTTGAAGAATTAAGTCCTGGGTATCAACAATTTGGCCAGAATTGACAATTTCTTCTAAACTATCAACAATATTTCGAAAATTACCTAGTTGGTGAATACATTCATCCTGGATTGAAGATTCAGATTCTTTGCTAATTGAAGATTTCGAATTTTCAGCTTGTTCGTTAAATTTGTAATCTGAATCTATTTTTGTGAATAAAAAATATGATTCTCTCTAACTATATACGGTCAAACATCATATTAATAAAGCTATTTCAGTATAAATTTCTCTTCAATTTTATTTATTGATGTTATATTTTTCATATTGCTTCACTTTTCGTGATTTATGAATATTTCTTCTTCAAATAGGTTTTTCCTCGTCAAAATATGAATGTGTTACGCTTACATTATTAATTAAAAGCAAAACTAAAATGAGATTTTGAAAATTGGATGTAAAGAAAAGAAATATATTAAGAGTTATAAACAAATAATAAACATTTCTTTATAAAACAACAATTACTGAGCAATTAATTAAAATTAAGTTTCATCTTCTTCTTTTGGAATCCAAATAAGAAGATTTGACTTAACTGTCATCTTAGGTTGGTTAAATTCTGGTTGTGAACAAACATCCTTCCATTTTTCCTTAGAAACAATTAATTTGAACTCATCATTTCTTTCTCTGACCAAATTTAGTTTTTTCAGGGTTTTAATGATATCCTTTCTATCTATAGCCGTCTCAACTACGATATCATCAATACTACTGATCTGATTTTCACCTTTTTTAAGAGCATTAACAATTGCATATCTCCAGTAGGTTTTGAATGCAATTTTGCCAAGATCTGACAATGGTGTCTCAGGGCCACCACTTCTCTTTTGCCTTTTCGCAAGTTCGTATGCTAATGAAATCAAAAGATGTCCGTATCCCTTTTTTTGAAAAGGAGGGAGGGTTGTAATGCATGCAAGGATATTCCCTTGCGAACTCTTTATTTCTCTGCTGAAGTATGCAGCCAAATGTGAACCAGAATTGTCGCATTCGCATAAAACGTAAAATTCGAAGCCTTCTACATCATAAAACAGAGTTTTATGATCAAGAAACAGTTTTGAAAGTAAGCATAAGTTCTGACATGGGATTTTTTGGTTCTTTCCTTTAAGTTCGTAAATTGAAAGATTTCCGTCTCTGTAAATTTCACGTCCTGGTGGATGAGTTTCGTTTAATTTGTGAATGTGATCTTGTAGATCCTTTTCTGAGGCAAAATATGTAAAGCAATGCTCACACATATAAATATGATCCATTTCGAAGTAAGGATATGGAAATGGAGAGAAGTACCATGTTCGCATAGTATAATTACCGATAGTTATCATATCAATGTTCCGAATTTTCGTAATTTCTTTGTGAACTTCTTCAAATTTAATTAATTCTGGTTGTTCTTCATCAGAATTATCATGAGATTTTTTATTTTTCGAATTCACATTTATCTGATCTGGATTCAGCCTAAGGGTCCCTATGTCAACCCAACGATCTAATCGTTTATCTTGATTTATGAAGTGAATATATGCTTGGGTGTCGTGACGACGGAAATCAATGATTTCGCCTTGTGCTCCGTCGGGAAAATCATCTGTTTTTGCTATAACATAATCATTTTTCTTAAATCTTGTTGTTTCACTCATTTGTCACTTTCTTGATTCAATGATGTTTTATATGCAATTAAATGGCGGTAATTCATTAGAGTTGTGTACTTGATGATGTGTTGGCAGAATTAGGATCAATTTTCGAATTTTTTCATGAATTTGTCAATTGATCTAAGAAATTTGGAACTATTTTATTAATGTCTTTCTTTTATTAGACTATGTTTAAATATTTCAGTTATTTTGTACGCTCATTGATTCTTATTACCTACTTTCCAATATTTATTGGGAGGATCTTCCTATTTTTATGCTTATATATGTAGACATATTAAAAAAAGAAATAATTCAATTCAGTTTTTTTAAAATAAAACTTTAGTTACTTTTTCTCAAAGCTTTTTGCAACGCATTTATCCAAGAATGCACGGAAATCACTACAATCTGGGCTGTACTGTTCCTGTGTCAACATTGATACTTGAACTGCAAGTTTAGCCAATGCATTTGACTGTTCAATAAGTTCATAAATTTTGTTCTGTTTCTGAATGAATTTCTTGTATTCATTGCTATTACTGACTTTACTAATCGCGATTTCTTCGATTCTCTTTTTAAGAATGAATTTCCTCTTTAACTCCAATGCTTTCTGATGCAAAGCTTCCTTTCTTTCCTCCTCTCTTTGTTTACGTATTCTCTCCTCTTCTTCTTGCTCTTTTCTCTTTCTTTCTTCTTCTGCTTCTTGTTCTTTTCTCTTTCTTTCTTCTTCTTCTGCTTCTGCTTCTTGTTCTTTTCTCTTTCTTTCTTCTTCTTCTGCTTCTGCTTCTTGTTCTTTTCTCTTTCTTTCTTCTTCTTCTGCTTCTGCTTCTTGTTCTTTTCTCTTTCTTTCTTCTTCTGCTTCTGCTTCTTGTTCTTTTCTCTTTCTTTCTTCTTCTTCTGCTTCTGCTTCTTGTTCTTTTCTCTTTCTTTCTTCTTCTGCTTCTTGCTCTTTTCTCTTTCTTTCTTCTTCTGCTTCTTGCTCTTTTCTCTTTCTTTCTTCTTCTGCTTCTTGCTCTTTTCTCTTTCTTTCTTCTTCTGCTTCTTGCTCTTTTCTCTTTCTTTCTTCTTCTTCTTCTGCTTCTTGTTCTTTTCTCTTTCTTTCTTCTTCTTCTTCTGCTTCTTGTTCTTTTCTCTTTCTTTCTTCTTCTGCTTCTTGTTCTTTTCTCTTTCTTTCTTCTTCTTCTGCTTCTTGTTCTTTTCTCTTTCTTTCTTCTTCTGCTTCTTGTTCTTTTCTCTTTCTTTCTTCTTCTTCTAATCTCTTTCTTTCTGCTTCTGCTTCTTGTTCAATTCTCTTTCTTTCTGCTTCTGCTTCTTGTTCAATTCTCTTTCTTTCTGCTTCTGCTTCTTGTTCTTTTCTCTTTCTTTCTGCTTCTTCAGCTAATCTCTTCTTTTCATCATCATAACTGGTTCTGTCTGCAGTAAGTTCTTCAAGAGACATTGTAAATAGATCTGATCGGATGATGTCTTGATATTTAATAGTGTAATTTTTCGTTATTGGGACAACTTCTCTCGTTTCTTTAATTATCGTATCAATAATATCGTAGCTGTTACGTAAGTAAATATAGAATTTGTTAATGTATTCTGAGACTTGATTGTCTTTGGTGGTACAAGAAAAGATTGGTTCTTCTAAGAAGTACTTTGGATCTGAGTCGTTGATTTTAGCATAAAAAGCTTTGATAATGTGCCAGTTGATACTTAACAAACTCTGTTTAATATGTGAAATGCCCGAATATTCGAAATTTGAATCAGAATTTATTTCTTCTCCAAGAAGCTCGATTAATGGTGTGACATTGTCAACAGTATCGGAAGCTTTTTCTCCAAACGTTTTGTTTAAGTTCTGAATTACATTGTTGAGATAATTTATAATGTTGTTAAGCTTAAAATGCTTTAGTAAATCGACATTCATTGTTACAATGTTGGAAAATTTATTTATAAAATTTTTAAAAAGAATATTAGAAATATCTTTATTATTTGAAGGATGATAAAAATTTCATATTTAAGTCCTCTAATTTTTTTGACAAAAATTTTTTGAAAAAAAAATTCTAAGCCAATGTTTGAGGAAATTGAAAATTTGTATGAAGCAGTGAACAATCCTGAGCAAGTTCAGGAAGCAACAGTACAAATGATGAAATATCTTCAAGATCCTGGTATTTTTGAAGCATTTTTCCAAATAATTCAGAGTCCAAAGTCTGATAATTCAATTAAATCTTCATTGACTTACATGAGCAGGGCGATAACAATCCAAAAGCAAACACTTTCACCAGAATTACTTCAAATAATCAAATCAAATTTACTGAATCTCGCATTTACTCCTCATTCACAAGAAATTATTGATTTAATATGTCTAGTTATAGAAAAGATCCTTGAAATCGACCCAATAAGTAACTTCCCTGAATTAATTGAACAAATTTTTAACTCAATATCATCACTGGAGCTTGTAACTAACTCTATCACTTATTTACCTTCAGTTCTTTCATATTTAGAAGAAGAGCAAATCAATGAAAATATTGATCAATTTTTTGCAATAATTGATAGCGCAATAACCTCAAATTCATGGCCAGTTAGGAGTTCTGCCTTCCTCATTCTTCAAAAACTCTGTAAGAAGTCAAATGAACTCAATGTTACGCAGCATATTATTCCAATTCAGAATTACGAGCATTCAACACAAATTTTTAATCAACCACAAACGAAAAAGTATCTTAAAGAGATTTGGAGTACATTTTTCTATCTCGTTTCCAACAAAAACGTTGAAAAAGATTTTATTACAGAAATTTATCCATTAATTCTCGAAATATCTTCTAATTCAGGCATAGAACCTATGACAAGGATTCTTGTCCTTCAATCAGTAAGCGTTATTCTCGAAGATATGGATGAAAACCAAATCAGCCAAATTTTTGACCTCGTATTCAATTTAGGAACACAAATTCTTGCTTCTGATGGTACATTCGAGCAGATCGCCCTATTCATTTTCGAATCTGCCCTTGAAAATTTAGATCCATCAGCTGCTTATTCTCTAGTAAAGCAAAGGATCGAAACGGCCTTCTCATCTGCAGATGTCAACTCACAAGCGTTCGGAATTTACATTCTAAGTGAAGTAATTACCGTTTCTCCCGAAATTTCGAATTCTGACATCACATTTTTGTCTCAAACGATGACTTCAGCCCTTGATTTGCAGAACGACCTGCTATCGGAGTCGGTCTGCATATTTGTCAACTCTTCAGTTCAAGCCTTTTCCACTGCAACGACATTATGTTGTTCATTAATCAGAAAAGTTGTTCCTCTCTTCATCTCGGAGAGTCCATCTCTTAGAACAGCAGCCTTCGATGCTGTCCATTCCCTCTGTGATGTCGTGGATGGCTCCATTGACAACTTTTTCTCATTAGTTTTTCAGTTGGTCGACCAAATACCAGAAAATAACCGTTCATCTTTTAACACGATTCTTGCGGATGCAATCAACAAAGACGAAGAAGTCGGGGATGACGAAATCGACTCATGTTTGGAATATGTTTCCCATTATTTCAACGAAATTGATTTCGATGATTCAAGTTCTGTTTTGTTGATTGTTTCTTCAATTCTCAAAAAAGATGAATCCCAAAGTAGTGACATCCTCGAACCAGCTGTATCATTAGCTGTCAAGATACTCGAAGAAGGCAATGCAATGTCTAAAATTGATGTAATTGACTTCGTTTACGACATCTTTCCTCAATTTTCTGAAATTTTCATGTCAGATTTCAAAATTTTGACAGACAAAATATACGAAATTGCGAAATCTGTGCTCAATGAAGGTAACCAGGACGAAGAGAAAGACAATGTTGTTGTAGACGCAATCAATACTAGTTGTTTAGTAGCAAAACAACTAAAAAGTCGTGAAATGGCATCGATTTTAGCAAAATCAACGATTTTTGTCATCAAAAACGATGCAGAATCATATTCCAAAGACATTTCACAGTCCATTGCATCGATTGCTGAATATATCGATGACAATGAATCATTAGAGTTGTTTAATTTATTAACAACAATAATGAATGAAACAGAAAACGAAGAAATCGTTACAGATTTCATTTTAGCTTATGAGAATTTGATTTCTCACTCAAGCGAATCTAATAAAATGAATTTCCTTGAGACAGGATATTCATTCATTATCAAGTTCTTCACAGGAGAACTTTCTTGTTTGGAAGGTAAAAATCCTTTCCAAAACCATGTTGATTTTAAATTGATGTCACAAATCGGATATTTAATTGGAGATGTCATTAAATTCAACATCGGAGAAGCAAGTGAACAATTGTGTAATTATATGTTGGAAGTACTTAAAATGCCCAATAACTTGGCCGCTTTCTCTTTCATTGGTTCTTTCTCTGATGCCATTGAAAATGGAAATTGTTCGAACCAAGTTTTGGAAGAATTATTAACTATTTTGTCCGAAATCATTGAAACTGCTTCTGATCCAGACATGTTACATAATATTTGTTATTTGTTGAATGTGATTGTCCAGAAACACCCTGAAATTGTCAATTCCGTCATGTCTTTTTCTGAACAGATTTGGCAATGGTTCACAACAGCATTGGAAGATCCTGTTGGATGGGGATTGTTCCTTTCTAATGTTGCTTCTTTGTTTTTGACTTTGTCTTTGTTTGATAATGTTCCTAACATGATCATCTCTACTTCTTTGAAACAGTTTCCACCTGTGGATTTAGATGAAACAGAAAACATGGCAAAAACAATCATTAAATTGTTTGATAGCAATAAGATTAATGATGAAATCATTGAATCTCTCATTTTCTCATTAGCAAACTTTGTTTTGCTTTCAAAGAGTGATTTGGAAGAAAGATCTGTATCAAATGATGTCTATAACACCATCAAAGGTTATTTCATTAGATTGATGAGTTCTGATGAATCAAAACAGCTTTTATCCGTGGCTTTCTCAAAACAAAGATCAAAATTATCGAAATTGCAAAAATTATTACAATAACTTTTATTTTTATAGAGAATTATAGAGAATAAAGAACTTATTTTTATTTATATGATCATGTACAAGATTAAGAAGAACACTAGGAGGCAGAATTAAATATTAAAAATTGCATTAAAACATTAAAATTATTTGTTTATTACTTACGAGTGTGGCATTTAAACGTTAACGCCGGAACCAGAATCTTCGTTCTTACCAGAAAATGTAACTTTTCCTTTTGCACCATTGCCTCTGCAAACGAAGCACCAAACAAGGATAACAATAATAACGATGACGGCAATAACAGCAATGACAATACCAGAAATAGCACCGCCTGAAAGACCACCACTACCCTCTTTTTGCTTTGACTCTTCTTTTGGTGCATTTGGATCAGCATCGAGGTCAATCGCCTCATTATTAGCTGCCTGTTCTTCTGTCTGTGCACCTGTTCCCTTGCCAGTTAGATCGTATTCTTTATTTTCTTTGAAATAGCTCTCTTGGTCTTCTCCGTCTGCAGATGATTCTGCTGCTGGTTGAACTGTAACTGTTATAGTAGAATCAATCTCGACTGTCATCGGTTTTTGTAACTTTCTAGCAGTGTGATTCATCTTTTTCTCCATATAATTAGCGATGCTAATTGGAGTACTGATGAAGAATACTGATTTAGCATTTACAGGTGAGGCTTGAGCTTCATTTGAGTCGGCGATAATTGGGAATGAATATTGTGCATCAGAAATAGTATATGTGACTTTCTTTAAAGAATTTCCCATCATATAAAGTGCTTTCACATTACCATTACAAGTTATGCTTTTAGGAGGTTGATCGTCTCCTTGAAGTTCGGCGTCAACTTTGAGTTTAGCAGGAAGTTCCATTGTGAAGGCCTTCTTTGTAGAAAATACTGATGATGAAATGTAATTCATATTTGCAGGTATTCCATCAAAAGTATCAGGACCTTTAGCCTCCAAATTTGGTATTAGTGGAACTATTTGAATTTTGCATGTTTGGGTTTTGTCTTTGCACTCAACTTTAGTTAATGGATTAAGTGGATCTTGTGCCTGGAGTTGAGCAAAATTAACCTTAAGATTAATGATGAAAGGATTATCATAATTTATTACATCTCTATATGATTTTTGATCAGTTGAAAATTTTGCTGCGACAGTATAGTTAGAAAGACCGGCTATAAGATATGGACCTTCAAGGCAAACTGTACCATTAACAGGAATTTCATATTTCTTTGAGTTTGTTTGTTCTCCTAAGAATTCAAATTCATCGCATCCATCAATAGTTGCGTCTGCAGTTGCAAAGCGAATGAATGGAAGAGAAAATAACATATTAATGAACTGAAAAAAAGGTGAACGGTTAATTTTATTTATCGAGATTTGAATAAAAATAACGGTCGGCTTATTTTATTAAATAGTATTAAATATATTAACATTAATAAAATTATCCTTTGTGGGCTATTAGAGTAACCAAACAAAATTTGAATAGTTTTAAAGGTTGGATAAAATTGTTTTGAGAGAAACCGTTGAGTATTGAAGTATAGTATTTTATGAACTTTAAGACCATTCAAATTTTAATAATAAATGGATCAAAATAAGTGTTATAATAATCGATGGGTTTTTAGAAATAAAAAAGTTAAAATCTTGATTTGTCAAAATATTAATTAAAATATTGCTTAATAAGAATGGGAAAGACTAAGTTTCATAATGTAGATAATACACTACTTTATAATTGACATCTTTCAATTGAAATACTAATATGAGAAAATTTAATGAAAGCATTATTTTAAAAAGCAACGTTGGATAAAACCCAATAATAAAGAATTTCAGCTGATAATAGCGGACTCTCAATTTTTTATGCACCCAATGTTTTTTGTTTGGAACTAGGATGAATGGTTAAAATGATTTCATGTTTTAATTCTTTCAATTAATTCCAAAATCGATAAAATCGATTATGAGCCTGTCTTTTTTAAAATAGTTTTAGAAATGATATTTGAACTTTTACTATATTTTCTATACTTTTTGAATGGTATTCATAATCAATTGATAGAAAAGCAAGATCTTCTCTTCTCAAAAATTTATTTCAGAAATATATTTAAAATTATTATAATGTTATTTCTACTCAAATTCATTCAATTTTTTTAAAAAAAAGTCTTTCATTGAAAAGCAACAAAATTCATCTGTCTCACAATTCTTTTTCAATTAATTTAGCTTTTAACCAATCCATTTGATAAATGCTATAAAAATTAAAAATTCTGAACTTTTTCGATTTAAACTCAAATCTTTAATTAGTTGTGATAAATAATACTAAATACTGAATTCTTAAGGGTGCCCCCGTATGTACGTTTATTTGAGAGGAGGAGGATTACCCTCTCAATTTTGAGGGATTCGTTAGTTTATTTTCTCGATGAATATGCAATAAAATTTGATTTTTACCTTCTCAATATACTTCATATAATATACACATGTTCATGTAAAAACTTTTTTCCAAAATCCTCAGGAATTAAGGGATTTTTGAATTTTAAGAATTTTTTTCGAATTTTTTCGAAAAAAAAATATTTTCAGAACAGCCTTAACGGCTAAGATTTAGGAACAATGTTAAGTATCAAAAAGAAAGGAGGTCTGATATAGACAACATATATCGTTGAAGGTTGAAAAAATCTCTAATATTTGAGCCCAAAATTTCAAATTTTAATTTTTTGAAAAAAGAGGCCACCCGTATGTACGTTTATTTGAGAGGCGGAGTATTATATTTTTGAAAGGGTGAAACATTATGAATATGTTAATTATATAATAATATGTATTATTATAAAAAAGAAAAAATAAAGCACGTTAAATTTTTCTTTCTTGATTTTTTACAAAATCTACTTAGAATTATGCAAAATATGACTAAATAATTATAATTTCAAGTTAAATTTTAATTTTGATAAATAATTTAAATTTCAAAATATCAAGTTCAGTTCGACTATGTATGTAGTAATTCCTCAATAAAGTGCCAAAACCTATTAAAATATATGAACATTTTCAACATTTTAATGTTTTTATTTAAAAATTTGATGGAATATGAGCTTCAAACAATTATTATGTAAATAAAAATAATTAAATATATGTATTTATTCGTATTACAACCGTAGTAAGTCGATTCTTCCTTTCTTCTACTGAGTTTTGAATTTGATTTCGAATTGTAAAGAGATTCAAAGGGAAAATACTAGCGGATAAAAACTACCTCCATGAAAGGGTCATAATGGAGTCAAGTTGTATTTTTTGATATTTTTTGCTTTTCGAGCCTAAATAGGTAGCCAAGATAATGCCTAAAAATAAGGTTCTAAATTCTGAAGTTTACATGATCCTCTCGTGTGCACCCTTAAAGATGTTATTTGAAAATTCTATAATAGATAATGATTTATCAAGCTTGGCAATATTGCAATTTATTAACTTTTCTAATCAGAAAATTCATTAGTTTCTTCGTCTGATTTGCAATAAAATGAAGAAATTTCATTTCTTCTATTCGGATGATATTAGACTAAAGTCTTTAACCGTATCAACTAAATATGGATACAGGTGCTTTCAAAAGCCTATTGTTGTATTTGAAATAGTAATTTTTGTCAACTGACACATAAAAATTTTTTTTGTCATCAAATGCCAGTACTGGTAATCAGATTTCATGATTTTATATGCAATCAGGAATAAAACAATCCGGTTTTCATCTAACATTTCATATATAAGCGAACCTTAATGTCAACTTGCCAAAAAGTGCCAATTAATAAATGGCAAAAATATCTCCGCTAAATCAGTTACAACAAACTTTAGTTCAAATCATAGATACAGCAGCTTTATCTGACCAAATGACTTCATTTGCATATGATTGTTTGTCTTCAATCACTCGATATGTAACAACCGGTAAATGGGAAAACATCCACAATCAAGATTATTTTGATGGAAAGAAAGACCCACAAAATATTTATCAATCTATGCCAAAATCAGACGAAATATACAGAGTTGGCCAAAGATTAAAAGGCTTTACTCCGAAATACTCATTTGCATGGAAAGAACTGACAAAGCAATTTGGTGTAGAAATCAAACACCAGGTTCTTAAAGATATTGCAATTGAAGTAGCAAGTCGTCTTCAAATTCCGTTAGATAGAGATGCGAAACGTAGGAAATCTGTACTTATAAAGTGGTTTGACGATAATTGGGAAGCGATTGGTACAATTATTACTGAATATACTGTTATGAATGATCAAATATATCATAACATAGCTGCAACTCAAAATGCAGAGGCCAAATAATTATGTTTACTGAAAATGGGGAAAGTTTTACTCATAATCCTTATTTGGATCTGAAATAATTTTAATGACAATATTCTTCCCTTATTTATTTTATTTTGTATTCTGTTTTGATGTTTATCTTTTTTAAACTCTTATTAATTTTGTTATTCCTTCTAAAAATGCGAATATTGTGAAAATTTTATATAAAATATTTACAATTATTAAGTAATACTCGGACAATTAATCTCTACATGACACACCATTATGGGTAAATTGCAAGACTGACCAAATAACTAGCAAATAGAGTTAAATGATTGTTAATTTAGATTTAAGTCTTAAGAACATAGTGTACAGTAGTGAACCAAGCGGTAGGAATTCTAAATGGCTACAAAAATGTAGAATTCAAGCCATTCAGGTCTTGAGCTTATATGCTTCGGATTTCTATTCAGGAAGGCCCAAAACAATAGCGTAATATCCTTAATGGAGGAATGTGTAAGAATTACAAACCAAACATAAAGTTTTAAGCCAAATATATCATTGGCTTGGCAGTAATCTGGGAGTAATCAGTATTAAAATGTAAAACAAAAAATTGCGTAAATATATAAATCCAAAATGTTTATTGAAAATGCCAGATGTTTATTGTGCCTTGTGGACATCAGAGCGATAGACACCTGAGAGAAGGCCCTTCTCTGTGGCGATACGGTTAAGAGCGTAGTCTGACTCACCAAGAGCGCGGACATAGCCGGAGAAGACGACTGTCTCGAATTCGCCTGTTGGGAGACCATCCTCATTAACCTTGGCGATTTGGATTTGAACAGATGCATGATCGTGTGGTGGAATTAATCTGTCTGTGGCCATGCACTTGCGTGGGATAAGCATATCAACGATTTCGCCAGCGTCGTTTTGCATATTTACTAAAAAGGCTCGACCAAACCTCTCAAAACCGTTTTTGGATTGCGCCAAAATCCGAATGAAAATTTATGAATTTGTAGTATATCGATTACTTATTTAGGATTTTCTTTGGAGTACTAAGGGTTTCGTTTTGCTAAAATTGTCACTTTTATAGCATATTTGTTTTTGGATGTTTTGCGAAACCAAAAAAAAAAAAAAAAAACTATGATATACAATGTGTGTGTAAAGAAAATACTTTATTTACTAGTTAAAAAATCATTTGGTATTGATCAAGTTTTTTTTTCTGGATAAGATATTATATGGATAATTGGATAGAAAATACAATTATATAATCTTGTACCTGGTTTAATTAAGCTAATTGTCATCAGAAACTTGTAATTTTTATGAATTTCAGATTTTCTTTTCATTACTGCTTTTCTTAATAGGTCAAGTTCTTATTTACGTTATAAAGTATGATATTTACAAATATCAAGTTATCGTGTTTTTTGAGAAATTATGAGAAACAAACAAAAATGAAAAAGATAGGAATAGCAATGAATAGTGATGTGGGTATAGAAAATGTAAGAGATATGAATGCAAAGCAATCAGTATTTAGGATATTGACCATAGATTTCGAAAAAAAAATGCTGCATATTGAGCGAAAACTATGATTATATTATAAGGCTGTCATTTAAAGCATAATGAAACTATTCCCTTTTCATTTTAATCGAATAAGATAGTAAAGATTTTTGAATTAGCTAGAAACTGATGAGATGTTTTCACAAATCAGATTTTTAATCTCTATAATGCATAATTCACTCAATATCTCAATTTTGATATTGCGAGATATTTTTGCTATCGGTTTCGCAATTTTGACACAATAGCAAGAGGGTTCTATAAGCATTATTCTCAACGTAGAATCTGAATATCATATCAGAAAATGTCGCAAATCTGACATTTACCCGACCAAATAGCAAAAATAATTGAATACTTTTCGCAAAAACTTTAAAAATCGATAAAAATATGAAATATAGATATTAAAGAGACTTTTTATATAATATTCATAAAGATTTTCCAAAAATATGATACCGCAAAATTAAAAAAGTGACGTCTTGAGTGGAGTCAAAGGTCGAAATTGCTAGCTAAATGTTTTTTAGCGAAATTGCGTATTGTACGTTTTTTTCGCAAAACGAAACCCTTAGGAGTACCTTTGGCTTTATGACCAATTTTGATTGGGAACATCATTAGTAGTATATATGACGGGTTTTGTGACTTTTTTTGTAAACGTAAGAATTCATACATTTTTGAGCGATTTTGTATCATTTTTTTTTACATATGAAGTAAAAAATGTATGATTTTTACGGTTTTTATTCTTACGTTTTTGAATAAATCAAGATTTAAAAATTTTCAGAATCGTAAGAAATTTTCACTAAACCCATACATAATGAAATAAAAATAAAAAAAAATAAAAAAAAATAAACTTTAAAAATTCATGTTTTACATTTTTTGAATAATTTATTTTTTTAATTCGTAAGAAAATGAGTGGATCAAGATTCGTAACCGTCAATCAATTAATGGATGTTCTTTCACCAATTCTTGAAAATGTTAAACAAGTAGATGTTTATTTCGATGATTATGTAGAAAGTATATATTATAAAGGTAAGTTTAATATTAAACCTATTGCTTTTGCATTTGATAATAAATTAATTGAAAATGCAAAAATTTGGGAATTAATTCCAGATATTGAATTTATAACAAATATTAATGATAAATGGTTTAAACGAATTCCAACCACAAAAGTTCTTTGTAAATTAATGATCAAAACTGAGGAAAAAGAATTTAACGGGTTTAAATATCATCCAAATAAAGTTTCAGAACTAGAAAATGAAAAACTTCAGAAAAAATTAAACGATAGACTTTCAAATGATCGTATTGAAAAAATAAATAAACTAGCAGAAGTTGCATTTAATAATGAAATATTTGATGAATATAACCTTGAACTCAGTGATGGACTTTAAGTCCTGGGCTTTAAGGACCCGGGCTCAACGAGTCATGATTTATGAAATCAATTATTTGATTCATTCTTTCTTCAATAATTTCTATTCTTTTTGTTAAATCATCTATTTTCATTAATGAGGTGATTCTTGATTGAGGAATAGATTTTAAACTAACAACACCTTTTATTTTTGAAATTTTGAATCCATGACCCTCCGGGTCTTGGACTCTGTCCTCAACTTTAAACATTTTATTCAATTTACATGTTGTCAATTCTTCAAATAATTTTTTATTATTAGCATAATAGTCATTAAATTCTTCAACAGATGAAAAAATTTTTATTTCAGTAATTGGTTTAACAACGTTTATTTTTTGTTGAACATTTTCACTTTCATTTATTTCTTCCTCCTTTGTTTCATTTATTTTTAAAATCGGTTTCATTTATCATTAAATAAAAATTAGAATATAAGTGATGAAATATATTTTTTAATTAATATTAAATCAGAAATGGCGGCAGGATTCTTTAAAAAATTATGGGATGGAATTAAGAAAGCTGCAGGTTGGGTTTATAAAAAGGTTATTAAACCTGTTGCTAACTTTTTGGCACCAGTAGCGAAAACGGCAGGAACTATCATAGGTGGAGTATTAGGTACTAAAGCAGGTAATCCGGCGATGGGAGCACAAGCAGGTAACGCAATTGGTGGAATAGCTGAAGGAATACTTAATAAAATAGGAGGTGGTTAGTGGAAAAATAAATAAAAATTATTTTTATCTTAGTATCGGTTGAAGTCTTTGATAAACTTTTTCTCCTTTATTTAAAATTTCTCTTATTGGGGCAGCTTTTGGCGTTATTGATTCAGCAACGTCACTAATTGCTTCTTTATTCTTAAATATCCAATTTGCTCCTTTCTTAATCCCTTCCCAAACTTTATGCGCTCCTCTTTTTACTTTATCCCACAGTTTCTTAAAGAATCCTGCAGCCATAGTTGATTATTTCATTAAAATTAAAAATTCATTTTCATCTTTTAATTTTGATTTTTTATTTAATAATAAATGACGACTAACTATTTAGTGCCAAACACAAAACCGATTAATGGAAATGTGTTTCATTCATTCGAAAAGATAAATGAAATATTCGCAAAGAATGATGGTAGAAGATATTATAGAGAACTTGAAAGTTCATGTTATGACTCTGATACTCCATATTTTGATGATAAACAAACTCATTTAAGAATTACAAATCCGGCTCATGATGTGAACCAATTAGGTGACACATATATTAAACGCAAAGTTAAAGCAACTCTAGTTTCAAATAAAGCTTTCACATGTGATACCGCTTTTAAATGCATGCGTTTATTCGTTGGTTACAAATCATCAAATCAAAGCTTTAAGCAATTAGAAGTAGAAACCGAAAGAGGTGATGCTGGTTATCTTCAGATGGATTGCGCCCGTGAATCTTTCGCATTTGCAACATATAAACCAAAATCAGAAAGGAAAGTTAAAAAGTTTGTTCATTCGTTATATAATAATGTTCAAAAATATGATAACTCAGTATGTGGTAAATATATTGACCCTTCAGAAGTTTTCAAGAAAGCAAATGAAGAAGTTGATATCACTTTTGATATGATTATTCCGGTAAATGATTTGTTAGCATTTCAGGCGTTCGATGATTATCCTAAATCATTTGGTGAAATCATTCTTAAATATTATGTTTTCAGGGATACTTTAGTATTTTGTCAGGTTGACCCGTTAAGAGTTGCTGATTTACAAATTATGTTTATGAAAAGATAACTGATGAAATTATGAAAAGATTATGAATCATGTTTATAAATATGATCGCAAATTCCAACAAATCGGACTTCCTGCAAAATTAATTACAAGCTTAGCCGCTACATCTGCTGACGCAACAGTTGAAGACGTTATTATTTCATGCACAAAGATGGAAGTTTTAGAGGATAAATGCATTACACCAGGATATGGTTTAATTGAAGAATCAGTTAAAGCAATACCACGTTTATTTAGTAAGGAAGATCCATTCATGATTCCAGCTCAACATATTGACGTTCGTTCACTAAATGGAGGTTGCATCACTCCTGAAGGTATCAGCTCAGATTTCTCATACGCTCTTCATAATGTTACAGATGTTGTGTTAACATTTCCGAAGAATGCAATGCAAAGAACGGTTTTAGAAAATCCAATGCTTCGAGGTCTTCAGGTCACTATAGATTCCAGAAACTTCCCCGATCAAGCGATGACAACAGTGGGTGACATATTCTTTACACGTATGCTTCAAGCTTCTGATTTAGATGGAGTGAATGAATGCACGGAAGAATACGAGGACTCATTAACTAGACCACTAAATGATGATGATGGCAAGCCATTAGCTAGAACATGGAAAGACCAAACTTCATTCTTATGCACTATTCCAGTTCAACGTGATGGAGCGGGTATATTCTTTGATGGATTAGAAACTTTCAACTCACAAGTTACAGTACAAGTGAAAGCTTATCCAATCATTCAGGGTGAAAATGACACTTACTGTTCAAAAGTGACAAATCCTCCTCAGGTTTGGTTTACTAGGACTACAATATTGGACATGGACACCGGATGAAGGTTTGAAATATCATCCAACAGGTACACCACCGCAGTATAGAAGTTCATATGATGAAATATTGATGAATAGAAATGTATAAAATTATAAATTTATTTTTGATTAAATGGATTTAAATTCATCCACCCCTTATGAAGAATTAGCAGGATATAATACATACGTAGATGATATGATTAATGAAGCATTGAGTGATAATAGAAATGCTCTATCTAAGGAAAAATTAATGAAAATTCCATATTCTGAATGTTACTTAAATTCAATCACCGCAGCAATTGGTAAACAAAATAAAGGTAAAACATTAACGATATTAAAACAAATTATCATTATTGCTAACACTTCCCCCATTCACATGTGTTAATTTATATCAACCGTTCAGGTTCACCTTCAGATGATACATTTGAATCTTTAAAGCATTTAATCAAAATTCCAATTATTTATTTATCACAAGAAGAAGCAGAAGATTATTTAAAAAACTTTTTAATGTATAAAGAATTATATAATACAATCAAGAAGCAAGGATTAGAGGATAAAATTATTGATAAACAACGGATGAATTATTTGAAACACTTTCTATTTCAAATTTTGATAGAGAATTTTTGCATTCACTCATTTTTCTAGATGATGCGTGAAATCAAAACTAATAACAAATGAGAAATCATATTTTAATCAGTTATTAACTCAATGTCGACACATTCAGTGTTCATTCTTCATGGCTGTTCAATACTTCAAAGCATTAAGCACAAACATTAAATCAAACATGTCCACCCTTTTCATTTTCAGTGGTTTTAGTCGTCAACAGTTGAACGTTTTGCTTTATCAAGTGAATTTACCAATGAGCATTAATGAACTTTACACACAATATCAACAATTAGGAGAACATGGAAAAATAATAGTTGATTTAAATAAAGGTTCCATTAAATTCGAATAACTTTTTATAATTAATTTTTATTTTTTATTTATAATTAAACATGACAGAAATAGCAAATCTTCTACAGGTTCCATTAAAACAAGGAACAAACAAAAAGGGTGCATATAATAGAACTATGAAAGTTCCAGACGGAATGAAAGAATTAGTCCACATTGTTGCCGGTCTTCAAAAGGATGTTAAACAAATGAGAAACGTTTTAACATTACCAGAAGCTCAAGCATATGCCAAACGTCACGGACCAAATTGGGAAGCACACGAAGCAGACATTACGGGTCCAAATGGAAAACCTGATGGAATAAATGAAGTTTTGTTACTGATGGTCAAGGAAATATTAAAGTCATAAATGGGTATAAATTAACAATGACGGATTATCCTAAACGTAAAGCATATAATGAACATTATCCTATGCAATTTGATGAAAATGGAAAAGCTGTTAAACAATACATTGGAGAAGGTGAAAATGGTCCAATTAATTCATACCGTCATAATCCATATTCTTACTTCAATGAAGAATTAAATGCTATTGAAGAGGGACCGGATGGATTACCACGATATTCTAACCAGTTTGATGGTCAATATGCAAATTTGAGATCTGAAATTCCAGCTAAGAAATTCTTTAAAGTTGCTTTATTCGATCCAGTTTTCGCAAATGTTAAAGATGAACTTAAACAGCAATTCCAACCAATTATAGTAGCAAGAATTGCATCAGGTGCTTTATCTCAAGCATTCAAAGATTTAATTAAGAAACCATTATATCAGCAACGAGGTTTAACTTATGATTTAGTTAAGGAATCAGATAAAAGAAAATTTGAGAAATCAAATGATTATAAGAATGCAATTAATGAATATATTCGGTCTATTAATTTCGATGAAAATGCTAAAAATCAACTTCATGAACAAATACAGGAAATAATAGATTCAAAAGTTCCAGCAAAATAAAAGTTTAAATATATTTTTTTATTCGAATATAAATGAGAAGACGTTTCACTAGTCAAAAGAACACTAACGCAAAAGCAGAGATTACGGTTGGTTATAACGTAAATGATGATAAATCACGAATTATTCAAAATGTTAAAGTTAATGTTAGTCCTGAATTAACAAGGTCAGCAACTCAACCAAATTTATTAACTCGTGACTTACCGAAGAATGAGGAAGAGCAAAATAAAGAAGATGGAGACCCAATCATTTTATCTGAACCTGGTAAAGAACCTGTTGAAATTCCCACTTATCCAACATACCCAGCACCACTTGATAACCCAGGAATCTACGATTCAGTCGCAATGCGCCATATAAAATAGACATTAATTCTGAATTAATGAAAATTTACCGTGATATCATAACTGATAATTATGATTCAATAATAAATTTAATTGACCAATCCGGTTTAATTATTTTACCTTATGAATCATTAATTCACATTATCGCCATTCTTTGTGATGTTCAAGATTCAGACGTTAAGATTCAATTTTTCATAGATGATGAGGTTTCATGCTGCGGAACAGTTGCAAAAATAAATCCTATAAAGGATATTAGCACAATTAAGATATCAAAGAACGGAACAACAACTGAACTTCATTTAACATATAATGATATTTATAATAAAATAGTTGATGAATATAAAATATCACTTGAAAAATTCTTTGTTAAGGCTATTTAATATTCAAGCATTAACATTATCGAATAATAATCCTTTGAATCATAATCATAATAATTGACCTTTCACCAGTTTCTATCGTTTGTTTTATTTCTTTTTGTTCCCCACTATCTGGATCGGTCATTGTAATTGTTTTTGTTATAGTATCAGCTTTATCTTTAACTTCAATCTTTTTTCCATCAGGATATTTAAACCAAAATTCCAAAAATTCGATATTGTCAATCTGTTCATATTTTAATCTATCAATTACATTTTTAATACCATCTGAAAATCTTATGAAATGGTCATTATATGGGTTTGATTGAACTAAATTTGAATGAAGTGAAATATAACCTGATGATGAATATGACATTGACTCATATTTTCTGAAAACACTAAAATTTATAACATGAATGAATTTCTTATTCGTTGAATTTATGAATTCTTGAGGTAATCTTATTCTAGTTTTATTTATCACTGGAAAATAACGCTTTACCATATTTTTAATCGTAATAAAAAAATGTCAATTATCAATATTATTTCGAATAATAACTGTGAATTAAATTTAACAGTTAGCGGAATTTATAATGTTACTCTCGTTTCTGTGAGTGGTAAATTTAATCCCATTCTTTTAGACCCTTCAGATTATATATCATTTATTAAAGATGACCTTGAGCCGCATAGCGGCGGGGTCGTAGACCTAAAAACGTATGATATGTATATAAATAATGTGATAGTGAGGATATTAACATGATTTTAAGTTATTTAAATGAATCATTTATCGTATGGTATGAAGAAAATTTTAAATCAAAACCTGATAAACTTTTTGAACTTGATGAAATAAATAACCTTATTAAATTTCCGCTGAAAATTAAATTTTGTACTCCTCATCTTCGTTCATTGTTGGGGATATTAAATTTTGAAAAAGATGTTGGGGATGTTTTGTATTCTGACACTGGTTCTAATTTCATTTTAATCAAATGTGATAAAGTTAATACCCCAATGAGATTTTCACATCAAACATTAGACCCTAACTCTTACCCATCAATACAAAACATTTTATCCATCAACTTAAACATATTTTCTTTATCATATCCGTTTCAATTATCCGGGAATTCATTTATTCTTCATTCAAAAGATTTATCAAATATTAAATTTAGAATAACTGACCTATTTGATTGTGATTTAGAATTTATGAATGAAATATTATGGCAATTTCAAATAGAAAAAATAGCTGATGAGATAACAGATTAAATATTTATTTTTAAATCGTAATAAAATGATTAAACAACAACCACAGCAACTTAAGGCACAGACCATTACATACGCCACATATGCATATAATTCAAAGACGGCAGAACAAACGCAAAGGTTGAAATATGGAGATTTGGAGATAGTATTGAAAAATGACCATTTTGAATTCGTTTGCAAAGGTGGTGCAGTGATATCAAATATAAAAGAAATTTTATTTATGAATTCAAAAATTAAAGGAATAACGGATGATATAACATCAATTCCACCAGAAGAACAAAGATATTACGCATTAAATGCATTTCCTAAAGTTTTGAAGATTGGAAGATTTAATTTAAATGAGGAATTCATAAAAGGTTTCCTAAATGACATAATGAAGAAGGCAAATTTGGTTTATGTTGATGAAAAAGATAATGAAATTATAGAAAGGGTTGATAGTGAATTAATGAAGAAAGCAAATTTGGTTTATGTTGATGAAAAAGATAATGAAATTATAGAAAGGGTTGAATGGTATCATGAACGGACATCAAAGATTTTAAAAACTAAAGCTGATACAGGATGGGTTTCAGGATGTTTAGACCTTAAAGCAGATAAGGAATATGTTAACGATGAGTTAAATAAGAAGGCAGATAAGGAATATGTTAACGATGAGTTAGGGAAGAAGGCAGATAAGGAATATGTTAACGATGAGTTAAATAAGAAGGCAGATAAAACATATGTTAACGATGAGTTAGGGAAGAAGGCAGATAAGGAATATGTTAACGATGAGTTAGGGAAGAAGGCAGATAAGGAATATGTTAACGAAATATACCAAAGTTTGATAGGAACAAAAAATATTGAAACTATTGTTGGTGACTTTTCTGTCAATGAAGAAAATAAATATTTTAGATGGGTGTTTGTACAGTCCTTAAGAAATGGTATACGGTATAAACTCATTCCGAAAAATAACAATGAAATGTATGTAGGCTATATAAAGAATAATGGACACAAGTTAAAGTTCCATTAGACAACAACTGCTACTTAAACTTATATGGAGACGAACAAAAGAAATATTTAAGAGTTTATGAAATGGTAGATATGACATTGTCTAACGTAGCTCCAGCACCGTATTATTATGACTATGGTGTTGACGCACATGTAGACCCAAAAAAGCAAACATTATATTTAGAATATTATAGATATAAAAGATATAATGCAATAGAAAAAACGAGAATAGTATATTATTATAAGATGACAAAATAAATATTATAGTCAAGATTTAATACCCGAAAACATAAGATTATATTATAAAAAATATTCTGACACAAACCAGAAGAAACCAGAAATAGTTACACTATATTTTAAGTTCAAAAGAGACAATCCTATAATATCTCATATGTTTGATTTAATGAACCCAGTAGGTTCTATTTATACATCTATGGATGTGAGAGGTCCTCAAGCAATGTTTGGTGTTGGTGCATGGGAACAAATAGTCGACAGGTTTTTGTATTGTGCAAACTCTTCAAAGGAAACAGGGGGAAGTAAAACGATTTCAGGTGAAAATTTACCTGCACACAGTCACTACATAGATTTAAGTACATCTCAAGCGGGTTGGCATAAGCATAGATATTGGGATTGGTCAGGAATGACAAAAGGTAAAGGATATGATGTTAAAGATGATGTTAAATTTGCCATAAATTGTTACTGGAGTGACACTCAGGGAGAAGGAAACCATACACATCGCGTTTCAGGATATACACAAACAACGGGACAAAGTAAAGATTACATGCCACCATTTATGACTGTATTCGCATGGTATAGAGTTCAATGATGAACTAAATATATTTTTGTTCAAAGCTTCCACGAGAGAAAAGATTCCTCATTCGCTAAGGATTCCAAAAATGAAAAAATCATTGATTTCGGCTGAGAAAAAACAGCAAAACCCTTCTTCCACGGGAACAAAGAAATAAAGAAGAAATAAAGAAGAAATAAAGTAAATTTTTTATTTATTCCCGTGGAAGATAGCACTTTTATGACACTTTTTATTCACGACAAACAGACAAACAAAGAAAATAAGAAAATACGGCGCCGTCGCGGTTCGAACCACAGACCCTGACCCCTCCATAACACCACCTTAGACCACTGTGCTACGTAGCCTGTCGACATAAGATTTTATAAATTGCATATTTGACGTAAATTTATTTCCCAGTTATTCAAAAATAATTAATTATTGAATAACCTAAAAACATTAACGATAAAATAAGTGATAACAAATTTTTATTTTTATCATAAATGAATACCCCACAAGCTCAAAATTTACCACGAATCATAACAAGGGAGGAAATGATAAAAATGATGCAAGAACATGTTAAAAATAACAAACCACTAAAATTGAGAAAATGTGGTTATGCAGTAATGATGGAAAGAGAGATGTTGTCGAAGAGGAATAAAAATTAAATTTGGATTGAGTTTAAAAATTCATCTTTATTAAATTCATCTCTTCCAATCAATTTATTTATTCTATTAAATTCTTTTATTTTTGCTTCACTCAGTTTAAGGATTGAACGATAAGTTTCTAATTTTTCGATTATTTCTTTATCGTTTTCAACCCCACCGCATTGCGACTTCTTTTTGTAATAGCATATTTTTGATTTAATTCTGTTTAGTTTCTTTTTATATTCATTGTCTGGACTCTTGACTGCTTTGTTGTCACTCATTTCTTACGAAATAAAAAAAATTAAATATTATTTAAATATAATGGAGTAATAAAATAAATCGGAATTTCTATTAATTTATTGTTAACCTCAACTAATGCATTGCCGTTAATATATCTAACAAATTCAGCTATTGTGTCAAATCTTCGTCTTCTTTTTGTCATTGATTTATCAGTTTTTCCATAATCGAGATGAATCAAAACTTTATCCCCTTGTTTAAAATTCATGAGCCCTGAATTAATTTGTTCACGTTTAACATCATTCAACCTTTCCATTTGCTTTCTAATATATTCCCATTCTTTTGAAATATCATTTTTCATTTCCACCGGTTTCATGTTTATTGTTCTTGCCATGTATTATTGTAATAATATACTAACTGTTGTATGATGGAGTCATGATTTCCATCCCAGTATATCTGACCGTTAACCCCTAACGCATCTCTAAGAGTTCTCATTACCACATCAACTATTTTATTATGAAACGTATATGGAGAGGATGAAAAGTAAAAATTAATTTGTGGGAAATAATGAGTCATAGCTGCCTGAAATCCTTTATCACCATCACCCCTTATATTATCTACTCTTTCATGATCTAGTAAGTATTGAATAGCTCTTCTTGTTTCCTGTTCTGTTTTCCCTTTCACTGGAATGCAATATAAATATCTGGTGTTAATGTTAATGGTAAATAAATAAGTAACGTTTCCTTTTGAATATTCCAGATGATCGATTTCATATGAATATGGATATGGTGCAAATGAAGGGCGACTAAATTTTTCCTTTAACGGTTGAATTTTTGGGTCAATTGGTTTATTTAATATCTTGAAATCCTTTTTAAAATCTTTTTGTTTCTTTAATGTTTGAAATGGATATAATAAAGTGAATGATGAAGGATTAACTGAAGGAGGAGGTGGTACTGTCGTTGGAGGTTTTGGTGTTGCAAGTGGTTTAATTTTATCTGCTTTGATTTTGGATTTCATTCCTTCCTTCATTAATTCTGGATGTATTTTATTCATTTGTTTTAAATATGCTGTATATAAAGGTTTGATATACTTTCCCGCTTCGAGTTTATGTTGAAGGATGAATTCCAAAAGTTGATCTTCATTTAAAAGTCGGGCTGAATATGGTTTAACTAATGAATCATAAATTAAAGCTTGTGCTTCATTTATGATCTGCTGAACGTCCAAACTTTTCTCTTTTGGCTTTTGCGGCTCAGGATTATATAAATTATATAATTCATCAATATCTTTTTCAGTTAATACTTTATTTTTGAAATCTTTCAACTGTTTCAGTTGTGATTTACTTTTTCCCTTTGAATATTTTCCTTCTTTAATGTTCTCTCTTAAACGTTTAATTATTTTATCATGATATTTCAAAATTTCGTTTTTATAATACCGATAGTATTCACCCATATCATCACCTGTAATTGTTTCATCATATTTTTGGAGATATGATTTTAATTCATAATAACTAAGAAAATTTTGATTAAATACTAAATCATCAATTAAAATTTTTAAATCTACGCTATTCATTTATATAAAAATAAAATAAATGTTTAAGGGTGCCCACCTCTTTGTCTCTTCTATGGCATTTCATTAAATAAATGGCATACAACATCCATTTTCACAACATACAGCTTTAGTGTGTGCTCCTGTTAATGCAGTCTTACCAATTGTTAAGCGAGTCATTTCCCCGTTTTTAAGTTGTAAATTAATATTCTGACCATCGAAAATGACTTTATCATTTATTATATCCAAATAATTTTTAGGTGTTAATTGCTTATTTTGTCTTAAACTAACACCTTTCATTTTTTGTGCAATCTTTTTAAAATCACTTCCATCAATTGAACCGTTGAATGATGTATAACACTTAGGGCATAAAGCAACCATGTTATCACCTTGTTTCTCAATTGCTAAACCCAATAACTTCTTCTCATGTGCTTTTTCTTCAGCTTTATTCTTTAATTTAGGTTTAAATTTCTCATTAAAACAAAAGAAATCAAAAGGTGCGAATTTGAAAATGTGTTTTATCATAAAATTTTTATCGGTTACAATTGCTTGAAATGCTTGAGTGTTAGGAAGATTTGGGTCGCCAGCGATTGCCCAATATGATGAATCAGTATCACCTTCAATGAAATGAAAACGATTAACATCCATGCATTTATACATAAAATCATAAATTGAAAAACCAAATACCAGTATTTTGCGTTAATAAAGTGAAGATGCCTCTTGTAAACATGTATCACATCTATAAAATCTATCTTTAAGCATCACTTGATACGTATCTTCACCTATTTCTCTTATGTTTTTAAACTTATTTGACATACATGCAACGCGTGCCTTCTGTGCATTCATTATTTTAGTCTTTGCGTAATTTTGTGTATTCATTGCATCGTAACCATATGATCCATTAAGTGAAATCTTGCAAAATAAACTTTTTCCTTTATTTCCTTCTAATTCAGCCTTTTGTCTTTCATTCATAAATTCGTTCGCAAATTCATTAAAACAAGTGTTTTTAGTAAATGTTAAAATTGATTGAATGTCATCAATGATAAAATGAAATCTTCTGTCTATTAGATACCAAAGATAATAAGAAGAAAATGGTTGATATTGGTTGTGTGTTGAATAACTGAGTTAATTTTCTTTGTTTCTGGTCAACTGGTAGATTGTTTGATTTCATGTAATTATACATAAAACTGCCAATTGTTTTTTCATCTGTGATAATATCTAAGTTTCTTATTATTGGTAAAAAGTTTATGTAATCATTAATGTATTTTTCATCAATGTGACCCTTTACTTCAGCCACGAATAAAGTATTTTTCTTTCTAATTATTCCCAGTGCTTTTGCTTTCTTTGTTGCTGTATCACAAATGATAAACACCATTCAATCTTCCCGGCATATACATTTTATGGTCAGTATATTGAATGAAATCATGAGGATTAGATGAAAATGATGAAGGATATAATGAATTAAAATCAACACCAACAAAATGAGTCATATATTGGTGGTGTCCTCATTTGATACAGTTTTAGTTTCTGGATTATATGAAAGTTTTATTAATGTGCGTGATTCCTTTAAGATTTACTCTATGTTGAACATTTGATAAACCACCAGTAATTCCATTACGGAGAATGTGATAAGCTTCAACTGAATCTAAAGTCATTGGTAAATTATTTTTTAATGTATAATTTCTTAAATTGATTCTTAAACGTTGAACATCTTCATCTTTATTTGATTTTACGACATTGCAATAACAACACATTAACTGACAATTTTCTTTGGTATGTGGTTTTTCATTATCGATTCTATCTAATGTTGGTTTATTAGCATATGTAAACGCTTTACCACACATTTTGCATTTAGATGAAAGGATTAAATCGTGATAGTATTGATAGTCATCCATTGAAACATTGTTTTTAGTATCCCTTTCTGCTTTTTCATCTTGTTTCTTATATGAATCAATTTTTATTTCCAATACTTTTTTGTTAATTCAAAACTTGATTCCACATTTTCTTCTTCTGGATATGTTTCGTTAGGATTGAAGTTCTTATATGCTAACGCGTAACGAATCATTGATGCATTCGATGATAAAGAAAGATTATGAAGCATGTCAATTTTATAAACAAATGTTTCTTCAATAATTTTATCAATTGGGTCAATCATAATTTCAACGTCTTTATTGCAATAATGAATAAAATATTATCTAATCTATTCAAAATTTTTAGCATCATTGAGATATATTTGATAATCTGAATCGGATATTGTTTCTTGAGTTAATGCTGAATAAAATGAATCTTCGTGAATGGTTCCTCTTTATATAATTCATCTTCGTAATTTTCCCGTGATGAATTGATAAGGGAAAAAGGATTTAACACGTGATTTATTGTTTCCGAAATCTTGAGTGAATTGGTCTAATGTCCCACCCGCTATATAATTTCTGATGTCAATAAATCTTAATTCATATGGACAGTTTGTTTTCTTTACAATGATTTGCTTAAATTGAGAAGAAGACCCAGCATTGATTTTATTTTCCATTTTGCAGTGTTTAAATCACGAAGAATTAAATTTAAATCAAACTTTCCCGAATTAAAACCTATGATATTCACTTTATTGAATTCCTCATCTAGAAGTTCTTTAAATGCTTCCTTCTGTTTCATTTAATGTATGGGACAAAGTCCCCGCCGTTTGGTCCGTTTGCGCTTCATTAATTCTTCATATTGTTCAATATTTGATTTAGCAACTAATGAACAGGTTGAAAATAAAAATTCAATCCAATCAGAGATGAACGAATCACTTGATGTTAAGCAAAAATTCCTCGTAAATGTTTTATCACGGTCTACGACCTCGCCGCTTCGGTCTGAAAGACCTTCAGGACTCAAAGAGTCCGTTTGCGGCTTTATTTTGACAGTTGATGATACCATAAATGGTTTTAAGTAAGCGTTCAAAGTTGCACATTCAGAAAGTTGAAGTTCTTCTTTAGTCTCTAATGTTTCGAAGTCAAAAGTAATATAATATCTTGTTGGTTTATAATATTCCTGCAAATTGTGAGCTAATAGCCATTGATATATCTTCTGTTTCGTGATATGTGGTGCATATGGTTGTTGTGTGTTTTGCAATTGAACGTCTTGAATTAATCTTCCATTATTTTCTTTACATTTCTCACAATGTTTTAAAAATCTTCTTTGGTTTTTCCTTTCTGGGTCATCACGGATAGAATATACTTCTTCTTTGCAAAAGGGGCAAACTTTATATCCTGTGAGTGCTTCAACGTCTGTAATTCTGTCAGCGTGAAGTTTTCCACATGGACTCTGTGTTAATAAAATATTTACTGTTTCAAATTCTGGATCTATCATTATTGATTCCACTAATGGAAAGTCTACCTTGTTAATGTCTGTCTACGTCTTCTGTTGAGGGTCACAATAATAAAAAATCAATATTAACGTTTAACATTCTTGCTAACCTCTCACTTTCTGATGAAATGTCAAATCCTTCATATGCATCTATGGCTTCATTTAAATAACTTCTACGAGTTTTAGGATTAACACCATCAGGAATGTTATAGAAGCGTTTAAATAACCTTCTACCTTCGGCTCTTATTTGATTATCATTCATTTTTAGCTGTTCCGTTTTTTTCATTTATGTAAGAATAAAAAATTAAAAAATAAATAAAAATAAAGTTTATTTTTTTAAAGTCCAGGGCAAGTGCCAGGGCTAAAGCCATAAAATGAATTAAGAACACATAAATTTTTATCATCTGCGACGTGACGAATACATTTTAATTTACTCAAGAATGCGTACCCTGATACATTAAATCTAATTCCTGTCTTATTTAATTTCACAACTTTGAAAAGGAATGTATGAATAGCTATAAAATGATGAGATGATGTTTTATGGGTTGCTTCCATTTTTTCTGAAATAAATGAATAAATATAATGTTTATAAGTTTTCATATCTTTTATATTCTTAATAACGAATGGTATAGACTTTCAACTTCGTCTTCCTTCGGTGCTGTTCTTTCATATGAAACATTAGTAGTATCTTCAATAATGAAACCACAATCGCATAAAATTTTATATGTACCAATTGTTTCTTTTGATATTTTATCTAACAAATCAAAAACTTTATCAACACCTGTACATTTATTTAAATAATAATTTGTGTAAATATCATGGTCTTCTTTCTTAATCGTATTGTTTGCATATGTTACATTTTTCAGTGCTTTTTTGAATTTTTCAGAATCAAGAGGAGGTGAAAGTAATATACATGGATAATCTCCATCGTCAATAAATTGTAACTTATGTTTATGAATAAATTTTGTGCCTTCTTCTGAAAGTGTTTCATCTATTTCACCATCTAATAAATTTTTAGTAGATTCCAAAAGTAATTTTTATATCTTTCTTCATGAGATTTTTGAACTTCTGATTCTGAAGCTGGGATATTCATTAAACCCTCTACTTCATTCTCATTATATTTTTCAACTTCTCTTAATTCCTTAATTTTTTCATCTATTTCATCTCTTATTTTTTCCAGTCTTTCAATTTCATCATATTCATCATCTTTAATCCGTTCTTCATAATATTCAGGGAAAACATCAGGTTCTTTAGGTTTTTCTTCTTCAGATGTGGGATATAAGAAATTTATAACATCATCTTTATTCATTTTTCCATCATAATCTAAATCATTTAATAACTCCGCGAATTTTTGACAATTTCTTAAATAATATTATTAACTTCATAACTCGCCTCCTCTAATATATCCTTTATTTCCTCGTTTGTGAATCCCAATTTTTTAACGTCGTTAGTCTTGACACTCATTTTCTTACGAATTAAAAAAATAAATTATTCAAAAAATGTAAAACATGAATTTTTAAAGTTTATTTTTTTTATTTTTTTTTATTTTTATTTCATTATGTATGGGTTTAGTGAAAATTTCTTACGATTCTGAAAATTTTTAAATCTTGATTTATTCAAAAACGTAAGAATAAAAACCGTAAAAATCATACATTTTTTACTTCATATGTAAAAAAAAATGATACAAAATCGCTCAAAAATGTATGAATTCTTACGTTTACAAAAAAAGTCACAAAACCCGTCATATATACTACTATCATTGTAAATTTTCCCATGAAACTGAATCATGTGATATGCCAATTCTAGATCAGTGATACTTATGCTGGTCACCCAGATGATTAGTACAAAAATTTATTCGCATGCTTGAATATTTGGATTTGAGTTTCTATATTTTTCAGTAAACGTGTTTTTCATTAGACCCATGATAAGAATGTCAACCTCATGCGCGTCAATTTCTATTTGAGCAAAGTGAAAATTATTGAAAGATATTTTCACTTTCTGGAGAGAGCCCGAACTTGAATAACACTAATTATGGATTGGCATCTCGAATGCTTTCTATCCATCTCAGAAATATGAACAATTGTTCGGAATTGTTCTTCATCTTGAGCAGATTTCGTGTTTTCACGAAGGAGTGCATATGAAAAGTTAATTTAACTAAAATTTCTAGTACATAATAGACATCATTATATTTTCAATAGGTAACGTAAAAAAACGCAAAAAATAACTATGAGCGGAGAGTTCCTTGATAAACAAGAAGATCTCGACGAACTCACTGCACAATATATTGAGAGAAATGGTGGAAATAACTTATTATATGCTGAATATCTTCGTATGACAGCAGATCTTGCAGCAGAATCAGATGCAACAGTTTTTAATCATCTCGAGCCAGATATTAAATACACAGTTAACGATAAAGCATTTATGGAAGCTTTAAAGTATTGCATTGCATTTCTTAAGTCAAATAAGATGGTTGAAACTTTAGCCACAATGAGAACCGAGTATCCAGAACTTCCAAACAAAACAGGATATGCTAGACGTACTGAAATTGAAAGATCATGGGAAAACATGCTAGAAACATCCCATAAGCTCGGCCAGCGTAAATTTGAGAAAACTGTTAAGAATTTTGCTAATGAACTTGGTTTAGAAGATTACCAGCCAAAGAAATTCAAGAAATCTGCCGAACAAGCCTCAGAAGAAAAGAAACGTTCTCATCATCATCACCATTAAGACATTAATGATATAATGATGATTTGTATATTAATTTTTCTTTACTTGATCAATAATTTTAATGTAAATAGGTTATTTTTAAATTAATATTTTGATTTTTTGTCATAGATTCAGAACAGCTGAGGTTTAATTTAGTTTTAACTGCCTAGCCTGCGTTTTTGTTTATTATCATGCACAAATATTAATATATTCTCGAATTTTATTTGATTAATTTTTCTGCTTTCCAAAGAACTAAATTACATTTGGATACCTTAATATCCATACAAGAATATGAATGAAAACAGCTTGACTCAATGCTAACAAGGGTAAGAAGCTGATGGAAATATTTTAGATTGGAAACAGATTGTCTGTCAGTGATTTAAATGCATATTGATATTTCCTAAAACGTTTCACTATTTCCAGGTTTCAAATCACAAAATGATGGTAAAAAAATTCCCGCTATCAGGAAAGCTTTAATTTGAGGGATTTCAAAAGTTTCATCCTGATAACGAAAATATTGAATCTTTAAACAATTTGTCTATTCAAGAATTTGAAAATGAAATTAATAGTCAAATACAGGATTCCTTCTACTAAAATGGATTTTTTGAAGAAAGTTTCTTTTTGCTGGTAAAAATTATATTCTATATGGAAAAAATATTTTTGAAAAAATATTAAAAAAAATCAGATGCCAAAATAATCTTACTGTACATCATGAAGATTATGCACAGCTTTCTTTGGAATCAATAAAAAAACTTAACATAATATTCAAAATAATTCCTAATGAGAATAATGTTTGAATAATTCTTGGATCATACATTGATTAGTATGCTAATGGAATTAATAAATCCTTGAGAAACATACTAATTGATGTTGAAATAAAATAATTATCTCAAATTAACTTAAACGCTAAGTTTTACATAGCTTGGCTAGTATTTTTAGCCTGATCCATGTTATTAGATATTCAAACATTAACTGCTTCTGTTACTTCAGGAGTCATCACTTCGCATTGTGAATCATCATCAATGAAGCTACAAAAGTAGTCTTCCGCAAGATTTATCTGATAGTCCTTCATTTGAGAAGAAACTTCAGAAAGAGAATTTATTTGGGAACTCGCTTTGCTCGGCTGAGATTTTAGGGTTTCTAAAAATGGTGCAATTTGAGACCAGTTTTCGCAAAACCAGAGCAATATACCATCACGAGTTCTCCAGTTCACTCTCTTGGTATTAATTCGTAATGCTTGCTTTACGCAAGCTTGTATTTTTCTTAATTCGTTATAGGATTTGCCGCCTGCAGCGGAAATTACTTTTGATTGGATAGGGTCAAATAGACCCCTATACTGCATCATTAACTCTTTCTTCAGCTTAAGCTCTAAGCTGACGTGGTGCTCTATATTTTCAGACATCTTTATTTTTCAATTGATTTGAAAGGGCTTTCAAAAATGAATGGAATATTGAATCAAATTCAATAATTAAATGAAAATTTTTGGAAGTGGCTATACACATGGTGTTGTCAAAGAATAAAAAATTTTTGAAAAAAAATCTCGAAAATTTTTAAAATTTTTAAAAACCGTCTGGCTTCCTCTCATTTTTTCAATTGTGACCATGAGGTGATATGAAATACAATACAGGACATCTGGCTCTCATACATTAATATACTCTTCCAGATGAGATACAATTCATATATAATGCGATAGTTCATTTAAATTATTTTTATTTTTTGTATAATTTGAGCTTATGAGCTATTAATATGATACGGAATTATCCACATATCATGAACTAGATATTAATTAACCATAAAAGGTTTTAAAACGTTGTTTTGAGTGAAATACATACCTTTTATTTTTAGATCTTTCAGTTTTTTTAGTTCTTATATAAAGACAACCAAAGGTATAAGCATTACAACCTTATTATAAATAGACAAGCTATGAAAAATGCTTTCTTGAAATCATTAAAAAATTCTCCAGAATTTTTTACACACATAAATTTTATTGAGCATACTATCAGGTTGCTTTTTAAAGCTACTTTCATTAATTTTGTAAAGTATTGAATCAACGTTTAAAATTTTTTATGGTTAATTTTTTGTATCTGAATTATTGTCACTTTTAAAAATTTTCAAAAAAATTGACTCAATAAATGTGATTTTTTAAAAATGATGTATTTAATAACATAAGTACATGGTAAAAATTATAATATAAATATATATAACATACAAATTAAGCTAAATTTGGAAAATTAGGAAGTTGAACAAAAGATGTGACATTACAATTAGTAGAATCATCGTCATCATCCGAGGTAAGGTTTCCAAGTTGGTAAGGGAATCTATTTTTCATGCAAAACATTTCTTCTGTGACTTTATCTTCTTGAAGAGATCTGAATCCGATTACACGAGTTGAATAAACATATTTTTCGGGTTCAAATGCAATTCCGAACCCAAATACATTGAAATCAGGATCAAGAATGGCAAGTTTTGTGTTCAAATTAGAAATCCACATCAAAAAGATTTCCTGGAGAGGATCTGGTGTCCATGGTGTAAGGTAAATACCAACATTAGCTCTGGACATCGGAAATAGCTTATGAATTCGTTGTTTTACCTTCCTGGTTTCTAAATCAATGTCTTCGTTATGTAACTTATCACAATACATTTGGGATATTTCACACCACTGAAGAGACATAATAACAGGGTGTATTCCTTTATAACTTCGGTAATCATTTAATAATAAAAGCATTTTGGCACCATTTGGATAAGGAGCGTACATATGTGGTATCTTTACTTTAGATGGATTGCATTTTGCAAATAGTAATGCGCATCCGAAGTCTTTTTCCGAGATCGAATCAAATACAAAAGAAACATGTGTATAATCTTTGAGAATTGTCTTGCTATGAGCTTTATTTTCTTGTAATGCTTTGAGAAAATCTTCTAATGGACATATATCTGTTTTTGCAACTTTTTCAAAAATAAAATTCGCTTCGACGCAATTTTCAAATGAGTTTTTGATGACAAGAGTATTCAGATCAGATAAATTCGATGATTTTGATTGCCTATATTGCAAAAGCCTTGAACATGGTGAGATTGTAATTATTAAGGGTGGCAGATTGTTTTTTCTGCGCTGATTGTTAACGTATCTTGACATTACGAGGATTCCATCTTTCTTTGATATCTTTGTTTTAAAAGTTGCAAAAATCTGTGTGCAAAACCATTGGCCCTTTGTATTTTCTGCAACACCAATGCCAGTATGCGTATATTCACCTTGGATTCTCGAAAAACATGATGATTTTTTCAGCCAGTACAGCATTACTGCTTTTCCTGGATCATCACACGCATCGCAAGTTGCGACATTTTCAGAAAAAGCGAGTGCAAGAGGAACTTGGGACTCTCTTACAAGGTAATTTGCATGTCCAAACGGAACTTCTCGCCTGGACATATCGATCGAATGTGTTCCTGCGAGAAAAGAGAGTTCTTTGCTAAAAATCAGTGTATGAAGACCGTATTCGTTCCTCATTTGATTCACTAATTCAAATATCCTGCGGAGAACCCTCTCTGGCTGATTTACTGCTCCGCCTGACATTTGAATAATATTCCCCCTTTTTATTTCAGAATTTGGACCCTAATAGAATAAAAAAACGTATTTTGTTGTAACGTGTTTTATTCCTCAACCACACTGAGCAAAGTCATTAATGATTTAGTAACATCGATATATGAATAATGTACATTATTGAGAGCACAAATGTGAGCGCATAATTGATGCCATTGCTTGAAATCATAAAATTGATACAAGATTATTGAGTTAAATTGAATTCTATAATACGAATAAAACACCCACGAATGAAATAATGTGTACACATGTTTTATATTGCGAGAATATATCTCAATTATGCAAATTCATCAAATATGATCAAATTACAAGATAGTTATATTACAATATTATAAAGTTTGACGATCTGATTTGTGCTATATATGAAATTTATTGATAAAGTGTCTAGACTTAATTGAAATCTCAAGATGAACAATTTGATTCTCTAGAACTTAGTTTAATTTGCATCAACAACTATAAACCAACCAACCGTCACAATTTACTTTGATTTTAAGCGGTATTTAAGATTTTAATTTCTCAATCATTATATTTCGCTTCAATTTTGATTTGGATCTGCATCAATCATATACACTCCATAATTTGTTGCCATTGATAGAAGATTAATGAGATTCTTCAAGGCCAAAATTTGAGACAGAAAATTTTGGTGAATAATTTGCATATCTCCTTATTATTTGAGTTCACAGTATAATATTCTTGCGTGAAATTAAGAGCTGATTGCGCAACAACAATTTATAAGATTTCCAGTAAAAAAGTGACAGGGATTTTCAGTATGCATTTTGCAATTCAAGGGAGGCCTAGTATCCTTCCAAAACCTGCTCAATACTCTACAATATCCGATCAGCAAGTAACTATTTTGAAATCGCAAAGAAATACTCAATTAAAATCCGGATTTACCGGATATTGGTCAGCAAAATTCCCAGAATCAATTACTCCAACACCTAGAAAGGACGCATTCTGTGTCAATGTTCCAGAACTTGACGGATTTTTCATTGGCTACGGTATAACAGAAAATAAAGGATTGTGTGACGACGTGTGGTTCTACAACCTCAAAACAAACAAATGGAATAGACTTAATCTTACAGGAGACGTTGTTTCCCCACGTACTGGAACCAAAGCGGTGTTCATCGCCAATAATATAATTTTATTCGGCGGATTTTGTAATAACGAATATTACTCAGACTTACACCGCATCGACATTACCACAGGTGTCGTTTCTCGTATCGAAACTACCGGAGAAGAACCTTGTCCGCGTTGCCATTGTGTCATGACACTTTTTGACAAATCTATTGTCATTTGGGGCGGAAATACAGAGAATGTATGCCACGGAGACCTTTACAAACTTAGCCTTGAGACATTCGAATGGACTAAAGTTACATCAAATGTTCCAGGCCGCACAGGCGTTCCATATTGTGTTTCACGAAACAAAATTTTTGCCTATGGAGGAAACAAAACCGGTTTAATCGTCATTGACCTTGAAAACGATACCGTTGAAGTTCGAGACACGATTGGCTGCAATCCCGACATGACAGTCATGTCCGGAAACATGGTTTCCACCGACAAGTTCGTCTTCCTTTTCGGAGGACAGAAAATCGAGAAAGAAGTTTATGATTTAGTCTATTGTTTAGACTTAGATAAGATGTGGTGGTTCATCTTCTTCCTGAGTCCAGATGGAACTACTACATCACCAGAAGATGGATACATTGATAAATTAGGATTATTCAACATTCCAAATGCATATGGCTGTAATTACTTGTACAATGAAAAAGAAAGAGAAATTGTTTACTGTTTAGGCTATCCTTCAAGTGATCCACCAAATGTACACACTATATCTATTAGTGAAGCACTTGGTTTCTTACACATGAGAGATGATATGCTTGACATTCTCAGACACAAATAATTGAACTGATAATTTGTTGTTGTAAAAAATTTAATTATATTAATATTATCTTTTCTTTTATATATAAAATCATCTTCTTTCTATATATATATAGTCATCTCATAGAAAATAAGCTCTCAAATTAAACATCAAGAGCTTTACCATCTCATTCAAAATCGAGTAATGAGGTTTAGACATTATATTTTGAGAGATTTCTCTAATGAGATTTTTTTGAGGTAGTTTATGTCTCATGCATCTTTCTTATAATTGATGAGTTTCACAACTGAGATTGTTTACTATAAAAATAAATTTATAATGATGATAAGAAAAAAAGAGTAAATTTGATCTTTTATTTTTATTTAGTATTATTTTTTCTTTAGGTAAAGCATCACAAGTTGTTTCGTTTGAACAACAGGATGATTAATGAAAGATCGACATCTTTTTTGTTCAAAAATAGAACAAAATTGGTCAAGTGGTAGATCAATATTCAAAAATGTATATACCCAGATTTTCCTTACTTTTACCACTCCCCATGTAATTTCTGGGGAAAACGATAATTCATTTTTTTTATGGATGAATAGATCGTTTTCCTAGAAAGGACCTCATATCTCTGGCTAAAAAGAGTGTCAGATCCTAAATAGGTTATTGATCTAGTGTACAAATCCAATAAAAAGCCTATTTTTTGGCTTTTTTGGTGCTCATTTTTTCGAAGATCTACATAAATATGGGGAAACCATCGGATTTTTTTGGTTAACCCACATCTTCATGTAATCTGGACTATCTTTCCTCGAAGGACCTCTTTACGGGTGTAAAAACTCATAAAGTTCTCAAAAGATTCATTCTCGATCTCCATGCTGAAAGAATTTACAATAAAAAAGAGATCTACGCATCAAACTACAGCCATAAATGAACTGAACCCCTAAAGCTCAGCTCTTAGTTTATCAAAAACGTCGAAATCCTTCTCATTGCAATCAAATTTTCTCAATAACTCATAAGAAAAATCGAATTTTGATTAAGCCGATGTTATAGGTATCACAAATACTACAAACTTGAGCAATATCGAAATTGCCAGCAAAAGTTTGAAATTGCATTGCTCATATTTGTTTTGTAAACTAAAAATCTGCTTATATTATTCATTAATTTTTTATATATTATTCATATACTTTAATAAAAACAATACTATTTCACCTTAAAAATGAATTTCATAAGTCAATATTATTTTTTTGAAAATGTATCAATTTTCGATTAAAACAACATGAGAATAAAATTTACGCAAAATTATTTTAAAAAATGGTTTTAAAAATTTACAATTGATGAAGAATAAGATTGCAAGAAGTTTTGAAGTTTAATTTTAAGAAAAAAAATTCGGATATTATTCATGGATCTAAGTAATCTGATATTTGAGTATCAGCACTATGCATAAAACATATATTTATAGTTTTTTTGGAGTTTTATGATTTTAAATATATTCAAATTTGGCAATCCAATAGATTTGTAAAAAATAGGTAAATAAAAATAGATTACATATGCAGCAGATTTAGAACATGAAACAAATCTTATAGTGACCCAAAAAAAATTCATGATCCAAAAAAAGAAAAAAATTGGCTAAATGGGAATCAAACCTTGGCATAATGCATCATTATGTCGGATGTTTCCACTACACTACACCGGCAGTTCGAAAAATACCCTTGGTGGTTCTATTTAATAGCTACTCCCAACGATAGGCGGTGTCCCCAGCTTTAGAGGGGTGGTAAAAGTAAGGAAAATCTGGGTAAATTATTTTAAAAATATTTTCTGTGATATTAATATCTCCTATAGTAGGTTGATTATAAATATAACTATCATAAACATTAATCATTGCAGGATTATAAGGATTGTTATAAAATAGTTTAATATTATTATTGCCGTTATTGGAAAAGCTACAATTAGTGAATGTGGCATTAACTCCAAAGCAGTAAATTGTATTTGAAGTACTATATCCTTCTTCAACAGAATTATTAATGATGTTGCAATATTTTGTGTCAATTTGATGTAGAGTAATATCATCTCCTTGATAATTAAGACATAAATTTACATCTCCTGTGTTGTTAATGAAATTAGAATATCCTGTAGTTGATCCTGGTTCTGGAGAACCAATATATATTCCAGGAGTTGAACTTGCTTTATTAGAACTAACATTTGAGTTAATAAAAAGTGATTTTCCTCCTGATGAACAATAAACAGTATTATTATTTGGTTCTAAATTTCCGCATTCTGAAATAGAAGCATAATATGAATAACTGATGTTTTTTGACTTTAGAACACAATAACAATACTGCCCTAATCCATGGTCTGCTAATGAACAGTTTTTTGCTTTAAATTTATATTGAACAATGGAGTTATTACCCAAAAAGCGAATAGCTCCACCGGATTTTGTATTTGTACATGAAATAATTTCGCAATGACTATGGAGGATTCTGATATTATTAATTTGAATGAAATTTATTGCTGAATTTGAAAGTTCTATGAATTGACATAAGTCAAGTTGGTAATTAAAAATATTTTCTGTTGGATTAAGTGCTGTTGTTGTATATTTTTCATTTTTCTCTATTTCAGGATCAGAGGTATTATAAAAGCATGTCCAGATATCAGACAGAAAGTCAAGACGAAGAATAGATAATGGAAATTTCAGGTAAATAAATCTGAATGGCGTTGGCCGAAAATATTAATATTAATGCAAACAAATAAGTCAAATCAACAATGTTAAAGTTATAAAATCAACTAGTATTAATAGTACTCATAAATAGTAACAGTTTCAAACTTTCAAGACAAATTTGATTTTATAATTGCGGGAAAAGGTTTAAAAATATCATTGAAGTGCATAATTTGTGATTGGTATAAATATTATTGGAGCAAATAAATAATGAGATGAATGTTTCTTTGATTATATTCGGTATTTGATTTTTCGTTTCAAATATGTTATTCCTAAACACTATCATTACTTTACCTATTTTGTAGGATAGCATGAACTATTTCAAATTTTATGTATTTATGAATGAATGATTGGAGAACCTTGTCCGCGCTGCCATTGTGTCATGACACTTTTTGACAAATCTATTGTCATTTGGGGCGGAAATACAGAGAATGTATGCCACGGAGACCTCTACAAACTTAGCCTTGAGACATTCGAATGGACTAAAGTTACATCAAACGTTCCAGGCCGCACAATTTGTCAAAACAAAATTTTTGCCTAAAAAGGAAACAAAACCGGTTTAATCGTCATTGATCTTGAAAACCATATAGTTGATTGAAATTCTAGCATAGATTCTGAGATCATCTATATTAGATGGTTTGTTTTTACAAATTTATCAAAAATATCAAAATTATTATTTGAAATATTTTCACACATAATCATTTCAAAAGTTGAGAGATTAGAAACTTTGATAAGGAGATTATAAAGTATATTTTAGATGTGGTTTTAATTTTTTTTTGAGAAAATATTGGATTGGAAATGAAAAATAGATTAATATCTTCTTTTTCCTCTTTTAAATTGTTTCTTTGATTTTTCTCTTTTTTCTTGAATAATATTGTACTTTGAGTAGATAATATGAGAAGCTTCTCCACTATCAACTTCAAATGCAGAACATCCCCATATAGTTTCTGCTTCAGGATTTGCACCACGACTTAATAAGAATTTTGTGGTATTGATAGAGTTGTTTCTTGAAGCATCATGTAAAGGAGTCTCTCTTATTTCATCTGGTATATAGGGTGTCCAAAGGTGCGTTTAGCACAGCGCTCTATATGAGACTATTAAAGGAGATATATGCTGATTATAAATATATAATAAAAAATATGAATATATGTATATGATGAGTATGTTGTATTTTGGCGCCATGCCGGGATATAAAATGAATTTTGAGACAAGAGGCGGTTTCGCGGGAAATTTTGGCGGGGTTTTTTTCATTTTTTTAATGAATCATAAAGAAAACATCCTCGCTCTTGCAAAAAAATGCAAAGACTGTAAAAAATCTACGAGACATTGGTAAAATGCTTCGGTATGGATGCTCCTAGCTATTCCACTGTAACGTATCATGTTAGGATGTATCACTTCATGAACAAAAAGGCGGCCCATCATAAAAATTGACAAAAAATCGCCGGATCAAAGAAAAATCAAAGCAATTCTTCAAGCGCTAGATGAAGACCCAAGAGCATCACTCAGAAGGATAGAGGAGATGACAAAGATACCACGTACAACAGTCAGTTATTATCTGCACAATTATTTGAACTACAAACTAGCGTATACACGTTGGGTTCCGCACAACCTTAATTCAGTTAAAAAAAAATCTAGAGTCCAATCTTCGAAAGAGCTCCTCTCTATATTGGGTGCGTATCAATCCAAGAAGTTTCGCTTTTTAGTAACAGGGGACGAGTCTTGGTTTCAATATGCAACAGAAGCCAAAATCATGTGGATCCCGAAGGATGAAAATCCGCAAACATTCCCGAAGAAAAAAATTGACACACCAATGATGATGTTGTCGGTTTTTTGGGCGTGAATGGCATCATCGCAATTGATATTCTTCAAAAACCTAATACGATGAATGCTCAGTATCTAATTGACAATGTTCTTACTCAGATTATCAATTCTGATGAGTTTGAGAAATCCAAACAACAAAAACAAAAGTTTGCAATTCATTTTGATAATTCAAGAGTTCACAAAAGTCATAAGGTAATGAATTACTTGTTGGAAAACAATGTCAAAGTTGTTCCAAACCCAATTTATTCACCTGATATTGCACCCTCTGACTTTTATTTATTCGGCACGCTAAAAAAGAGAGCTGAAGGACGCGAATTTGCGAGTCCAGATGATCTTGAAAATTTTGTAAGAGAGCAATTTGAGCAATTTTCTCATGATGATTTAAAGCGTGTCTTTCAAGCCTGGATCGATCGCTGCGAACGCGTGATTGAATCCAATGGTGATTATATTTAAATAAACTTTATATATATGTAACTTGTTTATTTCTATTTGCAGTATTCAGGTTTGTGCTAAACACACCTTTGGACACCCTATATTAACATCAACACCATGATTAAGTAAAATTTTGCAAACATCAACAGAATCATAAAATGCTGCAACATGCAAAGGAGTTTTACCATTATTCCAACCTTTTTCTGTAACATTTGCACCGCACTTGCATAAGATAGAACACACTTGAGCAGAGTTATACTCTGAAGTTACAAACAATGGTTTATTTATTACATCTGCATTGATATCTGCACCATGATCAATTAACAATTCACATATTTTAACCGCATTTCTTGCTGCTGCAGTACTTAAGATGGAGTTAAATTTATTCACCCAATTGACATCTGCTCCAAGTGAAATTGCTTTATCTGCCATCCGAAGATTATAATTTTTAGTGGCGTAAAATAGAATCATACTCGATGTATCTTTTTTGATTTCAATTTTTGTGCGAGAAAGGAAGAAATCAAAGAGTCTTTGCAAATTAAATTTAGCAGTATAAATAAGTTTCCTTTCAATGTCATCGCTCTGATCAATAAAAGCATTGAATGCTGTTAGGTTGTGATATTTTGCACATACTTTCGGATCAATTTCCATGTTAAATGTATCAGATAAATACGTAATGAGATCAAATTTATGTGATAAAATAGCATAATCCATCCATTCTTTATTTGGTGTTCGTCCTTGATGACATATGTGGATTATTTCAGTATTACCACTTAAAAAGGAATAATTTATGCATTGATCTGTTATTTCAGATTTAAACTCTGATATGCAATACTTGAAACACTGAACTGCTCCATGAAAACAACAAGCTTCAAGAAGAGTGAATTCGTGCATTTCATCATTTATCTTTTGATCTTTATCAAAATCACTTGTGTTTGTTATTGAAATGAATTTCTCAATATCATCATTCATTATGTGAGTTAAAATAGGTTTCTCTTGAATGTGTTCAAGAAAAGATTTGATACATTTGTATCGTTCTTCATCTTTTTTTCTTGGATTGTAATTTTCGTTAAATTTATTTAAAAGGTCAACATATGATTTGAAATACTTGGTTCTGAATCTTGTTAATGTAATAATTTCTTTTCTTAGGTGCATATGGTAAACATGGTACTTTTCAATCAATACATTTTTCATTTCAGTGAAAAGATCTGCAATCTGCGCTTCATTAAGGTTTTCCATGCAATATAGTTTGTCATAAGTTGATATATAATCACTATAATCTTGGTTGAGTTTATCAAACATCTGAACTTTGGAAGCTTTCATAAAATTTTTATAAAAAAGTGACAAATATTTCATTCTCTTCTAACATTTTCATGACTATCAATAAAACAATCAAAAACATAATTCACATCACCTACTTAGAGATAATTAGCAAATATAAATACACATAGTAAAAGCTTTTACTTGGTATTATTTTTTCTTAAAGTAAAGCATCACAAGTTGTTTCGTTTGAACAAGGGGATGGTTAATATAAGATGGACATCTTTTATGTTTAAAAATACTTGAAATATATGATTATTATGGTCAAGTGGTAGATCAATATCAAAGAATGAATACATATTATGCACGTTTACTGAGATATTAATATCATCTAAAGTGGGATGATTATAAATATACCTATCATAAACATTGATCTCTGCAGAATTAACGTTATTGGAAAAGCTACAATTAGTGAATGTGACATTAACATTTTTGCAGGTAATTGTATTTGGAGTACCATATTCATGATTTTTTGATTTTTTGGGTATTTATTTTTTCTTTTCAAATATGTTATTCCTAAACATTATCATGATTTTACACCCTTTGTAGGATAGAAAAAAAAAAAAAAAAAAAAAAAAAAAGGTATTGGGGCTTCCAGGCACTTCGTGCCCTCTAGCCCCGAAGATGTTTTGTCACTTTTCTGTCACTTTTCAGGAAAAAACATTTTTATTGTATATAAAATGAATTTTACAAAACCACCGTTACCCTTCTTTGGAAATAAGAGTAGATGTAAAGATATTCTATTGAGAGAACTTAAGAAACTACCGAATGGTCTAACATTTGTAGACTTGTTCGGTGGAAGTTTCTATATATCTCATTTGTGCCATACAATATTTCCTGACTCAAAGATTATATGCAATGACTTCGACAACTATATGAACCGTCTCAAACATATACCAGACACAAACAATATATTGAAAGAGTTAAAAGAAAAGATACCTATAGGTAAGATGGAACGTATACCATTAGATAACAAAAATATTGTGAGAGAGGTTTTGAAAAAAGCAGAATATATAGACTGGGATAGTATATCTGCTAGACTATTATATAGTGGTGCTATAAGAGTTCATGACATTGAAACACTTATGTCAAAAGTTTTATATCTTAACTATACAAATGTTTTCAAAGAGGACATAGAAAAATATATTGAGGGTATAGAGTTTGTGAGATGTCATTGGACAGAGTTGTATGAAAAATATAAAGGCAAGGAAAATGTTTTCTTTATAGTGGACCCGCCGTTCTATAACACATGGGATTTTCAATACCAAGTAGACTGGACTTTGAGAGACTCTTTAGAAACTTTAGACGTTTTACATAACCATCCATGCTTTTACTTTACATCCGATAAAAGTGGTTTGGAAAGTGTCATGAGAGATGGTTAGAGGACATACATGACTATGAGTTTAGATACGATAAGATAGAATATGAGAGAGGTCCCATAAACTGGAGAAAGTGTCATAACAAAGAAATTTTATTGGTAAGTAAATGTGGTTTGAAAATAGGACTACTTGTTTTAGGTTTTTCCATTGTGTCATTTACTTATTTGACGTGGCAGAAAGATATAGAGAATATGAAGATGAACCAATGCCAGCAAATGTTCAGCATATGTACTCGTAAGAGATATTTTTATCTAATATTAAATGGACGCACAGAACTTAGCGAATGCACAGCAACCTGGACAACCAAACCCCAGAGAATATTCCAAATGAAGTTAGAATACAAACTGCAATGGCAAACTATGTCAAGTGCCAACAGATGTACAAATGCAAACTGCCATGTCAAATGACGCTGCGTTAGGCTTACCACCATGGTATGCAAATATGAGATGGAAAGAGTTTTATACAAACCCCGAAGTGGGATATAAACAACTTTATGCAGATGACGCGAACACAGGAGTTGACCCAAATATGTTTTCTACCAGAGGAGAAACAGAATGTATGAGCTCCAGTTAAAGAATGCTATGGAACTCAACAGGAAACGTAAGAGACTAGGTGGACATTAGATTTTTACATATAGTAAAATGGGTTTCTTCAGTAAGATAGGAAACTTCTTTCGAAATGTTGGAAGAGGTATATGGAATGGAATAAAATCTGTCGGAAGAGGAATTTGGAACGGAGTCAAAAATATTGGTAAAAGAGTAGGTCAGTTCGTTGGTATTATACCTAAAGACCCTGAACCAGAAGAACAAGCTCCTGTTATACAACAGCCTGAACCTGCACCACAGTCTAGTTGGCAACCAAATCCAACACCTCAACCGTATTAAAAAATTATATTTTTACCGTTCGATAGTAGTTGTATATGAAACTAAGTTCTAAGTAAAACGCGTGGTATAATGGAATTATTCTCTTTCTTCCATCTGTAGTAAACCATACTTGAAAGTCTGAAATACTTCCACTTGGTGGTTCATATAACTTTGTAGGTTTTTCGTAAAAGTCATTTGCCAAGCATAAGAAAGAGTTTTGGGCGCCAGAAAATGAAGCATGAACAATAATAGCAGCTGGGTCGAAAACATCTTTAAATAAATATGGTTCATCTCTTGCATATCGACTGTAAATATTTGCTAAAGGAAGTTCGACTTTCTGATTTAACATTCTTTGCAAATAATACCATGACATTGCAGTGAATTCTGTATATATTTGTTCGTCTTTATTTGGATTGTTTTCGTAGATTTGAAATGACACTTGTGAATTTTGTTTGTCATATACAATTCTCACATAAAGTGTGCTCTCGGTATTTGCATATTCATCAGCATATTTTGCATAACATGAATTTATTTTATCTTCTATATTTTTTAACGCAGTCTGTAGAGAAGATGAAAGGTCAACTTGTATTAGCTCAATTTCTTCCCACATTTTTCGTTTCCCTTCAGATATATAATCTATATGAAACCTTACAATAAATGGAAACTTTTATCTTCTACAGACACAAACTTCATTCTACGAAAGCCAACAGCTTTTGTGACGGATGGGTCTCTTAACCATCTTAGTGGGTAGTCAAAACGATAGCCTTCATGCTTTACGGTCTCTGTCTCAAACTTTTGACCGACATTAGTAAAAAGTTCATCTAATGGTTTAGTTGTAGCAACTCTTGAATTTTCTTTTTCTATTGAAAGCATATTTTATCTAGAATAAAAATGTCGAAAGAAACAGCGTCTATGAGAGAAATACAACACAACCGACAACTCATTTTGCAAGCTCTAAATAAGAACACAACAAACTTTTCAAACTATTCTAAGATATCTGAGTCATTGAAAGAAGGAAACTTAAAACTGACATTAAACCCAATGACAGATGAGTTTCTGTTTCAAGACAATAAGAACCATACTGTCTGTATAAATCCAACAAAAGGAACTTTAAACGAGAAACCTATAAATGAACTTCTTTTGAAAGCAGATGTTGACAACAAAGCTGACAAAGAGTATGTCATTGAAAAAGTTCAAGAAGAACATGACAGAGCAGATGCAACATATGCAACGAAAGAACATACTCATCCTGAACTAGCAGACAAAACATATGTTGACAATAAAATGTCAAGTGAAGTGACAAGAGCTGAAAACGAATATTCTAAAAAGACTCATACACATACCATTGCAAATATTACAAACTTACAAGAAACCTTAAACAAGAAAAGTGACGTTGGACATACACACGATTTCTTCGCAACTGTTGGTATAGAAAATATTGCAGGAACGGTTGAAGAACCTGATGGAACTGGTGGGGATGTATTAAATTGGAAACCTCCTAACTTTCCACAAGGTTTAACATCGGATGAAGACATAACGACGATGAAATACACTAGATGTAGAAATGTCTATGTCATGGAGGATGAAAACAATGTTAAATTCACTGCTCAAGATTTATATGATAAGAAAGCTGACAAAACATATGTTAACGATGAGTTAGATAAAAAAGCTGACAAAACATATGTTAACGATGAGTTAGATAAAAAAGCTGACAAAACAGAGCTTCAAACGTTAAAGACAGAAATACTTCAAACACTATATCCTATAGGCTCTATTTATACGTCAATGAACTCAACAAATCCAGAAGTAGTACTTGGTTTTGGAACTTGGACTCAAATAGTCGACAGGTTTTTGTATTGTGCAAACTCTTCAAAGGAAACAGGTGGAAGTAAAACGATTTCAGGTGAAAATCTACCTGCACACAGTCACTACATAGATTTAAGTACATCTCAAGCAGGTTGGCATAAGCATAATTTTTGGGATTGGTCAGCAATGAAAAAAGGTAAAGGATATGATGTTAAAGACAACGTTCAGTTTGCTATAAATTGTTTCTGGGGTAACACTCAGGGAGATGGAAACCATACACATCGCGTTTCAGGATATACACAAACAACGGGACAAAGTAAAGACTACATGCCACCTTACATGACAGTTTACGCATGGTATAGAAATGCTTAGTCGTCATTTTCAACTTCTTTAGCATATTCGTCAGGAGTTGTCTTATATTTGTTAGGAACTGTCTTTGAAAGTATACCACCTTGAACTTTGACAAGTTTGAAACGAGGTCTGACAATAGTAGTTTTATCTTCTGCTTGCAGTCTGTACATTTTGCCATGTTTGCCTAAAACTTCATAATATTCTCTTGTATACTTTCTTCTATTTTTACGAACACGAATGTGAGTACCTGTCGGGTTCCCATTGTTGTCATAGTCAATAGTATTTTCATATGGGTCGCGTCTAGGTATTTCTATTTTACTTTGTCACCTTTCTTAAGTTTGAAGCCTGGCATTCTTTCTTGTTTGTCTCTTTTGACTAAACTATTAAATATATAGTCTTTCTCTAAGTCAGGGTTGTTTTTCATTTCTTCAGGGGAGTGGTTTCCCAAACCTTTTTGTTTACGGTTATTGTAAATATTTAAAACTTGTCTCATCTTTGCCATGGAGAAGTGTCTATATTTGTCGTCATATGACATTTCATTTGCTTCACCACCTTGTGGTTGGTTTAAGTCTCTTAACATTTTTATACAACTGTCAATGACACCAAGAGCAGAATGGTTTTGGTCGACAATGAAATATTGGTTTACATTTTTTGAACGCAGATAGTTTTTTACATCATCTGATTTGAAAGAACTTTCACAGTCAGATGTCAGTTTTGTTGGATGGTATTTGTCAACGAATATTGTCAAAGCTGCTAAGATATCTAAAATATTTTTGGACTGTAATGGTATGGCTTCACAGTATCTTGTGTTTTGACCGACAAATATTAGCCAGTATGGTGGTCCATCTTCTCTATACCTCGGAATGTTTTCCAAGATATCCATAAACAAGCATTTGTGTTGAACTAAAGATTTTTACCATGAGTGCTTTCTTTGTTGCTTTAGAAACATAGGGTCCTTGTTTGGATTCGTCATTTTTTACCATATAAGAAATGGGTTTATTTGGCGCATTAGCAGGAGTTGCATCCAGATTTTTGCCCGCAGTGGGAACAATAGCCAGAGGTGTATTTGGAGTTGGAAGGAAGATTTTGAGTACATTAGGTATACTTAAAGAGAAAGCACAACCTATTATACAAACTGTACAGAAAGGTTGGGATGTAGCACGAGATGCAGCAAATCTTATTCCAAATCCTGAAACAAGAGGAAAAGTTCAAGGATGGATGGACAATGTAGGAAGACAAGCAGGAAACTACTATAACAAAGCAAATGACTACTATAACCAAGCAGGGCACTATATGGACCAAGGTGAAAGATTCTTTAACAGAGGATATAACCATGCACAACAATGGGTAAACAATAACCAACCTCAACCGCCTCAAACGTGGGGAATGTAAAGTTTTTTACTGAGATGAAATGAACAATACAGCATTGAGACAAATGGGTTCAAGATGGATTTGTCGACTTCCAGCAGTTACACAACGTGTTTGTCAAGTTCTTCCTATACCTCAGGAAGTTTTAGACCGACTTAAAAAACAACAACAACCAGTTGAAAACAAACCAAACTAAAATTTTTTACTGAGATGAAATGACCGAAGAAGTTGAAACGGTAGATTTGACACCACAAAAAAAAGTTCAGAACCATTGTCAAAACCTGTCAAAGAACTTACAGATGAAGAGAAAAATTCAATAATAGAAAGTGCCAGGTCTGGAAATACAAACCCTAACTATAAAGTCACTTTTCATAGAAATGGAACGGCTAGTATCTCAAAAAGAAACAGACTCTCACAAATAAAATATTGAAGTCTGAAGGAGCTTTCGAGACAACAGATGGAAAAGTTTACTTCACTGACCAACAGTTCATTATAGAACATCTCATTGACTTAGAGTCGAAATATTCTAAACTTTACAACAAACACAAAAAGTTGAAAGGAAAACAAAAACAAATGGCATATGATATTTATGAAGATGTTGACAACACAACTGTTCCTGCAAGTGAAGTAAGTCAGAGGAACCGAAAAGTGACGAAAAAACCGATAGAAGAAGAGAAACCAAAAACGGAAGATAAACCAAAACCAAAGTTTAGTTTCCAAACTAAACCAAGTCAACCTTCATTAGCTGGTATGGGTTGGCGTCAAAGACTTATGGCAGCAGGCGGTTATGTTAAGTAAAGAAAAAAACATTTTTTTATTTTTATAAAAATGCCCCCATATAGAATGGATAGAAAGTCTGCTAGAATAAAAGCAGAGTTGCAAAGATATGGTTGGAGAGTTTCGAAGAATTTTAAATATAGGAAGGGAAGACCCATAAAAGTCTATGACAAATTGTCTGGTCTTCGCTACGAAATGGAATTGGAAACAGCACGCGCAAATTATCCAAACAGACTAGAGAGGTTAGAAGAAGAACGTCTTATGGACATGCCTTTCGATGTTTCTGAACCGCAAGTTGAAGGACACGACGGCTTTGCCAGATTCTATTGGAAACATGACGAACAATTGTATCCTTTGAGAAGGAAAAAAGGAAAAGGTGAAGACAAACATGCTCCCATGGAAAGAACAAGATATGCATATGAAAAGTACCGTGAAGTTAGAAGTCAAATTACATCTGGTCGAACCTTTACAGTAAACTTTGACGAAGGAAAGAACAAAGAAGGCTTCATGGGTGTACTTGCTGCAATTCAAGACGGAAATAAGAAAGGACACAATCTCAGATTGACCATAACAGATTTGGATGGTCACATTTACTATGCACATGGCAATGTCACAACAGCTGCAATGCTTCTTGACGCTTTCAAGACTACAAAGAGAGAACAAATGGTTGACTCCGACTCAGACATTTTGAATGCAATTGAAGGAATTGCAAGTGTCAAGTTCGAATGGTACCAACCTAACCCCAAGCAGTCAGACAACATGCTGGATACTTCCCCTTCATAAATAAGTCTGACATTGACTTGACAAGGTATGGAATTTACAATTCAATTGAAACAATTGTCAACGAACCTTGCATTCTTACATGTCTCAGGAACTCTGGTCTTGTTACAGAAGAGAAGATGAAGTATCTTGAGTCATGTGTGAAGACAAGGTACATTCTCAGAGGTCAATTGGCAAAAATTGCACCGTTGGCAAATGTCAATATCCGAGTCAACATACCTACAGCTAAAGGTTCTTCACATGACGACTATGTTGTTGACAAAGACTTACCATGGTTGAAGATTGCAATTGTCCACAACCACTTCATGTTGAACGAAAGTCTTACAAACCCATTGTTCGGAAAAGGCAAGTGCAACATTGTCAGAGCTGTAAACATTCTTTTCGAGAAAGGTTTGTTGGAACCAATTCCAGATGACAAGCTGACAGAAACTTTTGTACCAAAAGACGAAACAAACTTTTCATTGTTAGCAAGACCAAAAGTTGTTCCAGACAAAGTTATAGCACAAAAGAAGTACACTGTTCCAAAAGGAGTTGGATTGTTCGGATACCAACCTGAACCAGAAGAACTTCCAATGAGGTTGCAAGAACTTCAAGATGCTATAAACAAACTTCCATTGAGACATCCAATTGACGTCAAATTGTATTGGAGAGCATCGGAGTTAGGTCAGAAGGTTTTATATGAAACAGGTTGCTTCGACGATGTTTATGAGATAGCAGGCGAAGTTTCTCAGAAGATAAGAGACTCACTTGAATTTCCACGAACTGGACCCATTGGTTGCGACAAGTTCGACTCAGATGAAAAGATATACTATGTCGACCTTAACGCTGCATACATGAGGTTCGTCCAATATATCCCGACTGGAATTCCAAACGAAGATGGTGAGTTCCCAGGAAGGAACTATACAGTTGGAAAAGTCATACAACAACTGTATGATATTAGGAAAGCTTCAAACCCCAAACTTGCAATGACACTCAAATTGCTTATGAATTCAACATGGGGATATTCCATTAAAAAACCTCAAAAGATGAAGAGTAAACACTATGAGAAGGTCGACAACTTTGTTGAAAGGTTCTCCCCTTTTGTTTTGAAATACGAATTTACTCAAGGTCAAGGTGGCTTAGTAACCACAGTAAAACCTATTGTCGAACATTGGTCTTATCCTCAGTTCGCAAAGGCAGTCCTTGACAACTACAATGAGTTCTTCTCCGAAGTCAAATCCAAAGTGAAGGTTTACTATGAGAACATTGACGCACTCATGACGAACGAAGAAGGGTACAACAAACTCATTGAAATGGGCATGGTCGGTGAAAAGATGGGTCAATTCAAATTGGACAAAATTTTCACCGAAGTTCATGTCCTCTCCAAGCGTAAGTACTGGGGCATACTTGAAGACGGCACAGAAATAAAACATTGCATGAAATAAAAAATTTTTATTCGAATTTGAATCGGACAGGTCGAGTTACACCATTCTTGGTCTCAAACTCATATATAACCTGTTTGTCTGTATTTTCGTCGACTATGGCACGAGACACGAACATTGACCAAACGTACAAAAAGTGTCATTTCGGATGGTCAAGCAGCCAATCGCATTCGAGCACTTCGAAGAAGCCTTACGTTCCAAGGAAGAGGGTGTCTGGTGCAAGGCAGAGGTCATGAGACTCTACGAGCAGTACATCCTCAATGCCTGGGAGGACAAATCGTCCTTGGATTGGCAAATCTACCAACTCCTCTGGGACGACCTCCTACGCAACTGGGAGAACGAAAGAGTCCAATTCAAAGGTCGGGAACTAATTTTGCAAATTGACCTTAATTTCACATACTTATCCAAATAAACACCTAAATTTACTCGGGGTTTCCCCCTAAAATAAAATTTTTTTACTCTTAGAACCACTCGAGGTTCTCCTTACGGTTGTTGAGCTTGTCACCGTCAATGTGTCTGACCTTCGTCTTCTTGTCTGGATTTGGAACCCATTGAATTGCGACAAGCTTGCCCATGGAGATTGAACCGCGATTCCGAAGGGTAAGGTTCAAGTGTCCCAAGTTGTTGAGGACTGGGGTAAGAACCTTGCCTGTCTCCCTTGTTGCGGATTTGGTATGGGTAGGGTTGGGAAATTTCGTAAGTGTCATCGGCAACAAGGGTTGCCCAAACTTCCTTTCTTCGTGTTTCTCTTCTTCTTTCTCTTCTTCCTCTTCTTCCTCTTCTCCTCGACAATTCCTTCTTCAATTCTGGTTCACGAATTACGGTGTTGGAGGTTCTGTCCTTTCCGAGTACCTTCCAGATGGCGTCTATCTCTTCGAAGAAACGGTAGATGAGTCTGGCAAGGTCTCGGTTCTCTCTCTCGTAATGCGCAAGGTTTCCGTGAAATCGTTCAGGCATTTCTCATTGGAAGCTTGGTTCATGAGGACATCGGCTTTGAGATTGGTCATCTCTTCATAAGACTACTTTGGAGAGTCTTAACGGTGTTTGTCAGATGAGCTTTCAATTGCAATTTGAATTTGAACTGGGCGCTTGTCTGGCAACATTGAAAGGACATCTGCCATTGTGTTCGGCTTCGGTGCTTGTTCGGACATCGAAAAAATGAAGTGGTTTGAGAATGACGGTTTTACTTCAAAAAGCTTGTTATGACGGTTAAGTCATACAACAAGTTTAAAATAATATCTTGTTCTTCTTCTGAACGTTTGTTGTCTCTTCCGATAAAAGTTTCGAACATGAGAACCAAAAAACGTTTTTTGAGATTGCGGAAGAGTTCAGGCAAACGTTCATATTCTGGATATGTTGGGAGCAGTTCGAAACATCTGAGCTGACTTTCGGACAAAATTGGGACAATGTCAGAAAATTCATCTTTGGTCGGACTGCTTGAAGGTAAGTCCCTTACATGTAAGTAGCTCTGGTAAAGTCTTCTCATTTCTGCTAACTTTTGGAGTATAGCTTCGTAGTTTAGAAGTTTTAATTTTAATTGTCTTATTCCACTCTTTACTTCTAAACGGTAAGTATCCATGAGGTCAAGAGTAGCTTTGGTAGCTTTAAGTGGAGCTATCTGTTCCTTGACTTGTGCAATTTTGGTTGCAATTGTGGTTTGAGCTCCTTCAAGTTCGCCGTCTATGTCGTTCTCAACGCCTTCAACCATGGCTTGAAACTCTTCATCGGTCCATTGAGATTGGTGTGGGACGAATTTAACTTGCTTCATTCAAAAAATGAAAAAAAATGTTTTTACTCAAAACGTTAAGGTTGACTGAACTGGTTGGATGTCGCCTTCACAGGTTATGTAGAACGGCTGACCCGAGAAGTGAAGGAGAGACTGAATTGCCAATTTCATATGGGGTAGGGGGTTCTCCTTGTTTGGTATTTTTATCCAAGGACGTTTGTTTAGGAACTTAACAAGAGCTTCTCTTTTGGCGTCCTTTATGTCGTCGTAGGCTGTCCCGTCTGGTATTTGAATTGGAATTCCAGTCGAAGTCTCGAGCTGAAGTGTAGACCTTCCAGAAATACTGGTGAACTTGACCTTGGGCTTCATTACCCTGCGCAAGTACTGCTTAACAACTTCATTTATCTCTATAAGGTAAATTGCCTCGTCAAATCCTTCTGGTATTCCGAGTCCTTCCATCCGACAGGAAAATATTTTCCCGACAACTGGAAAAAATTTTCCCGACAACTGGAAAAATTTTCCCGACGACAGGAAGGACTCTTCCAGTTGTCCGTCCGTAAACCATTCAAATTTTCGAAAATTGAGAACTTTTGGTCGAACTTCAGAAAAGTTTTCCTTCCGACAGAAAAAGTTTTTCCTTCCGACAGGAAAAGTTTTTCCTTCCAAAGGAAAGGTTTTTCCTTCCGACAGGAAAGGTTTTTCCTTCCGACGGTTAAGCCACAAACAGATGTCCGACGTCCCACCAACCGAGCCCATATCCCAACCAGAAAACCGAAAGCTGCAGAACCACAACAGTCTCCTCAGCAACCTCAGTTCCAGCAAGTACCTCCGATTTACTACCAATTTCCACCTCAATGTTACTACCCACCACAAGGCTTCCCGAACTACCCTCCTCCTCAGCCTATGCCTTACTTCCCCAACCCTTGGATGTTTATGCAAAACCCTGCCCCACAATTCCAATCTCAATCCAAGAGAGACCAAGAGTTCGAGGAAGGTCTGAACCGCTTACGCAAAGAGTATGCTACTACCCAATGGAAGAAGACAGGCTCTCACTCTCTTCCCTCAAATCGACCGATTCGACTCGTACCACAGATTCGGTTCGTGACCGTGAAGACTACCTCAAGCAGTCTGAGAGACTCTTCATCTTACAGCCATTTACAGTTGGAGCTCTCAAGAACATGCGCAATTACGAAGGTCAGACACCAGCTGGAGACCGCAAAACAGACGTACTCGCAAGAGCAGTCCAACTGGTCAAGACAAAGACCGAGATAGTCGACTTCATTCTTGCAGCTTGCCCATACAAGTAAAAAAATAAACAATTACGAGTTAAACTTTTTATTCTTTCTTTTCTGAGTTGTTTAGAGCTGGTTTCTCTTGTAGGAACCTTTCGTACTCTTCCATGGTCATGTAATTGCGAATTTGGTACGCAATTCCAGGTTCGTTGTTTTTGAACCTTACGTATGTAACGCTTCCATCCTCCTCAGGGAAGTAAGCTGCTAACATCTGACCAAGTTTTCTCGGTGACTCGGAGCTCATAAAAATGTCACTTTTTAAACGTTAAGTTTTTAGTCTTATTTTACCCTTTGTTTGTCAATGTAGTATTGGAGTGCAATTTCTCCAAATTCTCTATGTCGGAGTTCTTCAGCATTTTCCAAGGTGTTCCTGGAGAACTCAAAGAAGTTGTCAAGAAGATACTGCCATGCTGCTCTTCTGAGTTCGTCGGTATTTTGGAAGTGTTGCACCTTCGAGTCTTCGGACATGAAAAAAATGACACTTTTTCTATTAAACCGTTTTGGCATTTCTCATGAGTGAGTATAGTTCTGCCGAACCATTGGAAGAGAAGAAGTACTCTTGCTGGCAAAAGACAAAAATAGTTGCCTTAGTTGTCATTGCAATTGTACTCGTAATTGAATTCATTGTACTTCTCTTCACGTACATAAAACTCAAGGACGGCATATGCTTTAAGAAGCTACCATCTTACTAAGACTAAACACTTAGATTTTTCAAGCTTGACTTTTTACAATTTGAATTTTACACCCAAAAATATAATTTATGTTAGAATGTTAGATCTAACATGTTTTCTAACACGTTTTCTAACATGGTCTAAAACTCTTGAATTTTCATGAAATTTACACCAAAAATAATGTTTATGTTAGAATGTTAGATCTAACATGTTTTCTAACACGTTTTCTAACATGGTCTAAAACTCTTGAATTTTCATGAGTTTTCCCGAAATAAAAAATAAAGTTGGTTTTTTTAAAAAAATATTTTTTTATTTTTATTGTAAGAACATGTTAGCAACTACAGCACCAAACTCGTTAGTCATGAATCCAACATCTATGTTAGTAGAAATGAAAAGCTTCATTCCTTCTTCATATACTTTCGAAACAAAAATCCAGAAGATAAAGCAAGAACTTTTAACAAGTAATTTAGACTGTAGTGCGAAAGATGAAACAAATGAACAGTATCTTTATGAAATGCAGGACATTATTGACCATTTACCCAAATTGCCTGAAATCCAACAACAAAAGCTCACTATTCCCGAATTTGACGAAATAGAAGTCAAAGCAACTGACTCAGTAGAAATAAAGAAGTTCATACGAAAGGTAAATTATGAATTCCTTGGTTTTCATTGCAACCATAAGGTTATGGACAAAGATTGCGACATGGTATATAAGAACATCTCTGACCTTTACAAATCCGAAGAATTTAAGACCTACGACAACTTTGTTTCATTAGTTGCAAAATGTGTTTGGGAAATAAGAGATAAAGATAGTAGGGGTAAGGTATGGAACGAACAAATAAAACCCGCTATGTTCGAGATGAAGAAAACCATTGACGCCTTAGTTGTTTTAGCAGGTAAGGTTTCAGAATATAACGCAAAAATGAATCCGCAATGTTCAAAATGTAAAGCAGCAATGAGGAAATATAACTACTCCGTCAAAGAGATAGAACGTATGCGAAACGACTATGCAGATTTAAAGAAAGAAGCAGAGAAACCAGCAGAAAACAAAATGGACATGTTAGCATTTCTAAACAAAAACTATCCAACAGCTGACGATTTCCTTCTATCTGATGTCAAGAAGAAGTATAAAGAAACTTTCGGCATTGTTAAAACATTCGATGTACTAAAAGAAGAAATTGAAGCCACGAAATTGTTTAGAGTCATGAACCATCGCAACATATACCATGTAAAACGCTTGTAAATAGTTATGTTAGAAAACATGTTAGAAAACATGTTAGATCTAACATTCTAACATAAACATTATTTTTGCTGACTTTTTACAATTTGAACTTTGTTTGCGTAGATATGAATTCTGAAAGAAGTATGAGGGTCTTGTATGACTTTATACTTCTCCCATAGTTCATGTCTGTCAAACTTACCTGCCATGGACTCTTTCATAAGTTCCATGAAATCGTCTTCTGACAATCCAGGGAAAAGTATAATGTCAGTAAGTATTCTTTTAACATCCTTACTTAAACTCTTTGCTGTCTGTACACAAATGACAACTGAGATGTTAAAGTGTCTGAGCTTCTTAAGAATTCGACACATGTCTTGTTCTCTGTTCTTTAACAAAGGATGAGAAGCAAAGTCATCTAAGATAAGAAGACATCTATGAGGGTAAGTCTTCCAATCGTAAGATTGCAATTTCTTCGAAATGTATTCTATCTCTTTCTGTTTGTTTCTGAAGTGTTTCTTCTCTAATATTCTCTGCATTTCCTCATTTGGGTCTTTAAACTTCGAATTTATATACTCATTTATAGCATTATACTTCAAAACTCTTCTTTGGTACTTCTTTATCCAATCTAACAACTCAGAGTCTTTTATACATACTAACTTAGACTTCTTTATAATATCTTTGAACGAATTGACGGTTTGGTCAAATTGACCAGAAGTACTACAAATGACAACTAACTCATAGAATGGGTTCTTCTCATCTAGTTCTTGTTGTTGTGCAGCCATTTTAAGATAAGTGAAAGTCTTACCCGACCCAGGTGGTGCAATTAGACCTGTTATACCATTCTGAGCAAATAAGAACTTGTCATGTATGGGTTTTATCTGAGCATTTTCTAACTTCCTCTTGTTCTTGTTTAAAACATTCTCAAATTTCTTGTCAATGTCAGCAAACTTTTTTTCTAACATATTTTTAGAAAAATTAAAATTTTTATCTTTTTGAAAATGTCTAGCGATTTCGCTATCTATATTCGAGACAAGCTTTTTGACAGCAAAACATCTGTCGACCATAAAATCTTACATAGTGTAAACAAGAAAGGTGAATTTGTTCTAAAGTTCTGTTTCTGGGAATATGACAAGAACCATAAAACATTAAGCAGAGAAGTCTTTAAGTTTGTCAATGACAGACTTGTTGACAGAGATGACGCCGATTGGAAAGATGAAGTCCAACAAAAGTTCTTAGAATGCAAAGAAGACACATGCGCTGTTCTTGAAGATGAAATAGAAAACAGAATAGAAGAGCTATTAAAGGACAAAGACCTTTTACATAAATATGGTTGCGCCAAATTTGACATAACTCCACCAGAGAAGAAGAAGAAGAAGAGAGAAAAGAAAGAAAAGAAAGTAGAAGAAGAGAAGAAAGAGCCAGAGCCAGAGCCAGAGAAAAAGAAATTTGACATGTAAAAATAAAATTTTATTTTTAGAACATTTCTGGGTCAATGTCAATGTTCTCTTCCTCTTTAGGGGCAAACACTGGCTTAGACTCTAAAATCTTTTTACCCAATTTACCTTGAACTTCAACTATCTTAGACTCATAATATTCATAGTCGTCTGCTTTCTTTGGTTCATAAGGTATAACAAGTTTGTATGCTTTGCCTTCTTTAAGGTTTGAAAACCTTCTGTCAAAATTTTCTTTGACTGCTAACAAACCTTCTATGTCTAAGTCTTCAAATTTCGCACCATTTTTAGTCACAATAGCAAACTTAACTGGTTCGATGTTCCAACTTTGTCAAATGTAGACTTTTCAAAATGGTAGAAGTAAACATTCAAATAAGCGAATGGGTCTAGTTCTTCTTTGACTTCTGTCATGTACTTGTTTACTGAAATATATTTCGTCATCTTTTCTATCGGATAAAAAAATATTTTTTTTAAAATTTACTCATAAAAATTATTTCTTTCTATATTTGCCATTCCGAACTTCGAAAAGATGTTTTATACCAGCATAGAATTTTTCTCTAGAGCTTAGTCTTATATCGTTTTCATGACAATATTTTCTATATTCTTCATATAAAGCCTTTTTTTCATACATTTCATAAGGACAATCTAACCAGAATAGCGCATATCTATTTTCGTTATCTAGGTCTTTTCCAACAAACTCAGCGTACATTTCAAATAAAATAAAAAAATATTTTTTTTAAATTTACTCAGAAAAATTTTTCTTTGTATATACGCCGTTCTGAACATCTAAAAGACTTTTGACATTTGCCAAGAATGTACGTTTAGAAGCTGCCATATAACCATACTCTTGACAATATTGTTTATATGAATCGTACAATGACCTTTCATCTAAACACTCAAAGTTAGTCTCATCTATAAACAGTTCATATACACTCTTGTTTGCTTCTAACAATGTTTGTCTCTCTTCGGTATGTGGAATTTGTCTTGGATTGAAGTTAGAAATATCTAATGTCATGAAATATGAGAACAAGTGGTTGTAAAAGTTAGGTGTCAAAGTTTCTGCTAAGTCGTCAAAATATTCTGTATCTTGCATATGAGAATCTGACGTTCTGACAACTACATATCTTCTGTCAGAACTTTCTAACTTCATCGGAACAACATTGTTTGAAACCATGATGAAATTTGCAACATTTTCACAAACTCTTTGGTCTTTATATTTTCTTTCAACAACTCCAACTTTGTCTGTTATAAGACTCTTCAAAGCATCTGAGTTTAAAACCTTTGTTGTATCTATACTTTGAAGTTCGTTACATACTATAAGTTTCATATTCTCTATTGAAGAGTTAAATTTACCGCAGATGTTTTCTAAGTTTGTCATATTAGGGTTCGAATAGCCCTCTAACAGTTTGCACAAAATATCTGTAAAGAAAGTATTCTTACCAGTTCCTTGTTTTCCAATTATAATGAGAGCAGTTTCATTTTTAGCACTTGGATGTTGTAAGATGTTTGCAAACCAACATAAGATATACTCATAGACTCTTTCGTTTCCATTGCATATAATTTCTTTGACATGGTCTAACCAAGCTTCTATAATATTTTCTTTCCATTCTACTTGTTCGTATTTATATCCAGTGAAGATAGAATAGAAGTTTGGAGAAGGTGTATAGAACTTTATACCTCGAACTGAAAAATCTTCTAACTTTGACAATAAGATATCCCAAGCATCTAACATCTTCATGCCAACTTGTACGACTTTTATTTTCTTAAGTTTCTGTCTACATTCTTGTTCTGAAACTATTGTTGCTCTTGGTTTGTTAAAGACAACATCCCATTCTTTCATGACATAACATTCTGGGGCAGAGTCAACATAAATGACTAAACGTTTCAAATTCTCGACTGCTTTGTTATAGTCTCTAAATGGACACATATTTCTGAAGGCTTGGAAGTCATAAAAATCTGAAACATCTATTCTGTACATTTTTATAAAAATAAAAAAAAAATATTTTTTTTATTCTTGAGCTTGTTGTTGCATTTGTTCCATTTGTTGCATTTGTTGTTCTTGAGCTATTTGTTGTTGAAGTTGTTCTTGTAGTACAATACTTTCACCAGTTGCATCTTCCAATTCGAAACTTTCTGCCGTCATTGACAAATACATAGGACATAAAAGTTTTACAGGAACAAAGTTTGCGTCAACTAAGGTTAAGTTTATGTTTGCCAAAGTGTTTGAGTTCACTAAAGCTGAAAACTCTGCATTCGAATGAACAATAGGCAAACCAGCAGAGAAAGTGTTGTTTATACGCATGAGTATCTTTTGGTCATAGTAGTTTCTGTCGACATTCGAATAGCACTTTGAACCTAAGTTTGAAACAATATATAAAATAGGTGTACTTAAAGTCAATGGAATAGACATTCCTTGTATGACACCTTTTCCTGTTATAGGAAACTGTTGGTAGTAAAAACCAGATATAAGTTTTGTATTATAGCTCATATCGTTTATAGTAAACTCAGTCGGACATCCAAACATAATGAAACCTGCTCTAGTTGCAGCACATGTTACATCCGTCCTTAAAGTATTAAATAAGTCAACAAAACCTGTTGGTGGTATATCTGAGTAAGTATCTTCAAAGAAGTATTTTTTACCATTCACAACAACAAAGTCTTCTGGTGTCAAAAGAGCAAAACAGGCTTTAGTCGTCATCGTGTTTAAGGTCAGTTTACAATATCGTCCTTGAGGACTTTGTAAGTTTGTTGTTATAGAATTATATGACTCAGGGTTTTTAGTCGTAATAGTATAAACCACTATGTCTTCTGCCATTTATATATATTTAAAAGTTTTTCTGAAAGTGGAGAAGAACTTCATCTAAACTTTCACATGGCGTTTCTTGAAGTTCTCTGTCTAAGAAGTTTAAATATTTTGTAAAGACATAGAACTTTCCTTTGTCTACACGAACAAACAAAACAGGGTCTTTCATATCGTTCAAAAGTGTGTAAAGTCCTTTACATGAAATAAAGTCTATATTGTTTTTCTTCAAACATCTTTCAAGAAGTTTTGACATTTACTTAGCAAATAAACTTTAATGAAATGTTGTGGTCGTCAAATATTTTTATGACGTCTGGGAAACTATACTTTAAGTTCAACGTTTCACCTCCTTTCATAACGTATATCTTGTCAATGACATTATATGAAACACCACAGCAACTAACGTCGGGTTCTATTTCTTTGATGTTTATATCGTCTGCCTCTGTCAAAAGTTTCAATAGTTCTTTCAAAATTTCATGAGGTGCGATGACATATGAGTTCACTTTTACAGGGTTGTGCTCAACCAAGTTTAACATTATACCCAAAGCTTGACAAATCTTCTCCTGAGTTTTAAGTTTGTCTTTAAGTTGTTGGTAGTCGTTTCGAATATCTGCAACAGAACTTAAGTCTCTGCTAACTTCAGGATATGTTGGTTGTTCTTTTACAGGAACAATTGTTATACCATCTTGGTCTTCGTATGGTTTCCCCATTTCAACATCTCTTTCTTTGACATTGACAATAAAACACTTTGACTGTTTGTTTGAGTTGGTGAATTTAACTTCACATCTGCCACCGCCATTAAACCTTTTGAAACACTTACGCTTCTATTTTTCGGAAATGACATTTTACTTAGAATAAAAAGATGGACGTATTTGAGTATCTCTTCGAATTGAAGCAGAACAAAGTTTACACACACAAACAATACAAAACATTGACAGAATAGTTCTTTATACAAACAATGGAAAATGTTATAGAATAGCAGTCTTTGCTGAACCAAAATATTTTCATAAAGCAAAGAAAGTTGGTATAACTGAAATGGTGAAAGTTCTTGAAGCAGACAAAAATATAACAACAAAACTTACAGATATTTCTAAAGGTAAGTTTATCTTACAATATTATGTCAAAACTGGCGTACTGTCAATATTTGACGGAGAGAAGTCAGTTCAAGAACAACTTACTGACCTGCTGCCAAAATCTGCTCGATGGAAGCTGTCGTTATGCCAATCTGAGGAGCCCCAGCAGGTTTCATCGAACGAATCTTCAAAAGAGCATCTTCCGTGAAAAGTGCTATTGGTTTTGTAAACTTCTTTGCTCTCAGTTCATCTGGACCGTCTCTGTCACCAGTATATTGTATTTGTACAGTACCAACAGTTGAAATACCACCCATAAAGTCTTCTGAGTCAGCAAATGGAATGCCAAGCCAAAGTTTGAACGGTCTCCATTTGTATATTGAGTTTTTTGACCTCCTGTATGAGTCCATACTTTCACATATGGCATAATAGAACTTTGCATTTCAGGGTTAATGGTTGTTGTGAAGTTGTTGTTAAAGTTCATAGCATCTAATGTCAAGTTGTATGACCTCATATCCTCAACTGTAGAATATTCTTCTCTTGATAATATTTGCCATCTATGTTTATATGATATTTAATACCAGGGTTGTAGAAGCAAGAATAGTCATTTATAGTTCGTCTGAACAGTACAAACATAGTATCTGCATGTTTCATTGCAGTTGTTAAAGCAATATCTGTTCTTGCACCTGGGTCAGCACTTTGGTTTCCAACTTCACCTGCAAAGTCTTTGACAGATATTTGGTGTATAGGGAACATAAGTGGAACTGCAATATATTTGGCAGCTAAAGCATTTGAAATATCTGGGTCCAACATATAGACTGCAAGTCTGCTTTCTATTCTCTTGCATTCAAATTTTTCGCATGTGAACTTAACTGGGTCCCAAGCATCTCCAGCAGCATTGAAATAATAGTTTACTTCAGTGTTGAGGTTTGAGAAACCAAAGTCTAAGTCAACTTTTTTTTGCAAAAGTCGGCGAATGACATTTTATTTGTTCCCACTACTTCTGTAAGAGTGAATGGGTCTTGTGTTGGTGCAATGACTAAGTTATTTTTGCTTGGAGTAAGTTCGATAGAAATTTTTCCTGCCCAGTTTGGCAAGTATCTTAAAAACCTGAAGATGAGGAAAGATGACAAAGGAACTCTAAGTTTCAGTTTTACTTTGGTTACTGCTGCTGCAGTTTGTCCAGAAAGGTTAACATAAACTCCTGGAACGTTAGGGTCAAGTCTTCTTATTTTCTCAATAGTTGCATACTGGTCTGTTTGTTCTCTAGCTTGTGGTTGTACTGAGTTTCTCAAAGCGAACCATTCATAGTTTGCCCATGTTACTGTTTGAACTAAGTCAGAGTTAGAATATATCTTATATCCCATGAAAACTTCTGGAGCATATTGGTATCCGACATAGAAAATTCCATTGCAACCTTTCTTGTCAGACAACTTGGCAGAAGGTTTTATTTCAATGTCTTGTTCCACGTATAAGAAAGAGTTGTCAATAGAAATTATATGAAACCTGTCGCAAGCAATATCTACTGTTGTTGAAGAACCTTCTCCAAACTCACCTACGTTTCCATAAGAAACAGCAGTTGTATATTCGTAAGTTCCAGGAACTATTTCTGACCTTCTAATGGCATTGTCGCATTCGTTATACCATTCGGAAACATTTCCATTCATAGCATCCAAAACTGTTGGCGTTATATTCTGAGCGGCGTACATTTCATATGAGTAAAAATATAGAATAGTTGGATTTATATGTCATAATAGAACCCACGTGGACCAAGCTTTACTTTCTTCCTGACTGAGTTTTTAACTCTTCTTTTTCCTTCATTGCCCTCTGCTTGAAGTTGTTGCATCTTTGCATTATGTTCATCTAGTATGTTGCAAATTTCCCATGTCCTTTTTGCCTTTTGGCTCTGGTCGCCCATCTCAGGTAACCTATATCCTAGAAAGAGTTTGTCATAGTCTGTATTTGAGTCTTCGCGTATTGTTTGCATGACTCTTTCCTGAGTTTCGGTTCAAGCTCTTCAAACAGTGCCTGTCCATATGGAATAAGCTCGTTTCCAAATATATGTTTTTGTAGCCATTCTGGTTTTCTTTCCATGTTACCAACAATATCTTTTGTGAATGGGAAAGCTTTTACCCAATCTTTCAGTCTTGCGTCGTTTATTTCTGTAGTTGGTTTTATTTTGTCAAGGAACATGTTTTTCAATACTAACATTTCATTTGGTACTGTCCATTTGAGTTTTCTTAAATATTCATCCCTTCTCGGTTCATTGTCTGCAAAGTAAGTTTTTATGACATTTTGTAAACTTTCGTTTGCAAGGTCATGTACAATAGGTTCTCTTCCTTCTCTCTCCCTAACTTTCTTTCTAAACTCTTCACCAAATATACCATCTCTATGGTTCTGTGTAGTTCTTTGAGATAAATGTTCTAGAACGTCAGGTGTTATATTTCCATCAGCCATGTTCATTTCATACTGGTCCAAAATATCTGCATGTTTCATATCTTTCAATGGCATTAAAGCCGCGCTGAAAATACCAGCTATATCTGGTTCACCATTGACTTCCATTGCGTCTACAACTTCTTGGAATTGTGGTTGTAAGTTTATGAACCACCTATCCGGATTAGCTTTATGACCCCATCTCATTGTAGTTCCATCGTCTGCAGAAACAAAAGTAGGTTTGTTTCCATATTGGTTAGGTTCTGAATGAACTTTAAACAATGTTTCATTTCTATATGTTTTCTTGAAATTTAACCTTTTATTTTCACCGAGTTCATCCGAAGATTGAACGTTAAATGCTCGTAAGTAAAAAGGGTTGTTGTATTTGTGTACATTTTCTTTCAGTACTTCCATTCTATGCTGAATATTTTCATCTGGTGTTGGAGTCTTTTGTATGTCGGCAAACATTTTTCGATATTCTTCTACTATGTCAGCCGAATTTTTTTTAGACTCTTGGAAATATTCCATATTCTCCGCATACTCTTGTTGAGGGTCAAGATTTTTCGGCTGTTCCAAATCTTCATCTAGTTCTGTGAAGTTAGTTTCCAAAGGAGGACTTGTTCGTTTCCTTCAGGCTCTTCTAGCTGTTGTTGCTGAACTATTTCTTCCATGTCTGGTTGTATCTGAACTTCTTCCTGTGGAGTTTCTTGTACCTCATCTGCTGGCATTTCATATATTCCGAGACCGTTTTTAACAATTTCCCTATCTACGTCATCCGCATTCATAAGCTTTTGTTCTTTCGTTCCGTCTCTATTTTTTACGCGTTTCATGACGAAAGTTGAATTGTCATTTAGCTCTGACATCAAATATCTCGGAGTAAATTCATCATGTCATTTGGATGATATGCTATTAAATCATATCCCTTAGCGAGCTTGTATTTTCCAGGTTTGAATTATATCCGTTTTGGTGCTGAGCCATAAAGCTAAATAGGTTCGGGTCAGTATTTCCATCCTTGAACTTTCAATAGCTTCTTTATATCTGTCACTAAAGTCAATAGTATCTGGGAAACCACACTCTTCTTTAAGCATTTTTAAGAATTCTTGGTTTCCTTGTTCTCTACTTCTTTTATGTCCTTGCTCTGTTTGTGGTTGTTGTGTGCAGGTTTTGAACTGTTGGTTGCTGTGCTGGTTGTTGTGTTGTGTTGTGCTGGTTGTGAGGTGGTTGTTGTGCTGGTTGTTGTGTTGGTTTTGTGTTGGTTGTTGTGTTGGTTTTGGTGCATGCCTGTGTCTGTGTCCATGTGACGATGTAAATGTTTTAGGTAGTCCTGGTGCAGGTGCTTCTCTTGGAGGGTTTGGTGGTATATAAGTTCCACCAGCTGGCACATATGTTCCATCTGCAGCATAATGTCCTACCTGACTTTTCGTTCTTAAGAAAGCATTTACTAGGTCTGTTTTGGTCTGTTGTAACTCTTTTTCTTGACTTTCCACAACAGTTGCTCTAACGGCGTCATAGGCACTTTGAACTGCCTGTCTCGTTGCTGCATCTGTTATTTTCGTCATATTTTGTGCTACTTCTTTAACTCTTTGTCGAAACCTTCAGACTTCAGTTTCTTTCCAGATGAGAAGTCGTTCACTTGTTTCACCTTACTATGAAGAGCTTCGAAGGCGTTCTTAAAGTCAGCATTGTTAAAGCTTCATTTGAACTGTCTTCATCCGCTTGTATTTTTGTCCTTATTGACCCTATAAGTTGGGCTGCTTTAGCGTTGGCTTGGGCATCTAACCAGTCATTGTTAGCTTTTATATATTCTGCGCTTTTCATTGCCTTTTGCATGGCTGCGTCGTTATTTTTACTTTCTTGTGCTAAGTTTTCATACTGTACGGTTTGGTTTTGCAACTGTAAAAGTTTTTCTGCCTTTACATTTGCTTCAACTTCTTTTTTATACTCATCGCTATCCATATATGTCTTCAGGGCTTTTTGTTTTATTTCTTCATCTTTCAGTACTTTATATTGAGTAGTATGGTTTTTCAAATTTATAACATCTTGTTCCATTTTTGCTACTTCTGCTGCTTTTTCTGACACTTTTTTCGCATATTCCTCTGTACTTAGTTCTTTCAGTTGTTCTTCTTTCTTCTTTTTCTCTACGTTTAACTCATTGAGTTTCTTTGTGTGTCTGTCATATTCTAGTTTCTTTTCGTTTTCACTTATTTGTTTCTGTATGTCTATGTTTGACTTTTTGACATCTGTTATTTGATTTTTGAGTGAACTCAAATTCATTTGACTTTGAGGGTTATAAGCTGTTCCGTCTGCAGCTCCACCATAGCCTGCCATTTTCGCTAAAAGTGCCGCTCTTAAACCTCCACTCTGTGCACCAATAACTCGGTTTAAAAGCATAGGGTTGCTTGACATTTGTTGCAACATAGTGGGGTCATTCATCATTTGTTGTTGCAACTGTTGTTGTGGTGTCAGTTTTACTATTGGATGTTTCAATGCTCCTTCCTCTTACGTATATTCTTACGTAGCTTACGTGGCATTTTAAGTGAAGTTAAAAAGCGGTTTTTGACAGATGTTTATATGACACTTTTTGTTCAGCACAAAAAACTACTCGGTCAAAGTGTTGTCAGTTTTGTAAAATAACCGTCCTATCTCATTCTATAAGGGGAAAAGGCTTCTCAAAGTATACTTCCTTGGAACGCCTGTAACTTTTCCTGTAGCGACGATAGACCCTTACTTGTCCGGACAAAGTTATACTATTTTGAGTGCTCTACAAAAAAGTCAACGGCGACGACTCTCAAAAACCGTTGTGTAAAAAGTTTTACCGTTGGACAAAAAAGTATATATAGAAAACAAAAAACGTTTATAGTTCATTCAATATTTGAGATGGAACGGTTTGCCAACGGAACTTTAAATAAAATAAAAAAATAGAGGGGGTTACCGTTGACGAAAACGGTTTATTTTAAACTTTTCTATGAGTAGTCCGAAAAAAACAGTTTATTTTTCATAATGGAAGGAAGAAAAAGTGTCGCAAACAATTCGTCGACTACCTCTGCAGTTAAAGTTCCTACAACTTATGTCTCACCATTCTCAAAACCCTTACGACCTCCTATAATACCAAAGCAACTTCCTCATACAATTCAAGACAATTTGGACAATATGCATTTGCACAAAGAAACAGCTCAGCCAACAGGTCAGGCAACAACAACTATCGGAACAGAAGCATTTTCAGAAGAAGTTCATACCAATCAGACTCCAATCGAACATACAGAAACACAACCACCCGAAAATACAGAAACACATCCAATCGAACATACAGAAACACATTCTGCAATGACCACTAGGTCGCAAACACGATATCTCGCCTTTGCAAACAATTTAAGTCTCAAATTCAAGACACACAAGATAGCGACACTCCTCTTTCAGAGAAAGTTCGTAGAAAATACGCAAAGAAAAGGTTAGAATTGTTAGATAAGTTAAATGAACAGTGGGGTTCAGAAGACAATCGAGATTATAACGAGATGTTTCAAGCTGTCATGGATGCCATTCAGCCTCTTGAAAACGAAATCAAAGACCCTGGCGTACTTGTTGACATGTTTGCTTCATATTTACCCGTTACTGCCAATCTCATAGCGTTGCAAGCTATTGACCAGTTCATTCACTTGTTTCCAAAGAACTTGCAGAAGCATTTACAAGAAGTTAAATTGCTGAATTTGTCCGTTTATATCCAAATTCATACAATTATTTGGAAGAATTGAATGAACATGGTGAAAGGTCATTCTATTTATATTTCTACACAAAAGACAACCAGTCAAAACGACTATACTGCATTGAACCTATGCCTCAATTCGTAGACAATTTCCACGTTATAACAACTGTTGCTTTAGATATTCCTGCCAGAGTTCCATATGGAGGAACAGTAACTATCTCAAGCTTTCCCAAGGGCTATAAAGGAAAGCCTCTCACAATTGCAAAATTCACACACAGCAGTTGCCAATTTGTTCAAGATGTCGAGTTCCATTTCCTCAACAATACGACTTTCATCATAGAGACTCCTCAAGAAGGTATATACAAAGTTTTCATCGCAGGATTTGTTGCTCCCAATGGCGAAGAAGAAGTCGAAGAAATCTCACCTCAGAGAGCGAAGAAGAAGAAGTCGAAGAAATCCTCACCTCAGAGAGCGAAGAAGAAGAAAATTTCCAAGACATTCAAGATTCAGAATATACCGAATAAAAAAACAATTTAAGACTAAAAATTTAATTTTATTATAATATTTTTATTTTTTTCATCTGGTCTTTGTATCATTCCTCCTCTAGTTTCTTCGGGGCTAGAGGGCACGAAGTGCCTGGAAGCCCCATTACCTTTTTTTTTTTTTTTTTTTTTTTGATAGCATGAACTAATGCGAATTTTATGAAACCATGTCCGTGTTGCCATTGTAGAATGGCACTTTTTTGTCAAATCTATTGTAATTGTCTGTCCAGAGAATGTTTGCCACGGAAACATCTACAAGCTGAATCTTGAGACAGTTGAATGGACTAAATATACATCGAATCTTCCAGAAACAGAATTTTCGCTTATGATTGAAACAATTATTTTCCATTGATAGTCCTTCCAGCAATCCATCAATTGTACCCACAGTATCTGCTAATGAAGCATTTGGCTTCTTTCCCAGCAACGTAATCTGAATTTTCGATATGTTTCAATTCCATTAAAAATATGATTATATGAAACAATCTATACTCAATAAACATCAATTCAACAATGAGGATATGTAAAAAATCTGTTTCTTCATCATTTCTTACCTGAGAAAAGATCATATATTTTGGGAAGGCTAGAACTAAAAATTATTTTTAATTTAGATATGGAATATGATTGAACTCAAAGAAGAGAAATCACAAAAATAATTTATTACAATTTGGAATTATTTGTTCTTTTGATAAAGCATAATAAACTGTTTGGTATGAATAAGGGGTAAATTAATTGTTGTTTTGTTGCATGTGCAAACTGTTTTATTCGATTTCGAACAAATCTTAGCAAGTTGATCAACAAAGAAAGTATATGAATCTTGTATGTTTTCTGTAACATCAGCAGCTCCAAAAACGATATTTCCAAGATTATCAATATAACTATCATAAACATAAATCTCAGCTGTATTTCCATAGCGATCATTAGCAAAGAGAGCAATTTCATCACCGTTACCGGAAAAGCTACAATTTGTGAATGTGGCATTAATTCCTTCGCATAAAATTGTACATGGAGGATCCTTACTACTACTTATTTTAGAATTATTAATAATATTACAATATTTTGTGTCAATTCGATTTATGGAAACACTATATCCGTAATATTCCAGACATAATATGTACATTGATGTGTTGTTAATAAAATTCGAATACCCTGTAATTGATCCTGGTTCTGGAGTACCAATTACTATTCCTGGAATCGAATTTACTATATTAAGACTAGAATTTGAGTTAATAAAATGCGAAGTTCCTCCATACGATAAATAAACATCATTTCCATATGATTCATTACTTCCATTTTCTGAAAGAGAAGCAAAATACGAATAGCTGAAATTTTCTGGTTTTATCGCAATATAACAAAAAATTCCATATCCTGATTGTAATGAACAGTTTTTTGCTTGAAATTTATATTGGACAATGGAACTATCACCTTTAAAGTAAATAGCTCCACCACTTACTGTATTTGAACATGATGCAAATTCGCAATAACTATGGAGGAAATGGATATTTTTAATTTCAGTGAAATTTATTGCACTATTTTGAATATTAATGAATTTACATTCGTGAAAATGGTAATTTAAAACATTCTCAGCTGGATTAAATGTTGTTTGATAGGTTTCATTTTTCTTTAAACGTGGATCTGAGGATCCATAAAAATATGTCCAGATATATGGCACATTGCAGTCAAGAAGAGATGAATTATTCAGTCAGATAACTCCGAATTGTGCAGAATAAAAAAATAATGTATAACATTTTGGTCAAACAATCAAAGTTAAAGCGACAATATCAATTTATATTGACAGTATTTAAATATGGTAACTATTTCATGGCTTCATTTCAAAATTTATTTAATCTTGATCAAAAAAACTTAAAAATATATTTGAAGGATTCGATAGTAGTGAGAGATGATTCAGAAAAATGATTTGTGATTAGCCTGAATTTGATTTTGGGCAATAAATAAAGAAAACCATCGCATTTATCTTTTTTTAAAATCTGCCAACAGTATGAAATTAATTATTCCCTAACTTCAATACACATTTACTCTGATTGTAGAATGCCGTGATCTAATACAGAACGTTAAATATCGATATGAATATGAATATTTCCAAAAATCTATGATTTATGCTTTAATTGTTTCATTTCTTGAGTTACACACGTAAAATCCTATACATAACCAATGATAATATGGTTAACAAAAATGATAATATGTAATTATATATATGTTCATTGAATGAAAATCTATAGTTATATGTTTTCGAACAAGTTATATGTATACATAATTCTATAGACAGTTTCCTCTTAAGAGAATATAGAATTGCATGATTGAGATGTCCAAAGTTCCAAAAAAAAATTGAAATTCGAAAATTGGTAATTGATTTTTTTTTTCTATGTTTCAACTGTTATAAGATGTTTTTGTGTTACCAAAGCTGATAGTCTAGCAACATGTAATATAAAGTCTATCATATATGTATTAGAGAAAAAATCAAGTATACTTGAGAATATAGATTTAAAAACAACAATACAGAATATTTATTTTATTGCTTTTTTGCAAAACCAACCTTGCAAATATTTGAAATAGGAACTTCTTCAGTCTTCAGCAGCCAAGGATGTGAAAGTATCTGTTCAATTGAGAATCTTTCACTAGGAACAGTTGAGAAAATTCCTTTCAACAGCTGAATGACTTGGCTAGAGAAAGCTTTCGGATAAATCACGTTTCCTTTCTTAACTTTCTCTGCAAATTGTTCGTGGGAACTTCCTCCAAATGGATATTTTCCTGAAAGCATTTCGTAGAGAATAACTCCGCATGACCAAATATCACTGAGCATTCCATTATATGGTTTCTTAGTGAAACTTTCTGGTGACGCGTAAGGAGTCCTAAGGAAATATGTCTCGTTCATGTCTGACTTCTCTGCAAATCTACAAGTTGAAAAGTTTGTAAATCTGACAGTATTTTTGTAAAAAACAATAGTTTTCGGAGTGATATTATTTAGAACAATATCACAACTATGTATATGTTGAAGAGCAAGCATCATTTGTCTAAAGATTGGCCTTGCAGCCTCTTCAATAATATTCTTTTGGTTTGAAATGAGATCTTTGAGCGTATAACCGTCTGTATCTGGCCAAAGAATATACCAAAATAGTTCATCTTCAAGGAGAGCTATCATTTTCATGACATTTCGGTGTTTTGTAATTTTATTCGCCTCAATTTCAGCTTGGATTTGAGTATCGTTTGTTTGGCTTTTAGCTGATATCTTTGATATAACTAATCCTTTAGTTGGCTCCTTAACTAAGTTAGGAGTAGCTGATGTAACAGAAACCATGCATCCGTATGGACAATTATTGGATTTAAATGCTAAATCATAGGTTTGTATCTTCGGCGGATGTCCATCTGATGTAGCTGAATCAATTTTTGAAAGTCCAGCGTTGATTTGATCGATTAAACCTCCGATTTTCTTAAAATCAGCATGCGCAGGTTCTGTAGCGTTTTGAAGAGCTTGTAATCGTGCTTTAAAACGAACTGGATAACGTACGAAATATATTAAAATTTTATCAATTGGAAATCCGATTTGTTCGGGTAGTTTATCGAATATACCTTGAACTTCTGAGTACTCTATACCCAATCCAAGGAACTGATCCGCGAATAAATAGTAATGATGAAAGAATAATAAGAAATCGTGAACAATTTGTGGTACTAATGCACTCCAGTTACCAATTGGACCTACAAGGTTGCCAGGTTTGATGTTTTCTTCGAACTCTAGCAGAACTTTTTCCTTAATTTCCAGAGTTTTTCTTCCATGAACAATAAGATCGGCAATTCCTTGTACATTTTTGATTTCTTCGACATGAGCTTTGAATATTGGTATTATAGGTGTAGTAACGAATTTTTGAAATTTTTCGAGTAATTCTTTTTCTTCTAGTTCTTTTTTATACATGCGCATGATAATATCAGGTTTTGTTGCGGGAAAAACTTCTTCTTCGTTTGGAGTTACAATTCGTGTTGAATTTTCTTCACTCATTCAATAACGATCTCCAACAAAAAATGAAACACATAATAAAGAAAAATAATGATTCTCATTCATTATATAAGTGTAAGGGTTCATGAATTTCTTAATCGCTTCTTCAAATAAAAGTGAAAAACAATAATTTTTGAGAAATAGATTAGAATTCGAGTAATATATTTGCCATTATATTATACATCAGTAATATTATTTATTCCCTGAGTAGTGGATAAATTATCAACATTTGTTTTTCGAAATCAATTTTGATTGATATTCATTTGGTATGCGTGCATATTTTGATTTTTTATGACCAATTATTTCAAGAGTTTAAATGACATTAGCAGATCATAAATATATTTCGGAAAATTAAATATTTGCAATTCTAATTGGAAAATGAAGACATATGAATGAGTTTTCCTTATTTCTATAATCATACTATCCACTCCTTATAATTGGCGTGATAAAACGTTGGCAATTTTGATTTTTAATTTACTTTTATGTTAAAATTTGCTGATTCGGCAATATAAGTCAATTCCTAGCTTGGAAACACCAAGCGAACATAAAATTGAATTAGGTATAAAACCTGAATTATCGAAATTGAATAATGACCATCAAATATTATCAAAATTGAATAGTATTCAATTTCGATAATTTCCCAAACTTTACCAATTGCAAGAGGCGATTATAGCAAACAATTATCCAAGGGCGAATATCCAGAAAATTTTTATCCCTCACAATTTTATTTCAGTAATGAAAGAAATTAGTGACTTCACTTTAAATGAATCGTATTCCAACAATCGGCCTTGGAACATGGAAATCACCACGTTCAGAAGATCTCATCAACGCAATTGTTTATGCCGTAAAAGAAGCAGGCTACGTCCACATCGATTGCGCTGCAGTTTATGGCAACGAAGATATCGTTGGCCAAGCATTCAAGAAGCTTTGGGAATTAGGCATCAAGCGTGAACAGCTTTGGATTACATCCAAATTATGGAATGACAAGCACAAACCAGAGCAAGTTGAACCAGCATGCCGCCAAACACTCAAAGATCTTGGTCTTGACTATCTTGATCTTTATCTTGTTCACTGGCCATGCCAATTCCATCCACCAGAGGTTGCTGAAAAGGAAGGAACCTTCGATCATACAACATCTATTGTTGACACATGGAAGGCCATGGAAAAGCTTGTTGAACTTGGTTTAACAAAGCGCATTGGTGTTTCAAACTTCACAGTTAACCAATTAGAACGTCTTAAAAACTCTGATATCAAGATCAAGCCATACACAGATCAATGCGAATTCCACATTTACATGCAACAAGCACCACTTAGAAGATATCTTCATGAAGAAGGTATCATCTTAACTGGATACTCTACATTAGGTTCTGCAGACTCTAAGATCCCAGATTCCCCAGTTTTACTGAAGGATGAAGTTCTCAACCAGATTGCCACTGAAACAGGAAAGACAGTTGGCGAAGTTGCACTTAAGTTCCTTCTTACTATCGAGCCAGGTGCTTCTCTCCTTGCTAAGTCTATCACTCCAGAAAGAATCTACAAGAACAATCACTTAGATTTCGAATTATCTCTTGACCAAGTCGAAAGACTCAAGAAGAGAGAAAGATTCTTCAGATACGGTGATGCTAGAAGAACATGGGGTGGAGACACATTCGGTGATGGATGGTAAATTATTATAAACATCTTTCTTATTTTGAACTATTTCAAAATTATTTTTATGAACTTTTTATCAATGGAAAATATTAATTTTTATAAGCTTCACTCTATTGTATGTTCACAAAATAGATAAGTTAACATCATTCATATGCTAAATTCGAAATATTCACATAAATTTCAAAAATTATTTTGATAATCTAATCGATTTCATGGATATGAGTATTATAAAACATTTTGTTAAAAAATTAGATGTTCATTTTAATCCAGTTTTCTGATATGGCTCGAAATTAAAATTCCAACTTTATTTCCAATTTGATTATTATAATACTAAGGCTAAAGAATATTTAACTTTTAAACTCATAATAAATAAATAACTTTACATTTATAACAAAAAAAATAAAAATAAATTAAGAATTAATAAACAAAGAAAGTGAATTTCCATCAGGAAATACCATATACTCAATCTCTCTTCCGAATATATAAGCTTTCTGTAATGTATCAACTTCTATTTCACTGTTTGATATCATTTTGATGACTCTCCAATCAACAGCAACTCCTCCAACTTTTGAGTATTTAGTCAGTGCATTTGCTGTTGGAAGAGAAGGAGACATAACTAACAAACCATGGATAGTTGTTCTATTAACTAAAACGAAAGCTCCATCACTTCCTGAGACACCAACTCTTACGTCATCTCTTTCAGAAAGGATGTGCAAAGTGAAAGAAATCGCATCTTTAAAGTGTTGGTTGTCGCATGAAAATGTTCCATAAGTAGTGAAAACGAAGTTGAAACTCCATTGGAAATTATTATATGAAAACATTGTTCTGTATCTATCAGCGAATTCCTTCATTTTGTCTCCAAATTGTTGGTTTTCAACTACATCACTAGCATCAGGGAAATAAACATCAACAGAACAAACAGATTCGGCGTAAGTACATCCATCTTTGTTTGTCGAAACAGATGAAGGGAAGAAACTGTCATTCAATGTTGCCAATTGTTTAGTTATCCTTGTAAACTCTGCTTTCAATGCGTGCATTGTCGTAATATCTTTAATTACGGTGATTTTCATCGATTTCTTTACATTTGGAATGTAACTTCTCGCTGAAGTTGTATCGATCTTGAAGTGCTGTGTTTGGCCACTTGGAAGAACTCTTTGTGTTGGTAGTTCTCCAAGAGGTTGACCAATAATAATCGATTCAGGGAAGAAATTCGTAGCTGCCCAATTCGCGGAAATAACAATTCCTTTCGAATCTGTCGCGAAAACTCCAACTGGCATCGCTTTGAGCGCTCTTGTTGAGATTGTTTCGTGCGGGAAAGGAATACACTTCATTACTTTTCCATCATCCCATGGAACTTTCTCTGGCAAAGTGTTTATGAACCTTGCGAAAAATTTTACCGCGTTGTGGACTTTTATGATGGAATTCGTGCAGAAAATGAAGGTAAGAATGGAGAAAACCACGAAAAGAAGAGTAAAAGAGCTGTATAAGTAGGCAACTCCTTCTTCCCATTTCCATGAATTTTCCATTTCAAGAGAGAACAGCAAAGTTTCGTTCTCCTGTCTATGGGAAGCTTGAATCTTGAGACAAGAGATCAAAAGTGAAGGGTTCTTGAGGACATCTACGCTGTCAGTGATCAATTTTGTCAAAGCTGAGTTAGTTACGAGGTATTTGGCGCCTTCTTTGTCTCTTGTGAGCCTCAAAACTTCAGGGGATTCTATGTAAATAAGGTAATTCGGGGCTAAATCTCCGGATGAATTGAAATCTTCCGTAAAAATAGGGAAAACTATGCCTAAAATTGCGCCACATTCCATTCTGTAGTAGTCCAGATGCTCCTTGTAATCTCTGTTTTCTTGTGTTGCGAGGGAACTTGCGGTTAATGTGAGTAATGTCGCAACTTTGAGGGAAGGAAGTGATGTACAGGCCATGATAAATTTGTATCTCGCATAAATGTGGCGAGAAACTAACAGTGAAATGCCTGAACAACAAAATGCGAAAAAGAAACTGCAAATTATAGAGATAAGATGGGATAATAATTGCCTGGTGAAGAAGTTAATGAAAGGAGTATCAGATTTGAACCTCTTCGAAACGTTGTTGGGAGAATTTGAATTTGATTTCAAAATCTGGTTGACAATTTTCTTCTTTAGAAGCAAAGGCTGAGAGAACAATAGCTTAAATTTAATATGCAATGAAATATGAATGCCAATGAAACAGACCAACATCACTCCAAAGGAAATTTCAAGGACAAGGAAGATAACTTTAGTGGATTTCTCATGAGAAACAATCAGACTATGATATCCATCAATTAAACTATATCCTCTGTGGAATAAATAATCTGTTAAAAATTGTAATGTATTTGTAACTAATGTGAAGTTTCCTGATTGAACTATTTGCTCGTATGAATAATCTGGAAGCATGTAAACTACTTTATGAGCAGCAGCCATCATAGATTTGAAATTAATATAAATATTTGGCTGAGTTTTGAGCCAACTCTTGGTATTGAAGTTGTGACTCTCATTAACAGTTGTTTCATTGAGTAGTTGATGGATTGAATCGTAACTTATTGAAACATTATTTGTTTTGTTCAAAAATATGTCCCAAAAGAACTTCTCGATGGTGGAATAAACATAAGTAAATTGGTTGATCTCATAAAAGCTCTTTGCGTCCAGTTTGTAAATGAATCTTGAGTATAAAAATCCACTCCACACGCAAATACCAAAAGGAACAATGATCGTTAACAGAGTTATGATGAACTCAGCTAATGTGTACTTATGGCCGAATTTCTCGCCTCTTTGGGAATATAATACTTTGTCAGGATTCAAAAATGGTTCATTCTCTTGATAAGAAGTACTTCCGAACTGGTTGGCGTTCAACTTGAATTTTCCATTGACGAATTCAGCATCGTCCATCGCAATCCACTCATAAGAACGAACTCCTTCTTGAACAGACGAAATCGTGACGTCTTTTAGCTCTTCGTACTCGCAACTGATCTTACTGATGAACATATAATATGGTAATCTGAAGAACTTGAACTGTTTCTCAAATTCTGACAAATTTTGATACAATTTTTTGAATCTTTCGACTTTTGTGTACATTTCGTAGACCATGTTCTGAGATAATGACGCGTTATCGTATAATATGTAGTTCCAGTACCGGTTCATTAGCTCTGTGACCGTTTCCAGGCTTTCAATATAAGAAAATTTTTGTAATGAGGTGGAATCATCATCGTTGTACTTACTATAGATATCCAATGTTAATAAGAAATAAAGTTCATTGAAGAAAGAACGTTTTGAGAGGCAAGAAAGTGATGAAAAGATATCTTGACGTTTTAATAATGTATTTGACTCAGAAATCGAAAGCGCGAAGAGGAAAAGATGGAGTTCTATCGCGTCCGGCCATTTTTCTCTCACTGCGTCGAACATTTCTGGAGTTATTGAAACATATTTTTGTCTTAAACCAATAAGACCATGAAAAACCGACGAAGATATCTTAGAATTCCTAATATTTTCAGGAGTGTATTCAAATTTTCTGGCTTTCCAAAACACAAAAAGTTGATATAACAAAGAAATGATTAACGACACGAAAATGAGGACTAGTCCTGCTAGATGTAAAGAGTAGAACGAGTATTTGTCGTAATAAGTGAGGATCGTCGTTAAAATACTGTTGAAAAACATATTTAATGAGAGAAAATTCAAAACTATTCTCTGCATTAGCATGCAAGTGAAAGGTTTCTTGATGAAGAAGAAAACCAGTAGTCCAGAAAATATTACATACGTTAAAGATAAGTGTCGAAAATTTGGATATTGTTGAAAAATTTTGACAACAAGGGTAATTCCGAAAATAAATAGGAACTGGAAGCAGGCGTATGGATTTATTATAGATCTTTTCGTTTGAACTTTGATTAATAAGGCATCTCCGATAACTCCGATTAAAATTCCTGGAAAACAGTAGATGAAACATATAACTGATACCGCCCGGACACTTTTATTCGATACAATAACTGTTGGAGTTGTAATTGCAACGCATGCTGAACATAACGTGAAAATGAAGATTAAAATATGGAATAATCCTGGTAGAACTGCTAAATACGCTGTCATTAACTTATTTAAATACTTTGAAACGAAGAAATGTATAATACAAGCGTAATAAATCGTATAAAGCACTACAAGTACAACAGTTATGAATAAGTATGGTGAAATGAATAAGTTGCTATCAATTAAAGCGTAATCGATGGAAATAATATGATAAAAATCTTGAGCCCAAGATAAATAGCCTCTAACTCCATCTGGAACATCGACAGGGAATATGTCTATTACATAAATGAAAAGTATTGCGATTGTTGCTACTAGTATTACGCCTCTTACAAAGTCAGTTGATGAAGAATCATCATTAATCTTGCTGTAAAACGGTAGTAATGATTTGAACGCTCTCTCAGATGAATAAGTGAGAATAATAGACCTCTTTTTATTCGTCTGTTGATCGCGTTGTAGCTCTGTTATTGAACTCAAAATTTTTATATAATTTCAAGAGTAAATTTTTCAAAAATAAATCAATATTCAAAATAAGATAAGTACAACAAATGCAGTTCATCCATCAAAAACTTGATATCAACTGAATTTACGCTAAATTTTGATAAATCTTGTTAATTCAACCATAATTATATACCACAAAGCATATATTATCTATGTGCCGTTGATTTGTCAATTTACCTTATTCAAAAAAATTCAATTTCAAAATCAAACAAACAAAATTTAGCTTTAAAAAACAAAAATATTTATATATACTTCTGTAGTGTTTCTTCCATAAATGGGAAAGTAGCTTCATTATATTTATCAAATAATGTGGAATTGTTCATTTTTAAGTTCGATAGTATTCCGTGCAACTCCTTACATATATTTTCTAGTTTGTTTTCCTCAAAATCAATGCTATCAACATTGCTATTTTTTACATCTTGTTTAATATTCTCTGTTATGATGATTAAGTAGTTCAATTTTATGTCTTCGCTGTCAATGATTGGTAGAAGTTTCAAAATGGCTGCTGATTGCAAAAACTCGATTTTTTGATTAATCATTTCATAAAGCATTTGATAAATAGCAGTGGGATTACAAATTATTAATGAAGATATCAAATCATAGATTTTATCATTTGCTTCCCATTTTCCTAGATTATTCAATATATAATTATAAATATCTTCATTGCGAGTTGTCATTATTAGAGAATAAAGGCAATCGATTGCAATATCTTCATTTTTGCTTTCGAATTTAGCAGCTACATTGAATACAAAATCAATTAATTCGGAATAAAAATCATTAATTTCTTTCATTCGAATTAGAAGTGTTCTACAAAGGCATACGATACTTTCCATATTAAATTCATCATCAATATTAAATATTGGGTGAATGATTTCAAAGATATCATTAGAAAAAGTTGAAATTTTTGAAATCAAGAGCTCAATAAAGTCAATTAAACAACCTTTAGCAGAATACTCATCATCAAATTCATCATAAATTGACATAATTGAGCTGATAAAATCTATATAAATTAGTGAATTATCATCAATAAAAGCATTGATTGAATTAATGAAATCTTTGAAGTCTTCCATTGCGTAATCAATCATGTAAAAGTCTTCTTTTACATTTAAAAGTAAATCAGGTAACATTTGATTAACTCCACAACAAAACTCTTCCAAATATGGAATAATATATTCATTAAAAGCTCTTATTAATGTATTTGAATTTCGCAGCATGATATTTGATCCAAACATTGACAAATTATTAAGAAATATCTCTAAAATTCCTTCAATATTATCCTTGTAATTTTCAACAATCATTTTAACTGTTTCTTCTGAAGATTCTTGTAATAATGAACAAAATGCAGATAAAGCATAAAATCCAGTATAAATGTGTTCATCATTTATTGATTCTAAGCATGCACAAATGATTGAACTATCAAGTTCTATACCATGAATATGAGTTAATAATGCAAAATAACAGCTTTTTATTAATGGATCTTCTGACAAACATAATTCAAATGTTTGATTAATAAATTGAGAAACAATTTCTTTATTTATTTTATTAATAACTGTTATAATACCTTGTAAGTAAATTATAATATTATCTAATGACATATTTTGCTGTGCAATGTTAAAAAGAAGATCTGCATAACCAGGATATTTACATAAAGAAAATGATAAATATGCTGCAAGATTTTTTCTGTCATATATTTCGGAATCAAAAACAAAATTAGATAAAGCAAATTCTTTTGGATAATACTCTGCGAGATTAAAATCATATTCTGTAAATTCAAATGATGGTAAAATGAATTGAGTAATGATTTCTTCCATCGAAATGTGTTGAAAAATATCTGATCTTTTTAAACACCTTTTAATAAGACTAAAAGAATAATGTAATAATATTGCATTATTTGTTAATCGTGTAACTTCAATTGCTTTGTTTAAAATCTTAAAAACTTCTTCAAATGAAACAAAATCTTCATAATCAACAATTTGACTGTAAAATTTGAATGCAAAATGAACAAAATCTTCATCTTCAATATTCTCGTTATGAATTATGCTGTCAATTTGAGAAATCCAAAGAGATAATGAATTATGATCATATTGGAAAAATTCTGGTAAATTTAAAATGGAAATGTAACTGGCACATCTAAATAATAGTGTTTTGTCTGTAATTGATAATTCATTTATTGATTGTGTATAAATTTGTAAAAAATCTGTAATAAAACTAGGATCTAATTGAGGATCTGTATTAAATTTGAAATAGCTTAGTAGAGACCATACTAATGCAATCGATGGCAATGATATTTGTGGAAAATCTGGCCAATTTTCCGTGAAAAACAATTTTTGAACAACAATTCGGGAAATTTCTAAGATTGAAGGAATCAATTCGTATATTTTTGTCTGAAAAATATCAACAATCCATTGTTTGAGAATATTTGAAATTGAATCTTGAAAAATTAGCTGGATATTATCGAATAAAATTTGCTTAATTCTTATAACAGCTGCTGTCCGTAGTAATTCATCGTTCTTTGTGTTTGATATAATATTTAAAAAGCTTATTAAGACTGATTCGTTTAGTGGAAGAGAGAGTAATTGATTCTGTGCTTCAAATACTTCTTCATTATTTCCTCTAAATGAAACGAGGAGTAACTCCTCAATATTCATAAAATCAATAAAATGAAAAAAATTAAAATAAAATAAAAGTTTATAGACAAAATGGCACAAAAATGGCGCACTATAATAATATTACAGGTCTTTTAAATCGAAGGATTTTTTCAAATTTTTGGTTTCAATTCGCCTAATTTGATTGATTGGATATTCCAATGAGACAAGAGGATTTATGAAATGATTTGTCATACAATATCAATAGGAATACGTATGTCATCTTATTGTACAAGTTATGAAAGAAAAATTTCCAGTAGATGCTCAAGTTTCCAATGATTAAATTGAGATCTGATTTTAGATGTTTAAAAAAGTGACAAAGTTTTTTACCAAAACAATTCGAACCAACCATTGGATATCTTATGTACACACATCTGTTTGTTCTATTTTCTCTGAGCTTTTTTCAAATTTTTCTATGAGTCTGACAATTGAATTTATGAAACTCCTTCGGACTGTCTATAGACAATAAACTCTTAAGGAGCTACTGCATGGCCAAACGATATCGCCTTTTAAAATATTCATTGAGCTGATGTTTCACAAAACTTATTACTAAAATAATAACTAAATATTTTAAAATATGAAAGAAACATTTTATTGATATTGGTTATTACTCTCTAAAATTGAAGAACTCATATCTTTAACTGGCTCTGTAATCATGAACCAGCCAAAGAGTCCTCCCAATATAGAGAATGACGCAAAGAGTAAACAGGTGGCCATGTAGCCCATTCCGCCACTGAACTTTCCTGTGTCTGGATTCTTTTTGCCAGTCATGATTGGGAAGATAAAGATGACAACAAAAGTGAAAAGCTGATTCGTTGTACTGACTATCGAATTTCCAAGAGAACGAAGGTTCGCTGGGAAGAGTTCTGGAATGCAATACCATGGGACAGGTCCAAGAGCAACACCAAATAAGAACAAGTAGAGGCAGATGCAAATCAAAGCAATCCAAGATGGCCAGTCATAATTGTAGCAGCAGGCATAGACAATTAATGTTATTCCACATCCAAGGCATGATGCTGTAAACAATAACTTTCTTCCTAATTTATCAATCAGCATTCCGCCAATAAAGACTGCAATGACCATCATGAACATAGAAATTGCAGATGCAATGCCAGAATCCATTGGAACTTTGGATGTACGTAAGTTATCGTCGAGATTTGTAACAATTGCGTTAATTCCGCTAAATTGTTGGATAATCATGAGCATTACTCCAACAAAAAGCTTTCCAAGGTACTTCTTTTGGCATAAACTCTCTTTCGTTGCGCCAATTTCTTCATGATCAGCAATCATTGCGTGATGGCCTGTTTCTGGGCATATCCATATCAATAAGCAGCTCAAAAAGTTAAATGCTGCGGTGATAATCGGGATAATCCACCATTTGTAGGCTTGTTTATCAACATTTGCTGTCCAATTACCAGCTAAGTAAACTATGATGCATCCTGTGCAAATGCCAGTTTGTGCGAGATTGCCGAAGAATCCAGAGAGTCCTTCTGGGGCAACTTCTACAAGCATTGTAGGAGCGGTTGAAGAAATACCACCAATGGCTAAATCCATAAGCGCTCTCATTAAGATTAAGATCCAAAAGCGTGTCTGATTAGCAGTAAGCATTAAAAGATAAATTACACCACTAATGAATTGTAAAATGCAGAAAACTGGTCTTCTTCCAAGGTATTTAAGCATGAATGTAGCTATATATGGACCAAACATAGCAACTAACGATAGAATTACGTTGAAAATGTTGTTTGAATTTCTGGAGTATTCCAATATTTCAGGAAAAAGGGAACTAATGGAGAAGTAAAGCCAATAGTGAAACCAAAGTTTATGGAACCCATCATTATGATAAAACCATAAAGAACTTCCTTTCTGCAATAGTTAACACCCATAATCTTTTTTTGAATTTTGATTGAAATTGATGCTCCTCAATTCAATTTGTTAGCCAAGTAAAATTTGTGTATCAAAAGTTTTGTTATATCGAATAATTTTATTTCCTTTACAAACTCTTGCAAAATTCTCAAGAATTGAAATGGCATATTTTATTCGTTTGAAATGTATTCGTATCTTCATATGAAAATACTATAAGTAAGTATTGAAGAGTATAGATATGACTATAAATTTCATTAAATCTTATATGACAACTGAAAATGGTGAAAAACTATTCAGTTTTTTAAGCTTTTGCGGTTAAATTCTTTCGGATCTGTTACAACGTTAGGTACCTGCTACATCTATTATAGTTATTCGCATATATTTCCTTGAATTCTTCCTAATCAATTTAAAAATTGTTAAACCTTGAACCAACATACTCTATATTATTTACTTACATGCTAAATAAATGAACGAACATTAAAAGCCATAGATTTTACTTCGAGCCAAAGATTCAAAAAGTTAAAATTGGTAGGCAATGTTAGATTCATCTTACATGGTTGCCAGTTGAAGTAATATATTGCTTTTGTCTTTAAAAAATCGTATCATGTATTTTTAATGTCTTCTAAGATTCTGCACGTCAGACAAGAGAAATGTAAGTTTTGTGTTAAACGCATCTGATTATTAAATACACTATTACTCCGAATTAGGAATCGGAGTTTCCAAATGAATGAATTATAAATTCAAAGTCCTTCATATTCAAAAATATTTCAAATTATGATATTGTTTCAAGATATTGATCTTGATAAATGAAAAATGATAATATTATCAAAATAGAGAATTTATTTTAACACAAATGTCGAACTTAGAATCCACCACGAAGATGGAGAACGAGATGGAGTGATGATTTAGGAGATTGAAATATGTATCATTTAATATCCTATTTGGAGCAAAATTCCATTTCAGCTTTAAAATTTTACAAGGAAGAAAGAAAATTTCGGAATTTGAATGTTTTAGACGTTATTTATGGGAACATTCCTGTCTCATTAATGATAGCGATCCAGATCATATAAACTGGGAGGACACAAATCATGCCCCAATACATTGAGTATGTGATCATTGATGTCTTCCATCCAGCCTGGTCTGAAAGAGTATAAGCGTAAAGTCCGGTTGGAGCCAAATTGATGAGAATGAGGAATTTGGCAACTGTGTGGTCGATGGAAAGTGCCCAGCAGAAGGCCATGGCCAGAACTGGCTTGACAATGAAGTGAACAATGCATGAAGCAATTACATCAACGATTGGGCAGCCTTTGAATGGATGGTAAGCGATGAATATGCCTTGGCAGAAAAGACCAGCACAAATTGAGGCCTTTTCGAGATCGAATGAGAATGATTTTAAGAATGCTGGCATATTAACGTTTGTATACTTAACAGCGATACTCCAGAAGATACCAAGAATAGCTGCGATGTTGTGCTGGTTGATAAATGAGTAAATGAACCAGAATAATTTGGAATAACCGCGTTTAGCTGGTTTCTCTGGTTCTGCAACGTCTTCTGGCTTGATAACTTCCTTTCCTTCGTCAACTTTGACTTCTGGTGTTGAGCTTGATGAGTTCTCATCTTTGTTATCTGATTGTTTATCGGAGCTTTGTAAGTCTTCATGGGAATCTGATACTGAACGATTACCAATCTTGTCGAGTTTCTTCTGCTTTTCAACTTCTTTTGGCTCTTCTTTCTTCTCTTGAGCTGGTTCTTCATTTTGTGAGTCTGATTTTTGATCCTGGAGCTCCATAGCATCTTCTTCTGGTTCTTCTTGGACTTGCTCTTTGTTCTCCTTTGGTTCGAGTGGTACCTCTTCATCAGGAGGTGGATCTGTCATTTTATTGAACGATTCAACAGAATCTGGGATGTAAAGTAATACAAGAATCTGGTGGATAGAGTGAACACAAAGGGTTTGGACAAACATTGCTAAGCCAGAATAGTTGTTGAAGGATTGAGTGAATAAAATCTGTGAAAATGGATAGCCATACCAGAAGAAATCGGATTCAGTGAAAGCAATAGATGCCTCAATGAACTTTTCCATAATGGATTTGTTTGAACGGAAAACTATTGCATAAACATATGCGATTAAATGAAGGAAAACCTGAATAATAAAAGCATGGAGGAATGTCATCCAACTATCTTTGTTTAATGGGGTAGTAGCTACCTCATAAAAGAGCATTGTTGCAATTGGAATCATGAATAAAAGGCGGCGAACGCGTTTCATTGATTCTTCTGTGAAGAACTTGATGAATCCGAAAAAGGCACCTACACCCAAGGTTACATAAATAACCATAACGATCTGGAAGGAGTCCAGATACTTCAGCATTTGAAAAAAATTTTGATTCTCAGAAATAATTGAGAGTTGTGTGCTCACCAATTGAGAGGAACAGTGAACTTTTAACATAAATAAGGCAAATTAGTCTAGATTTAATATCTCAGTTGTGGGGAAACGATCGTTCAATTTTTGAGAAATTTTTCGCGGCCAACCCATTCAATAAAGTGATAATTCCAAAAATAATAGACACCAGTGTCGAATTGGAATAGAGAAATAATTTTTCAAATAAAAATCGCTGATGATTTAGTTGAAATCTCCTGTAACACCTCTGAAAAATAAAATTGAATAAGCTCTATGAAATTTTTCAAAAAAGTGACGCTTTGAACTTTCTCTAAACATCATTCGATAAATGACTTAAATTATAATGAATAATTATTGCCATTCATGCGTATCATTACTTTTCAATATTATTTTTGTCATTGCTCGCACATTTATCAAAAATAATTTCTAACTCATACAAAATCAAGCGTTCTGATAATATCTTGCATTTCACACAATATGTATATATGATGGCATTACGAAAATTCTTGAAAATGGATAATGATATTGACCTTTCATTGATAACTTGTCACTTTAGGTTATTGATATATCAGCCAAAACAACCTATTGAAATGCTTTTGATTTGAGTTGTTTATGGTCTCTGGATTCGATACTTTCAGATAAGAATCAAATGAATTAGGAATAAATGTGATTTTTATTAATGCACACAATATTTTATAAATATTCTAGATGATATTTAACAATAGAAAATATTTTTAATTTCAAAAAAAATTAATGAAAGAACAAATTCGTAATTATTTTAACACAACTCGAATAATAACAATTGTATGCAACATAGTGTTGAGTATAGCATCAGCATATGTGATGCATTATATTGTTGGCCCGACTGCAAATGAAAATTATTGGATCTCTCCTGAAAATATAGACAAATCTTTTCAAAAAATGTTGGAATATACGAAAGATGTTGATTACAAGTCAGAATTCATTGGCGAATGCAGAAAATTTATCAAAATTTTAAAGAATCCTTCATTAAAGTTCGGCACACTTAATAACTACGCATTAAACAAAATAGCAGATAGAATACCAAACATTGTTTTAGGATTGATGTATAATCCTGAGTTTGCAGATAATGTTAAATTATTAAATGAATTATTTAGAGTATACTTACTAATTACTAGTCATCATGAAACATACTACTCAAATCTGAAGCATGCATACGAATCATCCACGTATTCTTTCGAAGAAGAAATTTATCATTTTAAATACAACTTAACTACGTATGATGGCATTAAAAAGAAGTTTAATCCTGGTCTATTAAAGCCAATCTTCAACACTACATATTCAAGAGAGTACGAAAAAAACATAATCGAACAAACTTACCCTCTTCGGCTTTTTATTCGAGCATACGCTCTAATTGAAGACATGCCGAACATTCTACAGTATTTTGCGTACATGGTTCATATCAATTGTGTCTCAAATGAGTATTGGTGCCGAAAATTTTTCAAAGAAGTGAAAAAACAAAATTTAGAATACTTCCCTTTCCTTTTAGATCGAATTACTCCAACATTCGAGCTTGTTGGAATGAAAGAAGTCTGTGAAGCTCTTAAATGGGCTCGTTCTCTCAACTCCTCATCGAGTACAAATGCTTCAAAAGATCTCATTTCTGCATTGAAAGAATTTTATTGTGCAACTGATTATTATCACTATGATTACGGATTTAACAAATTTGAAGATGAAGAATATGATGATACACCTTATTCTATTGTTTCTGGTAAGATGTATGATGCTTCCATTGATCCAAATAATGAAATACTAAATGACGATGATTCAAATTATGATGATGAGGATTATAATGATTCAAGCAAAGAAACTTATTACTATGATGATGTAGATTATAATGCTGATGATGAGAATGAAACAAAAGACACTTCAAATGAAAAAGAAGAACTTTAATTAATTAAATTTTTTGTATGATTTATTAATAAATAAACTATTTATATATAGAAGTTTTCTACACTTGACTATGTTCTTTTAAGTCCAATGTTCTAAACATTTGAATTTAATGAAAGATATTTCGATGTTTAAGGATGCACTTACCACTTTCTGACTTTAATTCAATTTTTTTGACACCCAAGCTTTATATCCCAATATCCTAAGGTCAAAAGTTAATATATTTTGGTTAGGAGAAAGTAAATATAAATCATTATATAGTACATAATCTGGCTGCTATACTTTTCTGCTATTAAAATAAAGATATATTGATTTTTACATAGCATGTCAGACAAGTGGTAAGAAATAATCTGATTTCAATTCAAAATTTCTAACAACGGGCGTGAATCATCAATGATACAATTCACGCAAATGGGCGGAAATTTGGATTATACTCAACTGGGCGGCACTAAACCCTTCAACAACTGAAGAAATTTTATCAATTGATATAAATTTTTATTAAGTTTGAATTTTTTTAATATTATATCCAGCATTTAACGCCATGTTCATCTTTCATGATGCACTGACCACATGAGATACATTTCATCTTTTTACCTTCACGAAAGTGTTGGACAACATGAGTATCAGCAATTGTTGGACGTCCAAGAGAGATAAGATCTGCACCTTCGTTTAGTGCCTTGATCATTGTCTCTGCTTTTCTTATTCCACCAACAACTGCAATGGCAGCCTTTGTTGAGGATCTCACAACAGGAAGAGTTGGAATGTTATAGCCTTCTTTCAACGGAAAGTCCTTACGACGCATAAATATGTTTGTCGATCTTAATGTAGTTGAAGATTCCTGGAAACCACATGAAACTTCCCATAAGTCCATCTCTGGAATTGCAGCCATTGTTGCGGCCAAATCTTTTGGCATTACGCCAGGATTTCCTTGTTTACAGTCATCTCCATTGATCTTGATTCCAATTACAAATTCTTTACCTGTTTCTTTCCTGATTGCATCAACAATTTCTACAAGAATCCTTCTCCTGTTTTCTGGGCTGCCACCGTATTGATCTTCTCTGTGATTTGTTATCGGTGATAAGAAACTAGATATCAAATATCCATGAGCACCATGAAGTTTTATTCCATCTACACCAACCTCTTGAAGACGTTTTGCACATTTCCTATAATTATCAATTACTTCGGAAATCTCCATAAGAGTCATTTCTCTTGAACCTTCCTGGAATTTTGAAGGTCCACGTGGTTGTTCACCTGTGAACTTAAAGTTTGTATATAAGCCAGCATCGCAAACTTGGAATAATGTTTTGGCACCAACCCTGTGAATGTATTCCACAGTTGATCTCCAAGCCTCCGCTTGTTTTTCATTCTCCATGCCGCCTTGGCCCTCACAAGCACGTCCACTTCTTTGAAGGTAAAGGTATTCTGGAATTATAAGGCCCATGCCACCATCAGCCATATCTTTGTAGTAATTTAGCAAAGATTGTTTCGGAATTCCATCTGCATCGCAGCCATTCATGAAAACTGGAGAGCGCATGAACCTGTTCTTTATTGTTATGCTACCAACTTTGACGGGAGTAAACAATTTGTCCATTCCTTTTTAAAAAATGAAGTAAATTTTTATATTTCAATTTTTTGTGTAGATAAAGCAGTTAGCTGGACAATCGTAAACTATTCAAATTTCGATAGAGGGTATTCAATTTATACAATGTAAAGTAATGACCGAACACTCATTCGAAAAAAGAATCACACTATGGAATATTGATTAAAACTTAAATCGATTATTTTGCCTCAAATTTTTATTGAACTTTCACTAATGAAGAATTTTAATGAGTTGATATCAATTCTATACTTGTAAGCATAATTTCAGAAACGATTTTTTCTCTTTCAAGATTTTTGACAATAATTTTTGAGGAACAATTGAAATTTATAAAACTCTGTCAATATATTTGGGATTAACATATACTGTGATCATATGATTTATTGCTCTTGCAATGATTAACGAATAGAACGTGATAGAGAATTCTAGAAAATGCAAATTTCAATCCAAAAAAAAAATTATCAATTTTAAATAATTATCATTAATTTTATTTTGTGTATATTTAATATGAATCATTAGATCATGACCATTGCCTAAATTCAATAATTTAAAAAAATTAATCAAATTTCAAAAATTACAAATAAAAATGAATCTTCAAATATTAATTCCATATTGGATTAATATCATAATATTTGGAAAATATAAATTTTGCATTCAGCATCAAGAGAATCATTTTTGATTTGCTAAAGTTTTCTATTCATTAAGAACTTTGAGCTCTCGTATACTATTGTTTTGAAGAGGTTAATAAGAAATAACCAAAAACAATTTGTATATTCCCAGACACATTTACATCTACATCAAAAACTAAATTCTTAAAATCAGGTGATTTATTGTAAAAGAAATCGAGATGCTTAATAATATTGTCAAGCAAACAAAAACTGATCATAAAGGTTGACAGATGTGTTACACCTTTAAAATCACATCAATATTTTTTAAATAATAGATCTTTATAAACTCTATAAAAAAATAAATAAAAGATAATAAAAAAAGCTTAATCTTTTTTGATTTCTTCATTGAGGTAAAGAGACTTTGTGAACACAATACCTCTGTTTATCAAAGGCCTTGCCTCTTTCTCTATGTATTCTGCGAGAGATTTGTTTCCGAAAATGTCAGCAGCCTTTGAAACTTGTCCAAGTAATTCGTCCAATCTCTTGATTGTTCTGACGATTGATCCTTCGTAATATGTCGGATAATCCTTCATTATTGACTGGAAATCAGCACCCATTGCCCAACTCTCAACTAGTTTCACGAAACTTGGATTGAACTGTGACATGAAAATTTCTTTGTCCAAGGGAACACCGCACGCCAAACTCATGTCTGCGATCTTTGACGCTGTGTTCTGAAGTGTTTTCCATTGGTCTTCGTATCCTTCGAGATCTGGTTTGTCATTCTTTTCTTCGCTGATGAAACAAGACAAAATAGAACAAATCATTGATGCAGAGTATTCAGGTTTTATCCAACCATTAACTAATAATTCAGTAATAACAATTTCATCACAAGAATTAACTGATGCAGCAACTCTTCCTTTCAATGTAATTACAACTCCTTTTCCTTCCATTGTTTCAACTTCTTCAACGAAACCGAGTTGTAACAAAAGCTGCATCATTGCATCCAAATCTCCTTGGTTTGCGAGTAATTCCATATCAGAAATCTTCTTGTTTAATGTCTCGATTTCATCTTCAAGATTTCTTTTCGTAATGAAATCGTGAAGAGTCTTTTCATCAACATCTCCTAATGCATGAACTGAATCTAATAATCTGTTGTATTCTTCTTCAGATTTAAGATATTCTTCTCTGAATTTTTCATTGCATAAATCACGATGATTTACATTGGAAATTCCACTTTTTGCCATGTTATCAACTGATTTCATTATCTGAGAAACCATTTTGTTGTTCAATGAATCAAAAGAAACAGTGACAATATGTGGAGACACTTCTTCAAACTCTGTAAGACCAACAGAGATCAATGTTGGCTGTGATTTAGCTTTGCTTTTTGATGGAGGAACAACATTTCCTTCTATTGTCGTAACAGCATTCGAAATAACAGTAAGAACACCTTTATGAGGGGGAGTCACCACTACACAATAACCCCACTCCCTTAATTTCACAATTTTCCCTGGGATTAAGAAATTCTTAGCGTTTTCTTCATCAAAAATCATCTTTTTCATTTTGTTTTGGAGTAAACGGAGTTTTTCTTGCATTTCGACCTTGAGCTTTGTCTTCTCTGCATCTGTAAGTTCGATTGCATCTGCTTGTGTCTTGATTTCGTTCAATCTGCGCTTTAATTCAGGAATTTGTCTTTCCATTTGGAATTGGTGGAAAGAAGAGCGCATGATTCTCTTTGGATTGCCATTGGCACTTGTAAGGGAGTTAAGAATCATGTTGTATGTGACTCGGAACTCACTGTTCAATGGCTGAGCACCAGATGTCATCAAAGCCTTCAAATCTGCTGGTGATGGCTCTCCGCCGTAGTTGATGACAACAGCACCGAACTGATCTTTGTTTCTACGGCCTGCTCTGCCGGCCATTTGGATGAATTCCGAAGTATGAATAGTACGAAGTTCGTTTCCATCGAATTTCTGAAGGGAATTGAATACGACGGTTTTGGCCGGCATATTCAATCCCATGGAAAATGTCTCCGTGGCAAACAAAACTTTGATAAGGTGATATTGGAACAAAAGTTCAACAACTTCCTTAAGAATCGGCATGAGACCGCCATGGTGGACTCCAATACCACGTTCAACAAGTCTTTTCATGTGTTTAATTTGGGGAAGATTTCGGTCGGCTTCGTTTGGAATTCTTTGGATAGCGTTCTGGAAGACCTCAGTAACGTAGTATTTTTCTTCTGGCTTCAAAAATGTACGTTCGCCAAGAGATTCGTGAATATTATCGCATTCTTTGCGGCTAAACACGAAAACGATCATTGGGTAGAGGTTGGAGTTGTATAAGTTCTCGATTATTTTGCATGTATGTTGGCCAAGAGCCTTTTTTGAGACTTTTGATTTTGTAGTTTCAGAAGATTTGACTTGTACGCTGCCAAATGTCTTGGAAGCGCCGGCATTCGACTTAACACTTGCGCAGGCAAGAGCAAATTGCTGGTCGTTGATCTCTCCCTCTGCATTTCTCACCATATAAGGTTTTGGCTGTCCTAAAGGTGAAAGATAGAAGTGGAGAGGTACTGGACGGCGTTCTGTGTAAACTACGTGACATACTTGTTTGTGCGTAGTGGCAATCCATTCACTGAATTCGCGTGCATTTGGAATTGTGGCTGAAAGAAATACGAATCTGACATCGTCTGGGAGCATGATGATTGACTCTTCCCAAACAACGCCGCGACTACGATCTTTCATGTAGTGAACTTCATCGTAAACAACCCATGATAACTCACGAATTAAAGTATCTTGCATGAAGAGCATCATTCTAAGAATTTCGGTTGTCATGACGAGTACTGATGCGCTTGGATTGATTGTAACATCACCAGTTAAAAGGCCAACGCAGCCTTTGCCAAATCTTGGTTCAAATTCATCAGCAAGCTCTTTGTATTTCTGATTGGAAAGAGCTTTGATGGGTGATGTATAAACGACGCGTGAATTGTTCTGTAATGCTGAGACAATGGCGTATTTGGCAATAACAGTTTTACCAGCTGATGTGTGTGCGGAAACTAGTACTGATTCTTTATTGTGTACGCATGCTATAGCGCATTTTTGGAATTCATCAAATTCAAAATCGTACTTTAAGTATGGTTCTTCAGGAAATTTGACATCTTCAAGCGTATGTGTACCATCTGGAAGCGCAGCGAAGTGGAGGACGTTGTCACCTTCAATTTCGAACTTCACAGTGGACGCTTGTGGAGCCTTCGGGATTAAATCTTCAATCGCCGAAGATTTCATGAAGATTTTGCCTCTTCCCCTTTATATTTTTAGAAGACCCAATATTTAGCATTATTGCTGAATTTAATATCAATAAACTCGTGGTAATAATATTTGATTAATAATCTTAGAAGGAGAAAAAATAATATCAAATTTCAAAATGAATTTTTATTTTTCGTCTAAAATCAGGAAGATAAAGGTATAGATATGCATAAAATTTCCGAGATAGATATTTCTAATACATGAATTTATGTATTCGAAAGAGTGTTGCAAAGTAATAGTGCAATATCCGTTGCCAATGTGGCCTGTTTCTTCAGATCCGTTAGGATTTAGGAAATTTTGATTTCCTGGTATGGATAAGGCATTATCTAAGTAGAAATCACGACTAACTTTATAATTTTCAGGAACAAAAATTTTTGTCGATTCATTGAGGACAAAACCAGACCCTCCACCGCCCCCAATTCCAAGGCAGCCACCGCCACCACCATACCAACCTCCACCACCGCCGCCGCCATCCCATCCTTGGCCTCCCTTTCCGAAATCTCCTGGAGTTCTTCTGCAAGTTGAACCAACTTTTTCCCCTTCATTTATAGTTCCACCCTTGGCAAAATATGTTGCGTATGAACCGGCAGTATATCCTTCTTTTGCAGCATCTAAACCAGGAATACCTCCGCCATTTCCACCTCTTCCCCAAGGCGGTTCATGGCTTCCGCCGGCCCCCCCGGCAACGATAAAACGTGACAAAAGACTTTCTGTATCGTTCCATTTTCCGCCAATTAAGCGTATATCAGTGGCACCGCCACCGCCTCCGAATGAGGAATCGCCGACATCAGCAATATCTGGTCCGCCTCCGTTATAGCCGCCAAGCGGGCCGCCGTAATTCGGCATGGAACCGATGTAAACAAAAAATTCTGTTTTATTGTATAGATTCAGATAACCTTTGGAGTATCCTCCTCCAGTGATATATTTAGAACTAGCTTCTGCACCATATTTTCCTTGGTTGCCGACGCCACCAGAGCCTGATGCGCCCCAAACTTCAAGAAGATATCTTCCTGGTTTTAGTAAAACAGAATATGGTTGGCATTCAAATTTGTCAGTACATGGATATGGGAATAAATACTTGTTATCGATAAAGTCACTCTTAAAATAGGCGATATTATCCGAAATGAATCAAAAAAATAAAGGTATACCCACTTCTTTAAGGTTATTTTTGGATATGAAGGCTATCTTTACTCAGCTTTAAGCATAAAAATTAACGTGCAGTATTCAATTGCTATCGCGAATAATTTTTACATCACAATATTTTTTTTATTGTCTTTTATATTTAACAACCTTTAATGTATTAAAACCCTTATGAAAAGATTTTTAATTTTAAGTAATTTAAACTAGCGAATTTACCAGTACCTGCGGAAGCCTTTTGGACGATAATATTTGAATGCTTGATATTTAACAACATCACCTGGCTTTGGAGCATGAATCATACCGGCACTGTTGACGCAGATACCAACATGATAAGCTGGGTTGCCATAGTAAGCAACATCACCAGGAGAGCCATTACCTGATTTGCCGCCTTTAGCTATTTGAGAAGCAGTACGAGCAATGTTGTTAATGCCGCATTTGTTGTGGCAGTACTTAACTAAACCAGAGCAGTCGAAGGAATTTGGACCGTTGCCGCCATAAACATATGGGCAGCCTTTCTTTGACTGGGCAACAGCGAGAATCTGGTCACCAAGACCGTTTGACGCTAATTGATGGTGGTGCGTTCTACGAGAGCATGCAAGGGTGAATAATAATCCTAACATGAGAATAAACTCTGGGAGGTTATTATCTGAAATTTGAGAACTATTCACAATTGTTCCGGCAAAATGCCATGATCTGATTTTTTTGATGATCAAAATAAGAAAATATTAAAATGTTATAGGATTAAATAAAAAATGTGCAACCAAAAAATGAAAAGAACAAATAATCGATTTTCCCTCAATAATTCTGATAAATGTTAGATCGTACAGTCAGATTGTTATAGACCGAAAATAGATTTTTTCGGTTTTCTCTTCAAATAATTGAAAGAATGATACTATTATAGGTTTATTATATTATATAGCATATAATCATGCTATAGCCGAAAATTATAAGTTTTGAGAAGATTGAATATAACACAAATAAATTTGAATGTAAGTTAAATTGCTTGTTGTTTTTAATAGGTATTTAATGAGAAATCCAATATTGCAAAATGCAAATTGAATGATTAAAAGAACAGAAAAAGTCATTCTTTTCAATTTCGAATATGTTTCATTGTATTTATAATTATATGGCAAATAAGATATTTAAACTGGATTTTTGAAGGAAAATTCACAAAATTGAATAAATTCAAATAATTTTTATTCAAAAATAAACTAGTTATTTGAGTTTAATACTAATTATCTATTCAAACTACAAAGTTTGTAATTTAAAATATTTTGTGAGATCAGATTGAATTAATTAAAGGTTCTTTTCAATTAATATTAATGACCATATTACGCATTTTCGAACATTCTAAACCAAATATATAAAATGGGAGACGAATGTTAAATTTTCTAGACATAAAGAAGTTGTTTACCGAGTTTTAGCTCTTATCTCTAACAAAAAATTAATTTTTAAAAAAATGACCGAATACGTTTCACAGCGAGAAAAAATAAAAGGCAAGATAGAATTTTCTAGACATAAAGAAGTTGTTTACCGAGTTTTAGCTCTTATCTCTAACAAAAAATTAATTTTAAAAAAATGACCGAATACGTTTCACAGCGAGAAAAAAATAAAAGGCAAGATAGAATTTTCTAGACATAAAGAAGTTGTTTACCGAGTTTTAGCTCTTATCTCTAACAAAAAATTAATTTTTAAAAAAATGACCGAATACGTTTCACAGCGAGAAAAAAATAAAAGGTAAGATAGAATTTTCTAGACATAAAGAAGTTGTTTACCGAGTTTTAGCTCTTATCTCTAACAAAAATTAATTTTTAAAAAAATGACCGAATACGTTACACAGCGAGAAAAAAATAAAAGGCAAGATAGAATTTTCTAGACATAAAGAAGTTGTTTACCGAGTTTTAGCTCTTATCTCTAACAAAAAATTAATTTTTAAAAAATGACCGAATACGTTTCACAGCGAGAAAAAATAAAAGGCAAGATAGAATTTTCTAGACATAAAGAAGTTGTTTACCGAGTTTTAGCTCTTATCTCTAACAAAAAATTAATTTTTAAAAAAATGACCGAATACGTTTCACAGCGAGAAAAAAATAAAAGGCAAGATAGAATTTTCTAGACATAAAGAAGTTGTTTACCGAGTTTTAGCTCTTATCTCTAACAAAAAATTAATTTTTAAAAAAATGACCGAATACGTTTCACAGCGAGAAAAAAATAAAAGGCAAGATAGAATTTCTAGACATAAAGAAGTTGTTTACCGAGTTTTAGCTCTTATCTCTAACAAAAAATTAATTTTTAAAAAAATGACCGAATACGTTTCACAGCGAGAAAAAATAAAAGGCAAGATAGAATTTTCTAGACATAAAGAAGTTGTTTACCGAGTTTTAGCTCTTATCTCTAACAAAAAATTAATTTTTAAAAAAATGACCGAATACGTTTCACAGCGAGAAAAAAATAAAAGGCAAGATAGAATTTTCTAGACATAAAGAAGTTGTTTACCGAGTTTTAGCTCTTATCTCTAACAAAAAATTAATTTTTAAAAAAATGACCGAATACGTTTCACAGCGAGAAAAAAATAAAAGGCAAGATAGAATTTTCTAGACATAAAGAAGTTGTTTACCGAGTTTTAGCTCTTATCTCTAAAAAAAATTAATTTTTAAAAAAATGACCGAATACGTTTCACAGCGAGAAAAAAATAAAAGGCAAGATAGAATTTTCTAGACATAAAGAAGTTGTTTACCGAGTTTTAGCTCTTATCTCTAACAAAAAATTAATTTTTAAAAAAATGACCGAATACGTTTCACAGCGAGAAAAAAATAAAAGGCAAGATAGAATTTTCTAGACATAAAGAAGTTGTTTACCGAGTTTTAGCTCTTATCTCTAACAAAAAATTAATTTTTAAAAAAATGACCGAATACGTTTCACAGCGAGAAAAAAATAAAAGGCAAGATAGAATTTTCTAGACATAAAGAAGTTGTTTACCGAGTTTTAGCTCTTATCTCTAACAAAAAATTAATTTTTAAAAAAATGACCGAATACGTTTCACAGCGAGAAAAAAATAAAAGGCAAGATAGAATTTTCTAGACATAAAGAAGTTGTTTACCGAGTTTTAGCTCTTATCTCTAACAAAAAATTAATTTTTAAAAAAATGACCGAATACGTTTCACAGCGAGAAAAAATAAAAGGCAAGATAGAATTTTCTAGACATAAAGAAGTTGTTTACCGAGTTTTAGCTCTTATCTCTAACAAAAAATTAATTTTTAAAAAATGACCGAATACGTTTCACAGCGAGAAAAAAATAAAAGGCAAGATAGAATTTTCTAGACATAAAGAAGTTGTTTACCGAGTTTTAGCTCTTATCTCTAACAAAAAATTAATTTTTAAAAAAATGACCGAATACGTTTCACAGCGAGAAAAAAATAAAAGGCAAGATAGAATTTTCTAGACATAAAGAAGTTGTTTACCGAGTTTTAGCTCTTATCTCTAACAAAAAATTAATTTTTAAAAAAATGACCGAATACGTTTCACAGCGAGAAAAAATAAAAGGCAAGATAGAATTTTCTAGACATAAAGAAGTTGTTTACCGAGTTTTAGCTCTTATCTCTAACAAAAAATTAATTTTTAAAAAAATGACCGAATACGTTTCACAGCGAGAAAAAAATAAAAGGCAAGATAGAATTTTCTAGACATAAAGAAGTTGTTTACCGAGTTTTAGCTCTTATCTCTAACAAAAAATTAATTTTTAAAAAAATGACCGAATACGTTTCACAGCGAGAAAAAAATAAAAGGCAAGATAGAATTTTCTAGACATAAAGAAGTTGTTTACCAAGTTTTAGCTCTTATCTCTAACAAAAAATTAATTTTTAAAAAAATGACCGAATACGTTTCACAGCGAGAAAAAAATAAAAGGCAAGATAGAATTTTCTAGACATAAAGAAGTTGTTTACCGAGTTTTAGCTCTTATCTCTAACAAAAAATTAATTTTTTAAAAAAATGACCGAATACGTTTCACAGCGAGAAAAAAATAAAAGGCAAGATAGAATTTTCTAGACATAAAGAAGTTGTTTACCGAGTTTTAGCTCTTATCTCTAACAAAAAATTAATTTTTAAAAAAATGACCGAATACGTTTCACAGCGAGAAAAAAATAAAAGGCAAGATAGAATTTTCTAGACATAAAGAAGTTGTTTACCGAGTTTTAGCTCTTATCTCTAACAAAAAATTAATTTTTAAAAAAATGACCGAATACGTTTCACAGCGAGAAAAAAATAAAAGGCAAGATAGAATTTTCTAGACATAAAGAAGTTGTTTACCGAGTTTTAGCTCTTATCTCTAACAAAAAATTAATTTTTAAAAAAATGACCGAATACGTTTCACAGCGAGAAAAAAATAAAAGGCAAGATAGAATTTTCTAGACATAAAGAAGTTGTTTACCGAGTTTTAGCTCTTATCTCTAACAAAAAATTAATTTTTTAAAAAAATGACCGAATACGTTTCACAGCGAGAAAAAAATAAAAGGCAAGATAGAATTTTCTAGACATAAAGAAGTTGTTTACCGAGTTTTAGCTCTTATCTCTAACAAAAAATTAATTTTTAAAAAAATGACCGAATACGTTTCACAGCGAGAAAAAAATAAAAGGCAAGATAGAATTTTCTAGACATAAAGAAGTTGTTTACCGAGTTTTAGCTCTTATCTCTAACAAAAAATTAATTTTTTAAAAAAATGACCGAATACGTTTCACAGCGAGAAAAAATAAAAGGCAAGATAGAATTTTCTAGACATAAAGAAGTTGTTTACCGAGTTTTAGCTCTTATCTCTAACAAAAAATTAATTTTTAAAAAAATGACCGAATACGTTTCACAGCGAGAAAAAAATAAAAGGCAAGATAGAATTTTCTAGACATAAAGAAGTTGTTTACCAAGTTTTAGCTCTTATCTCTAACAAAAAATTAATTTTTAAAAAAATGACCGAATACGTTTCACAGCGAGAAAAAATAAAAGGCAAGATAGAATTTTCTAGACATAAAGAAGTTGTTTACCGAGTTTTAGCTCTTATCTCTAACAAAAAATTAATTTTTAAAAAAATGACCGAATACGTTTCACAGCGAGAAAAAAATAAAAGGCAAGATAGAATTTTCTAGACATAAAGAAGTTGTTTACCGAGTTTTAGCTCTTATCTCTAACAAAAAATTAATTTTTAAAAAAATGACCGAATACGTTTCACAGCGAGAAAAAAATAAAAGGCAAGATAGAATTTTCTAGACATAAAGAAGTTGTTTACCGAGTTTTAGCTCTTATCTCTAACAAAAAATTAATTTTTTAAAAAAATGACCGAATACGTTTCACAGCGAGAAAAAAATAAAAGGCAAGATAGAATTTTCTAGACATAAAGAAGTTGTTTACCGAGTTTTAGCTCTTATCTCTAACAAAAATTAATTTTTAAAAAAATGACCGAATACGTTTCACAGCGAGAAAAAAATAAAAGGCAAGATAGAATTTTCTAGACATAAAGAAGTTGTTTACCGAGTTTTAGCTCTTATCTCTAACAAAAAATTAATTTTTTAAAAAAAATGACCGAATACGTTTCACAGCGAGAAAAAAATAAAAGGCAAGATAGAATTTTCT